ATAAATTTCCGCAATTTTAAAACTAAATTTATTGAATCTCTATTAGTTATTTACTCCTAAGACAAAGAATTTATAGCAACTGTCTTAAGTAAGGAGTCCCTCTCTAAAATACTGGTCAATAAAACTAAATTTATTAAAATTTACAGATATTTTGAATAATCGATAAAATTAAAAACAACATTTTCTGAAAATTATTTTACAATCTTATCAGACTCTATACTTCTGGGTATTTGTAATTCATTTTTAACTTACATATGATAAATTTCAGACTTCATAATAGGAATACATAATGTTTTTTTTTCTAATTTCCAAAATTCCTCAATTTTGAGGTTAAATTTTGGGTTGTTTAATGAAATTTAAGAAATATCTTCCCTATAGAAAAGAGTCGATAAAAGTTGAAATTGTGCTTTGTAATTGAAATCAAGTTTGATCAGAACAAAACCAAATGTTAATTCGAGTATATTAAATTTAGATCACTTGAAAATTTAAAGTGAGATCTCATTGTAAATTTCAAATTTATTTATTGTTGTTTTATTTTAAATTTAGTCTTAATATAAGATTAATAAGTAAATAATTGGCAGCTAAAAGTAATTTTTATAAGATAATTGAGAAAATAAATAATATAATCTTGAATTTTAAATTTTAGGAAAATAATTATTTTTTATAATCATTTTCCGAAAACAAAAGCATTATGAGCCTTGTACAATTCAGAAACTGTGCGTTGTTTGTAGATATGTTGTAATTTGAAATCTTTGATAGTTTCCAATAAAAAGCAGTATATTTCAGGAATTCTTGACTCATCCACAGTGGGAAACAAGTGATGTAACGTGTGTTAATTGAACCCTTAAAAAAGAAACATGTTAAAAGGGAAAACCACTTGTGGGTCGTGATCTTAACTTGTCTATAAGGTGTAGATGCCAAAATCTCTAGAAGGCACTATAGAACAGCCATCAGTATAGCATATGTTATTATGATGAGTAATTATGGAATACTTGAGGGTTAGGTAGCTTGAAGTGGATTGAATAATCATAAAAAATATAAATCCTTACAATATATCTCCGCAAAAATATTATAATATTAAACATTCAACAATTGGAATAAAGTATTCTTTCCTTATTCTCTCTTCTCCTTTTAGCACTTGTTGAATAGTGGATACAAATTACATAGTACTTACAAAAGCAAAAAATATATCCATATAGTAACACATATATTTATTATTAGGAAGTTTAGATTTTTGGGTCTTATAATAGGGTTCAAATGAAGTCACTTCTAAATCAATATTACTGTTGGTAAAATGATGATGAGAAATACAATGTGTAATTGCCCAATGGAAATGGGAGAAGAATGATAAATCGGCTAAGTATCTTCTAGGCTCATAAGAACCTTAATGCAGGAAATTATGTCCTAATCCAAAACAAACATAAAGTGTATATCCACATAGAAATGCCCATAAATAACTTTAGAATATACAGGTTAACAAGAATGTAATAATGAATGAAAAGAGAGCTATAAAAACAACTAGCTTCATGATCAGTGTTGGTCCCTTATCTCTAGTCTTGAAATAATCACTTACCTTTTTATGAAGTGTGAGGTAGAATCCTTTTTCATCATAGTCAAAATATTATTCAATCTTGTCTGCATCTCTAACATAATATTTTTGTAAAATAGCATCGCATTTCTCCATGTTTAAATGATGGCTATAATACATTTCAGTTATATCCTGTCCTTATGTCAGTTCTAAGAAGTAATCTCCTCCTGGATGGAGTTTAAGAAATTGGGATAAATCATAGATCTTACCTGATATGTACCATAATTTGGAAGGCACTCTATATATTAAAGCAATATATACCCTGTTCTTTATCTATCTCTTTCTGCTTTCTCTTTTAACCACACAAATGGGGACTCTATCAGCTATTTATTTCTGGAAGGTAACGATTAAATCATATTAATAAAAAATAATATTGACTTATTTTTAAGATATTGATAATTATTATATTTTATCATATTTTTTCAGCAACTCTTTTTCGATTAATTTGTTTTAAATATCTTATGTCTCAAATTAATATCTTTAAAATAAATCAACAAGCCTTAAAATCCTTGTTTTAGACTAATGTCTATGCATCCAAAAGATTAATAAAATTCAATAATTTGTTATCATTCTAGATATTATGTAAGAATAGAAGTTAGATACTTGGGTATTAATTTCAATTAGATATTATTATATTTTAAATATGGGAAATAAATCAGCAAAAGTTGAAAGATAAGATTCTTCTGAATTACTCTTAAGTATATTTTCTAATCACATCAGGCCAACATACGAATACTATTGAGTCATCATAGGTTGAAAATTCTAAAATATTTGTTTAAGAAAATAATTTATCGTATTGTTTTGCATGTTGCAACTGCTTTGGCCTAATCAAAACTCAAGTAGTGGAGATTTAATTATCTTGGATTGAGTATACTATAAGAAAATTAACCAGAGGCTAATTTAAACACTATTAATGGTCGGACCTCATGTAGCTTAGATTACAAAGTATCGATATTAAGAATTTCGAAGAATTGCAAGCTATCTATTTAAATAAAATAAGATTGATTATAAGTTGTTACGAAACAACTTCTTCATTTTATTAAAACAAAATTTCAAACCATTTTGAATAAAATGAATAATCTAAAATAAATATTTTTGAGTACTATGAAGAAGAGGTCAACACAATCTTTGAGGATAGAAAGAAATCTGGTTTGAATGAGAAAAAATTCTTCAGAGAAATAATGGGAATGATATACTAATAAATTTAAATTGCTGACCATCCATGTGGATTAATCTTATAAACATTTCAAAATTATATTGTAAATTATACTGGGCCTTAAGTGTGGTTTAGAGATTCATTTAGAAGAGATAAAAATAAGAATCAATTGATTAAAAGCACAGAACTTTGTGATGAAATTATTGAGTTCCTTAAATTCTTTGTAAATTGCATAGAAAGTTACTATATGATAGATAAGTTTGTCCATTAAACTCAATTATTAAACTGCTTTACCAGTACAAACACTATTGCATTTGTGATTAATGTCCTATTTTTAGATGAAAGAATCTATCAAAAAATTTTGAAGAGTTTCTCTGAGCTTTATGCATATGAGAACTCTTAATATTAATTTAACTTGAGACTGATAAAGAATAATAAGATTGATGAGTTTGATGTTCCTTAATAATTATTGCTGAACTAACAACTTGAAATAGCATTTCAACCTTAAAATGATTAATTAAAAGGTAATCCATCAATCCAATTTTCTGACTTTGAAGATTATAATCAACCATACTAATCAGCAATAAATACTTTAAAGCAACTGGAATAAGTACAGTCTCCCACAAACTAATTGAAAATTATCTCCAAAACTTTTACAGAGATTCATAGTTGCATAAAGGAATATTATGATAAGCATCCTGAACTTGAATCTATTAAGAGCTACGGCACAGATGACATTGTTCCTATTTTGACATATGTAATTGTCAAGTCCAATATACAAAATTTTGGAATTATGTTAAAAGTATTATATATATTTTATAAGATAATTGAAGCTTTCACGCCTAAGCAAATAATGACAGGAATACTTGGATATTATTTGGTGACCATTTAGGGTTGTTATATGAGAATTTCCTAATATGAAAAATTTGAATAGGTTAGGAAAACCATAAAAAAGACAAAATCTGAAGTAGAAGCAGTGGATTATAAATAATCAAAGTAAAAAATTAAAAGCTCTGATTAATTGAATTTTTGATACAATTAAGATTTAAAATCACTTTATAATGTAGATCTGATTATCAAAATATAATTTTCTTAACTTTTGTAATTACGTTAAGGGATTTAAAAGTTAATACGGTTCTTCTTTATCTCTATCTTGATTATTTGATTAAACTTAAAACTCTGCTATTAGCGAGCTAAAATTATGAGATCAGAAATATAATAATCAATTTATATAGCTTAATTATTTTTAATGGGTTGTTGTAAATCCTTTCCAAATGGTTGTTGTGCTTCAAAATCATTAGAAAACTAAACAAATTCAGTTATTCTTAAAGAAAATTCAGAATAATTTTAGAATGAATTCATTCAAAGTGTTCTAAATCTTGATGCTAATTGCAGTGTTTAGAAGGAAAAGGAAATAAATTTTCCAATTAAAAATACTTCTTATACTAAAGATATAACTGATGTAGAAATAAAATAAGAATATATGAAGACGAGCTCTAAGCAATGGAACATTAAGCAAACGATGTTCGTCAGGGTCAATTCAAAAAAAAACATTAATGAATCATATCTGATTAAAGAAATGATTGGTTAAGGAGGGTTTGGTAAAGTCTATAAAGTCGTCCATAAATAAACTGGTAAGTAGCATCACGACCTCTAACTTAGGAATGATAAGGGCCGTGAAAATGATACTGAAAGAGAAGATGAAACAAGAAGATGAGGAACGGTTATTAGAAGAAACAGCGATTTTAATGGATATAGATCATCCAAATATAGTCAAATTATATGAGATATTTTCTGACACATATAGCTATTACTTGGTAAGTGAATATTGTGAGGGTGGCGAATTATTTTAAAAAATTAAACTTGTTTCAATATTAACAGAGAAGGAAATTGCCAATTTTATGAAATAAATATTGTCAGCCGTCTCTTATTGCCATTAAAAAGGAATTGTTCATAGAGATTTAAAACCAGAAAATATATTATTTGATTAGAAGCATGATCAAGCCTCTATTAAAATCATCGATTTTGGTGCAAGTGCAAAATTATAAAATTGTGAGAAGCTGCAAAAAAGAATTGGGACTGTAACTCATTATTATTTTTTTAGCCTTTTTATGTTGCCCCGGAGGTACTTGATGCAAATTATGATGAAAAATCTGATATATGGTCTCTTGGAGTAATATTATATATTCTTTTGAGTGGATATCCTCCTTTCATGGGAACTAATGAATAGGAAGTTCTTATAAAAGTAAAAAAAGGTGAATATTCATTTGATCCAAATGATTGGGGAAAAGTTTCTAATACAGGAAAAGATTTAATTAGAAGAATGCTTCTATATAATCCTACTAATAGGATTTCAGCTGCAGATGCCTTGAATCATGAATGGATCAAAAATAATAAAGCGAAAGGACAGATAAATAATTTGACACTTAGTAAATTATAGGATTTCGATTCGAAAAATAAATTAAAATATGCAATCTTTTAGTTTATTACTGTTCAAGTGGTAACAAATCAAGAAAAAAATGATCTTCTCAAGATTTTTCAAGAGATCGATAAAAATGGAGATGGAACAGTCAGTAAAGATGAACTATATTAAGGTATTAGAATTCCTTAGTTCTAGCGTATTTAAAGATTCACAAAGGGAACAAATTAGCTGCTGAGACAGTTGTAGAGGAACTATTTCCCTAATTAGATGCAAATGGATCTGGAATTGTAGATTTCAGCGAATTCATAACAGCAACAATAAACAAAGAGAAATCTCTAAGCAGATAAAGAATTGAACAGTCATTTAAATTGTTTGATTTAGATGGCAATGGGTTGATTACTAAACAAGAACTTAATGAATTATTTGATGAAGAAATAGATGAAGAAATGTGGTAGGAAATTTTAGATCAATGTGATAACGATAATGATGGAATGGTATAATAATTATTTATAATTAGATTAATCTTAATGAATTTATAAATTTACTTGAGAATAAAATATCCAAAACTCCTTTATTTAAATCATGAATCTAATTTGACTATAAAAATTAATTTAATATGTTGAGGACTAGAACCATATAAATTTAAATTTATTTCTATTTTATTAATATTGAAATTCTTTGATTTTTCAAAGTAATCAATAAAATTCAATTGTCAGCTAATTTTTCTGGGTTGCTATAACAAGTAGTTGGCTATAAATCTAATAAAACTTCTTAATCATAATTAATATATATAAGTTGCAACTTTATTCACTTCAAGAGTTCCAATTAAAAAATGAATTTTGCATTTCAACTTTAAGTTTTTATGCATAGATTTCACGAAAACTATTATAAGAAGTATACGTATTGATATATCAATTAAAATACTAGTTGAATATTAATATCAATAAAATTAAAGAGCAAATGTATTATATGTTTTATTCAGATAGAAGGTTGGATTTTTAAAGGAGTTGCATCCAAAATACTCAGGAACGTAAGTTCAGGATTGAAGAAGATGCGAATCAATGATGAAAGGAAAATATTTGACCTCGATTAAAATTAGTTTTTAGCAAATTATGACTTAAGAGCAGAACAAATTAATGTAATATTACTTGTTATAAATTGAATGGGGGATCATATTGTGAACCGATAAATAATTGGAAAATAAATTGAGTCTTATAAATGTTATTTAAAATAATAATTTTTAAATTTAGAATAGCTGTTAAGTTATAAATACAGAATCTTATTAGATGGAGAAAGAATAGGAAGGGGAGATATTGATTAAAAAGAATAAAGTATGATGTAATATAATTTATAGAGGTTATCATTTCTAAATAAAGAAGGAAAAAGCATTAAAGTTTAGAAGTAAAAATGATGTATTTCAAAAATAATAATGAATAATACAATTTAGATGTCAAACATATGTTAGAAATGTATTGTCATCGTGTTTCTGGGGTACTTTTTGTTTTGGTTTTATGTCTAAGGTTTTCTATTTCATAATTCGATGATCATCCTAATCTAGTTTTTATGCTATTTCAAAGGATCTTTTCATCTAATAATTACTTTAGAGTATACTTATTTCAAATCCCTTTGATAGGAACAATAAATAATTTTTCTCTGTTTGTCAAAAGATTATTCTTCTCTTTTCTTAATGGTAGGACATGGTTCTGTCTTTTTGATAATTTCTATCTTAGGCAAAGCCAAGCTTTTGCTTCTTGTATGTCTCTTCTAGAAATCTTGAAAATGCATCTCTTAAAAATAAAATTCTCTTTCAGCTGACAAACCTACTCATATTAATATCTAACCATTTTTGTTCTTAAAGTCTTTATTTCCATCTAAAATTGTAGTCACATGCATATTTGGCTTTGCTTGCTAATTGTTTTTATTTTTGAAGATTATATTTTTCCATTCTCTCTGTTAGTTAATCATATAAATATTCTAAGTTGGCTTCCTATTAGTAGAATAGTTCTTAATATCTTAAGCGTGCATGTTTAATTTGTTCGTCACTAGTTTTCATTTTACGTTCTAAATTAAAATTTAACTGTGATACTCATGGAAACTTTTCTTTCTTTGTCAGTTGGAATAACGAAAGCCAATTCAGTATTGCATACTATAGGGCGCATTTTAATAATCTACAATTTAAGATGAGGAGATTTTTTCATTAATTAATAATAAATTTAGTAATAATTGTAATCACCTAATCCATTTATTACTGCATGGTAGGATATGGATAATATTCATTCATAACTCCGAAGCCAAAATTTTCAGGTTCTTCCTAAGTGTTATTATTGTTATTTATTAATAATTTCTACTTCAATCTCAGATTAAGCAATTCATTTTGTGAAATTAAGAGTTCGATGTTATTTCTTTGATTGATACTTTATTATTTTTAGAAATTCAATTGATCAGTGATACTTCTTTTAAGAAAATTTGACGAGCTTTTTTTCGAATCTTTTGATTACATCATAGCCACCTTTGGACTATCCTGCTCATCCTCAGATTCAATGGGTTTGAATTGTTAGGTTTAAGCATTTAATTTTATCTTTTTATTAGAACCTTTCTTACTCTCCTCCTCCTTCTTAATAATCTCTTACCAGTCAAAAACATTATCATTATATTGCATTCTATGCATCAACCCTTTTAACAACTTTCTCAAGTAACCGTAAGAAGGTTCAGTATCATGAGAAACATTGAAAATGTAGTTGAAATATCCCTCAAACTCTCGAGGTAATCCCACACTAAAATTACATGAAATCGTTTACCACAATGACATAGGAGTTTCTCTCATCTTCTTTTACCCAATTAAATAAAATCGCTCCTCTTTGGTTTAAGCTTCGACCTTCATCCAAGGGAGAGAACCTTTTAAAAAAAATATGGCCAAATAACCTAAAGACTCTAAATCGCTTGCTCTGCTTTAACTATATCCTTAATGAGAACAGATTGGGGTAAAGCGAGCAGTTCCTACTAATGGTTGGCCTTTTAATTTTGGCAACAGTCTCTTTTATGAATCATAAATTGGGGCGTTGAGTCCGAAGTCAATGAGATATATGAGGTTTTCATTTGGAGGAATTCCTATCATGAAATTCTCTGGCTTAATGTCTCTGTGAATATACTAGGGCACTTTATCTCATTAAATTATTTACCCCTTAGGAATGAAGATATTCTAATCGACTAATGGCTTGGTCCATAAAGAGTAAGACGGTTTTCAAAGAAAATTTGTGGTTGCATAAACTATACAATTCATCAAGGTTCCTTCCTAAAATATTAATTATTAAATCAATACCCAATAAGGTTTCAACAAGCACCCTCTAAGTTGAATCTTCAATATAATAGTATAACCTAGGGATTCCTCTTTCACCATTAAGTTTTTTGAGAATCTCTGCCTCCAATCTCAAAGTCTCTCCCTTTTTTTATCTATGTTCTTAGGCCTCAATTTTGACTGCATAATAATCTTGTTTAATTTAGTGAATAGCCTTATACACCTTACCAAATGACCCTTCATTAATTTTGGATACAATAAGGTAATTTTTGCACACTACCTTTCCTAATAGAGAGTCCACAGGTGGTTTTAAAGAATGATTGGTATTCATTTGAGAATTGCATTGTGATTAATATGCCATTATAATATTTTAATTATTTTTAAACAAGTTTATAGAATTTCATTGATTCTTGGGTTGTTCTAAAATCTCAAATTGCTCGGGTTGTGGATCCTTTTTCTGTAAATCGTTGAACTTAGTCTTTAAAAAGTTCCAGGCTGACAGAGTTCCCTCTTTAACAGTTTCGTAACTCTTTTCTGCAACAACTTTAGTTTTTTCCTAAAATAAGAATGCAAGTTTACAGCCACTTCATTGGTTTTCTAAGAGAAATCGGTTTTGAACTAAGTTAATTTCTATTGAAATTCCTCATCATTATATTTATCCTCCAATTTCTTCTTGGCTTCTTTGGCTGCCTCTGATGTTTTTTAGAACCCAGCAGAGAAGAAGGTCTTCATCTTATCAAGAGTATCGTCTTCTTCTTCTTTCATCTGCATGGGTTAATATTATTGTTATTGTTCTCCCTTTCTGGGCAGGGGATTAAAATTAGATTTTGCCAATTGAGGATCTTCTTCTAGAGCTTCCTCGATTGGAATAAGTGGTGGGACTTCTCTTTCTTCAGTCTTTGCTTTGATCTAAAGGTTAAGAATTATTGAATTACACATTCTCTATAATAGGATGCTCCTTTGGTTCTGTATTTCCATGAGATGTCCTGTTGTTTGGATGGGTCAGCATAGACTCCAATGGAAGTGAAGTATTCTTTGAGTTTATCGTTCCCGCCCATCATTATCATTTTTAATTGTTTGTCTGACCAGCTGTCTAAATTTGTAGATCGAACAAAGGACACATGTACACCAAGACTACGATGTATGCCAGAACAAGGCAAACAAAGAAATACAGAGTTTGGTAAACTCACCCAAGTTGGATTTGGTGCTCCACATTCAAAGCATTCTCTATTCAAAGGGGAGTCTTATTGCATTTTTTAAAAAGCTTAGGTTGTGATCAATGAATTAATCATTTATAATATTATCAATTTTTTTTAATTCCTTTTCTTCTTTCTTCATCTTCTTACTATTTAATTCTTTAATGTATAAAGTAATGACATTTTTTATATTTCTTACCTGAATTACAAAAACATTGCTTATTCCCCAATTTTGTCAATTTCGCCATCATTTATTCCATCGACAATCCATCAAAATCCTTGGAGATATTGTCATCATCCTCATCACTAAAATCCTCCTTCTTTTTAACTCCTCCCATATTATACATATTAGCAACATCCTCTTCAGTCATCTATCCCATCAACTTCTTATATCCTTTATTAAATATGCTATATGCACTCAAAGTGCCTTTTTCTCTAGTGCCTAAATTGGTAAAGATAAGTGCGAATCCTGTTATTATTACGTATAACCCTTGCATTGAATAATGAATTGAGATCTTTTAGATTATTTTATGATTATACTCTCCCACCAATCAACCAGATAATACTATATACAAAGTATTTCAGAAAACTCCATTGACAATATGTTTGTAACAGATGTTTATAGTATTTTGAACGATCTTTGAATTCAGATGAATCTACAAGTTCAACTTTGTACATAAAATAATAATTATCAAATATTGCTAAATTTGAGTATTCGACTAATAGTATCCTTTAGTTCTGCTTCATCTTTGGTTTAGAAATACAATTCAAACGCTCCTTTAAGAATTGGCTCATCTTGATTAATATTTCTTAACAAGTAGGTTAACTATTAATTATCACTAAAATACTTACATCAGTTTTTGATCTTCCTAATTCAATTAAGTTTGCTTTCAATATACTTTTCACATTAGATTTTAGGATGTAATTATAGATTAACTGGATATTTTCTACTAAATCTTATTTATCTAAATTGTAATCGTAGACTTCCAATGAAGACTTCAGCATAATATTATCCTTGTCAATCGCATCCATCAAAAGATCAATTTATTTGACCTTTGACTTTAAGAATTTAGCACAGATGTCTTTTATTAAATCTTTATGTTAATTATTTTAGTCGATCTTTTTCATGTAAGGATCCATAGATTAATTGTCTTTTTGCTTTTCAATTTGACTATTTGCAAAATCTGATAACTTCTGGATGAATATCCTCTGATCTCTCTATCTAAGGAAATCCCTAAAGAGTTTCAATAGAGTATTATCACATGATATCATGTTCTAACAATATAATTTGATTTATTACTTGTTCCAATGCCAATCTTTATTCTTGATTCAAACATCTTCTGTAGGCAAACAGAATGGTTAATTACTGTTCAATCAAACTATCGAATTGCTCGATTTCATTAAAGTCAAATCTAGAAGAGGATGAATACACTTTGAATATGAGGTTTAGAGTATTTAAAAACTCGTCTTATTCTTTCGTTTCGCAATACACTTCATAAGCTGCCATAACAGACATATCTTCAATTGAATATAAATAATAAAATGCCTTTGCTTACCTTAAAGTAATGACTTTATCAATTTCATATAGAAAATTTATAATAAATTTGAAATTTTAATATTTATGCATTTTTGGTTCAATAACAGCCCCATGAGTAGGTGAAGGGATTTCATCTATTTTTTTATTTTGTAATGTTAATAAATCATTGAGATCTGATTTAATGCAATCGATATCATATCTTTACCCATATTTATCTAAGATTTCTAGTAACCTTTAATTTTAAGCAGTATAGTATCCATGTAATTTGGCTTTTTCGTGTTCATCACAGAATTTACTACATTGATCATAAACAGTCATAAACAGTTTTTCATAATCTTCATTACTGTATTTTTGTAACACTTTGACATGATATTTATCAATGAAGTTGATTTCTTTCTTACTCTCCAATACTAATGAATCGACACTTAATTTTCGTTCTTCCTATTAGTTAATTTAAGGGAAATTGATATGGAAATGGAAATGTTCATCTTGACTATCCTTACGTCGTTTATGCATCAAATAATAGGAATAGCTATTTTCTTCTCTTAATTATTCTTCTAATTGTCCAACATTGTCTTTCAGGAACTAAAATAGCTCCTATAATTATCCATTTTATCCAAATCTTTGAAATCCCTCATAAATAGGATTTTATTTATTTGCATTTTCTTATAGAAAGTACTCTACTTAATGAGAATTGAAGGTCTTAGTTATTTCTTACTAAAACAGACTTTGGAGATATTGTCTTATTATTTGGAGAAGAACCTTATAAAATGGGATATTATTGTACATCTTGAGGGTATTCCATTAGGCTTTTTACCAAATCGTCCAAATCGCTGTCCATTCTCAATTCTCTCAACATTCCAGACTCAATTGAATCTAAATCTCCTGAATTAAGTAATTATTCCATAATTGTTACGGTTGATCTCAAACCTGGAGTTGGATTACAATCATAGGGGAAATTAACAGATTAATGGAGATCACTCCGACTGGGACTAGTGATGAATTTGAGATTGTTTTAACTATTTAACAAAATATATCATTTTTACAACGAAAGGTTATTGTTGTCCTCCTGAGGTAGTAGCAATTTCAGATTTCTAATGAAATTCTCGTCGTCCTGTTATTTTTAAAATAGTTGATATGCAGCAAAGACTGATTAATCTTAGCCTATAATTAATCCTAAGAGGTATTCATATTCTCTGGATTCGAATCGATTTCGAAATTTGTCAACCGCCTTCTTTACCCTCATTACACTTATTAACAAAAATTATACCCATGTGTTCTTTTGCCTTAACTTGAATGAAAGTTATCATTGGCCTCCACCTATAAAATCTATTTCTCGTTCCCCCTGGTTACAATCAAGGGGATGTTGTTGTTTGCATTACTATTAGGAGTTGCAAAACTACCTTATAAGATAGGTTCTGGCTCTTCTTCCTCACAAAGCAATTGCTCAATCTAATAGCACACATCTTCAGCTACGGAGTGATTAATTTTCATCTCCATTTCATGTTTAAGAATTTAATTTTCAAAAACCGTTAATAACAATGAATCAGATTCCTCCTCCTAGATTATTGTGTAATAGGCTTAGAGAAATGCAAATGTTTTGTAGATTCTCATTACTATGGGTTGGCCGAAGATGCCAGCCTAGTATTCATTGTCAAATACCAACACTATAGTTAAAACTGGATGTTGGGGACTAAATGACTCTTCAAATATACCTAAATCTGATTTGCTGGATTTCTTATAAGAAGGCTCCAAATTCAACATAATATGAAGGTTCTTCATTTGTTGTTAGCACTCTCGAGTTTTTACTCTTATGAGACTTCCTACTCTGTCTTTCAGCTTTTCTTTGTTCGGTCAATATAATGTAGAATTTATCCTTGTGAGCGTGCAGATTATTGCAAAAATAATGCAAATCGCAAATGTTTCCTATTATATTATTGCATTTACCTTACGCATCTTGTAATGCTGTGATTGTCTTATCAACCTAAAATGCAGAACGAATCAAACGACAAAAGGAGGCGACATCCAAATTTGAAACAAAGAATGATTTTTGCTCTCCGTCCAAGGAAAATATAAAGTTATGTTTTCCTTGCATTAATATTTTATTTGATAAAAATAATATTGTTAATTATATTAAATATAAAACTAAGCCTTTTCAATAAAATTAATTATGTCTATTAACTCTCCATTATTTAAGCTAATTAATAAATATATAATGTAATAAAAGGCAAAACAATTCTTTGCTACTTACGGCAAACTGGGGATCGGTGTCTACATTTCCTATTCAATAGTCAATTATGGGATAGTTTTCTTTGCATTGAAATAAGGAGTCGATGTCAAATAAGTTGGATAAAAGTATTTCCTTTCATTTCTCATTAGACTAGGATTTGATACAACATAAGGAAAATGGGAATAGTTTGAGACATATGGTACACCCACGGCAGCATACATTATTTATAAACTAATGGCTCCAATAAAATGGCCGATAGTCATAGGAACTACAGCTTGGATATGTAGAAAGGGGAAAAAATGAATGATTATTAAATAAATTGCAAAGAATTCTGAATATAAAATTGTCAATGAATCCATAATATCAATATGACATATTTGTGATAGGTGGAGGTTCAGGTGGTCTAACTGTGGTAGATGAAGCCTAAAGGTTAGGCAAACGCGTGGGATTAGCAGATTATATTAAGCCAAGTCCACATGGAACTTAATGGGGAACAGGAGGAACATGTCCCAATGTAGGGTGCATCCCTAAAAAATTAATGCATATGACAGCATTGATTGGAGAAATTAGACATGAATTGACAGCAACTGGGTGGTAAGGAGTCGATCCTCATTCAAAGAATGATTGGAACATTTTGGTGAATGAAGTTTAAAGATAAGTCAAAGGAATAAACAAAGGCAATGACGATTGGTTGATCGCAACCAATGGAATTACATATTATAATAAATTAGGTAACTCTCTTTATCTATATACACAATAGGTAAGTTAAAGGACGATCACACAATTGAACTCATTGATAAAGACGGGTAATCTGAGTTTGTTACTGCAGAATATATTGTTATTGCAGTTGGATCCAGACCTTCTTTTCCAACCGACATTCCCAATGTTAAGTAATTGACCATTACTTCAGATGATTTATTTTCTTTAAGTATTCGACTTTAAAATAAATCTTTTAGAAAAAGCACCTGGAAAAACATTAGTAGTTGGAGCATCTTATGTAGCATTAGAATGCGCTGGATTTCTAACAGGTTTGGGCTATGATGTTACTGTAATGGTGAGAAGCATTCTTTTAAGAGGATTCGATTAAGAAATGGCTGAAAGAATTGGTGAGTTTATGAAAATTCATGGAACCAAATTTATAAGAGGAACAATTCCAAGTTCAATAGAGGATGTAGATGGTAAAAGGTTAGTGAAATGGGTATTGAATGGATAAGAATAAAGTGAAGTCTTTGATACAGTGTTGCTTGCCATAGGAAGAAGTGCAGACACTTAAAATCTAGGATTAGAATAAGTGGGTGTATAAACCAATAAAGAATCTGGGAAGATTATAGCAAATGATGCTGATTCAACATCTGTTCCAAATATCTTCGCCATTGGAGATTGTGTCTAAGGAAGATTAGAACTGACACCAACAGCTATTATGTGCGGAAAACGCTTAATAAAAAGGTTGTATTCCAATGGAAATCAAATTATGGAATATTCAGATGTTTCAACAACTGTCTTTACACCTTTAGAATATGGGTGTGTCGGATATTCAGAGGAGGCAGCCATTTAGAAATTTGGAAAAGATAATCTTAAGATTTTTACATCAGAATTCACTCCTCTGTTTTGGAATTTTGCCAACAGAAAGGGTACATGTTATGCTAAATTGATTGTCAAAAAGGATGATGATGTTGTTATTGGATTCCATTATCTAGGACCAGATGCTGCAGAAGTGACATAAGGATTTGGTGTTGTGATCAAATTAAAAGCAAAGAAGAGTGACTTAGATAATGTTGTGGGAATTCATCCATCAGTGGCTGAAGAATTGGTTTAGATGTAAACATGGAAATGAAGTATAATATTAAAATTATTATATATCAACATCTTTTTAAATATATTAATAAAAATAAGATATCATTATATCAATTTTACTTATTTTCCAGATGCTCTCAAGAATCCCAACATTCCTTAACTCTACAATATTTATTTTTAGTATTCTAGTTGGTGTTATTAACTTTCTTCATCATCAATAACAATTTGCAAAAAACTAACTGGATTTCTTCTCTTAGATTTTATTTGATGCTATATTTTTTTTTTCTCTTAGGATTTCTTCTCCTCAATCAAACTGACATCCTAATAACTAATTACTCTTTGACCGCAATTAGTGGCGACTTCTTAAATCTATTGTTACTTTTTCTTAAATAATTCATAGATTTCGTTTTAATAATCCTATTGCATATCACAATCTTATTTACATAATCATTCATCACTTTTTCCAAAAATAATATCATATCTGTTAACTCATCTATAATTTCATCACATAATTCAAGTTTTCTTTGTCTTCTTTTCTAAGCATCCTCATCCTGATTATCCTACATTTCAGTTGCCATTGAAATTAGCTTACTGATTTTCTAATCATTAACTATTAAATCATACGCTCTTGAATTTAGATAACTTATTTCCATTCATTATTTGAATAAATGCATGTGTATTCTTATGAGCTTTTCTCTCTTTCTTATGGACTAAAAGCTAAGGAATTTCACCTGTTCCCCACCCAAAAGGATCCTCTTCATCATCTTCATCCACTTTTTCCTCTTGCTTTACTTATTCTTCTACTGCTTCTCCAGTTTTTTCTGTTTAAGCATCTTGAACCTAAGAGCTACTTTCATTTGTCTAATTCTCAGGTTCTTTTTCTTTCTCTTATTGGAGTTCTAAGAATGAAATATAATTAACCTTCATCCAAACTTTCAATAAATTCCCTAGCCTAGATGATCTTCTCTTTCGCCTAAGATAGAACACTGTGATCTTCTTGCATTTCAACCTCACCTTCTTCTAAGATAGTAATCCAAGGGAAGAATCTTTCATTAAGTTTTTCAATACGCTTCATAAGTGTTTGTATATTCATCATCTGTTTTACAATTAGGAGAGTCTATTGATGCAGGATCAAAGTCAATCGCCTTTTGAAGTGATTCGAATTCTATTCCTTAGATGACAACCAAGCACAACAATAAATATGCAATTTTCATTTATAAATTAATTCGTTTTATTTCCAAGTTTAATATTCTAAATTACATAAATTCTAAATATATCATTTGCTTAATGAAAAACCACTAATCGGGACTTCAAATTAATAAACTTATCAAAGCACTCATTTGTAAACTAAACAACTCTTTATTTCTAAATAACATAATAACTACTAGTATCATTTGTTGTTAAATTTAGAAATCTTACATTATTTTCTATTATATTTAAGTGTTAGGTATTTTAATTTTTAATAATTAATTCTCTAGTCTTTTGTAATAGTTGATATGGAAACACATTCTTTAATGTAGTTTATTTACACATGAACAATAATTTAAAAGTTAAAATAAAATAGGAAATATATAACATAATGATATTCTTGGTAGCTTGTAACATAATACACAAAAAACTTAGTATTTCTTTGCCTTTATAGAGCTAAGTTCTTGGGTATTAAATAAGTTTATAGAAAAATAATAATACTTATAAACAAAAAATGTTATATAAATTTAAGATACAGCAAAATTATTATAATTTAAACACGATGTGGTTCTTTATTGAATTCAGTAAGTTTGATGTTTCTTTATGAGAATATGCTACAACCATTCTTTCTAAAATGTAGATGTGATGAATCATCAAAAAGGTGAAGGCAGGGCAGATCATTATTAAATGATTATAATTTAATTAAAAAAGTGTGAATGATATTCAATGATGTATCATTAGAATATGAATTAATGATAAAGAGAATTCAAACAATGTAAATAATACGTATTAAAATTGCCATCTTATTATTTAATTATTATATAATCGGAATGTCTGAATCCATATTCAAAGTTCGTACTAAGAAATATTTGAAACCAATCTTAGAAACATAGATAATTGGTATATCTAGAGTAATTCTTGGATTGCCCATTGATCACGTATTTGATAGATTCAAGACTTTACTTTAAGCTGAGAACACTCAATCATCAATGAAATAATTACTCAAAGATACTTATCGAAGGAACGGAGTTCTCAAAGGAGTTTTTGCTGGTTTCTCATCCCAAATCAGTATTCAATTGTTTAAACAATACTACAGGTATATTTCAAATATCAACAGAATAGATGGCCAATGATGATATTGATCCCCAAATACTATAGGGAACTTTTACCATAAACTTGGATTGAGTATCATCCTGCCTTACACAAAGGATTGGCAGGTGCAACAATCGCATTATTTGAATCTTTTGTCACTTGTCCTTTGGAAAGAATTAAATGTTAATTGATGACTCAACATTAATCAAAATCAAGTAACTTTCAATTAATATCATTAGTACTTAAATAGTTATGGAGAAATGAAAGGTCCTTGTCTCATTTTATGAGGAATCTTTACACCGGCATGGAAGCAATGGTGTTGAAATAAATAGTATCTTGGACGAACTACCTCTATTGGGACCACAAGATTAGATACTCATTTAAAGAGAGCCCAAGTCAAGCTCTAACTTTGCCTTAAATTGCAATGTGTAGTCTATTGACTGCAATCCCAAACATCCTTTTTGTCTAACCATTTGATGCTGTGAAGACGGCGTATTAAATGGAACAAAATGGAAATTACAAATAATTAACTCTTCCAAAAGCCTTTATCAAAGTTTATATGGACAAAGGCTTCATTGGGTACTATGCTGGTTGGTAGCTGAGACTGTCTCAATTTATGGTTTAGGCAGCCTTAACTACTCCAGTAATGGATTATTTGGAAAGATTACATGGTCTACCATGTGAACTCTGAAATTAATTAATAGTTAATATTATTGATTATAATTAGATATTTATATATTATCATTATAATTAATCATTAATGATTAGATCTTCTAGTTTCTACAATGGAACCAGTCTGTTGTCTCTACCTCTATGCTTAGGTGCCTGATAATCTTACTGCCACTTATTGTTAGGCATCAAAATGATCTGAGAGTTGCTAATGGATATCTTATTTGGAATTATAAGGAGATTACTCATGATTATCTTGTAACTGCTAATAGTTGGAGATAATTTCCTATTATCCAGTCAATTACTTTGTCAACTCTTAATCTCTAAGAAGTTAAGATTACCTAGGTTATGGCTAGTATTTTGATTGATTCTGATATTATTAAGAATATTATTATTGCTAAAAGGATTTGGCTTAATCAGTATTAATTGATTCAAATAATTATTATTATGAAAGCGTAGTTGCATTATAAATATTGGGTCTTTGTTCTATGGTTTTTAAATTGGAGGGAGTAAATTATTCCACAACACTTTGCTTAGGCTTGTCCTCAATTTCTTATTAATTATAATCATATTGTTCATGTTCTTGGATCTAAAATTGATTAATTTCTTGTTTTTGGTAATTGGCATGCTAGTGATAGTATGGAGATTGTTGATTTAAATTATCTTGCTTGTAATCGCTTAATTATAATTAAAGTTCTTATTAAGTGATGGGAGTTAGATTGCTGTATAATTAGCAACTTCTAGTTTGTTCTAATTGTTTGCCTGGTGTTTTTTGGCACTTATTTTAAGCATCCTAACTTCTTTGAAGTGCAATTTTAGTTCTTTATTCCAGAAGCTCTAATTGTTCATAAACATCAGTAGTGTCTACAACTCTGCTGACCACTTATTACTCGATTTTTTGATTACTATTTTGCAATCTAAAATCAATAGAATAATTAGGTAAGGTTTCTTAAAGAGTAGATTGCTTAATAGGATGAACAAAATACTCTGAAATAATCTTCAAGTTGAAATCTGTAACCAATTAACAGATCATTGGCCTGTCTTGAATTAGGTCTAGTTTCAGGGGCTAATTATAACAATTAACACACTATAGAACATAACTGTTCACTATACAGTGTTTTCATCTCTCGTATGTAGGTATCTAACTTCTCTGTATTAATCAGATAATGAGGGTAGTCATAAATATCGTTGATACTTTTCAGTGTTGTCATCTACAGGGCGGTTAAGCCGATGCTGAAGACATCTGATTTGTTCATATCATATGTGGGTCTTAGCACTTTTTGTTTAAGAAATTGCAATTATTCAGGACTTAAATTGTAGTTTCCCACTTATTTGGACACACATCGTTTGAAAGCATTTAAGTCTGTTAGTGATTGAATATCTGTTAATTTATAAATTGGGTATGGTTCATGTTATCGGATTGGACAGTTTTTAGGAAAGGATGTGACACTTATTGTGAGCGGTCTGATGTCTCCATGTGACCTTTGTTGACTGCTCAACTTTTGAATGGCTATCAACTAGAATGAAATGAATAAAGATAATACAGTACAATGAAGCATGGCTGCTATTTCTATTTCTTCAAAATGTTGCTTAGATGCTGCTTGTTCTACAATCAATCTTTCCAAGTATTCATCAAAATACTCATATACACTATGTGCTTAAGTCATCTGAGTGCATAATTCTTTTTCGGTGATAAATTACAAATCCAGCATTTCTATTAAGAATGGATCTTTCTGTCTAGATTACATCTGTTATTCTGCCTGTTGTCTAAAGAGATGCCATTATTCATCATCTTGAAAGATGTGATCTTTTACAGCAACAGCATGGCCATCATTTAATTTGTAGACTTTGATTTCACCATACCGAATGTCATTAACTGATTTCCAAAACTGTAATTAGTTGATTTTTGGAACACTCATACGTGATTGTTCTAAATTTTGGGATTGCGATTAGCCCATACTGTTAAAATATTAATTAATTTAATACAAAAAATCTATTATGATCAAAAATGTCACACTATTGCTATGTCACAACATAACTTACGAATTGCTCATTGATGTTAATTAAATCTCAGAACGAATCTTATGTTGAGTGGCGTAAGAAATCTGATATCCTTTTGAATACTATCAAATCGGTATTAATTAGTATGAATACTAAATAATTCTCAAGTAAGTTCTAGGATTTCTCTACTAAATCACTTTTAAAAAATTTTGATTTTATTTTCACTATGACCATCAAAGTATGATGTTTCTATACTAAATTTGGAATGCAAACAACATTTCCCGTAGATATTTCTAGATTGTTTCAATGTGTTTCTTGAGTATTTATTTCAGAATATCAAGTTCTCAAAATACGTAATCAAAATTTTAAGAATGCTTTATGAAAGCATATCAATCACTCTTTTAAATTTAAAAGGAAGTATGAAAATGTGAAATGCTCTCAGCATATGAAAGAATTCTAAACCATTTACTTAGATCGCTATAATAAATTATCATTTCTATTTAGATGATTATCCAAAGATTTAAGTGAAAATGAGGATAGTATTCTTCAAACTTTCATAATTGATCAATGCTTGTTTCTATAGAGCATAATTAATGAATTATTCTTCAAAGCAATTTGTTTTTGAGTTTGAAGGGAAGACTCAACTTAATCTTTGATTTAGTATAATTAATTACTACATAAAGTTGCCATATAATATAATCATTTGATTGTTATACATCTATCTTAAGTTTGTGATATTATTTTAACAATGCCAACATTATCCAGGTGATATTAGGTCATTGAATATTAATGTAATAATTCGTAAATGTATAATAGCGTAATCAATGAGTTAATTTACATTGACATAATGCGTAATTTTTTAATATAGATATCAAATTATTTAAATATTTATTTTACGGTCCATGAGTGCGTCAAAAGTTCAAAAGGTATCATCATTTCATTTATATGGCAGTTATTCTTCCGATTTTCCTATTACAAAAATCTAGACCTCACTAGTCCATATCCCTCCTTCTAAGTAATTTTCACAATCCTAATTTCTAGGCCAGGGATATGACAACCACTCACACCATGCATTACATAACAAAACCACCTTGTGATCCTAAAATAATGACTTTTGGAGCATTTCACACAGATCATATGTTAGAGATTGATTGGACTGAAAAAATGGGGTAATCAAATCAATATTATGGTTAGTTGGTCACGTCCATAGATTATTCCTTTTAAAAGCTTTTCGATCCATCCATTTGCTGCATGCTTACATTATGCCATTGAGTGTTTTGAAGGAGCTAAAGTAATTTCAAAATAGGATTATTATTAGGCATACAAAGGACCAAACAAGACAATCAGAACGTTTAGATTGGATTGCAATATGTACAGAATGAAACAATCAGCAAAGAGACTTTCTTTGCCTGATTTTGATGGAGCAGAATTATAAAAATGCATTGAAGGTTTATTGAAAGTGGATCAGGATTGGATACCTGACAGACCAGGATTTAGTTGTTACATCAGACCAACCATCATAGCAACAGAGGAAGCTTTAGGAGTGAGAGCATCCAGCAGAGCAAAATTGTTTGTTGTTTTATGTCCTGTCGGTCCATATTTCCCATCTGGACTCAAACCCGTTCGAGTATTTTGTAATACCACAACAGTAATAATTCGCTTGTATAATATAGATTCGTTCAGCTCCAGGAGGTGTTGGTGGATATAAAGTTGCAGGTAATTATGCTCCCACTGTCATGCCTTTGAAGGAAGTTTAAAAAATTGGATTCCATCAAAATTTGTGGATGCTACCAGATGGATTGGTTTAGGAGATGGGAGTTTGCAATTTGTTTTTCTTCTGGAAGAACAAGCAAGGAGAAAGAGAATTGGTTACACCTCAACTTGATGGCACCATATTGCCAGGAATAGTCAGAGACTCATTACTTGTATTATATTGAATTTAAATTCAGGAATTAACCAGAGAGATGAAATAATTCAAAGTTATAGAAAAGAAAGTGTACATCTAAGAAGTCATCGAGGCTATTAGTGAAGGAAGAGTAACATTAAATATCCTATATGTAGATGATTGAAATGTTCGGATCAGGCACTGCTGTCAGCATTCAACCAATCGAAGCTATTGGATACAATGATAAAATCTATGAAGTTAAGTATGATCCTAAGTTAAATGCTGGTGAGTTGTCTCACTAGTTGTTTGATATGATCACTGAGATTCAAGTATTCCTTTATTATTATACCTTTAGACTGGAAGCAAACCACATAAATGGATTAATGTTGTGTGAATTATTTTATAAGTTTATTATTAATATGAGTAAGGAGATTCTTCCAATAATTCACTTTGATAAACAGACTCTTACGACCAAATCAAAGACTTAAATGAGTTCCCAAAGTAGGAACCTCATTTACAAGACTCTCTATGTACCCAAGGATGAGAAGAATACTCATGTTAACAGTTCCATCAAAACTGAAAATGAATCATATGATTATGTGGTGAACTAATTACATCAGCACAAGTAACTGAGACTGCCTCCTTCTAGATTAATTAATTAATTAAGGAGATAGAAGATGAATGTAGATAAAATCCCCAGACCTAAAGCAAAAAAGTTATCAAAACCATCCTTTTCAATTAATTTAAATACTAAAGATAAACACTAATTATAAAAATAAATATGTAATTATGTGTAATAAGCAAACAAGTTACAATAATATAAGTTGTCTTCTATTCATTCAAGAAGATAGGATTTTAAGCCCTATTTTAATTTTGATGAGTTTTCATTCATGGATGAAATATTTCCCCATTCGAATCTGGTTAAAAAGAAATTTGGATTAAATGAGTAAATCATGTTCAGAAATTCTATGGGTTTGGAAAAAGTAATTTTATAAAGGATTATTTAATCATAAGAGGATGAATGAATATTTATTCGTATTATTATTATTAATATATTTTGAATTCTCAATATTAAAAAATCTTAAATCAATACTATAGTATATTTCCTAAAACAATTCATTAAAAGGTTTTCAAATCTAAATCCTTATCATTATAAATGAATCAAAAAAAATTCGATCAAGCTATTCACTATCTAAAATACATTAACGTCTTTGTCAAACCAGTCGATTTGTTCCTCCTTAAGCAAGGGGGACACAGAACTTTGCTGGGCACCTTTATGACCATGGGGATAATTTCCGTGCTTTTAATCCAATTTATCAATATCGTTTCGTCATTTGTAATACACGACAATCCTACTTTACTTACTAACCAATCATATTCACAACAGCAACCCCCAATATATTTATCGAAAGAAAATTTCACGATTACTATCAGTTCTCTAAATTATGATCTTGGAGATTCATATACTGTTTCAATGTGGTTGGTGTCTCAAATATTTGAAGATAAAACAAACTCAAAGATGACTCCTAATATTGAAAGAACAAATATCCCTCTAATTAAATGTTAAAAACAAGAAGGCCTCCACGATTATTTTGTCAATACTTCTCTGGTTCAATATTGCATTGATTGGGAGTCAGTTCCACATGTAATTATAGAGGGTAGTTTGGATTCAGACTATTATAAGTATATAGAAGTTTCTATTAATCAATGCGAAGAAACGTAATTTTATTATTTAATTAAGTAGCAGTAGATGTCCCTTAATAGAAAATGATGAAATCATTATTAAGACATTATCGACTTATGCAGACACTATGAACTTTGACCAACCCCATCAATTATATGGCAAGACATTTAAAAATGTTATAAACTAATATTACACCAAAAGATTCAACGGTATCTTCCAAATAACAGAAGTCAAATAAGATCACGGATACATCTTGCAAGAATTAGAAACCACTAAATCTCTTTCGATAAATAATCTATATGAGAACTTTGACTCCCAAGATGAAAAAGTATATGCGACATATCGCTTCTACTTAGATAATTTGACATAAATTTATCAAATCTCATATCCCAAAATTCAATAAAGTCTAAGTGACTTCGGTGGTCTATGTGAAATCTTCATTTTAGCTGCTTTATTTATTGTAACTCCCCTAAACGAATTATCTTATAAAGTCACCCTCTTGAATGAATTATTCAACTTTAACCTTAACAATTAAAACGAAGAGTAGTAACAAAAGATACACCCAAGTAGTACTGCTAAATAAAGGTTGAAGTCAATTCAATTGAAAACCTCGCAATTAGAGAGGATAAATCGATAAATGACAACAAATGGGAGGAATTCAGAGAAGAACGACCATAAGTTTTTGATTAATGCCTTGCAGGATAGTATCAAACGATTCTTCGATGAGAGAAATAGTAAATTAGAATTATCTTTTTGCGATTACATCCCTTGTGCAAGAGGTTAAAAGTAATAATTGATCTCGTATTCAATGAGCAAGATTAATAATTCTCTTGATATTACTTACATTGTAAAGAAATTGCAAGAAATTGATAAATTAAAAATGATTTTATTGTCCCCAGACCAAATAAAATTATTTGATTTCCTACCGAAACCGAATATAGATTTGCATTCTAGTAATAAGCAATCCTATTTTTCAATTCTAAAGCCTGAGTAATCAGAACTTGAGAAAGCAATTGAAGCTTAAACAGCATTCAACAATCTTGCCAAATTTAAGGATGATCAAATTAACCAACATTTGGTTGAATTCTTAGATGATGATATTATTCAACTGTTTAGGATCAACATGAGAAAGGAAGTCAAAAGTTTAACTAACTTTTCTCCTGTTACATAGACACATTTTCTGTCCGACCTCCCAAGTAGAATGCCCCAAATTGAATAATAGGATGATTCAGATTCTGAATCTTCTCCCTCAATCAAATCTATATAAAAAGTAGATTCATGACTTTATTATCAAAAATATATCAAATATTTAAATAACAACGCTACTAATTTCATATAATCTGGATCCAAAATTCTATTTTCCTTTCATTTTAAGGTGAGGTAAAATTTAAAAAAAAAGTATTTACAATTCAAAACTGACTAAGATTCTTGTTATATTTAATTTAAATAATTTTTCAAAAAAAGAGAGAAATATTAAAATTAAGAAATAAATTTATTTCTAAATCATATTAAACATAACATGAAGCTCTAATAATTCATATATAAAAATCTATATTTTAGGAAGAATTTGAACTCATAGTTATCCGTAATGAATTTATTTTTCTTTGACTAAAAAATGATTGAAGATAGACTATCAATAATGCTAATTTTGAAAATATAAAGTCATTATCCATTTATACATGGCTATAAAGAAATACAATTTGTGATCAAAGGTTATTCGTCTTGCTGTAATATCACTTGATTTTCTAGTTTTATATTATAATATTGTTGTAAACTCATATCAGCAGTTAATATTTTATACAATTAAAATTCTAATTCATATTACTATTTCATTTTTCTTATTATAATTTTATCTTTTGGTCCTAAAAGTCTTACCAACCAAATACTAATGGGTATTTCTAAATTTAAGATGCTCTTTGAATTATGTTGTAAATCTGAAAAGGACATTGGATTTATGATTGGAAAACTTTGTAATTCTGACTTTGTAAAAATGCTTTCGCTTTGATACTTAATCTTTACGTAAATAATATTATCGTCGCTATTCTACTCTTCTTCTAACATGATGTAAATCTTTCCATAATTCAGATCTAATATATAGTAAAACAAATTTAAGAAGAGTTATTTCATCTTTGCATTATTAGAGACAACAAATGAACTTTTTAATTTATTTATAATTTCCAGATCTACGGCATTATCATGATTATCATGATGCAGATACTTAACTGCTTATGTTAACTATTCAACCATTAGCAGAATATTGAAAGTTGCCAATGGGTTGATATTGCATGATAATTGCATAAAATCTACCATATTTCTAAATGAATTCCAAGCCTTATTCAATTAAGTATGATGTTCACGAAATATTAATTATTGCTATGAAGTTATATTGATATCACAAAATTGATTGAAATCTTGCAATATTGTTAAGCATTTCTTAAAGGAAGAGTTAAAGATGGAAATAAAGTATTTTATGATGAGCTTATAATTTTCTTGTTTGAGTTTCAACTTCTTGATTTTAGTGGATATCTAATGTTATTTCAAGATTATCAAAGCTTGAGGAGTCTTATAGTGATGAATTTTATATATTACAATTTGCTTGGAGTTGAATGTAGAAATTTCATTCTATCCTAAATTGTTAACTGAGATTTCTTCAAGATCAACTTTCAATTTGTTCTTGAAAGACTCAAATAATTTAAAATCTGCTTTTGGCTTTATTCCTTTTAGGTAGTATAGTAGAAATGTTTCCAAATTAATTTTGTTCATTTAAAATTGATTCTATTAGCTATTCTTATTCATCTCAGTGTTATACTTTTTAGGATGAACTAATATTTTTCTTATTCGTTATTTAAAATCTAATTATTAAAATTCATTAAACTTTTGTTTTTCTAATAGGGATGATAATTTTATAGACTTAACATTTTCATCGAATTTCACCTTGAAGATGTCAAACAAATCTTAGGAGTTGAAGTAATTTTGAATTATTTTATTGCAATTCAACTTGGAAAACTATTTCCTTCTACAAATTTCTTATTGTATTCCAAATTGAATGTCCATGACTGTCATAATCCCAAACTTCAAGAATTGCGACCACAGGACTGCTTCAGTGTAAGGCCCTACGTACAAATTAAATGCTAGAATGGGTATCATCACAATGTATTTTGCATAAGCCTCCACACTATTAAGGATTCTAAATAGGTATGATGAATATCTTACGATAATGAACCGAGGCAAATGAAGTAGCCATCCAAGTAAGTATCTTGATTTGGAAGTGTACCCATGTAGCGATTTAATGGGTAAAACATATTAAATATCAAAACAATGACCAAGAGCAAATATTTGTAATACATGGAGGCTTTTTTCACAAACTTGAAGGATATTGTAATGAAAATGAATCCAAATATATTGAAGGTTAATGAAGTCCAACTTTTCTCAATTCCTTTTTAAATTGTAAAAACACTTAATAATAGAAGGATTAGAACTTTTTATTTATTTTAAGTTTTAATGATTTATTCATTTTGGAAGCAATTATATTATCTCTCAGTCTCAGCATCTAAAAGTTTATGAAAATAAATTGTCATTAATTAATAATTAATTTTTCATATTGTATCTATTGATATTAATGAGTTAATTGTATAGATTCTTCATAAAAAAGTTGTGTGCAAAAAATACTTTCAATATTCTTGATCCCAGTTAGGATCTTTCGCTTTCTCCTTTTTATAGACTTGGGCGTTCAGATTTTGGAGTTCTTTCATTATTGGAGTACCCTACACATCTTTACCTGTAGCTGGCATCTTCTATTAAGGTGGCATATAAGGAGCCTTCATTTCCTTATCATACAGTTTATCCTTTGAAAAATACAATTAAAAAGTACCCAATCAAATTAGTCAAACCATGAATTGGCCTTCAAACTGGCATAGGACCCTCCCAATCTCAACTCAGGTGTTTTATTAAGCAATTGCTCCATAAACTTCTTAGCCTTTCTGTCTTTGAGAAATTGAGGATAGGATAATTGCTTCTTTTAGATATCCTCATAGATTTCATATGGATCTTCAGCCTCTTCAGCATATGGAACTTATCCACACATAAACTCGTACATACAAATACCAATTGACCAGATGTCAACAGGGAATGTATAACCCTTGCCTTGCAAGATTTCTGGGGCCATGTAATGAGGAGTTCCAATGATAGTATAAGTTCTACCACTTTTATGGTTTAGAAACTTTGCGGTTCCCATATCAATTAGTCTAACATATCCTTTTTCATCAACCATGATGTTTTCAGGTTTGATATCTCTGTAAACAATCTTTTGTTTATTGAGATACTCTATGCATAAGATGAGAGACCCAATGTAGAATTGAGTATCAAAAGCACTCAATAGACCAATATCTCTAATCACATCAAAGAGTTCCATTCCTTTGATGAATTCTACAAGGAAGAATACATGATTGGAATCCTTGAAACTGCAATAATATCTCATTAAAAATGGATGATGCACAGATGTCAATACTTACTTTTCTTATGCTAAATGCTTTTCTAGATGCTAATCAACAATCTATGCTTTGGATATGCATTTCAAAGCATAAAAATGAATAGGATTGTCCTTTGGATTTTTGACCAAGTAGACATTTCCAAATTATCCTTATCCCAATTTCTTTAATGAAATGAACTCTTCTAGCTTAAGATGGGAATAATCATGTTTCTAACTCTCTTGTTTCTTGTGTCTATAATAAATTATGTTGATCTCTTTACTTCTCACTGATTTTTTAATTTTTATTAATAACTTGATCTAAGGCACCACCAATGACTTCTTCAAATCGTTTGAAATCAATCTCTGCTAGTATGCATTTATCTTTGGCAATGACTGGGTCACTGAGTTGTTACTTATTGAAGTAAGCGTCACCAAAAACTTAACCTTCACTAGCGGCTTTCATTTTAGACCCAGTCTGCCTTAAGTATAAACGTAGATATTTACAAATATTAGTTCTCCTTTTAACACAATCACCAATTTCTACACTTTATCCTCAAAGACAACAACACCTTGTTCATAATTGAATTGATTCAAATTTTGGACAATTTTTTGAATTTGGAGTTCAGTTAATTATCCCAAGACTTGATGTTTTTGAATAGCCCATATTTATTTATTCGTGAACATAATAACTTAGATTTTATCTCCTAAGATTTTAGTTAATTCATCTCTTGTGATCACAAGACATCTCACATCCTCTTCTGCTGCTTTTACTGTGGCTCCTCTTTTAGAATTCTAGAATAATGCCATCTCTCCAAATGACTCGCCTTTCTTCATCTTTCTAATCTCATTGTCATTCTATATCACTGAAACTGATCCCTTTTTGATGATGAAAAATGAAGTTGCTGTTTCATCTTGTTATACTATAATCTCTCCTTTCTTAAATTGCACTGTAAACAACACACTTGAGATGGCTGTTCTTTAATCAAAAGTTAAAAATTCTATTGGATATATATTGGATACTTTACCAAATGATTTCAAATTTTCTACGAATTGTCTATTCTCCTCAAATTCATGCATTCTCATATCCTCAATCATTTTTCTAAATAGATTTCTATCAATAGCCCAAAATGCACAATCCCCTACTGCTCTCACAGATGCAGATCTAGGAGCATTGTATAATAGTGCTCTCTCTCCAAATGAGTCCGATTGTTTTAATACTTTCTTCACTTCTCCATCTATAATGATCTGACACTAGCCACGTTCTTCAATATTGAGCAATAATACCAATTAGAAAAAAGGAGCTTGCCTTCAAATCTCCCTATCGGAATACAAATTGACCGTCTGATGTAGTGCAATAAAACATCTATTCTAAAATAGCTTCCCTGAAAAATATTAAATATTCTTTACTGTTCCTATTGGGAAAGGGATTAAAATAGTGAATTTGTGGTGAATGAGTTCAAAATAAGTTAGTAATCAAAAGGCGACTTTTTTTTATTACTTTTTTAGATGTTTTCAACTATTTCCTCTTGGTCCTAACGAGCTTCAACCTTAACCAACTTTTTCCTATCATTACGTTTAAGCTTTCATCATATAGTAAAAGATACTTCCACTTCTATTTTTTCCACAACGGCATCTGGTTCATAATCTCCTTTGTTTCCAGTGCTTCTCTTTTTTTAGATGATCTAAGACCCTCCTCCATGGTTTTAGGATATGGTGATGGTGTCTCCTTTCTTTTTTGGGATTAAACTATTAAGTTCATTTTCGTCATCTTGTTTCTTACAAACACTTCCCATCAGTTAATTTAATTTTTGAATGAGTATTAAATCAATAGGAAATTACATCCTCGGCAAAACCATTGGGGAGGGAACTTTCGGACAGGTCAGATTGGGTCAGCATACTATTACAAACGAAACAGTTGCCATAAAAATTTTGGAGAAGGATAAAATGAAAGAAGAGACTGATTACGAAAGAATTTCTAGGGAGATTAATTGTCTGAAGAAATTGCGTCACCCCAACATTATATAGATCTATGAGGTAAAGATCTCAATTATTCGAAGATAGTTTAAACTGTAAACTCATTGTATTTGATTATGGAATATGCACCAGGAGGAGAATTGTTTGATGTTATAATTAGAAACTAAAGATTGAATGAAAAAGAGGCAGCGGACTATTTAATGTAAATCCTCTCTGGAGTTCAATATATGCATGAAAATTATGTTATGCACAGGTAACCATATTTAATTATATTAGAGATCTCAAACCTGAGAATCTGCTATTAGATGAAAATAACAAAATCAAAATTGTAGACTTCGGTCTCTCAAATCAATTTAAGGATGGCCAACTGCTCAAAACAGCCTGTGGTAGTCCATGTTATGCTGCCCCTGAGATGATAGCAGGAAAGGAGTACGATCCCAAATCTGCAGACACTTGGAGTTGCGGAGTCATTCTCTATGCGATGGTCAATGGATACCTCCCTTTTGAAGACAACAACTAAAAATAAATGTATAAAAAAATCGTCTATGGAGAATACGCTCCTCCAAAATACATGAGTCCTTTATGCAAGGACCTCCTTGAAAAAATATTATAAGTAGATCCTCTCAAAAGATACAACATCCACCAAATAGTGAAGCATTATTGGATACAAACCTGCGTTACCAATCCGATTCTGACTCCTGGATATGGAGAGATTAACATCTGCAATGAGGTATTGCAGTAATTGGCCACCTACAATTTCAAATTACCCTAAGCATATGCCTACTTAAAAGCCAACAAACATGACCCCGTGACTACTACATACTATTTATTGTTAAATAAATACTTGAGGGAGAAGTAGTAGGATCAAGAGGAGGCATTTTAATATAAATTAATTTAAATTCCTCCCCCATAACATCCACAAGAAGCCATCCTAAAAGAGACTTCAAACATTCAACCATAAAGAATTAGTCAGGCTGACACTAAGGAGAATAAGACTCCACAAAGGAATACTCAGGAATAGAAATCTACCAACTCTATAAAGACTTTTAATATATAAAATTCTTAATAAGAAAAAATCTCACAAATACCTGAAACTTAGAATCTGAATGATATTGAAGAAATCAGTGAAAATTTCAAGGAAATCTAGAATTTAATCAATCTATCCTAAATCGAACCTGTTCAAAATAATCAATTTGAAAACAACCAAGATTAGCTTTAAGACAACGATACAACTACCAATAATTAGTTAAATTTATCTGCCCAGATACCCTTTCCTGATAGACCATCCATTCAAACATCATTAAATAATACTCCCATCTATCAATCACAATTCAATTACAATTACAATTAATATGATTGTACTTCTAGAGCTAGGCAGGTTTCTTTGAGCATTGAAAAAAAACCAGAAACTTTATTTCCTACTGTCGAACAAATCAAACTTAAAGCATAGCAATTTAAATAAAGAGCGCTTGAAAATGAAGATCGTTCCCCTGTGCCTTAAAAACCTAGGACACTGAAAACTCCTTAAAGATCTGCAGTCTACAGGGCTCCTAATTTTAACAATTAGCATTCCTATGAGAGACCACAAAGTCCCTTGATTGTAGTGAAGCAACACGAAGGTCCATATCATCTAAATTAACTTGTTTTTGTAGATCCTTAAAGGATGACTTAAAAAATCATATCTTATCTATAATAATAAAATTACGAAGTAAAAAGGAGCAAATTTGAATTGAAGATAAGTAAATGCGATTTCGTAATGACTTATGCAATAGCACTTTTATGCGACTCTGTTTATGTAATGAAATGTTAAAAAATACAAGGAGATTCAGAAGAATATGAAAAAATTTATAAATAAATAATTAAGTTGAGATGAAATTTATGTGTGATATCATTCTAATATACCACTACTATTACTATCTAATTATTATTTTTCAACATCTGGTAAATCTGAAATACTAATGGAATCTTTTTATTGCAAAACAATCCTTTTAGGCAATGGATTTATGATATTGAATTAGATCTTTTACTTTTTTGTTTTTTATTCTTCCTTCTATTTCTTAATCTTCTCCAACAACTCCACTAATTTTGATTGCAATTAAGTATAATCTTCATTTTCAATTGTTTCTTCTAAGACTTCGATTTCCCTTTCTTTTCTATATGTCCTTCTGAATCCACCCAATCTGGGCAAATTCTTAAGTTTACTTGCCTCAATATATTGGTTGCTAGCAGCTTTGAAAATAGATTGTTGAGTTTGAAAAGGAGATGGTTTTGGAACTCTCGAGGGTATAGAATTTCTTCTGGGGGAATTCTAAGGAGATAAGGCATTTTGAGAAAGTATGGGCATTTTAGGAGAGTTTTTATTTGACCCTTCTGATTCATGAGACACTTCATCAATTTTAATGGAAGGTTTGATGAAGTTAGACCTGACTGAAGAGATAAATGGAGTATCGGAGTTTGAATTTTCATTAGTGGAATTAATCTAGATGGATGGTTTTCGATTGTCATTTCTCTTTGGACTGCATCTGAGATTCTGGCTAATATATCTAACTTATTTAGGTTTAGAAGGCCGAGTTGGTTCTTCACTTTAGATTCTTTGAATACTTTTTTGTTATTGAGATTAATCAGTATCTTCGTTAAATTGTGAAATAGGATTTGGTACTTCTCCATATAATTTAATTTTATGTTCACTCTATCTTTTGACTTAATCTGGAATGGGCAAAGTGATTACTTTTTCAAGTTCTTCATTTTTTTTGTGGCTACTATCTGAAGCTACAAGGTTCTTTTAAGAAGTATCTTCTTGAGTATGTAATCGAGTAGTGAGAGATTCTTCGGGCATCAAATGATTGGTTTTCTTTTTGAAGAAGCCAAATTTGCTGGATCTCATTGATTTCATATCTTATTCTGATTCTTCACTGTAATCTATGAATTGCACGGATTCTCTCTATTTAATTGATTTATAGATGGATTGAGTTCTTTTCTTGTTAAAGAATTCAGAGGTTTATGAGAGTCCAGTTAAATCCTACAGTTTTTCAATGGCCTCTTTTTCTCTCTTTAATTTTTCTAAGGAGATTGTTTTAATTTCTTCAAAATATTCTGGAAATGCTTGCAATATTTTTTTAAATACATCCTATTCAATGGCCAACAATTCACATTCCAACTCAGCTCTGGCTGAATGAAAGCGTGCACTGTTATCAAATATTTCAATTTCCCCAAAATAACTACCTGTTACATATGTTTTAAAGGTGATTGAATAGACTCCAATAACCATATTGACTCTGCCGTTGACAATGAAATATACTTAATTAGGATATTCTCCCTTGTTGTACACAAATTCTCCAGCATTTATTTTCAAAGGTTATAACTTAGGAATGAGAGTGGAGATGAAGACTGAATCCTTGTTCTTAAAGAAGGAGACTCTATTTTTGAGACCAGCATACATGGCTTGGGCAATTTAATATTTGAGATTGGTGGGTATTTCGGATAGAAACTCATCCACTTCTGCAGATGAGAATATGTTAATCATCGAATTGTATTCCAAGACCTTCCTGATTTTGTGTTTCATCTATAGGGACAATTTGGTTTCTTCACAGAACTCATCCATGAAAGTGATCTTGCTCTGCAGATGAGATTCTCTGGTATCCAAAGTACCCATCAAAGTGGAGAGTGAACCAACTGTGAATGAATAGAATCCAACTCCAAAGAACATCCAAAATATACACACAATTCTCTCAGCTATGTATCATTTATACTTTACTGTCATTGAAAGCATGGATGTCTCCAAATCCCACTGTGCAAATAGTAGCTACAGCCCAATAGATGGAGGTTAAGTACAATTCATATTCACTTTTGTTCAGTAAATCCAATTCATATACCCAAGTGTTTGGACCAAAGTCATTCAGTTTAGCAACTAGATACCAGAGACAACCCATGATATGTACACATACAAGAACAGTTCCAAAAAACTTGAGCACTCTCACAGTGGTGGAATTCAAATTTATCAAATCCTGAATTGCTGAAAAACAATCATTATGATCTTGTGAATTCTAGACTGTTGACCACATTCTACTAATACTTATCAATTTATACATCCGAGGCAATCTGGTCAATCTATTATATTGTCTTAAATTAATATGCATACTTGAAATATTGAGGATAATTTTTGAGCCTCATTCTTAAAGATTTGATCAGTAGGAAATACAGCCATTAAATCGAATATTAACCAAGTTCTTAGATATTGGTTTGCTATCTAGGTAACGATCAACTATAAGGACTCCCTCCTCATTGAAATAAGCTGTATTGAAAGTGATCAAGATGTCCAAAAAAAATAAGATGTCTACTATTAATTCCAAAGTAAACCATACTAAGTTGAATTCTTCTATGAATGCTAACCGAATGGGAGTAATAAAGGCAGTGTAAATCAACAATATCATCAGAACATATTGCCAATATTTCTTGAATTTCGAATCCGGCAGGAAAGAGATGGCTCTATTCATAGACTATAATTGTTACTGTGTTTCTATAGCATCGGGCTTACTTATTTGCTGATTTCTGTTTGTTGAGCATCTGTTCCAGTTCCTGAATCACCTCATGTCTTTTTATGGAGGTCTCCACTCTACAACTTGTACCATACAATTTTACTTCGTCATATAATCGTTTCATCCTACCAATCATTCGCAATTCTTAGAATAACTCAATATACTACTTTTCCTCACTCTATCCCATTTCTTCATCAGATTCTATTCAAATATCTAATTGCTCTTCTCCTTCTGTCTAGCTATTGTTAGATCTTCCTATGCCAACTATCTTTACCTCTCCTTCATTTATTGAAAAACTTCGAAATCACTTTAATTGAATTCAAGAATATTGACATTTTACTGTTTTTACTCTGTCATAAATGAGGTGAAGTATTTCTAGAAGGCTTTGTGTCTACTCTTCTATACGTCTAGCTTCGACTCCTCTATTTCTGCCATCAATTTGTTATTCTCCTGCCCTTCAATTATTCTTTTGAAATTCAGACTATTGATCTGCACTTGCAGTTTCTTCTCCGCTTAAACTTCATCCTTGTGCAGAGGCAGTATTTTATCCATGTATTCCAACTTATTCAACTACTCAACCATAAGCTGCTTCTGTATTTATAATGAGTCCATTAAAAATATAAATTATTCAAGTAACTACTATTAAATTGCTATAATATTGAACTAATATATCAATTCACATCCGATTCCCAAAGTTCTCCCCCTCTCTCTCATCAACTCACCTCCTTTGGCATTCAATTCGACATTATTTATTTAAAATTTATTCGTCTAGTCTTATTCCTATCATCTATTTCATAAATTAACTGACTTTTCATTATTTTCTCTTAATTATTCAAATTCCAGAACACTACAGCGATCTCAAATTTAAATCACTCCTTCACAAAGAAAGATTATGTTACAGATTATTTGTAATTTAAAACTACATGTATAAATTTATAAGTAGGATTAACAATGTAATAAAATTCAAAAATTATCATTTGCATTGTTCAATCCCTCAAACATCCAATTAGTTTCGTCAATGAACTTTAATTGTGCTCTCAATTCATTCTATATCTTCTAGAGTTGATCCTTCTCTGAAAATTACTTAGCCTATTAATTTTGATTTTGAGGCATTTCTAATAATATATCAAGTATTTACTTCCAGTTTTTGTTTGGATTCGTTAGCATAGATCATGTCTGAAATTATCATCAACATTATGTTTATAATTATTTTATGGAGGTGTGTCCATAATAAATAACACTTATTTATTAATATTAATGAAAATTATTATGAGAAATTAAAAAATGGATCATACTTATGATGTTATAATGTATATATAAATTAAGAAGCTCTATTAAGTAAAATTGAACAACTATCCAATCCGATCAAGTAATTAAATAAATGTCTTTGAAATTAAATAATTTTGATGGTAATAATAATTAGATACATAGATAGATGTACATTATTACATAATTGCTTAGGTATATTCAATCTTAACACCCTATTTGCGAAAATAACAGTGCAAATATTGTGTTATATATAATGATTCAAATATATATCAATTAACGTATTTTGGTGTTCTTGGTCTAGCCTATGGAACATTTTTTTTGTCCTGTGATTTTAGTATTTGAAACGAGCACATCAAAGTTTCATCAACACTCATGAGTGCTCCTAAAAATGGTTGAATTATTAAATACCTGAATTATCAAATTCTCCACAGTAATTAGGTGCAGAGAAGAGGGTAACTAATTGTCTCTTAGCAAAGAACTCATAGCCTTCCTCAACGACTTGGTGAGCTCTGCAGACTAGATCCAAGTCGTTTTTCTTTAAGGAAATTAGATATGACATCAGTTCCAAAGATGAAGGAGACACCTCTTTCGTTATCTAAAATAGGAGATGATTTAGGCTACCTTGCCATCCTTAGATATCTTTTTCAGGATCCGACCATAACAAATCACACAATAACCCAGTGTCTGGAACTTCAATGGGTCTCATAATCCTGTGAATTTGTTCCAAGTTTGTCAGTTCAGGTGATAATCCCCCATGCATGCAGATAATCTTTTCGTCGATGACTGCGCAGACAGGCAAGCAATTGAAACAATCTGTGAAGGTTTTCCACAACTTGATGTTATATCTTCTTTTGCATTCATCATAGAATCCGTATATACGATTGATTTAGGAGCACTCATGATTTCCCCTGAGCAGGAAGAAATTCTCAGGATATTTAATCTTATAGGCAAGTAGTAGGCAGATGGTTTCTAGGGATTGTCTGCCCCTATCGACGTAATCTCCCAGAAATAAATAATTAGCTTCAGGTGGATATCCCCCATATTCAAATAATCTCAACAAATCTGTGTATTGTCCATGAATATCACCTTGATATAATGAGAGCGATTTACCACATATTTTGATGGGTGCTTCCAATTCCAGCAACATGGGTTGAGTTAAGAAAATCTCCCTGCTTTTCACACATAATGATCTGATTTCACTTTCGGTTAGATTTACTGGTTTTCCATTGCGAGCTCCTTTGCTTTCCAACAACTTCTCTATGATCTATGATGGAGATATAAATAACCTTGTCGACATCAATGTCCTTATCCATTATTATTATATATTAATATTTTATGAAAAGAAACAAGACTGAAAACCAGTATTCATATTCCCTTATTTAGATTCTCCAAAACCAACTATATACGCCTATTGAACCTTGACAAGATCCAGGGATCAGTGCCGACAACTCCAAGGAAAACCAAATTCAAGTCGCTTGTCCCAAATCATCAAGATGTGCAGAACCATCCCATCTTGCTAAGTCAATTGTTGTGTGACATTCCATTCATTCACACTCACGTCAGACAAATACCCACTCTTCCCTCCTCCAATCATTATTATTGCAAAAGCACAACCAAAACACACACTCCTACTGCCTCTTAAATTATGCAAACAAAAAAATTACAATTAAATCATAAACCATAAAGATTTGTAGTTAAATTGAATAAAAAAATCCCAACAATTCTCTCCAAATAATCCCAAATCGTTAAATCTTAAACTTATCGTCCAAATTAAACCACCACCAAGTTCCATTCCTTATCCATCGATCCCAAATATCAACTAGTAAGTGACATCACTAAAAGTGATTTCAAGTCCGAAATCCTCTCCAAACAAACCCAACCTCAACAGCCATCGGTCACTCAATTTACAAGTCCCAATCAACTCTCCAGATACAGGGATTGCTCTGAAATCGACGATTTTAATGTAAATAACATCTCTATAACAAGAACAAACTCTACGGAAGTAAGTAAATAAGAGGGTTACTCAATTTTCAGAAATTCCCATCTGAAAACATTCCTCTAAAACACAAATACAAGACAATCAGAGCCTCTTTGATTCAATATTTGAGACATTTGGAGAAGCTGAAATTGACAACGGCTGAATTTTTGTCGCACAAAGTGTTTCCCAATAAACCCTTTGAACACCCCTAGTCGAAACACTTCTTTCAGTTGTGTAAATAGGGTCAGGACAAGGAAATCATCAAATGCCTTGAAGACAACAAATACTTGGTTTATGAATACGATCATTTGCTCATGACCACTCTACATTGGTGTGCAATGAGAGGTTTGGAATCTACTGCCAAGATCTTATTAAAATATGGAGCAGATCCAGATTCTCAGGACATCGTGGGAAGGACTCCCTTGTATCTTGCTTTGATCCATAAGTAGAATAACATCGCATACTTCTTGATTCTGAACAAGGCTGACCCTTGGAACAAGATGAATCTCAACTACGACGAATCGGTGAGTGAAAATCCAGAGGGTAAAACTATGCTGCATCAAACTCGAAGGGTAAGATTTCAATTGTGATTTAGACTCATATTTTACTTCGTATGACTCCAGCAGATCAGAGACAATTCATCTGGCAAAAGGAACAATTGCAGATGTATGAACCAAAGAAGAAGAAGTTGGTTTCTACGCAATGAATATCTATTATATTATATATATTATACTAATTATCAAAATACATTTAATTTTGAAATCTTGGAGAGCATATTAAATGTAATTACTTTGATTCGATACTTGCTATATACAGGATCAGATAAAAATTAATATCATTTTGATCATAATAATTATATTATAAATGGCCAAAGAAATTGAAGAATACTTTATTAAAAGACTGTCCTCTTATCTCTTGGAATACTTACAGGATTTCTCCCAAAACAACATGGCAAAAGTAAATTGATTGTCTCTATGAATTTAGTTTTCTTTGGGAATTTCATCCAATATCGTATTAAAGAATTTGTCCATCAAAAAACAAGCTTTGCTTAATTTCAAATTCCCGCTCTATATTATTGATGGCAAAATCAATTCCATCACTTTGAATGTAAGTGTATGAAGTTTAACCCTTTACAGATGCCTCTTAACTATAAAAAACATCAACCGGAATTAATCATTGAGGGAGTAGAACTACTCGTTTGTACCATTTAGGAGATTAATAAATTCACTCAAAACAAAGATTATCAGTAATAAGGAGTAGAGAATTTGAAAAAGCATAAATTAAAATTATGGGAAGAATAGATGGCCAAATATTTTGAAAAATTATCCCCACCCAATTGGATCCAGAAGATAGTAGATGGGATATTCAACAATATGTCCATCATCATAAAATAGTTTAATGTTAGATTTTGCAATTTCTCAATTCTTGGATATGAGACCATCTTGAGAATTAAGTTCGATGCATCAATCAAAGCAACTGATAGTGAATTCAAATAAAACTTCAACAATGATCTCAACAGCACATTCAAATTGTTGCAAATCAATAAATTGAGCATGTCATTGAAGAAAGAGGCATCCTACATCCTTTCTAAGAAGGATGTACAAATGATTCTGATGCCAATCGACATCGAAATCAAGTACACTCTCAATAAAAATTATGAACAACTTACATAGCCTATCATGGTGTTAGAAGCATTAATCAAGTCTCCTGTCATCATCCAATTGAACAAGGAATAAAAGAACTATTTAATTAAACTGAATGAGGTACTATCATGTTAAGAAATAATTTAAGATAATTTTCATCTAAGACCCACAAAAGAAATAAAAAATAATTATTCAGATTGGTGGAAGTATTTCATTAATTCCATCATTCTAAAGCAAAAGAGTTAGAAATTGGATCTTAGTTTTTCATCTAAGAAATTGGTCTCAATGAAAAGATACATCTAATTATACAAGAGAAAATAAAACATAGTGTTGGTGCCATGGTTGTCCCAATGGACTGCAAAGGATGAATCTAAGTTCAAAATCTGCGAGGACAATTTGCCACTCAAGGATTTATTGAAATACAGAGAATGGGCATTTTAGGAAATCAGAATGGAAGCCAAGAGATATTGCAATTCAGCAAAGGATGGCCAAAACGATCAGAGTGTCAAACCACTCCTTGAGATTTGGACCAACACTATTAACAATCAGAATTCCTTTAAGGATCACACCAAAAGAAATGATGACATCCCAATTGAACTTGAAGATGATGAAAAAATCAATCTCTATGAAATCTTAGAAAGAGATAAAACTAATGTGTTGACTAGCTATTTGAAAGGAGAGAACAATCATCCCAATTAATTAAAAATTGATTTCAAATTGAAAATCCATTCTATCTTCTTTTTGATTTTTGAATAAAGGGAACTGAATTGTGTTAAATACACACCTGAAAACACAAAGATCTTTAAGTTCTGTTAATGCAGGTACCATCTTAAATTATTAAAAAAACAAGCATCTTCAAGAAAGAAGGTTAGACAATCATCTAATGTAAACACTCTAACTTAGGTCTATAATGAGATGAAGTAAGGTGAGGATAAATCATTTCATTCAGTCAACTACATCGACAGTTTTTATGAAGACATGGAAGATCTCAATGGTGTAGAATCAGAGATATCTCAATAGTCAAATAGCTTAGAAAAAGTCAACAATTAGGAACAAAAATAAAATGCCGATTAGCCTCTGCATTAGAAGTTTGTTCTATTGATCAGTTTCATTGGAATCAGAGTGCCACTTCACATTTATTAGAATGGAGGAATTCAAACTCCGCAACCCAAATAGAGGGAATTGGAAGAGAAGATCTACATAGGAGATATCAAATTGATTGCTCCTGGAATTTTACTGAAAATAATGGATGAGAAGGAACCTCGGAATTTACTGCAATCTCCATTATTTGGAAAATCGCCTGAGGAATTCCTGTAGGAGAAGAAATAATCAAATTAAAATTCGAAATCCTCGATCAAGTATTGTGAATTCTTCAACGAGATCTTCGAAATATCAGTTACAAAGGATTCATAACAATTTTTAAATAGCGAAATCTGTTATCAGATGTTGGGAGAGTTCCTCAAATAGAATAGGATGTAGAATATAAAGAGCTTTTTAGATGATTATGAGAAAGATAAGAACGGCTTTTAGGATTTCACCACTGAGTAATTTAAATCCTACGATAAATATTTCGATGACAGACCGGAAATTGAAGATCCTCTCTTCATTCACATAGCAAAACAGCAGTTGCCTAATGAGAAAAGTGAGAAAAACGAAAAGAATCATTGGGATTTTCTTAGAAATGTCACTATTAATGCAAACGAAAGAGAAAAGCCAAATCAATGGATTATCTGTGATAATAATAATAAACATGTGTTCCTCCAAGAAGCACACAACAAAATAGTTGACGTCATAAGAAGAGTCCTATTCATACCCTTCATTGAAGAATTCGGGGAGATGATCTTACCTACATGCATCAGCAATCTGAGGGACAAATTGACATTTCCTCAAATGCAAACAAAGAAAGAGCAGGATCAACAGATCTATGCATTATAGGTTTCTATAAATTTCACAGGGGAGCATTCGGAATACAGAATTCTCAGAAACAACGAGGTTAACAAATGCAATACCAAAGAAACTAATTATCAAAATAAAGCAAACCCAAAGAGTAAGATTAAGATTAAAATAACTGCGTTTTCTTTTCTATTATCCACCAAGGCTGTCACGTCTTTGATATATTTTATGGATCATTAGAAATAGCAAATTTTTGAATCGCCATCTTACAAGCAATGCAAAGAAGACAATAAATTATTATAATGCATAGTTAAGAGCAAGCCTTTGGCCAAGGAGACAATAAAGCAATAGTAATGGAAGTTCTCTCTTGAGATGCTTGACAAATTCAAGATACGAATAGTTACTGATTCTATCGCAAGTAAAATAAAAACAGAGCTGAAATTCCAATTTAAGAATCTGTTTATAAAAACTATAAATTTAGAGAAGATACGTCAGAATAAGGATTTCAAGAGTTTCTTCACATCTGTTGACAAAAATAAAATGGACAATTTCTTTGAGGAGTAAAAGTACTATAGCATAAACAAAATTATATTAGAACAGTTTCAAATTTCTCATAAATACTTTTCCATCGATTACAGATATTATAATGAAGAGATGAAAAACTACGAAAAGCAAATGCAATCTTAGAGAAGTGGCAAGGAGTAGTAAGGCTCTCCCCCATTGTCCTTCCAAAGAAACAATAGTGAATAGCTTTAAAGGCCTATTTAGTTTCCCCTGAGACATGCAGTTACATCTAAAAATCAATAGGAAGACAAACAACCGAATTTGCAATACAGTTTATAAAGCAAGCCAGTTAATAAAATATCAGGAATCAAGTCTATCATATTGGAATCGAGATTCTTGCTTTTTTCGTTTGACTCACTGGTAGAGAATCACCCCCTGATTACGGATAAGAAATTATACATCCAAATCCCATATATTGATCTGCAGATTAATGATTCTCAAATTTGTTTTATTGAATTACTAATGATTATCAACAAGAAGTTGAAATAGAAGGAGAAAAAGCGACCTCAAGAGTTCAGATATCAAATGAGTAAAGATAGTTTGATGAGGGCTGAATTGCTTGTATTGTAGAATGATCATAAAAAGCAAAAAAAGGATTGTAAACATTGCATTTTGAGATTTCGTAAGAGTCTCTCTTTGAGTAACATCATTTTTGGTTCAATTCCAAGGATTCAGAATGATATTAATTTATTTTCGTTGTTTGAATTCGAAAATTAGATGATCTATTTAAGAACACAAATGAAGAAAATAGAAGAACAATAAATTTCAAAGAAACATAGTCAAGTAACTTTCGTTGAGACTCATACTAACTCAGGAATTTCAATTTCATTCAAAAGCACTCCAAAAACTAGTAAAAGTGTTTGTTATGTCACTGTATTTGAGATGCCCCTGTTTATAATCACACATGATAAAGGGTATTTTAAGGATACCATAGCAATCCATTGTCAGAAATCCAAGAATGATGTAGAGATGTCTCAATCAAATAAATTGGAAATTCCACCACCTCCTCCATTTTCAGTTGAAAAATCGAAATCACATTATGAAGGTGCATCTTTAAGACCTATGCCATATCGCCTACCAGATGAGATTGATGAAACCAATATCGAGAAAACTCATATTGTCTTTGAGCCTTAACTTTTCGTTTAAGAATCCTAAATCTTAAGTGACAAACTGGATGATAAATTCATTTTCTATTGCAGAAACAAAGAGCTAGAGATGTTCAATCATGATTTTGCTGAGTATGAAGAGAAGGACTAGCAATCATAGAATAATTTAATTGATTAGTAAAGTGTTAAGGATCCCATCTATTTGTTATTCTACTTTCATAAGCCTTTGAGAGCCAATCTGCTCTTGAATGTGGCTGAAGATATTTACTAGGAGAGACACTCAAAAATGAAACTCTTCTTTGCTATCGAGAATATCAAAGCCACATTTAGTAATCAATTTGCCACCTACAATGTTATTACCATACTGAAAAACATATCCACAATAATGAACATCTAGGAAAATGCCTTTAATTTAGTCAATTAGGATCTCTTGAAAAAGGAAAAGAACAAAGTCAAATTAAAGGAGAATCCTTTGAAGGTCATTGATGACATGATTGTATGTGCAATCATCTAGAATATTTACTTGAAATCCAATGAAACGTTCTTTAAGCTTAGTCAATTGAGAGCCTTTGTCTAAATCTACTTGATGGAAAGATAGAGATTCAATCCCATACAAAAGAGAGCCATTCAAAGCTATTACCCATAGAATATTAGCAACATTTAGATTCCTAAAACCAGGTCATCTATCAACAATTACGAGGAGGATCAGATCTTGAGATGTGACACCATCAAATTTAATTTCAATTAGGTGTCTTAGGTGGACATTAAAATAGTGTTGGTGACCAAAAGCAAGGGAGAACTGAGTTTATCAGTCGATGACATCCAAATCAGTATTATGGGTAAATAAAAGGAGAACTTGCTAGTTATGCCAGGAAAGGATATTGGAGGATAAAGAGCTAAGTATGCTTTACATATTAATTTGTCATTCCAAAATTCGTATCCTTTGGTGAAGGCAAAGGTGGAATAAGCCAAAATATTGCTTTCTCAATAGAAGGTTTAGGACTTATTGATCGCAATCAATAGTTTCTATCTAATAAATATAGAAGAAACGATCTCATTGAAATAACATTTATTGAAATACATATTCCAGCAAGAACTTAATGCTTTCGATAGGGAAGAAAAACAAGTGAACATATTCGTTAATCAAATCAATAATTACAAGAAGGCTTATAAGTTTGCATCGGAACTTATAATTGAATCATTGATTGTTAAATTGCAGGAGTAGGAGAAGGACTTCTTTTTGTTCCAATTTCATTCAATTTATTTAAATAAGAGGAATTAGACCAATTTGTAATTGTCAATTCAACAAATAGAGATGAAACCATAGAACTCACCAGGAGAAAAAACAGTATATCAAAATTTGATTGAACCCATTGATAGTAAGTAGGTTGTGGTTTTCAACATAGAGAACAAGATAATCTCAATCAGGAACATGAGATTTTATTTGATTTCAAGATACATCAATGAACTTCAAGCATTTAAGTAAAGAGTGGAAGCAATATTGTAGAAGAATTTGGATGAATTGAAAGAAAAATATTAAAAAGACTTTGATTTGTAATTGCAAATAAAGCATGAGGAGGATTTCCTTAAGGAGAAGGATAATTTTAATTATTAAATTGAAATCACCAATTCTTAATTTGTACTACCAGAGACTTCCTAGGATTATAATGTGATTATTGCTACATTTAGCAGAGGGTAAATCAACTTGAAGAAGTAAAAGATATAATTGAAATTGCCTGATATCGACAATGAGCTCACATAGTAAGAATAGGCAATGAATGAATCTTTGTTCATAGATTATAGGGAGTAAATACAACCAGAAAATGGAGAGTTTTATGTCATCAATATGTTTGGTTGTTTTGAAAATGTGTTGGTCAAATATCAATTGAATAACAATTAAAAAACAGGAGAGTTATTGAAAGCCGGTATTTAATTCTATCTATATCATAGAATAGATAACTTCTAATATGGATATACCTAGCTTTGAATAAAATTGTGGTCAAACTCAATGGACTTTCAAGGATCAATGTAAATTAGAAATTAATAAGTTGAAAATGTCACTTGATTTAGGAAAATTGATGAAAATTAAGAGTCTAATGACTAAAAACTAAGAAGAACAATCTCCTTTGTTCCATTTTAAGAGACCTCTATTATAGAAGATAAACTTTGAGGTATTTCTATTTACATAAATTAGATTAAATTCAGTGATAGTAACCTTGCGTTAACAAGATTCAATCAAGGCGAACCAGAAAAACTTAAATAAATTAAAGAGAAATCCAAAGTCTATACTTAGTCCACAAGAAAAAGTAAGCACTTTTCTCCTCAACACTAATAAAAGTGAATATTCCTTACAATGTGTCATTAATTAGAATTAATATATTAATCATTGAATCTATCTTAAAATCAAAAATTATTCATAACCCTCTTCAATTTAATGTTATTTATTAATCTATATACTAATTATATTCTGTTTATTATTGCTGAAATTCCTTTAACTTTTATGACGAGAGAATCAACTATATAGTTTAAAGTGGTTAATTAATATTCTAAATTAATTTTTTGTTGGGTTTAACGAAAAGAATTGGAAATTAAAAATGATAAGTTAATAGGAGGATATCTATATAAAATCATCATGAAAATTTAGTTTAGAAGCGCACTTAACTGTGAAGTAGGATTAAATGCATAAAATTTCAATGCAACAAATATATAAAATCTTTGGTTATCAATTTAAATTATAAAATTCTTTATATATTATTTCAATTATAATTTTCTAAAAATTATTCTGGATCTAATCTTCAAATGTCTTAAATTAAATTCATATTTTCATTAATAAATATATTGAATTATAAAATTAGAAATTATGATTGCACTAGTTACAGGAGCTGAAGCAGCATGGATTGGAGATGTCTTGATTGAATTAGTTCCACTATTGGCCAATTCCATTACTTCATTAGTAAGACTATCAGACACATAGCAGACTCAAGGAATTAATATATTATTAGAGTAAGAATTGGAATTGGAAAGAGGATAATTTTGTAAGCAAATATTATATAATAATGAACCCATTAATGACATTTAATTGTCTGAAGTGATGAATGAGACGATAATTTAAATAGACAGATGTTGCTAATCTGTTTGGTAGTATTTTCCATCAGGTATTGCAACTATTTTTACATGGGCATTAACTGGATAAGCGATGAGACATGAATTTGTGATTATTGATACTACAAATCACATATGCTGCCTTGAATTAGTGAAAGTTTAGAATGAATAACAGGAACAGATTTAAAAATTGGTTTTTAACATATATGGGTTAGAAACACAGGAATAACGAAAAATTAAACGAAATCAAATCCTAGCAAAGAGATCATACGATAGAGTTTTAAGTTCAACAAAGCTCAACTATCAGTTGTATTTGAGTCAGATCAATTATTTTTCAAATTTGCTTTTAATTAGTTGGAGAAAGATTTATTAGAACAAAAGTAGAACAGCTAATTTTTTTAATTTATTTTAGAAAATGAGTAAATAATATGCAAGATCTATATATTATTTTTCATTAGAACAACCAGATTATGATATTGTACTTTAATCGATTTTTGGAATTTTTACTGATAAGCCACTCTTTTTGCCAAGATTAGATATGATTGCATTCGAAAAAATGCTTTGGCACGGATCAAAGATATCTGATTAAATGAGAAGTTCCATCAATAATTTTATAAGACTAGTATCCTCTATTAGAAATGGAATAGACTTTTCTTAAACCCTCGTCAATTGAATTAACATATATATAGATATGAAAATATAAAAAATCTTTTAATTAGTATTGATTTATTCATTTTATTTAAAATTAACATGATAAATATTTTTTATACAAAAATTCTATTAGAAATTTAGAACCTTATTCTATCAAGAAGATTTAAATGCGCTAATCAAAATCATAATTGATTATTAACAATATTGAATTAACTATTTCTAAAAAATGATTGTCTTAGCAGGATCAGAACTTCTTATAGCAAATTCCTTAATAGCTTTGGCTTCAGCATGTTTAAATTCGGTGACTTCATTGGTAAGGCTAGAGGAGGCATAAAAAGCCAATGGAATCAATTTAGAATTGGAAAAAGAATTGGAAAGAGGTTAATTTTGTAAGCAAATATTATATAATGATAAACCCATTAATGCCATTTAATTGTCTGAAGTGATGAAAGAGAAGATAATTTAAATTGACAGATGTTGCTAATCTATTTGGTAGTATTTTCCATCAGGTATTGCAACTATTTTCACTTGGGCATTAACTGGATAAGCGATGAGACATGAATTTGTGATTATTGATACTACAAATCACATATGCAGTCTTGAATTAGTCAAAGATAAGAATGAATAACAGGAACAGATTTAAAAATTGGTTTTTAAAATATATGGGTTAGTAACAGAGGAATAAAGAAAAAAAATTAGATATGATTAAATTCTAAAAAATAGACACTATGATAGAGTTTTAAGTTCAATTAAGCTCAACCATTAGATGTATTTGAGTCAAATCAACTAGTTTCAAAATTTGATTTTAATTTGTTGGGAAAAGATGTATGAGAATAAAACTATGCTGTCTGAATGGTACGAATTTTTTTAGAAAATGAGTAAATAATATGCAAGATCTATATTATATTTTTCTTAAGAGTAACCAAATTATCATATAGTGCTTCAATCCATTATTGGAATATTTACTGACAAGCCATTTTATTTTAGGAGAATAGATATGGAAATTATTGAGAAATTAATTTGGGCAGTAGGATAAGGTTAAAATGAAGAAATGAAAAGTTCAATTAAGAAGTTTATTGGCATATTAAAATTTATTAGAGAAGGAAGAGACTTTTCTTAAAGCCCATCAATTTAATTATCATCTATATATACCTAAAATTGATTATTTACATAAAAACATTAATCTTATTTGTATTGATACGTAAATCCATTCGAAGTAATGACAATACGTATTTATGATTTGAATAAATGAATGTCTATCTCAATTTGAAAAATAATTGTCTAGGCATTTAAATTATTTAATTACTTAGAGATTTAATATAAGAAGAAGTATTTTAAAATAATTTATGTCATACTAAAGATTTTTGTTTTTTTGTACAGTTTGATTTAACATTCTATTATCAACAAATCAATGCTGGGAATCAGAGTTTTATTTTCTTTATTTTAGTGCTGATTATACAATTTATAAGTCAAATATGATCAAAATAAATGATTTTTCATAAATATAAACGATGTCTTCACTTGGTTTTTGCCATAAAGCATTTAATTAGTGCAAGCATATCAAAGAATGTCCATCTAATTGCCATATCTGCTGCTCTTATAATTGTTTTACTCTTGCTCTTCAAAAGTGAACGTTTAGTTTGGAAATACTTTAGAATCTCACTCCTATTGGAATTGTGTTTTTATGATGCCCCATTCACACCATCAATTGTGGCGACTTTATACAGCAAAATTACCCATAAGTGGATATTACTAGTATTTTACAGCGTAAGAATTAGCACAATGAATGCATTTAATTTCGAAATTATAGACTGGGTTTATTTTGGCGTTCAATTTGTTGCTTTATTTATTTATTTGTGTGAAAAGGTAAGGATAATTCATATTATTTGCAGGAAAGAAAACCATTCTAGAGAAATTCATAATTGATAAATCGAAATCAAAATTATCTTAATATGGGATTGATGATGGAATCTGTAGAATTATACGACATCCTGAACAGAATCCCTTGTGGAGTCTGCTTACTTGATAATAACCTTTAAGTCGTTAGTTCCAATAATAAAGTTAGAAAATATATTTCCTCATAAATTGAAAACAATTTATAATAAGCATTATTTCTGATGATTTAAAGGTATTCATATCCATGATTTAGAGCGTATTTGCAATCCCAACAGAATGGCAGCTTTCGGAAAAACGAGAGACACAAGTCCATTTTTGAATCCTTAGATGAATAGTCAGATTTCCCAATCAAACGCTTGCAATCATTCTGCCAACAAAGAAGAGCGACCTTGTAATAATAGAAGACAACCAACGTTAGTAACGTATCTGATATAGCTCAAATCATACATAAACACAAAATTAAAAACCTGGAAGAAACAAAAATAAATGTATTAAAATATAAAGATACTAATACTGGGAAAACCTTTGAAATAAGAATATACGATATCGCAAATGGTTGCATGATAGTGATTGAAAACATAACAGATTTTGAATACCAGTAAGATATGCAAGAGAGATATCGATTTTATTCGAAATTGATCAACTCCTTTTCCCATGAATTGAGAACTCCCTTAAATTGTTCCTTATAATTATTACAGATATTAGATTAGAATCTCAAAGGAGAACTAAATGACTAATATTTGAAACCTGCAATAATATCCAACAAAAAGTTATTACATCAAATAAACGATATTTTGGATTACGCAAATTTTGAAGCCTAAACTTTTAAATTAAGACCTCAATTATTCAAATTGTCCACCATCATTAAAACAATTGAGGACTACTTTAAAGCAGAATGCGAATAAAAATAAATCACCCTTACTATAACAAGTTGTGATGATACATACATTAGTAGCGATTATGATAGAATAATGCAAATCATAGTGAATTTAATGAATAACTCAGTCAAATATACAAAATAAAAAGGAGAAATACATTTCGTAGTGTAAAGGGCTGGGTCTATATATTAATTTGAAGTGTTCGATACAGGTTGTGGAATTCCAGTAGAGAAGTTGTATTTGATAACCAAGATTTTAAAGAATTGCGAGTTAGATTGGAGTAGGAGGGGAGATGAGGACTATATGTAATATGTTGGATTAGGATTGAAAGTGAGTAGTCAGATTGCCAGGAAATTATGCGATACTGGAGATTTAAGTATTTTCAGTTCAGTTAATCAATACACGAAAAGCAAATTCTATGTGAAGGACATGAAGTAGTATTTGGATCAGACTGTCGAGCCTACAGAAGATCACATCCAAGAGCCTTACAAAAGTATAGGAAGGATCAAGTGTCAATGTGTTAGTGTGTTGATTTGTGATGATATTCCATTTAATCATCTGGCATTATCGACTGTACTAAAATATTTCAACGTGAAAGTTGATAGTGCCTATGATGGTTAGATGGCAATAGAGATGGCTAAATAGAAAGTAACTCAGTGTAAATGTGGGTACAAGTTGATATTCATGGATATTGATATGCCAGAGATGGATGGATGTTAGGCAACCAAAGAAATATTGTAGGTGTTTTCACATCATTAAATCTAGTGTGTAGTGATCATGTGTAGTGCATATGACAGTAAAGAGAATATTGATTACGCTATGAAATCGGGGATGAAAGAAATACTGCCTAAGCCTGTGGACACTAATTTGTTGAAGAAAATACTATAAAAATATTATTTCTGATTAATTAAAATTACATTTTATGTATTAGGACTAAATATCCTTGGCTGACTTCGTGTTATAGGAAGCAAGAGAAAAATGCTTTGAGATTGAAGTTAAGGCATTTAAGCAATTTGAGAAGGAGAAGAAGCAGATTGTTGAGAGAGAGAAATCTAATATTTAAGAAGAAATCAATACAAAATATAAGAAGAAAGCACAATAAGAGAGAATCAAGCACAGTGCACTTGTCAATGGGGCTAGAATGAGATTGATGAATGCCAGAAATTAAGCTTTAATGAAGATCTACTCTGATGTACATTGATAATCTTAGTCTCATAGTCCTAATACTAAATATATAAAATGATCAGATAGGATGAGCGATTTTATGAGGAATTACTCAAAAATTTAATTGTGCAAGGTCTAATCAAATTGTTTGAGCACGAAGTTGTAGTTAGGTAATCTTGAAATTACATAGTAGATGCCTCCATCGAGATATCAGACATGTAAAGAATGTGATCGATGATGCCATAGCTGAATTTTAGGATATCCTAAGAAAAGAATTGAATGGCCTTGAATTTGAAGTCAAAATAGAAGTTGATGAAGATAAATGTTTGGACGAAAGAACTCTCATTGACAACTCAATAAAAGGAGTTCAAGATTACTCATTATAGGAATCTGCCTCGGAGGTATTTGAAATCCTTGATATCCCAAGGTCATTTCCAAAACAGAAAATGATAAGAAATGCTTCGGGGGAATCCTTTTAACCAATAAAGAGGGTCTGATCGTTTGCAAAAATACACTAGATGTTAGAACTGAGCAAACCTTTTAAGACTCATTACCAATAATTAGAAGTACATTATTTGGAAAGTGATAAGATTGTTTATCACATTATAGATTAACAATTAATAATCTAAAACACTTTATGTTTACAATATTTAAACAGAATAGAAATAATATCAATGTTTGAATTTTATGCACTCTTCTGAGGGTTAGCTTCTTTATGAGAAGGTCACTCGAGTCGGACTCATGGTTCCAGAGTTTATACTCTATCTCTTAAAAGAAGACCTCTATTTAAATTTGGAGTCAGTCATAGAGTTCCTTAGATTCGAAGGCATTATTATTGAAGACTTCCGCTGCATTTGTTTCTTTCTTGATTCAATCTCATTTTCTTTCATTGATATTTGTTCTTCAGTCTCATGAAACCTTCTATTCAAATCCTTAAATGATTGTTAAATATGCTTAAGCTGTTTTTCATATCTGAGAAATTGTGTATCATTGTCTTAATCCAACAAGTTCTCAAATTTAACATCCAATTCCTCACTTTCCAATTTCAATTCATTAACCTTCTTGTTCTAGTTCCTATTCTTAATAGGGACTCATACTTCAATAATATTTCTAACTATTATATTTCAACTTCCGTCTATGAGATCTCTTGCAATGGTTCTACCTTAAGAATGACTGGCTTTTTATTAGCAAGTTGTGCTTACAACTTTATTTCGAATTCCAATTAACTTTTCTGTCTGAATAGCATGAGCTCCTTTGCTTTCCAATACCTTTCCACCTCTTCAACAGAAGTAATATAAAATGGTTTTTCTATCTTCACTACCTCATGCAACAATTCCTATTTAAAGTTTGGATATATCTTCATATCTCTCCTTGGCTAACTCTGGTACTTCTCATAAGCATCCAATCCAGAATGAACAAATAGATGAGTAGACGATCTCCTTTCATGTTTAGATGATACTATCTCATTCGTGATATCCTTAACTATAAGGGTGCATTACTTATTTTGAGGCAGATGCATTGATCTATTTGACATCACTTCGATTTGAAGTTAAAATTGAGATAGGTTGATGATTCTGAGTATCCCATCCATTCAGTAAAGAGCTATTCAAATTAATCGTCGAGTAGCAAGATGATCTATTATTATAGAACGAATGCATCGAATTTGATCTTCCTTCATGTTTCAGCAAGTCTGATAATTTTTGAGAGGGTATAAAATTTGACATATTTAGATGATTAATTAATATTACAATATATTATTAAATTGCCTTCTAAAATCCCGTTATTTTTAGCTGTTTCTCTTAATGAGAACATTAACTTATATTTGCGAGAGACATTATTATATTTTGAAATAAAATTCAAATTTAATTGTTTTTCATTAAAATCATCAACCGATTAAGCGATACTGAAAATTATCTTCAAAATTGCTTTTCATTAACTTGGGATTTTATTTCAATTTTTGAGCATTCATGAAAAATGGATTATTTTCATCATTGTACTTTCTATAATCATTAATATACACACACATACTTAGTTCTTAAATTAGTCGAGTTGCTGCTTTATGGAAAATTAACTAGTTTATCAATATATGACGTTGTCTTAACCCTTACTTCCTACTCTCTCAAAGGAGTCACTGAAAAGGCTATAATTAATAAAGTCACATTGTCAGTAGTCTTACGCAATAGACTTTCCTTTATTACTGACTCAACTGCATTTGACATCATATCATGTAGATCATTTGTATTTTGACTCTGTTAAACATCCTTCCAAATCTAAGTAATCACATCCTTTGAACTCATTGTATCAAATATCCCATCACCTACGATTACATATGTCATTATTACTTCCGAGAACAATAAAATCGTGATCATTAACTATCTTAATATGTTTGATTTCTGGTTCAGCTATGACAATCTTTGGATTCCCACCAAATTTCTCTAATTTTGCTTCGATATCACCAAAAGTTCTTGAAACAGATAATCTTCCAGGGTTCACTCTCATTGGTCCTAAGATTGTTTAACCTTCTCCATTAACACCATGCGTTTGATAAACCTGCCCTCCTCCTTTAATAATTCTATCCCTCTCTAATTCTGGCTTATGATCTTTTGAAAGATCAATTACCTTTTTCCCACTTTCTGCACTCAATATTGCTCTGCTATCTCCTACATTTGCTACATAACAAGAATCTCCAATCATCAATATGACGATTGCACATGACCCACTTCTCTCTGGGATGCCTTAATTAAATGAATCTTGGGCCATTTGTAAGAAGCATTTTTCTGCTGCTTCGAATCCTTTTGTTATAGCGTTGATCGGATTCCAGGGGAAGTCTGGTTCCTTGACTACAAATTAATGCAAGTTGTCTCTCAAAAAGTCTGCACATGCTGAACCACCATGTCCGTCGTAGACTCCAAAGTAGGAACATTTGGGCCATGGTTCATTTTCTCTGCTCTAAGGTTTAATGATGTTTAGTATGATTGAGACTCTATCTTCATTGTAATCTCTCACTAATCCCTAATTTGTGTTTGCGGCATAAGCTTTGATGATTCCATTTTTGAGGCTAGAACATCTTGTTGGTTCATAATTGGGAAGAGTGTTTTGTCTTAGAAACAAAGGTTCTTATTGACTTTTACATTAATTTTCGTTGGCTTTCGATGTGTAAGGTTGCTTCTTCATGGGTGAACCATCAAATTGCTTGGAATAGGACAGATTCAAATATTCAAATGGTTTTTTCTTTTGTTTTTCTGCAGCTGGATGGTTGGTTAAAAAAGTGTTGATGTCCCTGTGCTTAAACATGCCTTTATTGTTCATAATTAATTTAATTTGAATTTAAACATACAACGTATAATTTTAATGAGCTTAAACAAAATTAAATTTTTATGTGACAAGTGAATAAAATAGTAGAAAAATAAAGTAGTTTATACATATAGGCATAAAAAATAATAATAATATTTTTAATAATAAAAATTATTGTTTACAAAATGTCTTTCACACCTCCAAAATCATCAAGCAAAACAACATACATGCACAGCTTACCATTCGCGGATAAATTCCAAAAAACATTCAGCGATGCTGAGATGCAATGTGTACAAAGAAAATTAGATTTTGGTGAAATGGACTTCCAATAAAAAAAGTCTATTAGCACTTTCAGAATTACTAAAATGCACAAATCAACCATTGGCAAACTCAGATGAATTACTTTTTCTATATATATATGTACTTATCTATTTTACTTGCTGATTAATTCTATTCACAATGCTCATTACTGAGATTTCCTACCCTCCAAAATTACTGAGATTCTTTTAAATAAGATTACTCAGTATAATGAAGGGTGGTTAATAATTTTTAATATTTTAAATAAAAAGTGCTCTAATGATTAATTTTGGATTGCAGTCAACAACGATTCCTAATCCACAACCGAACACACAGTAGCCCCCATCGATATTTGGTTAGCGTAATTCGATAATTCTAACATAGCCCAAACATTACCACCAGCAAACTAAACACAATAAGGGTTATTGCCGTAGCCATAACCAGCTCAATAATTGCAGCCATTATAGCCTACAACTACACCTTTGTAAGCTCAAAATCAAGCACTCAAGAAAAGCGAATTCGAGAACCTGGTTAAGTATTACAAGGAAAAGCCAGAATTGGTAATTATGATTGCCTAATATTCATAGACAAAATAGTAGGAATTGCAAGTATTCGTGCAGCAAACCAAGTATTTAAAAAATAGGATCCAGAAAAAATTCCAAAAGCAAATTAATGTTAAACAAACTCAATGTATTATTTAAATAATTATATTAGATTTATTGGTTGACACTCTCAGTTAGAAGGTGTGTTAATTATTTCAAAAATTTAACTTGAATGAGCGTAATTTAGAATACACCAAGAAAGATGAATTATAGAGATTGAGTTAAAGAATCAAAGCAGATCAAGAGAAACAAAATCTATTGTTTTAATCTTAACTTAAAGTCAAGGAATTGTATTCACAACAAGTGTCTAACTACTTAGAACTCAATAACAGAGTTCAAACGAACAAAAATGTAACAATATTAGCATCATTTATAGATGATAAATTCAATTTAGAAAAAAGAAGCGCTAACACAGAGTAGACATACAAAAGAACTAATAAACCTGTTACATGAGAATAAAGCAGATCAAGTCCAACCTAAATCGGTCTCCATCAAATCTATCTCTTTTAACACACACAATCAATTCATTATTGAAAAATTGTTTATTGAACAAGAATTTTACTAGAAATTGGAGCAATTTTTGGAATTCTAAAAATTACGACAAATGAAGGAGAATATTGATAAAGCAGATTATTACGAATCTTTGTTTTCATGCTTTGTTAACATCCAAAGTGATCACAAAGATATTATGAGATTGTTGTCCCTCTAATTTAAAGGAATTTAGTTCCAATCCCAAAAAATTCAAAAGGATCTGCTTTAGAACTCAATACGACTGTTGGAAAGTGAAATGAGTAGAAGAATTGGAGTCATGGACTTAGCCAATATTAATTGTAATCCATATTCTGCTATCTTTAGAGAAATTTAAAGATATTTACTATGATATCTTGGCCAAAGGTCTTAACATCCAGAGAGTTGGTTAATATTACCCAAGTGGAATTTTATTCCTATTGATGAGATGTGGATAATTAAAATAAGCGAAGTCTATCATGTTTTAAGTTGCCAAGAATCAAAAGTACCAATTGTTTTTTGAACTCTTGGAAGTTAGGAAGTAATTCTCTTAAACTAATCTATTAGTGAAACAAATCAATAAAAAATATAAAAACTTGATTAATTTTGCGATGATGAATTATTCGAACAATGTTATTTGATTGCCTTCGATTCTGGGTCAGTATCACCGGTCTTTGAAAACAATCATTTTCCATAGGATCAAGATTTATTCCTATGGATGACTCTGAAAACTACTCATATCCTAAATGATAATGAAAGTGATAATTGGTCTTTACAGGATTTATAAGATGCCATTCCAAGGAAGATTGGCTATAAAATGGACATTCTCTTACAAAGGTATGAGGAAGTCTTAAAGGAAATTTACAATTCGTCTGCTTCCTTAGTTTCTAAATTAGAATATTTCACATTATTCTTTATAGTGCAATCCCTTTTGGGAATAAAAAATGAAAATACAATGCTTGAATTGAATTTGATTTTGAATGAAATCCTTGGATTAGTATTTGAAAAATATCCAGATATCGGAGGATTATTAATTATACTTACTGAACCTAATCTTGAGCAAGCAATCGATAAAATTCAGGCCGAGATGATGAAATATAAATATGGAGTTGAAGTATTTTAGAACAAAAAATTCTTTGAAAATTTTGAGAATATGTTTGGAGACAATCAAAAAACTTAAGATTTTATCGAATCTATAGTGCAAGAGCAGTTCCAATAAAATCTTCTTGAATATCATAAAGATTTTATTGAAAACATCATCAAAGGAAATAACATTGTAAATTTAAACATTTAATTAGAACGAATTGCTGGCCACACATAAAGCTTTTATTAACAATATCGATATGAGAATGGAAGATCTTAAGAGCTATTTAGAATTCAGAAAAACAGGGTTTACACATTTAGCAATGAATTTATATTACATATCTGGCATAATATTGTTGACAACGGAATGCTAATTCAATTTGAAGGCTCAAGAATTAAGATTTACTTCAAGTGCTACACCTAAGTTTTTCGTTAAAAACAATAACAACCCCAAATAATATTACAATCTATTTTCAACAGTTTACTAAATTGCTGTGTCCAATCCTAGACAGAAGCACACTTTTGATTTGTTGTAAGCCTTTAACTTCCTGATTCAATGCAGCAAAATTGAATAATTCAATGAAAATAAGTTTAAGTAATATTTAGTCTTAATTGACATTTCAAAATTAACGAAGATTTTACTAGCCAACAAATAGTTGTATTTATTAAAACTATTTTTTTGGATGATAGACCTAACACTTGAGATTCATGATAAAAAGATAGAGGAATATAAGTATATATATGCATAACATTTATAATAGAAACATGAAAGAAACATTTTAGAGGATGATTAACAATAAATCATATCAAAATATTGTCCTGAACTCTTTATTTTTAATAAATAGAGAAGTTGATTTACATTTTTAAGATTTCAAATTAATGCCAAAATGAATATTAAATTGATATTTTTTAGTAATTTTAAGTAGTAAACATTATTTATTTATATATTCTAATACACATTTCTATAATACATAATGTGATGTAATCTAATGTAAGAGAGAGTTTAACAAAATAATAATAATAAAAAATGATATATGAATGTGTATAATTATCATACTCAAACTATGAAGTTTTAGTATTTTCAATTATAATAAGATTTTTTATCAAAATTAAAACTATTATTTAAAGTACTTTTTTGATTTGTACTCTTATTATTATTTTCTTGTTTGATAACTTTTGATCTTTTATTAACAGAGTTACTAGTTTTGGTCGAAGTTGGTATCTCATACAATCTGGAGTTCTATCTAAAGTTATTTTGTAATTGCCACAATTAACTTGTAGGTTTTTGATTGCAATCAATCATTAACTTTTTTTGATAGTTGGTTAAATCAAATAGATCTTTGGTTGTGTGTTTGCTATTGCTTTTCTTGCGTTCTTCAGTTTGTTTGGTACTGTAATTATTGGCACTGACATATTCAAAGGAGGAATTCACTTATTTAGATTGCAAGCTTTTCTTTTGTTTAGATTTGGATTGTGGTGAGACTGAATCTCTTTAGACTCCAGTCTTGCTTTTATTATGTTCAGAAGACTAGTGATTGGTAGGAGTCTTTTTGGGAATGTGATAAGAAATAGACTTAGGTCTCTCTAAAGTGTCATCGACAGATTAAAGTGAGATTATTTGAGTGACATCAGTGGGTATGGCAAATTTCTATTGTGGGTTGATGGGTTGGTATTTCATCTTATGAGCATAGTTAACAAGCATTTAGGTTTGGTCATCACTAATGGCTTAGGGAACACTCTTGCCTCTATTTTAAGAATTGTTGTTGGTTTGTCCATTCTATTAAACTGAACCAGATCTATTTTATTTGAAGATGGAAGTGGCAACGATATTGGAAATGGGAGCTAAAGAGATATTATGATGGATGAGTACGTTTTTTAGGTCTTTATTTGGGTTCCAATAGGGATTCTTCGAAAACGCTGCTGTTGATGTCAGCTTTGGATTGAATTCCATTGATTAAATTACGTTTTAATGCCAAATAGTAAGCAGTTGTAACATCATTGTGTTTGTTAGCATCCAAACACTTAATGATGTATTCTTTGTCATAGCCTTGTTGGGATAAGGAATCTACAACTGAGTCATCAATAGGCATTCTGTTATATCCAACGATGATTCCTGGCGAGATCTTGGACTAACTTTAGTAGAGGTTAAACCAGGGATGTGCTTTCATTTGTTCGACTGTAATCCTCTTTTTGGGATCGGTTGTTAAAACAGCTTTGATGAAATTAGCTCCTTCATTGGAAACGAATTTGGGTATCTAGTATTCTCCGTTGAGTATTTTTTTATAGAGAGCCGAGGTGTTTTGATCCTAGAATATGTATTTAAATCATACTTCAAAGGGCAAGTATCCACAAATGCTAGCGAATAGGATGACTCCGCTGCTCCAAATGTCGACCATCAAACAATCGTATTTCTGGCCAGCTATCATTTCTGGAGCTGCATAACAGGGACTGCCACAAGCTGTTTTAAGCAACTCCCCTTTTTTGTACGTGTTCCCTAATCCAAAATCTACGATTTTTATAGAATTGTTGAAGTCTAAGAGTAGATTTTCTGGCTTGAGGTCTCGATGTACGATACAGAGTTTGTGTAAGTACTCGATACCTGATATCAGTTATTGATAAAATTTGCAGGCCTCAATTTCTTAAAGTCGTTAATGTTTGACTATATATTCAAAGAGCTCCCCTCCATTTGCAAATTCCATCACTATGAAGATATGCTTGGGAGTTTCAATTATCTACATATTGTATGGAAATGCATACTTCGTACAATTGAATTACATGTTTATGTCTTATCAATTTCAAGATGTGTATTTCTCTGGACACTCGTTCTACATCTGCCACTTCTACTATTCTCTCCTTCTCCAATATTTTAATTGCCACTTTCTCCTGCGATTTCAAATGAACGGCCAGCTTCACCTTTCCAAAAGTACCTTCTCCCAATGTTTTAACTGGTTATTAATATAATTTCAATACTAAGCTAATAATTCCCGATAATCCTCCTGTTATTGAGCCTGATACCGTTCTTATTCTCTTTGTCTGACTCATTCATTCTAGTTAACTATAAAATTATTTATATTAATAATATCGTTAATAATACACAAAAATTCCTATTCCATTTTATCAAAGATCTCTTTGCATCCTCCCCACCTCCTTCCAATTACTCGAATCCCTCTCTTTGGCTCCCCATTAAGAAATAACCGATCCTCCATTTTATTTCTATATCCACCCGCTCTCCCCTCCTACTGGTAACCAATCAAAGAACATTGTATTTAATACGAATCATATAACATTAAGCAATATGGAATCTAAGCAAATATTAAAATATTATTTAGTGCAATTAAATTAGAGTATTTTAATGTAAGACAATGTATTAGACTTCGTAATCACAGTTTCTCAATCGCAAAAGACTGAATAAACAGTGTATTATCAATTAAAGTAACATTGATCTCCTATTTTACAAGCTTTTTCAATTAAAAAAATCAACTAGTCTTCTCTAATCAATAAAGATATTCAGAACTTAAAAAGTTTCACCAAGCTCTCGAGACTCTCAAAATAACACTACCTTCATTTCCGGGAACTCATTGGTGGAAGTCAGTCAATTCTGACCCAGATTTGATAGAGGAACGGAAGCAATTGCTAGATCAATATTTCAGAAGCCTCACTTGCTCTAAGATTGTTAGAGATTCTTTAATTTTTAAGAACTTCATTTTATCCGCCCAAAAGGAAGCTGAAAAGAAACTCCTTAAAGTAATATTATTTTTATTCATATCAAACAGGAATAAAGAGAAAAGGCCAAGAAGGCCGAAGGTCTGGCTAATTAGAATAAAAGGAGACTGAAAACAGCTAAGTATCAGACTCCTGCCACTAATCCAGTCAATCTACCTCCCACTCCAGGAGAATTGAAAGAAAGATCGTAATCTTTGGAACACAAACCTTCAAGTTGTAAGATCGAAAAGGAGAATGGCAAAGGAAGTAAACTTCAATCACCAGTAATTTCTTTTATAAATTAATTAGATTCTGAATTTTGGAGGATCAAAAATCTTTAGAGGCATCTTATCAAACACTGCTAAATAATGACGAATTAATTTAAAATTTATTGTGTTATATAATTGATATGCAAACTATTTAAATTTCCACATATCTGAATTTGCATAAATCATTTCATTACATACAGAAATTCAATCCAATAAAGATGTGTTCAAGCAAACTGCAACCACATCTAGTTTCTTTTCAGCTTCTTTTAATGCACATTCATATACAAGAATGCATCCTATACAAAAAGGAGGCTCAAATATCTGAGATTTGGAATTTCCTGGGGAGATTCAAAAAGTAGAGCCTCTATAATCTCAATAGTCATTTACAATCATCTCGTAGTGTTAGATAAATAAATATATAATTAATTAATATGTGTATATACTAAATAGTTTATAAAAAAATAAAATAAAGTTTAAAAACATCTCAACTTTGATCCTAAAATTATTGGATTAATTCGACTGATTAAACTAACCTAACAATTATGGCCACACTGATAAAAAGATAGATACATCGTGAATGTAAAAATTAGAGTACCAATTTGTTTTGATGAATTAATAACGGCTAAACCATTTTTGTGTTATATTATCATAAGATGAGATATTTGAATATGGTAAGATTAATGCTTATTGAGTATTATTATTTACAATGTAATAAATGTTAATTCCTACGTCTTCTGGACAGACTTCATTAGCAAACAATGCCAACATTCTCTATGAATGCATAGTAGAGAGACATCACTTTTTCTTGAATCGAAAATATTACTTGCAATTAACAAATCAGAGTCTCACTCTAAGTGAAGTAAACAAAATTGTTAATTTTATCTAGAAACAAAACCAGTAGGATCCAAAATATATCTATTAATTAAAGATTGACAAAGTATTCACTTGGTCTCTTTAGAACAATAAAATAGTTGGATTTTAGCTTCCATATTAAGATAAAATAAAAGACTTTTTTGGAAATCCCAATGATATGGTCAATCTGAAGGCCAAGATGGGTGCTTTTGTGTGTTACGAAAAAATAGAAGTGTTTTACAAAAAGGAGGAAATCCTACAAACTGGTTCTTTTGGAAAGGTTCTTATATCCAAATATCGTTAAGGTCACAAAGGAAATCTGTAGATTCACCTCCAATCGTGTGGCCATCAAGAGCGTCAAGTGTCAAAACAATCAGAGTCCAGCCATTAAAAATGAAATTGAAATACTAAAAAGACTCAAACAATCTAATGCCTTGAACATCCTAGAAATCAAAGAAGTTTACAAAGATGAACTCAACTATTACATCGTGACCGAATATATCCCTGGATCCAATCTAAAATAACATCTCGATCGTAGAAATAAGCCCTTTACTATGTAAGAAGCCTTGAGCATAATGGAGGTAAAGTCGAAATTTTATTTAGGCACTCCTCAAAGGATTGCAAAGCATTCATCAAAATGGCATAATTCATAGGGATCTCAAACCAGCAAATCTGATGTATCATAATAATTAAATCAAAATAATTGACTTCGGTTTGGCCTGCCTCAATGGTAAATAACTAGAATAATATCCTTCTTGTGGAACGGCTGGCTATTCTGCCCCAGAAGTCCTAAACGTTTGGAACAAGAAACAAGCCTATGATTTTAAAGTCGACTTATTCAGTGCTGGCTGCATTCTATACAAACTGCTGACCTTAGATGGACTATTCAACAGTGAAAATGAAAAAGAAACTTTTAGAAATAACAAATTGTGTTAATTCACAATCAAAGAAAAGGGTTCAGTTTTTGATTTGGTGTAACTCTTAGTGAAAGCTGAACCCCAACAGAGACTTGATTGTTGCCAAGCTATGGAAGCTGTTCAGGCCTTGCTTGATTATAAATATTTTGATGTCAACACATGGTACGCCAACAAACTTAAATCGTATTAGAAAGGGAGATCTTAATGTGAATTCAATCAGGAACCTTAAACTAAACTATCCAGATAATGTAGTCTGACTAGTATAAAACATCAAGAACCTTAGACTGAAAGATAAAGAAATTTACCAAAGAAAATTGAGTAAAATTGAAGAATAGCTTTTTGTTTATTTAATATATCTCTAAGATTTGCATAGCTTTAATTGTTCTTATCAATATTAATTATAAATATTTAATGCAATTATTCTCATGGCTCTCTTAAAAAATAGTGTAATTGAGTGCAATTACTCTTATTTCAATAGGTTTAACCTTAACTGGCTATGGAATTTACATAGTTTCACTGATATTATTCAAAAATTATGATGGTAACATGAAAAATCAATATTAGGGTATTTTAAATTTGATTCAGATTTTGGAATGTTTGGTTAAAAATACGGCGCCCTTGTAATTGGGTTGTCCCTTATCATATTTGGAATTTTTGGAATTTTAGGATCAACAGCTAAAAAAGTGTGTTTCCGAAGAGGTTTCTTGATCCTTCATCACCTAAGTGTATTACTATTTGGAATCCTTTTTGTTGTATTGTTTTATTTGTTGAATTTCAAGGCGAAAGAATATTTTGGGAGATGTAGAATTAATATAGAATTTAGCATGTGAGTCTACTCAGAATTTCAAAGCATTAAGTGATGGTGTTAAAAGTGCAAATGAATCTTTTTGTTCTATAAAATGCCCATGTAATTTGGACGCTACTAAATTTAATGATAAATCAGTTCTAAGAGGGAAGGTTGGATTCTCTTCATCTGTTTTGCCATCCAATGTACAAAGTTGCGTAGGATTTGATACTGAAGAATACAAATACCCAGTTCAATTGATGAATGTAAGTACAATTTCTATGTGCTTAGATTTTGGAAATGAACTTTTCATGTTCTGGATGGTGTACCAGTACTTCCATATTTGTTTTTTCGGATATAAATAGAGGCAATACATCAGGTTAAAGTTGTTTCTTAAAGTTTTAATCGTATTATGAGGATTACGTAACAATCATGGGTTATATCTCTTTGTGTTTGGGCATTCTATTCATGTTATCTTTTTCTTTCATATTTTGTCTTTATTGTGGAAGACATGATTTGGAAAAATAGAGGGCTTAAGAGTTAAGATTGTTATGCAAATGATCAAAAATATATATATTATCAAGATTCATTGCTATAAGTTTAATATCTGATTTTAAAGAGAATTTATTTATGTTAATTTATAAATCTCAATCTAATAATTATAAAGATCAAATTATTATTGAGCATTAAAAATAAATTTAATGATTAATACACATAAGATAATAGATATTTTGATAATCGAATACACTTTTATTAGAGTTGATGATTGTAGCAGTAAAAAATTAGGAGTTCTTATAATTATTTATGAATAAGTAATTTGAATTAAATATATATTAAATAATATACAATATTAATTAAATAAATCCAAATGAATCACGAGGCTGAAAGTGCTCCATTAATTTAGGAGGAATATGCTGTTCAATAATCCGAGATAGCTGTGCAAGATCAACCAAAAATAGTTTCAATCAATAAGTTATTCCTCTAAAATACTGCTTAAGCTTTTAGTCCTGGCACAATGATTAGCAAATAACTTTACATTTTTACAAGAACTCTAAAAAAGTATTGATTGATTTACAAACTGTTTAGATCAATTGAATAATATAGAAACAATGAGAGCATCCAATTTTTGAAGAATGTCTCTACATCTTTAGAAGAATTCGATGGGGTTTCTTATAGCAATGAAGCATTAAATTAGGATTAATCTATGACAGCTAAAGGGTTTAAGTTTTTTGGCAAAGCAATCTCTAAGATTAGAGACAAGTTTAGAGGAGAATAATCACAACAAGAACCATAAGGAAACTAATAGTAAAACAGAAATGAATCTCTAATCCCAGAATAGAGTCAAAGGATAGATGAAGAACATGTTTGAATTTATAAAAATTAAATTTCCACAAATTCCCCTACAGTTATACAAATGGCTCAATGTTCTTTTCCAAATATCAAATCATTAATAAAAAGCAATTAAAATTTATAAAAAGATGATTTGGCTACATTCAACTAAATCCATATTTAAAAGTAGTTGCTTATCATATCTTATAAGTTTATTTATTTTAATGTGAATCTTATTCATTGTCTTGAAGTTGATATCATTGAATAAGATTAATTTTCTAGAACTAAAATCGTTAAACTCTCATAACTCACTTTCAGATCGATTGACCTCCTCTCTTACCTTTTTTTCATCTGGTTGCACCAAATTGAAAGCATTAATATTTATATAATAATCTGCAATGTCTTTGTATAAATATTCCTTATTGTAATATATATCTATAACAATCCCATAACCTTAGATATATGTAAGACTATCTATTTTTTACATGAAATCTTTTATTTCAAAAAGAACACCATTATTGAATTAAATTCAGTTTCTTGAGAATTGATTAATATTATTAATTATAAATCAAAAAAATATTATATTAAATGAGATAAATGGCTCATAATAAGATAAAAATTATTTGATAAATTGTTGTTGATATTGAATATCAGTAAGTTGAACTAGTTAATCACTTCTATACTTTCTGAATTAATTATTAAAAGGATTATGTAAATAAAATCCTTTAATGGTAAGAAAATTTTAATCTAATTTTAAGTTAATTTAGCAATTAACGCTTTTGAATAGTGAGAACAATTTAGTAAAGGAACTCAATAAAAGTGGATTATAAATGTTTAAATTTAATTGAGTTGAGCATTTTTTCGAGTACATAAGAGTTTTGGATTGAAATATTATGAAATTGTTACAAATTTAGTCTACTTGATTATGAAAATTGTTTCTTGAGTAAATAAAGTGATAACAACATTTAAGGGATTTAATATTTGCTTGTGAACATTTAATTGATTAAGTTAAATAATAAGTGTTATTAGTGTTATTGATTATAAAAAATTAAATGATTAAACAATATTGGTTGGAATATTAGCAATTTACAATAGGGTTTTCTTAGATCATACTTTCTCGAGACTACAAGTATTTATGGATTTTCGTTGAAGTAGTAGGTCATTTTCAAAGATTGGCATTATTGTTTATGTTCAAAGTTATAATTGAAATCCTTCAAGTAAGACTTTAGAATAAGAAAATTGAAACAACGGAGTATTATTCATTATTTGAATTGATTTCTAAATTGTGCGTTCCCTCAATTTTAATTCTTGAGAGTGTGCCTAATTCAGGAATAATTGGGTTTTAATTGGTGGCAATCCTAATCCTATTTACACCTGTCTGTGCGAATGTGATTGCCATGCATAAGTAATACTACGAGTATAGTACAATAAAGCATCGTTCATCAATTGATGAGCAGAATAATTTGAATTGTATGAGTTTTCTTTTGATTAGACAATCTAACCTTGTTGAATAGATCCTATAACATGCACAATTACATTGAGTATTTTATGTAAAAGCAATTGATGGGCAATGAGTAAACCTCATTCCAGCAACTAGAGAAATTTGCAACAGCTACCATGTTGAATGTGTTTCCACATATTTTTATTATTCCTCTGATGCTTTGGAACTTTATGATTTGGGTGATTATTTTTGGAGATGATAGCTTAAGTTACACTATATAAGGATTGATGACATTTTTCAATGTACTCACTAACATAGGATGCCTATTAGCTTGGAATGTCTCAATGCGTGTATAAAAGACTTACACCATACGAGATCACAATCATTTGCGATTAGTTCAGTCCTTCTGGTTTATTCTTCAATAATTCATAGTAGTTATACCAATACTTATCTAATGGTTTTATGTGTTGATCTATTTTGATGTCAATTTTGATCGAACTTCAACTCACTACTATTTAAACAATAGCGTAGTACTTATCTTACAAGTTGGGTAATTGATTGAATTCTTCATTTGTCATCCTTATATGCAAGATTACAAAACTTAAACAATCCTAATAGTATTACCATTTACTATTTCGGTCATAATCTCTTTGTTTTTTCAGCATACTCAAATTCAGGTAATTTCAATTGCCTTGATCACAGTGCCCCTATCATCGAGATTGCTGAATGAAATCAAAGACTATCTGAATGAAGAGATACTCTATAATTCGCAATACAAAGAAAAATCTAAATCAACCACTCGGATTTAATCAAGAACTGGTCTACTGATGGAAGAAGAAGAGCAATTTGTGATTGAAAAGGAAATTAATAAATAAAAGCAAACCTAGATTGAATACTTGCAGAGCATGAATACGAAATACTTTATCCATTATTTGAGACTTGTGGATTTGATGAAACTTGAGGATCAGTAGTCCATTGAGAAGGATGCTTCAGTCATCAATATTAATAGATCGAAGTTTATTCTGAACATAATTGTCCTGTTGAAGTAGCACATCAATCAATGTGAGAATGTCTACTGTTATTGCAAAGGGTTTAGAGGGGAAAAACGAAAAATAATTGAAAATAATTATCAAAGTGTAGAAATGAGGATCTATTATCACATCAAAATATAGAACCTCTCGATTCAGGTTGAATTAATTAAAAGGTACATTAGACATTATGCGAAGTTGATTTTTGAACTAGAAAAAGAGAAAGAAGACTACGATATAATAAGAATCACTCAATTACTTACATACTTGAGCAGTTCTGAAGAATGCTATTAGGCATTACTATTGATTATGGAAGTGAAGGAGAAGATTAAAAACAAGAATCGTATCACCTCTTCTGTTGCGATAGCTGTGCTTCTGAGTTATGCGAAACATCAGATTCTTCTCAAAATGAACCCTTAGGTTAAGATTGAAGAGGTTGAGGCTGCTTTGTAATACAAGGATTACAGAGTTACTGAAGTGAGAAGAGATAAGTTGATCTCGAATATGTTTCAAAATGTCCAAAAAAAGTACGAGTTCATTCGATAATTGGTGGATAACAAATTTAATTATGAAACCTTGTATCAGTAAGTAAATGACATGGTGAATTACAATTTAGAAGTGATAAGTAAGATTGAATAATTCAATGAGTTCTCCTAATCAAGATCTTCATTGTTGATATACATGTTCTATTGCTTAGAGATTGTTAATGATTTTGATAAGTTTATACGTTTAAGGAATCAGTTGAAAACCAAAAATTTTAAGTTTTTTGAATTCAGTGGTTCTCACAGTCAAAAAGTCTGTTATCTAAAAATTAATTTGGCCAGACATGCAAAAAAAGGGAAAATCTCAAGAGGAGAGATCATTCAATACTCGAATAATGCTCCTCATATGTTTGGTTACGGACAGAGGGAGTTTTAGGAAGAAATCCTTACTGTTCACCAATTGGTAGCACCTCATTTATCAGATATCCATGATTAATTAATGGAAATCTTCCTCTTGACTAATAGGCCATTGATTTTGAGGAAGAAGAGAGGACTTTTGGCTTAAAAGAAAAATAAGGATCTATTATTTGTTGAGATGTTCATTGATGTTTGTTTTAATATTACTGGAGATTTATTTCCAATTTATAGTTTCATCAAGCAAATACAATCTGATGGTGCCTATGAAAATATCAAGGGTCACATATATTTGAATCATGAATTAAGAATAGAAGGAATCACAACGATGGCATTGGAACAATTTAAATTGAAAGAGGGCAAATACTTAAACAAGATGAAATTGAGTCACCTTATCTAGAACCCTAAGAAATACTAAGAACTCTTAAAGGAAAAGGAATAGAAGTTTTTTGATTTGGAATAATACAAATTAGAATAGAATAGTTGTTCTTAATTATTAAATTGTTCTGAAACCGAATAATTGTTAAACCATTTTTCAATTACAGCTGAAGATATTTTATTCAGAATTCCTAAGGAAAATGGAGTTCCAGATATTTTCTGTGTCACTTGTAGATTTATCATGACATTAACGAATATAAATGGAAAAGAACACAAATCGTTTACAGTAGAATTTTAGAAAATCACTTTTGCTGACAATATGAGTTAAATTTGGATAGATTCTTCTAGAAATCTATAATCAAGATCCAGAACAGATACTAATTTAGAAATTTCACAAAATCATGAACCCTTAGAGTCTGAAAAATTAAAATCATAATCCTAATTCTCAGATAGTGAACAAAGATGTGAGTTTTCAAATATTTCAGAAAAACAAGAAAATTAATCAATTCATTTCGAGGGGTATCAATTTCAGATTGGACATCAAATTTAAAGTCCTTTTGATTCTTAAAGGGATCTATTGTCTTTAATGAGCAATCCCAACAATATTTAACCATTCGATTAACAAATCATAAGTGTTTAAATAGATGGGTAGAGCTTGTAATAGTTTAGATTGGAAAATAAAATTGAGGAAAAATCAAAGCTTAGGGTCAAATATCAATAATCCTATTATCATAAGAAAATATCAAGGAAATCTTTTGAAATAGATAATCAATCAGAGAATAATCAAATTGAAAAATAATAAGAATAAGAAATCAAACTCACTTAAACACCTACGACTCAAAACAATACTATACCTTCTATGTTATAAAAAACACATCTATACAGTAAGTTTTCATCATCTGATAATAATCCTAGATTAATTAATTTGATATTTTTGTTAGATATTCTAAATCTATCATTACTATTAAGTTTGGCATTCATCTTTTATTTTAATTTCAAATTTAAATTAGAAGACAATATGAAAATTGTAGACATATTAAGAGCATTCGTAACTACAGATTACACTAAAAATACTTTAATGGCTTTGGGGATTGATATAGACAAAAATGATTATGATTTTTAAGTCAAATCCTAATATCAAAGTAAACTGCTTGAACAACTTTAAGAGAATTGTAGAAATTACTTAACTCATTATCAACAATATTTGGATGATAGTCTAGTCAAAACAACACTCTCAGAAATTTATATAAATCAATTTGACTATTATAGTGGAAAAGAATAACAAGTAAGTGCTTGGACTGAATAATTTTATGTTATCTACATGTAATAAGGACTTTATGGAATCGATCTAACAAATGCAACAACTGTAGAATAGTATAACAATTCACTCGGCTCTTTGATCAGTTAATATTCTGTTCACAAAGAAGCATATGAAGAATTAACACTTAAATTCTAATAATAGTTAGACAGCAATGTTTCAGACCTTGAAACCTAGCAAGATATTTGTTTAATCATCTTTTTAGTAAATGAAGTAATTCTTATAATTGGATATTCTTTTGTATTTCACCAATTGTTTAGACTACTCAATCGAATTCTTCGGAGTTGTGAGCAAATTTCGTTCAAAGCCTTAGAGACGGAATCAATTAGATTATTATCTCTACAACATCGGTATCAATAACCTTCTGATCTTAATTTGTACAAGTATCAATTCTAATTCAAGGATAAATGCAATATAAACACTAATTTTAATGATATGTTTACAAACAAACGAATATCAATGAGATTCCAATAGATTGTATAGTAATAGGAGCAAAAGAAATAATTCATAATATCAGATGAAAAACCATACCTTTAGAGATTGTTCTTTTTAATTGAAACAACAACTTTGCTGATTGGATTGGCATACTTTTTGATTGTAAAGGTGTTCAACTCTTCAAATATCACTGATCTCAAAAATAATCTGGATATATTTAATGAAAATATTCTGTACACAGAATAATTCTACCAGATGATGATGACAGATCAAATTCTATAAAAATATGCTAAGTCTCATTCGAACCTTGCAATTGGAAACATGATTATATCATAATATCAGACTTTGATTAAAGAGTCCTACACTCAAGTTGTATATATTAGTTCAATGATAACATCAGAAGCAAATGCAAAATATTTTGATTTACTGCAATACTTGACTAATGACTCCTGCGTCTTAATCGATGATCCCCTTTGTACCACTGTGATTGATGGAAAGTTAACAGAAGGGTTGATTTATTCAACAAATTATTTCGCGGACAAAGTCAGTGAAAATATCCAAAATAACTATGAGTAAGGAAAGCTAATAGAATTAAGTGAATTAGATTTGATTGGATTGAATTTTGTAAGTGAAGCCTTTGATAATATAATGGATTAGGGATAGATAAATTTAATTAATACACTTGAAACAGAGATCGATTTAAGAACAGTCCTGTTTTCTGTTTTTATTTCAATATTTGTTGTTTAATAGATTTTAACTTCATTTTTATTATATCGATTTTTCAGAAATCGTTTCTATAAAATCAGATAATTACCATATGTTTTACCACCTTAGTCAGTCTATGGAGAAGATAGTTTTCTCAAAACCTTGGTGTATGTTCAAAAGATATATGACAATCTCTTATAATGATTATATATATTATAGTTTTTAAGTTATTATCAAAATAAATTTGAAAATTCATTGAAAAGATCATCTTTAGACAGTCCATTTTTTATGTCATCAATATTTATTTTAAGTTGTATAAGAATGTCTTCCAAATTAAATAATCTATCCTAGTCCAAACTGTTCTAAATAATAAATGATGGAATATTTACTTGTATTTTTTGTTGCCAAGTGCTCTTTGTTAATAAAATCTACTCCTCCTTTATTTCAATTAAGTTCATTTGAGATAATTTTATTAAAGCTTATTTGATTTAATAATAACTCAAAGGTTTCTTGTTATGTAATGATTGCTATTAGTTCATCCTCTGAACAACTTGATGAAAACAAGCATAATTTTACCCTTTTACGTGAATGTCAATGGCTATCATAATTAGTAGCAATTTCAACTCAGCATTAAAATATTGCAAAGCATTGTGTTAAGGCTTATTGTATATGATATTATAGGCTAATTTAATGTGATCTACTTCTATTTGAGAGAATGTATTTCTCCTTAACAGCTGTTCCCTGGCCAAAACTATAGCTGTTCTGCATACACTTAGAGTTTTGCGAATATCAGTGGAAATTGTGGCTATCTTTTTGCCCAAATAGTTCAAGGTGTTAGAAGCAAACAATTATTTGAGTTTGCTCGTTTTCATCCTCTACTATAAAATGCTTTCTATCTAGGTACTATTGTAAGGTCTGAACACTATACGATGATTTCCTAATCTGGACTGTAATTTAGGCTTAAGTCTCTCAGGGAAATCCATTGTATTTGCTATCATAATGACGATTAAGTGAGCATAACGTTGTTGAGGCCAATCTACCAAGTTGTATAGAACTTATTGATCTGAAGTATAGAGGTTGTCGCATTCATCCAATAAAATAACCTTGTTCTTTTGGATGCAATCTTATTCGCTATTGAAGAGTTCAGCTAAAATATCATGAGAATCAAAAACTTAAAAGTATGCAGGACTTGATCCTGGAAGTTTCCTTCTTATTGGTGATCTTTTCATAGAGGAATGGATATATGTCTTCGGGAGCTCTGATATTCATGGCATTGAAATAAATGAAATCGAAATCTAATTTTTTGAAGTGCAATTTATTTTTGACTTCTAAGACTGTGGCAGTTTTACCGATTCCAGGGACTCCTGATATATCTAATTTATTAATGGTTTAAATATACATAATGCCTATTTTTATCCATTATTTTTGATTCCATCCTCGATAAATCTTGTGATGAGAACCTTTTCTTGATCCCTACAAAGAATTTCATCGGGAATAGTACTTTCAAGTAACGATGTAAAACATTCCTCCATCAATGACAAATGGGATTGCATATGGTCAGGAGGTACTTGCGTAAGTGAGGGTTGATCAAATGGCTCAAATGTGAAATTATTTTCTGTTGTTCGAGAATGCTCTCTCTGATTAAGCATTCCCAATTAGTTACATTTAGTTTGTAGCAAAGGCTCATTAATGAATTCTTCTTGTTCGATATCCATATCAATTTCTTTGGAATGCGAAGGGATGCTGAATTTAGTAGCCTGAATACTCATAATCTTGGGTTTACTTAATTATCTGGAATTATTATTTGGGGACTTCACATTTTTATAGAGTAAATAATAGAGAATTCCAAAAACATTATTGGAACATTCTTCACAGAATAAAATGCGTTAATCTACCATATTAACAAATAGGAGCTGAGAAAAATAAAGCCGGATCTCAATCATAGTAGTGTATCAATCAATTAGAATATCATCTTATTTGATAGATTCTTATTCACTTTTTTGATCCTTATGCCATTAGATTCCACACTAGACTCTAGTTATGGGTTTCAGCTATTATTCAATTTCGGATTGCATTTAGCTTTAGACTCTGGTCGACTTTTATTTTTGAATTACAATAATAATCAGTAGGATTGTTTATTCTTATGCTCTACATTGCTGCTATTCTCCTGCTTGGTATTTTTAATTTATAATACATTTATACAATATACAAATTTTAACAGGAAAAAGTATTAAATATTAATTGGCAATTCATTTCCATATTTTAACACTCTACCTTTTTTATGTTTTCCTGTTATTGGGATCTAGACTTTCATCATATAAAAGAGTGAATCCTCCTACCTTGGTGGGTTGTTGTTCTGGAATACATAACAAAGATAATTACATTTCTAATCATTGTCAGGGAAATCATCATTTGGCAGCACTATATTATACACATCATTGATCAGATTCATTTTAAGATTTTTATCAACCGGAGTCGTAGTAGTCAAGGAAGGACTGGCATTGATTTCAATCAGCCAAGGCTTGAGATTAGAATCAAGTAGAATATCATAACCATACATCTCAAAGCAATGTTTATCATTTTATATCACCGCTTAAACAGACTATAATAATATTATTAATATTACTTTCAATGAGGTTAACATGATGTTATGAATATCATCCATCATTCTCTATAATGCATCAGTCCCATAGGCAGATTCCACATACAATTTGAGTGCATCTATGGAGTATTTCCCTCCATGTTTCTAGGGAGTATTTATCACTATATTGTTGAATGGCTACATTTGTAAGATGTACAAACATATTTTCAATTTCAGCGACATCCGTAGTGTATTGTTCATTGCAGAATCTACCAAATCCTTTATTATAGATCCAAACTTTTAATGGTTTGTAATTTGTAACTAGCACATACATTCTCAAATCGAATTTCTTTCCTCCAATCAACAATGGATTATCAATGTATCTAGAGACTACATAATTCTCCTTTGATGCCAGGTTTAATTAAGTCATATTACTGGTTACTGCTGTTCCTGATATTTTTTTCAATTGTTAAATTTTCCTTAGCAAAAATATTCCTTTTCCTTGACTTCTAGCTGCTGGTTTAACGATCCAAGTCTGATTGGGATTTCGATGGAATTCTTCTACAAATAGGGAATATTCTCCAGGGAAAATATAGGTAGTTGGCAAGAAATCAAAATTGAATGTTTCCAACACTTCCTTGTCTTATTCCCTTTTGAATCTTTTGAGGTTCTTGACCATACAATCTTTGCGTGTTAATTCGTAATGATTTGGAAAGTGATTGATGATTTACTGTCATATTAATTTTGAGAATACTTGATCATTGAGTCTGAATCCATTCTTAGGATTAAAGATGTTACGAACATTCCACACAGTTGCCCAGTAGACATTCCAATCAGTAGACTCCTCTTCCTTCTCTTGGGATTTGATCCATCCTCTATTCACAAAGTTTTCAATTATAACAGACTTTTCAAAATCTGATTTCCATTTTAATTTCTTGTTTTACATTAATTTATATATATATATTATTTTTCAATTTAACTCCTATGTATTATTAAACGCTTAAGTTTACTCTTCTTCAGTTCTTCGCTTATAAAACAAAACATAAGCACTCTAAGACACAATCTGGTCCTCGTTTATTTCACTTGCTTAAGAATCATCAAAATCATACCACTTCCCATTTTCCTATTAATAATCACCATATTTCTTACATGATTCTTTGCATAAGCTGTATAATGTCCACCGCCCATGCCACCAAAATGGTTGGACACTGCATATAAATCATATATTAATTTTTTCTACTCCTCTTAAATCTGATTCTCATTAGGTTTATTTTTATTGAGTATGAACTCTGTCAAATCCAAACCTTAAACTGGGAACTCTACAAATGTTTCCAATTTCTATTTGAAGAACCCGTGAGATGCCTTGAATCTCTTTAAAGTGAATATCAGAATGTCTGAAGCCTACCTCATTTTCATAATTCAATACCTTATAAATCTGCATACTCTTATAAGCTTGTACATGTTCTTTGCACACTTTACAATACCAGGCATTGTCTTCTGCCAATTGCTCTGGCTGTTCAGAAAATCTCAAGCAATCTTGAAGTGAAACTTTCGGTTATGTACTCATCATTGGCATAGAATAATTTTTGCCAATTATTCTTCCTTTCTAGTTGTTCTCGTGGAGTGAATTGTTATTATTCTCTATATTTTATACTATTATTCTATACCTTCCATCTGCTTCCTATATTATTGATTTGAGTAATATTGATAGATGTCCCCAGCATTAACGTTTTAAAATGGACTCTTATTCCAAAACACTACCAATTCAATCTTTGACATTAAATCAAATTCCATATGATTCTGAAAAATCTTATCTAATGTCTCCTGATTATCGTAATCGAGTACACATTCCTAACAATTTTCTGAATTACAAAATATGCACTCCCTTGACATCATCATGATATTCTACTTATTATGAATGGTGTAATACTAACGATAAATTTTTTATTTACCTTTCCATGAACACTTTCCTCATAAAAATTCCTCAACTTCTCATCTGTGTCCAATTCAATCTCCTTCACAAGATCGCAGAATATAGGCAACAGATTCTTAAATATACTTAAATGAATCTATGCTAAGCTGTAACTTCTTTTTATTAACTGATAAGTTGTTGGCTGAATTATTTTTTTAAATGTATGTCCATAAGAGTCATATGCTTTTTGAGCATAACTCATATATATCCTATCACCTGCTGTGATATCCTTTTCTTCCTAATTCAACACCTTCACTACCAAGTATCCTTTCTTCGAGTCCTTTCTCACTACATTTATCTCTTATTAAGGATTAATTGGCTCTGATAGATCATTCATAAAGGACGAATAATACAGCAGTTTACTATCAGGTTCAATCTTAAAATCGCTAACTACAAATTCCTCGATAAAATTTTGTAAAGAAATGGTTTTCTTCGAACTCTCGAAATTTATATACTTTGTCTCTATTGAAACTACTGATTTTATCACTTTGATTTAAATGGATTTTTATTTCTTATTTGGTATACCCAATCCAACAGTTAGAAATGGATCAAAAGTAATTGAAATCTGTTAACATGTTGGACATTTCAAAGTTGATTTATATTAACCATGCATTAAATCAACGATTATCGATTGATTTCTGGCCAAATGGTTTTCCCAACTTTCTTTAGCTACCTCAACATCAGGTCTACCTTGATAATCTTTCGATTCCACATAAGGTTTCTTTTTGACTCTATTTAAATCTTCATGCAATCCATCCAATAAAAATGTTATCAATTCTGATGAATCATGTTATTGAAATCCCTTAAACATTGGTTAGAATTGACCAACAGCTTTTTTAAAACTAGTTGGAATTACAACATTTTTATCACCACACCATAGTTTTTTAAGAAGTGATCCGAATTTTCTAACTAGTTACCCATTAGTTCCTAAGGGATTATCTTCGTTAATTTCTTCAAAATACTTGTTTGATATAAAGTATTCTTTTAGTGGATAAGTATTTGATAAGCATTGGGTACCACTGTTCATGAAGCAAGTGTTACCTAAATTAGAAAGGCCAGCAATTCCTTTGATTGAATTGTCAGAATAATTCATAGATTTAACTTATTCATCGTCAGACCCAAGACGATCACATTTTGCAAGGTGAAATCGCTCATCATTTATTTTGCATTGCTCTGTACAATAGGATACCTTTTTGCATACACAGGGGAAATTAAGTACTGTGATATTACAACATCCTTCACATTTACCTTCAACAGGAACAGTGGGATGTCTGATACACCATGGTCTGTTATATTATTGGAACTACATAAGAAAATGATGATACTTCAATAACGAGTATGTCTTTGTCGGTCAGATTCAATGATTTAAACGTGATTTCTGATGAAATTTAAATTGGGGATCCTGTAAAATTAAATACCTAATCGTCATTAAAATCTAGATCTTGAACTTGCTTCTTGATCTCAGCAAAGAGTGCCTTGTGAGGATCTGTATCATTGGTGTATCTCCAAATACGAACACCATTATAGTTTCCTCTGAATGTGGGGACTGTTTTAAGTATAGTGCCATAATATTCTTGGAGATTGGCACTCTCATCAACTTGTAAATACTCCTTATCCAATTGTGTCAGATTGTCTTAAGCGATTTGATTGACAGTGTTGGGAATCATAAGAACTGCATAAAACTATTCTAGTAAGAAGATACTTCATACCTTCAACAAATTAATAACAACCTTCTTTTCTTACCCCTTACCTGTGGCATTTCTGACAATATTAGTGCCTCTGTAATATTGATTGAAATAAGACGAAAGTTATTGCGAAATTACAATGTAATGTGTGCCCTCTTCTAGATTTGGTCTCAACCATTAATTCCAAGGATTGGTACTCAGAGGATAATATTTGAAGCATTCATTGGGATATTGTTCAAACAGATCATGATTGAAATTTTGAGGAATTATCTATCCCGTAGAGTTTGGGACATTTGAATTATTTATAACCTGATCATAAGAAACATACTGCTTCCATTTATCCAACCAACTACGTAATCGTATGTATTTAAATACTTCGTGCTCAAAATATAATATGTTTGGCAATCCTCTTATGCGAACTCCTTTTCTAGTTGTTGTAACATCTTATGAACATCCAAAGCCTATTATTTGAGTCTGTCTGACAAACTCATATTCAAAGAGGGCTTGCTACCACTTTCTTGATCCTCAAAACCATCTATGCTGCTACTAAAAAATCAATTTCATACATACCCTTCATCTGTTCCACTCATTCTTATTATAAATAAATAAATTAATTAGGTATTCACTCACATATATACTCACGAATTACAATTTAAGTAAATATTATAAATTCTTCTGTTTGATTATGTCAATATAATTTAGATCTCTTGCTTCCCCATTCCAATTAACACTTAAATTGCTCTTCTTTAGACTTTCTTAACTCATAAACTTATCCTCTTTAAATCCAAATTATTAATTAAACTCTCTTCTCAGATCTCATATTGAATTGAATCAACCTTCAGTTTAATAATTGCTAAGTCTAGCCAATTCTCTAGTAAATAACTTATGACTCATAAAAATCAATAGATTGTAAAAACATTTCAAAAAAACTTTCTCAAACAACCAAACTTACTCAAAATCATTTTTATGTTTCAATAACTCAAACAAAAGGAGTTAACCATCAACTCGATACTAAGGATTAGAATATTATTCTATTATCGTCAGAATTTTGATATTTTATAATCATAACATGGGTAATTCACATCAATAAATATTTCCAAAGTTATCGTTCTTCTATTAATCTTCGACATTTCGCACAATTTAAATTTTAATTCATAAAATTATTAGCTAGTTTCAGATTAAAGATATAAAAATCATTTAAATTAAAAAATATCTAAAATTATAAAGCAATTCTAATTAAGAATTAAATCATTTAAAATTTATTAGATTCTCAATAAATACTTACAAGTATAGTTTTTTCAATAAAACTTATGCTTGGAATATTAATTTTATAACATTCAAAATATAGCTTAATCTTTAAAAGGACTATTTATATTATTAAGGTATTCATATGAAGACTCATTCGATTTGAGAAAAGCTTTCAAGGTTGTGGTCAACTCAATAACAAAAAGACTTAAAATTACTAACGATATTTTTCTATTACAAAAATTCAAGAATTATTTATTACATCAATGTTGAAATTGGATAGATTCTGATAAAACCTTTTGAAGTTTAACTTTATTTTATATAACAAATATTATAAAATGTCCCAAAAAAAGCATACAAAAAAAAGGTCTTCGTTGGCTTAGAAAAATTCAAAGAACTCAAAACTTTACTAAAAAGACGATTTAGACAACAATGACTAAGAAATTTTAGAAGCTCTACAAGCAAGATTGCCTTTTTATAAAAATATTTTTAAATAGTTAACAAAAATGGGTTTACCTATGTTGGAAGTCTAGCCCAATGAACAACTGATTAATAGAATAGAAAGGAGTTAATTTAATGTTTAGTATCTGTAGAGGCTGATTTCTATGAAATTGGAGGGTTAACCAATTTCTTACCATCGATGCAAGTTAGCTCATTCCTGCAAATACTTCTTGAACGAAAGGCTCTAGAACTATTAGAGATTTGAATTAGAAGAGATGCTGGGATTGATCAAGGAGTCTGTAGAACCAGTCCAATTGAAAAAAATTCCAGGGATTAATTTGGATGAAGTCACTTTTGGATAGGAATTTGATTATTAAAAATTCTTAAATCTCTTAGATTCGTAGAAAGTATTCAATAATAGTGAGAACCTCAAGTTCATTTCTACTGACATAAGAGGCTATTACGAAATGAAAAATATTGAGGATTTAAAGGATCATGCAAATATTGAGACATTCCAAAAAGTTAGAAAACTTAGAATTCTAATCTTTGATGTTTTAAGATCTATTAAATGGATTATTGATTCTTTGGAATCATAAGATATTGACACTATAGAAGAGGCCTTTATTTCATATTTGGATTTAAAAAAGAGTTCAGAATTTCCCTTTACTGAGGAAATAAAATGTGAAGAATCAGAAACTAATGTTCAATTAAATAGATGTGAACAATTATCTGAATCATCTGCAAAGTCGAGTGTGAAATCAGTCAAGTTCCATAATCAATTGACAAATTCTGAAATGCAAAAGAAGAATGATCAAGTCGTAAATATCTAAAGTATTCTTAAAAATACTTCTGTCCCAAATACTACTGTTGTTGAATAATAATCCAAGAATTAACTAACTATGATTAAGGAGGAACAACCTTCATAAGAAAAAGTGTCAATATTCAAGGAAATTATTCCTGAAAATTTAGAACAGAGTATCCCACAACCAACCAGTAGTCACTCCAAATCTTTCGTTGTGAAATGTAAGAAATCCTCAAAAAGAGTTAATTAAGACACTTCTTTATAAAAATGGGATCTATTACAATAAAATAATTTCGAAAAAATATTCTACGAGAAAGAATATTTTGATTCAGAAATGTTTAGTTATATCCAATAATAAATACAAACAACTTTTTGTGACCAAAAAAACTAAACAAGCAAGAAAAAACTCCATAAATAATCTAAACGAAAAGTGCATTTTGAGTTGTGTGATTCTAATCGGTTCTATAATGGGAAGCTACTTGAACTAAAACCAATTAATCCAAGGAATCCATTTTGCAAGTATTCCTTCATAGACTACGATTTAGATTCTGAAGAAGAAGAGGCGGAAGATGTATTATCAGAAATTAGATCGTAAGATGAGACTCCGTCCTCATCACTCTAGGAATTTATAGAATTAGATTATAAAAATTAGTATTAATAATTGGGCGAACCTTATGCTTTAATATGTGATGATTCAAATTTTGAAAGTTTTCTAACCTACAGAGCCATAATGTTATCGGATAATAAGCCTCAAATAAGTTCAAAAAAGAGCATTCGCCTAGGTTCAAAATTTTAAAGTAAAAGTTCCTTTGCTGAGAGTTAAAATGAAAAACTAGTTAAAGCTTTATCTTAGTTGTCTTAGTTTGTTAATCCTGAATAAGTTAATAAAATTCTATCAATTTAAGAACTTGAGATTTTTCATATAATTCCTCAAGCCGAAAACAAAGAGAGTAAGTGAAAAGAATTTTATATATATGGAATTAATTTAATTTATTTGTTATGATTATAAAACAATTATTCTATTAAAATAAATCAAAAATCTTCAAGCATTTATTTCATTTAAAACTTCATTGCATTTTTAATGTATCGAAATTAATTAAGGGTCATCGAAATCATTTGATTCTAAAATGAAATTTCTGACGTTCTCATAGATCCATTTACAATTTTTTGAATCCCAACGACCTTAAAATTTCTCTAAGCAAAATGCACAGTTTGAATTATTCAGTTTATCCAAATCTATGGCATAACTTCTTTCTTAATTTTTGCTTTCCTTTATTGTTTAAGTTGATGACATCCATTCCTATATATGAAAAAGAGTATTACTTCACTAGAGCAGCTCATCTGAATCTCCTTTTTCTAATCTTCCCTTAACTTCTCTAATTGATAACTCGCATGATTATTCAAATGCTAAATGTAAGCACTCTAATTTCTGAATCTCATAAAGCATGTTGGGCATTTTATTAAAGTTCCATAACGATTAGGATTTGAGAGTAACTCTGATGATGGTATCTATTTTCTAGTCATATGTCATTTAGATATATTACTTTAAAAAATCCTTTACTGTTTCCTTATTAACTAACTCATGTCTGACTTACAGTTACCCAGAAAAATATTAGAATAGTGAACCAAATACTGTAGTAGTTGTATTTGGATCGATCGGGATATTTATTTATTTTTAATTACTTAATTATTATTATTACTATTATGAGTAATATTATTATTGTTATTATTATTACTATTACTACTATTATTATGGTTATTACTATTATTATTATTGTTGTTACTATGGTTATTGCTATTATTAGTATTATTATTGTTACTACTATTACTATTATTATTATTGCTATTGTTATTATTATTATTGTTATTGTTATTGATATTGGTTGTTTCCTTAAATTTGAGCATATTAACTAATTAAAGGGTTTTATTAAGTAAACCCTTTAATGTTGAGGTCTTATGCTTGTTGAGTTTGACGCTGTTGTTGAGATGACACTTGTTAATGTGTTTAAGAAGGCTGATTTTGATAAAAAGGGATTAAATAGGAAAAATTATTTTGCACAGAGCTTTAAGGTGTATAAGTAACCATCTGGGGAGTTTGGAGGTTTCTAAATTGTTAAGAACCAGATGTTTGATTAGTCTAATTATGATGAATCATCGATTATGGATAGATTTATTGATGGCCTTATAAATTGTGTTGTAATTAAGATAGAGTAATTTGCTTTTATTGTAAGGTGTCTACATTAACTCTTTAAGTTTATTAATATTTTTATTCTGGTTTGATCTTCTTAACAACCTAATCTTCCATTGGTCTCTTTGTTCCAGGTTGCTTTTTGTAGGTTCCCTTTGGAAATTATTAAATTAGAATACATTTAAAAATGGCTCAACCCCGCTTACATTCAAACTTTTGTAATACTTCTTGAGTTCTTCCAATTTCTCATGGGGCAGCTAGTCCAAATCATCCTTCAATTCTTATTGGACTTTATTGCTGATTTCGATTAAAGTAGGCGATGGAAAGATGTTTAACTATGATGTTAAGAAATGGATACCCAGCTTTTAAATACAGTTTTCAATTTTAATAGATCACATCCAAACTCCTTCTAATTCTTATAAACTTTGACGAAGAGCTTGACAATGTAGAACTTAATGGCTGTTTTGAAATCTTTTACATCACTCTTGCAAATGTAATCAATTAAGAAAACCAATTAGACGACATTTTTTTCTTTTAAATTTTGTTTAGTTAAACTTTCATATATCACAAAAAGATACTTATATAATTCAGTTGCAATTTAATTAATGAAAACCTTTTTCTATTGAATCAATTTTAAAATCGCTGCAAAATCAATACTCCCAGTACTAATTATCATCGATACTGCTTTTCTCAATTTCTCCAATGCATCCTTCTCTTCTGGCAATACTTTAACTTCTTATCCTTTAGCCATTGAAAATTTTTCCAATTATTATTTTATTTTTATTTATGAAGTAAAAAATTCATTCAAATTCGATTTAATTTAGAAAATTAAGAAATTTTATCAATATCACATATTGTTTTGTTTATACTATCTTATCAATGACCATTTTGATCTCATTTTTGGATTGCCTTTAATTTACCTAATAATTTTAATTATTTTATTTGATCTCCTTATAGTAATATAATTGTTTCTATATCTCATGATTCAAAATTATCTTCATTATTAATTAAGCTTGCGCTAGGATAAATTTAAGGAGAAGTTATTGTTTAGTATTTTATTGAATTTGCTTATTTTTTTGTATCCAAAAACAATTTACTTAAATTTGAAATAGAACCTTCTAGGCTCTAGTGTGATACAGATTCTAAAATAATTATTCATATTATCTGCTGTAATGGTACTTTACTGACTGATTATAATATAATATTCTATTATTAATGGCAAGGTTCAATTATTTCAATATTATTTACTTAGGAACCTCCTTTTTGGATTTACTCAGCCATAATCATTTTTATTGCATATTTTATTTTGTTTTTTTGACCAAGTTATTCTCATTCAATGATCAAATTCTTATTTTGAGAGTATCTCAAATCTATTAATCAAAAGCACTAATTGGTATGGATAATTTTAGGAGAAATATGTATAGTTGATGATTTACATAGCTCATGGGTATTATCATAGATGAATACAATTCTAAACATCGAATGTTGTACTTGAAAGATCGAAATTATAAAAAAAATAACTAGATTAGATTTGAGCAGTCTCAACCTAGAATTTGAGCTATCAATATATTACAATACTTAGGAAGTAAGATCAATTTATAATTTTAATAACCTTAAAATTTGATTGTAAAAGAGAGGGATTTATAATAAGACCTTTAATTCTTAGAAAAAGTGCTAACATATGGATATAATTCAATCAAATTCAGTATTTTTAAAAATATTGTAGATAACAATAAAATGAAAAAAATATTTTATGTCATTTCATCCGTTTATTCTTCTAAAGAATAATAGATATGGGGTTTCTTCTTTTCTATTATAAGATTAATTTATAAGTTACTTGAAATTTCTTTAAACTCTGTCAAAATCTCCCATCAATCTTAGTTACAATGCTATCATCATATCGATACCATTCCTCTTTCACTTTGCAATATACAGTGTAATGACCGGCATCTGGTATTTATCCAAAATGTATAATAATTGAATACAATTCATAGGTTAATTATTTTTGGTTCTCTTTTATTTATATTTTTGGTTTTAAATTGATTTGATCATTAATTTTAGATCTCTCTCCATTTTGGAATTCAAATCTATTAATTTAAATAATTATGTTTTTAGGTAATTTTGAAAATTCCAAAGTACGAGTACTTTGACTTGTCTTTCTACATTGCTCACAATTAAATGTAATTTATTCCTTCATTTAATGTCTTAGAATCATTTTTTCTATTTCATCTTTTTCTTTTCTATTGTTTTCAAAGTTCAACGTAATGTACATAAATTCTTCATCTGGTCCTTTGGTTGGCTTATCACAATTTTTACACTAGAAGGTTGATTTGGACATACCATAAAATATCTCTTTTATTTTTTTCTATAAACAATAAACATAATTGAGTTACGTATTCTTCTTAATCAAAATTTTTTTCCATATCTTCAAATAAATGAACACCAAATTCAGCTGCATCTTACTGTCTATCATCTGTTTTATAAGGTTCTCTCAAGGATCTTTTTAATAATAATGGTGTGTAATCAATTTCATCACTCATTGAATCCAAGAACAAGAAACACTAATAAATACATCAAGATGATAAATACTCTAAGAAAATTTGTTTTTAAACTATATGGTTTTAAAAATACAATTTCTTCTCTTTTAAATTCATTTAATATAAGATTTCTGAAATCCAAAGTCCAAAAGAGTGCTTAGATAAAACTGTTCAAGTAGCATGCTTAAAATATGAAAATTCTTACTATTTAATAAATTTCTCAAGCCTATTAATTTCGGCTGTTTATCCTCGATTTGTGGATTATCCTCTTGGAACCAACCTTGAATTTGTTCGCTTTACTATAGTTAATTTGATATTGATGATGGCATTGATATATATTTTTTTTTTAATTTTGACTCTAAAAGGTCATAATTTTTAAATTCCCTTTTCTTTTAATTATGTGGTAACAAAGCAAGAAAATTAGCAATTCTCTGCAATTATTTATCGTTATACAAATCAAAATAATTATAGTAATTGGTGATAATTTCAGAAAAATGTTATTAGTCTAGTTAAGGATCTCCTACCTATTAAAGGGATGAAATTAAGAAATAAGTAAATAAATTTTAGATCTGTTCAAAACAATTGATTATTTTCATATACTTTATTAGACTAGGAATAAGATTTTTTCTCATCTCTACTAAAATTTCCATTTAATAGTCTTTAACAAATTATTTGCTAAATTACAATATCAAGTCAAGTGTTTATTGGGTAATTCCGAAATTTAACATAGATTCGAACATCTTATATTCAAACTTATAGCATCTTCCTAAATACTTACCAAAATACTTAAAGATATCCTCAATATATGGAATCTAACTTATTAAATTACTTTACTTTGAATAAGATTATTCTTGTTATCATATTAGGCTGCACTAAATCTGTCGGTTTTTCCATATAGGTCGAAGCATTTAATATTGATTCCATTACGATAGTCCATAAATAGGGTGACCTGGTATCATCGAGAAGCTTCTGTAATTTATCTAAAATAGACAACAATTGGTAATCTCTTCCAATCGTACTATTATTTCCTGTAAGCAGCAATGCATTGAGGATCACATCAAAGATTTAGGTAAAATTAAATGAATCATTTCCAAAATCTATCAATAAGTTTACCATAGTTTTAATGGTTTTGCTTATTTCTGTATATTCCTCTATATTTTCTCTACTTTTGTATTTCATTACTTCATCCAGTAAGAAAGCTTTCTCTAAATTACCCTATTGTTGAAGATCTTGTATTTGGACTCTTATATTTTCTCTGAATTCTTTGTCTTTATTGATCATTTTAATTTATTCTTGATCATGAAGATATCCCAAGATAGCCAAAGATTTACAGCTCTTTATTATTTATATTTGATCCTAATCCATCAGAAGAACTCTTTGTCCAGATTTTTGAATTGCTGAAAATACCAGAGTCATTATTTTATAACCTAGTATATTCTTAATTTAAAAATGAATCATACATTCTAGATCTTATTGCACTCAAGTAACAAATTCTTAAGATCATCATTCCTGTTACTGTAATCTATTTTGTTTTCTAATTTTTTCTAAATGTTCTGATACAATGTCTAATCCATTTCAATATTTATTTTATTGCTATTATTATTATTGATATATTAATAGAAAAGGAAATTAGAAGAAGTTTTATTTTCGAATATATGTATATTTCATTAATTTTGTAGAATACTGATTGAATAATGATTTCTAATTGATTTATAGAATATTTTTCATAATTTATAGCTAACCATTAATCTTTATGTTGCAATTAAAACAACGTAAATAATTAATATAAAATAAATGTACATTGCATTTAGATTAGATGAAGGAGTTAATCTTTATGTTGTCGAATAGGAGTTTGTTAATCCTTTTTGCAATCTAGAGAAAACAACTACTATTGAGTCCATTGAAAGCACATTGGAGAGCTTAAAACAATATAATATATGTGCTATTATAAATTGCATTGACAATGATCAATCTATGAAAGCATACGGAATCTACTATTTAAACATACACATCAATTTTTAAGATTCATTGGAAGCTTCAAGATTATTCTTGCATGTAAAAATGTTTTCTAAAAAGAGTTTTGGACAAAAATTAAAAAATCTTCAGTTGCTATTTACTGTGAAAGCAGCATGCAAAAGAGTATAAAAGTTCTTAAAAACTATTTGAAGCATCTTTATAATTGGGATGAAGAACGTGTTTAAAAAGTATTTTAGATTTAATATTAGGAAATATAAGAGTAAAATAAATTGAATTAGACCATTTCTAAAGATGATGTTTTATTGCCAACAGAAATAATTTAATCCCAAAAATCATCTATATGCAATGAGTTAGTATCAGATGTTAACACAAAGAGTTAAATTGATTGGAACAAAATATATGGTTCTTAAGCATAAATAGACCAATAAACCTAATAAGCAAAAAAGGTTTAATCCAGATTCGTTCAAAGCTCAATACTCAAAAACTAATGATTTCTAGTTAAGTTTAAATATTATATAACATTTATCATTTAAATCTCTTTCATTTTTATTATAATATATATAATCTAATATAATGAAAGAAGAGGTATTAAATTACATTTACCAACTTTCAATTCGATAACAAGGTTAGTATGATTATTAAAATTGAATATCACAAAATCTTTATAGTTGTATTCGTAAATAAAACATAAATATTTTATAATTATAATGCAATGCAATGCTAATATAAATGATATGTGAAAAACTTGCTAAAAAATATGCAGAAAAACTTAACATTTCAATATTGCAAGCAAAGAATTCAATTTTTTGGTTTTAGGTCATATTTATAAGTAGTTTTGGATTTAAGGTCTCTTTTACTTCTTCTAAATCAGATTCATTAAGTCTTAATAGGATCTTATTTTGAACCAACTGAATAAATGTGTAACTTGCCTCCACCTATTAAATTCAATGATTTTTAATTAAGTTGGATCAGACTACATTAATGTGAAAAAATTATGAAAATGGATGTTATTTTTGTTATAAAATAAATAAATGACAATTATTATTTTACATAGTTTATTTGTGAATATAATATTGCCTAGCTTATGTATAAAAGATATATTAAAATTTTAATGCTATGCTTATATATATATTTGATTCTGTTTCAAAAGATGGGTCTTTTTGATCCTCTATGATCGTGAGTATACACTGTTAAATATTACATGTAGTCGATTATACTGCCTAGAGTTCTTGGATCTTGGATCTAAAAATATTTTGTTAATAAAGTACTCCATCAAATTGCATGTTAGTATCCAAAAACATTTTCTCTGGATTTTATAAGAAATCCCACAATAATTTTCTTGTCCAATATAATCTTCTTGCTCTCAAATCCCATCCATAATTAGAAAACTTCTTGTTAGATCCTAATCTTCTCAAATAAGAATTTCTCAATGCTGGTCCTTGATCAAGATCACTGTCTTTGAAAATAGACCTGTATATATACCTAAATCGTGGCAACCAGCACATGCTTAACCGTACATCTTCTTACCAAATTCAAGGTCCCCATTTGGAATGTCAACATCAATATCATCATCGTTGTGACAATGAGGAACTCTTTTGAAAGTTGGTTCAGTGAATCCTCTTATTTCATAGCCATTTCCACTTTCTTAATGAAGGACTTTTGGTTTTCTCCAAGACATCTTTTAATAAAATATTAATTTGGACAATCAAATGCTTATTTAAGATTTGAACTACTATATAAAAATACAAACAGAAACTATAAATATAATCTAGATATATTTTAGATTAGAACTTTAAATAATGAGAAACTTACACAATTATGTGAGGTATTTCTTCATATACACACAATTCTTTCTATTGGTATAAATTATTCAATATTTCATTTTCAATCAAATACTGATTCAGGAACATTAGATCTTTTAACTTACTATCTTTTCTTTAATTGATTCATTTAAACTTCACTTCCTTTATTGTGATTATTTTTAATCTAACTGAACTGCTGCTGTTCTTGTAGACCTTAATCTTCCCCATTTTTTAAACCCTACACGTCTTAATCAGTTTATTTGATATTGTTTGTTCTCTTATTTTACACTTGATCACGTATTTACTGTTCTTTTTCCGAATTGGTTTACTCTTAAAGAGAATTCTTAAATGAAGTGTTCTCTCCTGTTTATTAAACGACTCTCGTCTAATTTGTTTCTCCAAAATTTTGAGCCTCACTCTATACTTAGAATTATTCAACCTCCTCTTAAACTTCTGTATTCAATGCTTCTTTATTTCTGCGAATTTATGTCGAACCAGAATCTGCATTAACCATAGTGCCAATGGTCTAAGCATCATTTTCAGATGCCCAAAATTATTGATTGAATGTTTGAATCTCGTTTGTTTGGGTATTCACTTAATAATTATTTTCAAACACATTTTGTTTGGCTAAAATATCTTGCATCTAACCAATTTCATCTTCCAAATTAACACTAGATTAACTGGATTGTTATATTTTAAGAACTGCGTCTCTTCTAAAATCCAAGTTAAATTTAATTTATTCTAGGAATTCTTTGTGTTTCTGTTGGGTGGATAATTAGCTTTGATAAACCTGTTAAAATTAAGCTTTTTCAATTAATGATTATTCTTTTAAATGGGCAAGTGATTGCTACTATTGCTATTCATTTTATTGAAAAGATAGTTTTAAAATATTGTTTTCGTTGATTAACTATTAAATGCGATTTTAATAGTTAAGATTTTAAATTTCCAAATTTTCTTGTTGAACCTAATTTTCTATTTGGACTTTATAAAATTATTCTGTCAAAGTTTTATTTTAGTCTATCAATTGATTGATTTAATTTTCAAATTATTTATCCCTTTTCTCAATAAATTAGAAGAATTCTTCGTAATTTTGGGGTAGTTATTCAGTACTCTCTTCTTTTTATTATTTAATATCTTTAAAATTTTATTATGTATGTTAATCCATTACTTTTTAATATATTTATTGTTCAAAATTATGAGTATGAATATGGTTGGTTTCCTGTTTGAAATTCTAAATATGATTTTATTATTCTTATTGAAAATTATCTTTTTAATCACTTGTCTAAACTGCAAATTCAGCTAATGGATGATCAGCTTAAGGATCTATAATTTCATTTTGAATTTTGGCGTCTATCAATTATTATTCCTTTATTTGGAAACTGCATTCATGTTCATAATATTGCTATTCCTCTTCTTGTATTTGAGAATCCAAAATTTTAGTTTAAGCATTCTCTTTTGGACCATCAACCAAAGGGTCGTCTTACAGAAATTCTTAATTCAATACATTGTCAGAGGGCAATGGACTATTTGCAATTAAATCATCTTAAAGATTATTTTATTTGATTTCATTGATTTAGAGTTCTTCAATGTTAGGAAAGTCATTTCCCTCTACGAAATCTCTTTATTTTTGATTATATTCAAAACTCTAAAAATTATATGATTAATACATAATCGACATATTCTTCAAATTATTAGATGGGTTCTTCTTAAGGAGCAAAATCAATTTTTTCTGTTTCAGTGATTGTGGATGTCTGTTGAGGTTGATCAATATGCTGCTGTTTTACTTCAGGGACATTGAATTCAGTAGGTTTATTTTAGACAAGTTAATTAAAATTGTCTGCATTAGCTTACTCTTTTTCTTCTTGTTATGAATTAATTTATAAATCATTATTTGATTCCTTTGGTTTTTCATTTGAATTTTAAGTAAGATCTTTATCCACAACTATTCTTGAACCTAATCTATTGGAGACATTCTTTTGAGGAAATTATCTATTATTTTGTTCCAAGAATGCTTATATTGTATTTTCATTTAATTTAGACATATCGAATGCCATCAACTCTAAAGGAGTCATAATACTTTACAATAGAACCTATCGAATAAATTGGCCTAATTTTGTAATAATAATAACTTACCTTTGGTGCCATTTAATCGAATTTTGACTGTATTTAATCTAGTTCTATACTCCCTAGTATTCTCACCACCTGATAATTCGAAAGCAGCCTATTCAAGCTAATTCGAAAATTATTAAGCAATATCTGTTTGTATTTAATCTTCCTCAAATATTTTAATCAATTCTGAAATTTAATTCTGCCTAACCTTTTTATCTTATTCCAATCTATTATTTACTCTTGCTTCCCTTTACATTTTTCAGGTTATTAATAAAAAGAAAAATAAACTTAATTATTTTTTCAATCTCATTTAGTAAAATAATTACTTTATGGATTTTGAGTATTTTGAAAAGCAAGACGATGATGATGATGATATGAATGTGTAATTCGATGAAGAAGATATCAAATACAACATAGAGGATTCAAAGAAACCAATCGAGAAAGAATTGGATGATTCTGAAATTTCATAAATAGAAATGAAAATCAATAAGATGAAAGAAGAGGAATAGTATTTCGATTAAGATTCAGATGATGAGACTAAGATAGAAATTGAACAAAGCAAAAGTGTGGAATCGACATTTCGGAAACTACACTCCTTTTATTTTTATTAATGATGAGCCAACCTTTGCTATTAGTCCATAATGGATAATCAATCTACTAGTGATAATTGCACTGTTTGTCATTACGTATTTCCAGTTTACAAAAAGAAAACAAAAAACCATTTAATTTTGCATTACAATCATAATCAATGTCTTAGAACTTTTAGGGTATGTGATTGCAGCTCTTATCAATCCTGGAATCAACACAGCCCTTCAAGAGACTCTCAATAAACATAATACTTGTTAGGTATTTTCAGTCTCTATTATCCAAGATTTGTGAAATAGTTCATTATCGAAAAGACACTTATCATTGCGAGACTTGTAATGTATGCGTAAGAGAGTTCCATCATCATAGCAACTTTTTAGGAAGATGTATTGGGCAAGGCAATTTATTCTATTACTACCTCAGTATTCTATTCTTGCCTTTGTTTCTAATCAATCTAATAGTATTATATGTGTTTTGAATTACAGTAAAACAATACATTTATATGAAATCATTTGAGTTTCTACGATTGTGGTCTGATTCTGAATCCTTGACTGGTGACTGCTCTTTGGGCACTTCCACTTCTTTTTTGGGTTTTCCATTGAATATTTGTTTGAAATGCAATTTTTAATTAAGTTTCAACTTCAATATCAAAGGCCTTTGGATTTTCTTTTGCAAAGGGAGGCTTATAGATTCCTGGTTGAGACTTGGTTGATGTTAAATGATGTAAATTAGTCGCTAGTTTCATGAACTCTTATTTGGCAGCTTATTCATGTCTGATTTTCTCTTCTTACTTTTCTTATTCAGCTTTTGAGCGTAATTCTTGCAGGAAGTTTTGATTTTTGATATTCATTTGTTCCAGTTGCTTTTTTCTGAGGTAAAAGTCATGAACATATTTACGATAAATATAGCCTCTGAAATATCTTTGGATTGTTTATGCTTAATGAGAGAGATAAATAATCTAATGGAATATGAGAATAGTAGATACATTTCTTCTGTTTTTGCATTCACTCAATTTCTATTTTACTAGTTATCTTGCCAGATAGGCTCTGCAATATTTTTGAATTGTGATTGTTGCATTTTAATTCTTTTTGTAAGATTTATGCAACACATACATTCGATAATAAGACTAGATTTTTGTGGCATATCTATTGTCAGTATCATAGTTTTTCTCCATCTATTCTACTTGCTCATAATAGAGTTCTACTATGTTTAGCAAGAGATTCTTTTTGTTAAACATATTATTTATAAATTTTATATTTTTAATTGAATTAATTCCTATATTCTCATATCAATAAGTTTCGTCTCATTAATTTTTAATTAAAAATAACTAAAAATGCTACCTAATTTAAGAAAACTGCAAAAAAGAACACCAACTGCTACAACTCCTGAAATCTCCTCAAGGAGAATGCTTCTATAAAAAAGTGAGCATAATGATATTTACTCTTTAAAATCTTAAATCGAATCTTTATAAAAACAACTAGAATATGTTTAAACAAATAAATCATTTGTAATGAAGATAGCTTCTCCACCTTCATGTACACAATGTTCAAAATTTAAAGTAACAATCCTTTCTTATTTTGCAGCAACAATTAGATCTTCAATAACTCAATGAGAAAATTACAAAAAGAAACTATGATCAAAAAATCGATGAATTGCATAAGTAATCTCAAAAGGCCATTCTTTCTAAGAGCAAAACAATTGAAGTTGATACAAAGTATGATGATTTACTTTTGAAATTGAAACAAATTGATTAATAAGAACTGCTGTTCGATGAAGACAATGCAATCAATGTCAATAATATTCACAAAATATAATTTTCATACAGGAACTCTCAAGAAAACAATCAATAATCTATTTAATAATTATTATCATAACTTGAAGATTAGGATTAAATTATCAAAAAACAAACCACCTTAATCAAAAATTCCAATTCCCAAATTGAATAATTGAACTGTGTCATATCAAATCTTTAAAACTAGTTAGAGAATCTTAAAAAACAGTTAAAAGATCATTAAGAATCAAACAAAAAGACTTTGCAAACTTTACCAAGCGAAGTCTCCCCAAAATTACATATTGAGACTCAATATGATAAGTCTCTCCTATAGTAATTATTATTTTAGAATCAGTCTCTCAAGGATTAGTTAATTCAATAGAATCATTAGATTGATAAATCTGCTTAAGAAAACTAAATTTAGAAGCATCTTTTGAGAATAGAAGTCTTAGAGACTGAACTCAAATTAAGTCTTCGATGTTGCAGATGCTAAAACCTTTTTGAGAAACCCAGAACGTACATCCCTTGTGGACATTCTTGCTGTGAAAAATGCTATAAATATAAATGCGATTCCTGTGACACAGAAGCTGTGTATAGGAATAGACAATTCGATGAACTGAAAAGGGTGTATTATATTATCAAGGATACGAAAACATTCATTCAAGAGTGCTTATTGAGATTGCAAGGTTGATGTTGTAGTTTATATTAAATTCTAATCTATGATATAAAATTAATATAAATCTGATGAAATATCTCATTACTTTATTCATAATTATAATTTTATAATTCTCATTAATATAATGCTAGTGTCTACAAATAATACTCCGAAGAATAATAAGAAAGGAAACACTACAACTAATGATGAACAAAGAACGATCGAAAGGCTCAGATTTCTTTTGAAAAATGCCATTTAGGTATATCCAAAAGTAAATTAATAAATCTAGCTTAATGATGAATTGGAAAAGAAAAATGCTTTACTGCTATATAGAGTAGAACAATAATAAAATTAATCTCAATAATCAATTTCACAAGATGATTATAAGCAGTAGCTTACTAAACTGTAATGCTAATTATCTGAAGCTTAGTTGGAAAATCAGCAACTATAGTAAAGTTTGAAAAATCTCAAACTATTAGGTATCAAATCTAATGTATAAATACAAGGAAATCAAAATCCACAAAATAATAAGAAAAATTTCGAGTTGATTCTCTAAGATTGCTCAATCTCTTCAATAGAAAAGCAATTTTACGAGTACTTTGAAAAATCATCGGCTGTCCTATAAGAACAAATGATTTTAGAATTCTAAAATAGATTAGAGAAATATTAGACAAAATATTAAATAGTAGAGATACACAGAATTACTAGCTTCACGAATTTGGATAAAACTAAATGTATTGAATCACAATAAAGAGAAATTGACATTCTTGAGTCAAAGTTAAACAACACAGAAAAAGAACTTAGTGACCTCAAACGTATGTTATTTAAATGCAACTTTAGGTGTTCTAGAATCATATTAGTAATAATACTCAATGAAATAGAGCTAACAAGATTAGGTTCATGACTTTTTCAATTCAAACTAATTCGAAGTTTTCACTTCTAGACTCAATAACAGTCAAGGAATGGACGAATGCTTGAGTACCGATAAAAGGTGGATAGATATTGATAATAATTAGCTTAAAACAGATGAACGCAAACTAATCCAATATGAAAAGATCATTGAGAACTAAAAACTAGATATAGAAAGCCTTTAAGACAAATTATCTAATTTATCTAAAGTAACAATATCAAATAAATCTTAGAAAAAACATCAATTGAAATTGCAAAATTAAGAACTTTCTTCTGTTTTATATTAACAAGCAGAAACCTGCTAAAGAATTATCTCCAATTTGTAAGCCAAAATTGAAAAATAAGGTCTTTAGATACAATATTATTCTTCTATCCAGTAGATGAGATCGAAATTAAATCAGGTAAATAGATCAATTTTCTATTGTATAGTAATCCTCTAAACATAGTGTATAGAGTAGTTAACAAATTGATATAAGGAAAAAGTTCACATATCATTCTCCAAATGCCAACAACTCTCCTGTATCCCTTGCTAAATCATAGGCTAATAATAGATCCCTTAAGAAGGTATTAATTTAACATACTAAATTAACAGCAAGACTCCTCTAATGATTAGACAACTTGGATCATCAAAACTACAGATGCATCATTAGTTAAGAAATTGGATAAAAAGGATTCCCAATCAGAAAGCACAACTGACTAGGTTCAAAAACCTACAAAATTATCAACACATTTATAAGAAGTTAAGAAATCCTTAGATTAAATTTCAAATGGTAATTGCACCTAGAAACTTTTAAAAGGATACTATTTTGCATAGAATAAACCAATTTTAACATTAGATGATTTTTGAGATTGTTAATATTTGTAGACTTATTTTTTTAATAGAAATACTGATAAAACATGATTATATCTCAACACTTAAGAGCATTTACATAATTATTCCATTCTTATTATATTTAATTATTTGCCTCAATTATCTTCTGATTTTGGATTTTCAAATACTCTTAAATAAATATATCTAATTTTGGATGGTGTTCTAAGATTTCCCCGTCTTGATTTCTAATAAATTGACCATCATAAAACTCTCCATTTTCTAATCCAATAATTCTATTTTCAAATTCGATCTCCTTGATAATTTCCTTTGATAAATCATTTTTAGTCAATAGAGCTTATAAGGGCTTCATTTTTTGGATCAATTCCCCTATGTACTATTAGCAGATTTCCTTTGTAATATTTTAGCCGACCATAAAAAAGCCTAAATTGGAATGAGTATCCCATCCAACATAGGAGGGTATTTACAGTTTAGAGCCATTAATCAATTGTTCTTTGAGTAGAATATTTACAGATTTGACTTATCTTTCTACAGTATAATTGTGATTGGCTGTGTACTCATACAGTTTATCTAATTGTCCTTCGAATCTGAGAAAAGCTTTTAGATATGACAAACTTGGTTTTTATGGAGAATTGAACTCCTTAACTCTGAAGATGAATTTATCAATTTCTGACAGTTTCTCATAGTTACTTGCTTATGCCTTTTGGGATTATGAAGTCTTGAAAAGTTCTCTTAGGATTTTTCTGAATTATTTCACACAAGGAATAGCATTGTGAATGAATACTTTTTGGTATGTAGTAGTTTGACTTTTATAGGATGCCAATTTGCTTCTAAGAAATGCATTTTGAGTTGAATTGTAGGATGTGCATGAATATATTTCTTTGGCCACAGATGATTATATCATATTATTGGTAATACGATATATGTTAGATTTAAGACAGACAGTTCTAAAGATCTTAAAGTACTCCTCTACTTCAGATTCCTCATTTCCAAAGGAGTCCAGGATAGTGAATTAACAGTAGCCGGGCAGACTTTGACTTACCAAGTTCTCACTAAAAGGATATCAATAATTTTTACATGGGTTAGCAATTTTCATTCTGATAGATGTTATTAATGTTGATTTTATTAACCACATTCTTAATGTATACAAATTTACTAAGTTTTCCATTACTTAATTGTTGCACAATAATATCAACTGATAAGTAGAATGGGACAACACATATGCATTACTCTTGGGAATACTTCAATTGATTTTCTAATTTATTGAGCCATCCTTCCTCATCCAAAATGGATTGTTCCAACAAACTGAAACTCAAAACCTAGGCTTTCTAATTAAAATCAGTTGCATATCTTTGCAAAGATTAAGCAAATTTAGTCTTGCCACTACTATAGGAACCTGTGATTAGAATGATTCCAATTCTATCATCTATTTGTTTGGATTCATCTTGTAAAGATAAATAGTTTAATAATTTGAGATCACTTTTGACTTAAGTCAAGATAACTAATTGTTTTGATTCTAAGTAATCCAATAAAAATGAGGATTCTCTAATTATATTCCCTAATAATGGAACTTTTTGTTCCTTCTTCAAAATCATCTATCCCAATCTAGTCAATTGGAATTCCTTAGGATTCTCAGTGTAATCCACTTTGATCTCATTTTCTTTTAGAATATTGATCATTTTCATATAGACTTAATCAACTGACTTGCCTACGAATTCCAATGCAACGGTCTTGGCTTACAAAGATGCACAGAGTATAGGTTCAGTCATAAATATCATCCAAACAGATTCCAATCCCTAAGTAAACTTGATCTTCTTCATTTAATCAAACAAAATGAAGAACCAGCCCAACTCATTTGTAAATATTCTGATGCCATTTTCATGTAAGATATATGAAGCAATTTAAATAGGTATTTCCAATAGAGCATGTTTAGATGGGAGGAATAGTCTATTTTTATCAACCTTCTCTGAAATCTACTAGCCCAGTTTCTCCAGAGGCAATTTCTTTTTGACTTTCTCAATGTCATCTGAGAATCTAGCATCTGTGTTGACAATTTAGAGATGAGGTATATTGCTAGTAATAATGTAATAGCAGTTCTCTTGGAGAATGAACGAATCAGAAAAAATTACATTTCCCAAAATGGTTCCGCCTACAACTTATGACGGAACACTCCTATACTCTAATCTTATTGAAAAGAATTAAGGTGTGAGCTTAAAAGATATAGGATCCTTAAAATTGATTGCCACTTCTTCACCGAAGGCATTGTAGCTAGTTACAGTTACAATCAGGTTGTCATTTAGGAATTACAATTTGTAATTAGCCAACGTTGCAGTCAATCTTTCTTGGGATAATTCAAATATCAATTAGTTAGTCATCTTCCTATAGTCTTGGCATATCATTTACAAGGCAGAATAAAAGCTTTCAATCAATGCCTTATAAATTTCAATTAATAAACTAAAATATTGATGTTTAATACCATTCATCTTTATGATATGAATGCTCAATGATTTGATATTGATACTCTTTAACAAAATGCTCGAAATCATCATGTATAGGAATGATAACATTTTCTTTGCTAACTTGTTTGGTAAGAAAGTATGTTCTAGAAAAGCGAAGAGAAGAGTAGAGATCACTGCTCTCCATGGTTAAATGTAATGGCAATTTCTCCTATGAACTGCAATTTCCGAAGGTGACTGTAGGTGTTAATTTATTAGATCGCTTAACGTATTTGTTCTCTTCGATTTCAAATGTATCAAGAAATATCTCAACCATTTATTCGCTTGTAACTGCAGGTCTTTTTTTGATAGCAATTTCTGACAACAATTATACGGATCCTGAGACATGGCCATTCAATCTTTAAGAAACTACATTTATTAGAGTTTTCATTGAATGCTTGTCATGTGGCTTGTATAACTAATTGATTCTTTCAGTCATATTCACAATTTCATGTTGCATTGAAAAAAACCCATTTCCCAATAATCCATAACCCTGTATAATAGGCCACTTTTCGATATTTCTATTTTTCTCTTATGGGAGCAAGACTCCAATTCTTTTTAAGCCTTGCATCATTTTCACAAATTGAGCCATTTTTAAAACTTCACTTTCATCCTTGTTCTCATCCTCTTTGATGGTAGGGACAAATAGTTTGAGATTTGGCATTTATAATAAATAGGGTTTTAATTGCCTAAAGCCTTGTTAATCACAGTATGCTCTCATGTGATCTTTGGTTATTACAAATATTGTTTCACTCAAGGTGTTGTCCAAATATTCATTTGTTTCAATCTCAATTCCACTGTGACCCAAAAACACCCAATTCATCAATTTGGTGTACTCGTAATTCTCTTTCGAATCTATTCCATTAATAATTAATAAGCCTAGGGAAATAGTATTATGATTCCATTACCATCTACATTTTCTTTGAGGCAGACCTTCTCTATCTTTTTTATTCTGTAATAGGAATCATATAAGTGAAACTTAGCATCAGGGTTCTCTAATCTTTAAAAAAATTGAAGCATCAAATTAATAATAATAATATATATATAATCAAAAGGAAAAAATGTTGATAAAATCCAGAAAAGATACCTTTCCATCTCTATCTGTATCCAGTCTATTGAATAGTAATTCCAAGTCTTCTAATTCTGGTTGCACTTCTTACTTATACAAAAAGGAATCAAGCTAATAAAAAGTAGTTTGTATATAGATACATCTTTTAAACTGATTTCATTGTCACATGAGTCTTCATCAATCATCATAAATAAGTATTTGATGTCACATTATGAATTGTGCTTCATTTCCTGATTGACTTGCTCGAACAAGAGTTCTCTCTGATACAGTTTCTCAAATAAGAGACAGAGTTATTATTTAATTCTTCCTTGAACAAAGTAATTTTGAGTTTGACTCTGCTCTCTGATGGATTGTTGTTCTTGATGATAGATGGATATAGGTGATATTAGTTGTATGAATTGATTAAATTTGATTCTGCCATCAGGAGATGCTTTCTTAAGTATAAGTGAGAGGTGTTGTTTATTAATGAATTCTTCTAGATCTTCGCTGACTAAGAATCCCATCTTCCTTTTATCTAAGGCTCTGAATGTATTGCAAATCGAAAAATCAGGTGCTGTCTGTAAATTCAGTTTGATTCTCTCTATTTCCTTTTCGAAATTCATTAACTTAAGCAGAGTATCCTTTAGAAAAATGGAGGGATTAAAGACATTCTTGTTTCTCTTGGGAGATTTCTTTATTCCATGCTTTTGAGTAGACCTTTTTTAGGTAGGTTTCTTGACTGTGGAATTAAGTGAGCTTTGTTATGATTTCTAGACTTTGAATAATTGCATTTAAGCTCTCAATTCTGTCTTTTGATCTATGTATTTTTTGTGTTGTTAATTGGGTGTCTTGAGGATGTAACTGGAATTCATATTCTAAGTTTTAGAAGTTTTGGAACTATCAACAAAACTAACAGATCTCTGATTATCAAATTCCTTTTTTGGTGATTATCCTGTTTATTTCAAAATAGAATTTAATTTCTTAATAGGAGTTGTTGATGTCTTCTTAGATCTATTTGATTATTGGGATTACAATTGTTTCTATTGGCTTTTTTCTTTGAAATTGTGTAGATAGGACTTCTCCTTGATTGGAGTCTTGCATTCCTTTGGATTGACCACTCTTTTTCTAAAGTACTTCATAAATTCGCACTCGTCAATGACTCCGTCGTTGAGTAGATCGAATCTCTTGAATAAGGATTGGAGTTCATGAGGATAGATGATTATGGCTGATTGTTAGAAGAGATCTCTGAAATTGGAGGCCATTAAGACTTGAGAGTTCTGGGGATCCATGAATTCAAAACATGCAGATGGACTATAATCGGAACAATCCTGCAGTTTTTACACAAAGGATGCTGCGGTTTCCATTGATTTTATTTCATAGTTGATTAATTTGGATAGTGTGTACGAAATCTTTTGATCATAATGAGGAACGTCTACATTCTAGAGTGCGATCTTTTATCGTAAGACTACGTTGTTCTGTGGCAGACAAATTCTCAGGAATCTAGAGTTATGACAATTATTACTATGAATAGAGGAGGTAGCCTTTGGATTCTTCGTCGTATAAATCAATGAATTGTATGCATTCTTCTAGGTTGTGTACGAAGCCATTGTCCTCTAGAAATTGGAGTAGATCTGCAGGGTTCAATTAGCCCTTTGAGTTAATGGAAATTCCATCTATGTGTTTAAAAATGAAAAAGGGATGGAAACGATCATGTTCGCAAAGCACATTACGAATAATTTCAATTTCTGACTCTAACTTGGCTAGATACAAAAAGTATTCACACAACCTGTTAAGTGTTTAAGGAGTTAATTATGGCATTAACAGACAACAAATTATCAATAAAATATAATATAATATAAGTGTATTAATTATTTTAGTTACATAATGGTTGATCGATCATTGTTTGGCTTTGGCAAAACCGACTCTGTCATTGTCTCTATCGTAGATGCTGTAATATTTCCTAAGGAACACATCTCCAAGGATCCAAGCAGGTCCTTGAGGTTCTTGAATATCCAAGGGAATGAAAGAAGCAATGCAATCCCAACTGTTGACTTCCACCATTGATTCTACATAGAATAAAGTGATATACAATCTTCAGAACTGTTCATCTCAGCAAATGCAGAACTATCAGCAGTGGTAGGTTTGACGTATTCTTCGGGTTCTAAAGTGTAATCAATTCCGTCGATCTTGAATGTAATATTGGGAAGGGATTTGACTTCAGAACAATGATCTTTGACATTCAGATTTCTTAATAAAGTGCCTACATCATCCATGGGTCCACTCATGATGGATGTTCCAGTATCAACAATCAATTTGCAGGATCCGTCGTTACATAATCCAATGTCTTTGCCTCCCACCAAAATGCTATCGGCTTTGATCATCCAGTAATATTTATCAATAACATTATGGTAGTTAATCTCTCCATCAACGTGAGCTTGATTGTATCCTCCCAAAGTAAATTCACTGTGTGTGATATCGTTTGGGTCTTTGGCGAAATAGAAGGCAAATTGGTTTTTTTCAAGAGCATGTTGTTACATCATATTGTCAAAGACTGGATTGAAGTTTTTGGGAGCCATTTATGGATATGCTAAACCAAGAATGCCGTCGAAATCTAGACTTTTGAAAATGATTCCATTCTCGCTTGTGATTTCAGCCAAGTTTTGTCTGGGTAGGGTGATATCTCCGAAATAGATAGTGTCAGAATTAACAAGTCCTTTCAGTTCTCCACTGCCGAATTCTACTGTCAATTCTTAATTCAATGGTAAAAACGAATGACTTTCCTCATGTTTGTATTATTTATGTCTCATACAACCTTGTTCTGAGCATCTGTTCGAATCAATCCACAGATTGGCACTGCCTGTGTCTAATACGACTTTAAAGACATTGCCAGCTTATCCTATTCCTAAATCTGCAGTGTATTGGATGTTTTTGAAATTGTGTAATCTCAGGTTTTCAGAGGCAGAGGATTTCTAGATAAATTGATTTTCAAAGAGTCTCTTTTGATTCAGAGCCACAAATTTGTAGAAATCCTGGGAGTCTTTTACATTCACGACCTTCTCATTCAATCTAAGATGTCGAACTTTTCGTTTTTATTCTTCAGGTTACAAGGGGGCTTACTCTTCCAATCTACTCTATTGATTTGTTAGTTTACATATTGATGGCATTTACGAAGAGGAAGTGCAACACAACACAACCAGATTACACTGTGTTTCATTCGGAAAAAAACGATAAATGATTAAATTTTATATTGATTTATATTTAATTGTTTTAGTAGGCAATATGGATGAACGAAGGGAGTGTGGGAGGGTGTGAAGGTAATATAATAAAAGTGAGGAAGATAAATTTTTGTTTTATATCAAATTTAAATATCTTTAATTAATTAAATAAAATGCTTGGATCATACAAGAGATATTGGGAGCCATCTCTTACAGAAGTGGTTGGTCTTTCAGTGCCAGTAGGTGCAGTTGCCACATTCCTCACTTAACCATTGGGTAACAGCTATATAATTAACATCCAGAATTTGTTAAAACTAGAATCTAAGTCAGAACTGAAGGAATTGGTTTGAGATAATTGAAAAATGAATTGGGAGTGAATCCATGGAGAATATTCAGAGAGATTCATGAAACTGGAGGTGGTTTGGCTCATTTTTATTATGGATTTGATGCAGCAATATACAGTAGATTGGGCTATCTCTTTATCAGAAACTTTTTGTATCACATAATTTAACTTTTAGATATAAAGCAATATACGATTAAGTTAAGCCAGTCAAACCATTCAATGATTTGACACTCAGAGAAAAGGCTGTTCTCTCTGGATCTGTAGGAGCATTTGCTGCTTTTGTTACATCTCCATTCGAATTAGCTCAAGTCAGAATGATTGCTGACGGTGGTCTCCCTCAACCAATCAGAAGAAATTACAAATCCGCATTCGATGCCATTAATAGAATCTAGGTTGAAGAAGGTAAAATTAATCAAATAATTCAATAGGAGGAAGCAGAGCATTGTTCAGAGGAGCCTTTGCTCATGTGGTCAAATTGGCAGCCTTGAACGTATCCTTAACTGGACCCATATGATTACATGAAAGAAAAAATATGGTTGGTTTTCGGAGATTTTGGATTCAATCACTTCCTTGCATTAACTTGGGCTTCATTCTGGGCAACTCTTTTCACCTTACCTTTGGATAATGTCCAAACCAGAGTTCTTAAGGCTTTCCCAGATCCCTCTAAAAATAGGTAATTCTAATGTTTATTATAAATTGTAGATTAAATTACTAAAATTATTTGGATGTCTTTAAGCAAATCTTCTTCTATGAAAGAATCCATGGGTTTTATGCAGGTGCTGTCCCCTACTATGGCAAAATGTTCTTAACTGCTTGGTTAACATGCACCTTAGTCAATGGAGTCATGGACAGTCAAAAGAGAGCTGCAGGATTGGAAGAATGGCAAATTTGATTAAATATAAATCAAACACAATTATCATAATAATTCTTCTTAGTTATGAATTTTTAAATAATTCAAACAATCACATTTTACTTTTTCATCTGGGTCCTCAAACCCATTGCGAATGTAGGATTATCATTGACTTACTATTCAGCCTACATAGCAATCTATTTAACAGACTATGTACTTTCATTATTTGTCAGAGAATGCGAATCAAGAAATCCGACTATTTTCCATAATCTTAGGAAAGTTCTTAACAAACTTAAACCCTATTCCGGAGTATATACCTAAGCAAGTAATATATGAAATTATCAATCCTATAGCCGACATCATACTAGCCTAAGGGTATAACTTTGAAAGCCATAAAGTAATTACGGAAGATGGCTACATCCTCACAATGTGGAGAATCTATAAGGATGGAACACATCCGCATCCACATCCCATCATCTTGCAACATGGACTATTGGATAGTTCCTGGTCTTGGTTCATTAACAATGACAAAAAGCTCACCTTGCCATACATCCTGGCTGAATAAGGCTATGACGTATGGCTTGCAAATAACCGGGGTAACAAATATAGTATCGGGCATACTAAATTCTAAAGTGTAAATTACAATCAACAATATTGGGATTGCTCCTTTGACGACTTAGCCAAATACGACTTCAAGGCCATAGTATTATACGTGAAGAATATTACTCAAAGAGCAAAGGTGATCTATCTGGGCCACTCTCAAGGTACTACCCAAGCCTTTGCTTATCTCTCAAACAACATTGAATTTCAAAACCACCTTAAATGTTTCATCGGACTCGGTCCAGCCATGTTCATTTCCAATTTGGTAATCTCTTTTATTTCTATTGTAGAGGTCGACTTTCTTATAATGGGCTATTAAGTTGTACATATTTGAAATCATCTATTACTTGGGAATCCCCTATTTCTTCGTTTTTGATGATGGTTTTAACATAAAAATAGGAGCACTTTGTTATATGATTCCCTTGATATTCAGAAACTTCTTCTTTGAGATCACCAATTAATTATGCGGTTTTCCTTAAAAGAATAAGATCGATTTGACTCGTTTCGGTAATATGGTTGCTCATGAGCCTGGAGGTTGCGCAACTAAAAATATCGTATAATGGTAAAGATATTGTTAATCTATTCTAGGATGTAATTCTTCAGATCTAAGCAATTGCAATACTTCGATTACGGGGCTACTTAGAATTAGGCCTTGTATGGATAAAGAGACCCTCCTCCATATCCAGTGGATAATTTGAAGAACTTTACTATTCCCAAATACTTTTATTTGGGAACCAAGGATGTCATCACAGATACAGATGATTTGGGTAAGATGTTAAATAAGTTGGATTAAACCCATATGAAAGTAGAGTTCATAGATGATTATGCTCATTTGGATTATGTATGGGCAGTTGATGCTCATGTTAAATTGTATCCTTCGATATTAAGAAATATCAAGGAAAATTAAAATTGATCACAAAAATGATTAAATTTAATTAATAATATATAGATATGATGTCAATCCTCGAATTTAACTAATTAATCGTCATTTTAATTACAATTTTAAATGTTTGGATTATTGACAAGTACTTCTTCTATTTGATGTAAATTATGTTCTTATTGTTATGAGTTTACGTTGTAATTATACTGATTCTGTTGTTATTCTTACTCTTACTCTAATTCCTATTTATCCAAATCCTCCTATGATTACACTATTTCCAAGGCTTTGTGTACTCTATTTTCAATTTCAATTGGATTTAGATGAGGCAACAATTGACTCCCATTAGTTCCTTTAGTTTCATATTAAGTTGATTGGCCATTTGGTTTACTCAAAGGAGGGGAATCATTCTACCTTATTGATTAGAATGGAACAATTTAAGAGAATTTGACTTAGGTATTTAATCTACTCTCCACTAGATTATGAGAATGATATTGATCTAGATTCTTCTCATCAGATGATCCTCCACTTTTAGATTTGTTTTCTTCAATAAATTGATGAGGATCATAAATCCAGAGATAAATCTTTCGAATAATCCAGGAGAAAAAGAAGATGACTGAAATAGCTCCAAAACATATCAACAAAACATAGGATTCAGGTCGATTAGGAAATATCTATTGAAGTTATTCATTAGACTTTTTGGCCACCAAATCTGAGGGTGTCAGAGTCTTAAACACCTAGGAATTAAGTAAAGTGTTTTGGAGAGTGAAAGTTAAATTGATGGATTCAACAGTATTAATATAGTTGTAAGAGAATCCGTATTGAGTGATTAAGAAAACAAAGTAGACAGTTTGGTTTTGACTTAATTTTTTGTTGTTCACTATTTGATATCTGTAGACTCGATCTGTGGAGATTTCATCAATCGCAATGCCATTCTCTAATTTTGTATCACTTATATTCTTGATGCTCTAGACAATAGCATAGGAATCAATCTGATACAGTTTTTCACCGCCTTAATTCAGAGTTATGTCCATCACAATGTTGTCATTAAATTGATTATAACCTACATTTTAAACAGAGATGATTATGACACAGCCTTTCTCGTTGGATTCAAGTTGATTACATAGCATCTTCCCGTGTTTACAATCAAATACCTTCTCCAACTGTATTCTATATAATATAAATAATATATGTACTGAAGAGAAGGACTGTAATGTGTGAGAAAATCCAGTAAAAGATTCTGGAAGTTCAGGATTGTCTGACTTAAAGCGTATTATCCAATATTAATAGTGAAGCATATTTTGTTGATTTGATATATGTAATTTTAACATAAATCCCCATTAATTTCAACCTAATAGAGCTTTTAGTAATCTCCCATGTTGAGCTTATATTATTTAGATAGTTAGTAAAGCAATTCGTAATAAGTTGATGAATTGGAATCTGGAATAACCAACTTATCTAAATCACCTCCCATGACCATTATGATATTTGGTCTTATTTATTAAATTAATTTATCAATTGTCAAGGTCTCAGCCTCAGAAAAGGCACTTATCCCTCTGAAGATTTGACTGCATCTGTTTGAGGATGATCCGATCTCATTGATTCCAAATTTGTATTGAAAGTTCCTTGAAAGATCCACGCCTTATTCAGTTTATGAACATTGGTTGGAATTGGACGGATTTCTATTTTTAAATATGAGAGGTATGGTTTAAGTTTAAATAAATTAGGTTGTTATATATTGATGTCCGTCTGCATTTATCAAGGGAGTGATCCACAATTGCTTGTCTGATAGTAGAGTCATCATAAATGGATTTTTGTTGGATAAATGGATGGTTATATAGTACAATTGATAAAGGAGATAGTTTACTGAGATTAAATCAGTAGTGCCACGTAACATGCCGATGATTGTTATTTGATACTTGGGAGATTTGGTTGCTGAGATTTTGATTGTCTTTATTTAGGTTCCTTGATAAGTATTCCCAAACGATTGCAATGTCACTTAATTTGGAAATGAATTTGCCAATTTTTCAATTAATTCAGAATATTCACTCAACCCCACATATCCTGATATTGAACCTGACGTAAAGTACTCCTAGAGTGTTTCTAACTTCAATTCTTGAATTTAAAAGGGAGTGAGATTCAAAAATTCATAGATGCTCAAAGACTAAGTAATTTGTACAAGTAAAATAAAAATCATAATTATTAATTTATGCAAATCGCTAATTATTAAATTGAACTACCCATCTCTTTAGACTTCTCTTACTAATTGTTATATCGAGGATTCGACGAAACCAAATAATCCTATTACATCACTATCTTCCCTAAATCTGAATTAGACTCACATATGTATGAAAACTTAATCAAAAAAATTCAATTATACCCTTACATCAAAGATGCAATCGAAGATGACAACAATCTACTCATTTCTTATTCTAATAGCAACAACTGGATTAAAATGCCCCCCAAAATTACAAACGATCAATTCAACGCATATCTGAAACAATTATATACTCTCTATTCGTTAGATACACTTGGAATCTATGACTTCAACCCAGACTTTCTTTACATAGATCAAAAGACTGTCTACACCATTGATTTTGGCCTACGCTATTCCCTCTACTAAATTAAATACCAACAACGATACAACAATAATTATAAACAAGACTAATATATGAAAACCTGGATGTTCGGCTCATTGCTTTATTGTCTAACAACTGGAACCTAGGATCCCAGCTATCTGATTAAACAAAATCAATAACAAATCAACTACCACATTGAATACAATTGTAGACAGAATAACCTTAGTGAAGAGAATATTCATTTTCTTAAAATCTTACTTCAAGTAGATTATGATAAGCGTCCTGCATTTGATCAACTTTCCAATCTATTCTAATTACAACAGACTCAAGTAAACAAAATGCAATCCCAAACATCTTTCCACAGTAATCAACAAAGATCAATTAAAAAGATTGATAATCTAAATGAGAATGCCTATCGCTAAATTTCTAAATCTACATTTACCCAATCATGTTCTAAATTTGTGCCTACTTTGCATCATAACAAAATTAAAATGGCATTAAAGTAAAATTTCTATTCTACTCCATAAAAAGATTTGAAGCAATCTAAAATTAATTAATATCAATATGCCTCTTAATTGATTAAATCCAATCTGTCCCTTAAACATGGACAAATTATCAAGAATCTTTCAACTACTAAATCTTTTTACAATTCAAATTAAACCTCAAATAATAAGACTAACTTAAATGAATAGTATTAAGACAATACCAGAAGCAATTAGTAGAATCTATCACTTAATATTGATGCTATTAATCAAAGTAGAAGTACATCATTCAACATCAAATCAATAGAATAACAATCAAATGCATAAACTAATCAAATGGTTATCAAACAAAAGCAACAAAATAATTTGGAATCAAATAAGAAACCAAAAATGAATTAACTTAACTCATTTGAGTAAGATCTCTTTTATAAAGAGGAGGATGATGAGGACGACTTTATTGTTTGAATTAATTGAATATTTATGAACAAATCAAATATAAATTAAGTAATTTAAGTTAAGTAATTTAAATTTAATGTTAAACCCAACAGTCACAGAAGCTGATTAAAATTAATAACTTGAATAGAAACTCATTATCTTCTTAAGAATTATATTGAACACTGAAAAAGATGTTTTACAATTTGTCTAATGTAGGCTGAAGACATTAAAGTAACATTAGCAGAAAATACTCGATTTGATGTAAGTGAGGCTTTTCGAACTATTGACGCTAACTCGAAAGGATACCTGACTGCCTCTGATATCTTTAGATTTATGTGCAAGAATGGATATAGTTTATCAATGAAATTTTGTGATTTGTGGATCTCCATATACAGCTCAGGAAATGACAAACTAAGTCATCAGAAGTTTCTTGAATTTCTTGTGCCAAGATATAACAAGAGTCAAGCCATGTAACTCATTATGAGGAAACTCTAAATAACAGAATGTTAGATCTTTCATTTTATTTTTAGATAAACTATCATTCTATCTAGAGGATTTTGTGGCCAAATTGATTTATTTAGAAGTCGACTACTTGAAAGTAATTGAAATTGAAAAAATGGGCATGGCTCAATCAGTTAAATGGAAGTTTAACACTATTTTTAAAATAATTGCTGGGAATCAATCATATATTGATAAAAGATCTTTGGATTAATTACTAAATAAATTTGAAATATAATCACTAAGTCCATTAGATTATTCAATGTTTTTAAATAGGTTTGTTAGAAAAGATAATTAAATAATTTAAAGGGACGATTTTAGTGATGCAATGTTTCCAAGCAGAGAATTGATGTTGGAATTCTAATAGCAGAAAGATGGATTTAATGATTATGTACTCAATCAAAATCAATAATTGGATTAATTGATTGGTGTTGATAAAATTGTTGATAAGGAAGATTTTCTATTTAAACCCGAAGATCATAAAATGTAAACTTAAACCTTTAGGAAAGAATTGGAATCTATAGATAATAGGATATAGATCCAAAAACCTTAAGAATTACCTAAGTTATCATCGAATAGATATTTTAGTAACGAGAAAAGTAAGCTGATTCAACAAAAGGCTTAAGTCAAATCTAAGAAATATTAAAGTCCTTATGAATACGCCAATTAATTTCGTGTGAACGATGATTTATTACAGGAATATGAAATGCCTCAAAATTATTCACAGTTAACTGTGAGTCAAGGAAATGTCTCTAGTTATGTTTAAAACAATTAACTTATAAAAATTGAAGAATAATCCAACTACAGTAATTTTGGTTAATAGCCTAAAAGAGTTCAATATTTTAATTCTAGATTGTGAATTTATATTTTTTAAATATATATATAATCTTCATTACGATTTTAGTTGTTCTCTAATCATTTCAAAGAGTATTTCTGCTCTGATCAAATCAATTTAAGGATTTTAATTTAATACTCGAGCGAATAGGGTTTCTAAGTCTTAAGTCTTGAAAATTTTATGATGGAAAATTATCCCTTAAAATAGAAATAGGTTTACTTATGAGCATTTGCCTTAATTTTTCTAGATCCTCTTCTGAACTAGTGGATACCCTAGGAATGTCTTTCACTTCAGTAGTAATGTCATCAGCATTTCTAGTTTTAATTCTACTTGAAGATTCAGATTTTTAGGTAGGAAGTTTAGCTGATTATGCTCTCGGTTGCTTTGGCTTTGAGAGTTGAACCTTCTTTTTATTTAATTCTTCGATCTTTTAAGAGAGTTCGCTATTAGGAGTTTCTTCAAGCATTCTTTATTCTTTTGTCTATTAAGGGTTATGATCGATATTTACAAAATGGTGTAACAATTTGTCAATTTTAATATTTGCCATAGTTTCCCCTTCTCTTCTAAAGAACCTAGGAGGATGGGCTATTGGATCATTAGAATTTTTCTTTCTTTCTTACATGCTTCCAGCACTTGCAATTCTTCTATATTGGGATTATAAATTCAAAATGTGTTGATCTCTTTCAAATTTTTCTTTTTTTGTTGCATTTCCTGAGATGTTCCTTCGAAATTCCATTGTAATTGGAGCATCTGAATTAATTCTCCCTAAATTGATTAGGATGAGTTACCCTTTTTCATGCCAATTACAGTTTGAAATGTTTTCATAACTTGATCAAATTCTTTTTTATTCTTATACATTGGAAGATCAATTTCTTTGGGTTTTTAGGGATCCACTTTTTTAATGTTGCTTACATGCTATAGTTTAAATAATAATTTACAGGTCTGGGTGGTTTAATTTTTATAGCCGGCTTAGCATCTATCAGTGCTTTATGATGTAAAAACATATTGTCATTAAGCATCTTCATTCCACCAATATTTTTGGGGTTAGTTGCAAAGTTTTTCATTATATAAATTATTTTAATTTATAATCATTGATTTTAAGAAAGTAATACCCCTAATTATTCAATATTAATTGATTTTTTGTATTCAAATCTTGTTCAAATGTTCCATTAATTTATGATCTCTTATTGTATTTAATGAAGGAATAAGAAGATATAATTATTGAATTAATCTTCACGCGCTAGGAGTAAAGGAAGTGGGATATTGTTAATTTTATTTTGATTATATGATGTTCTGAAGATGAGGTTGAGACTATTGATCTTCACTCTAATCTGCAGACTTAAAGCATTCTAATTCAATTTATTTTAGAATTTTAAATACATATCTAATAAAATTATTTAGTCTTAAATTAAGAAACTAAATCATTATAATAATCAATTGAATCATCATAACCTTAAGATGAATAGTCAATGTTTAAAGTTAAATTTAAATCAAATGCAGAAAACTATGAAGAATATCAACTTCTTTTCTTGAATTTTCATGTTGTTTTATTCATTTTAAAGGCATCTTATAAGAAGGATATAATAAAATGCTTTATCAATTTTATATTAGCATGGGAGTATATGGTTTTCTCATTTAGAGCATAAGAAATCGTTATTATTAGATATTAGAATATAATTTGATTAATCTAAATAACATATTTTATATATATATATGAATCATTCATTAATAATTCAATTTTTTTGTAATTTAATCTTTGATTAAGTTTACTTATTTAATTATCTGGTTTTCATCGATACCTGAATTACGTAAGTACTCAATTAACACTTCGGTTTCTGCTCTGTCATCCCAACTTAATGCACCCTTCTACTTCTTTCTCACAACGTCATTATGATAGAACATTTGCTCCTCATATTTGACATTGTCGTAGGGTATGGTATTGACATAATCGTAAGGTACCAATCTGGTTTCTGTGGATGATGCTGGTGCCCATGCTTGGATGTAGATTTCGCCTTAAAAGAATTCAGTTGGCTCATTGATTTCAGTGGGGTAAGCACATCGAAATTTCAACATGGCCTTGATGGATATAAAATTGATTGATATACTTTTTAAGGTTTGAGGATTTTAACCCATTCCATTTGTAATTGATTGTCTCTTAGTACTGCTTACTCATTTTCCATAGGGGTCATGCATTTAAAGTTGGCAGTTCGAATGTCTGAAATGAATAGATAATCATTCTTGTTAATTAATTCATACCTAAAACAATTCCTTAAATTTTTAGGCTTCTTCGTTAGTGAAACAACGTTAGTAGATAGTAATCTTTGGTCCCTATTTAACTTAAAAGTCGTTTGGATCAAATAAATAAAATTTGTGGTTTTAAAATAAATCCGATAAGAATTAGATGTGAAATCCTGGAGCTGCTCCTGCATAGATAATATTCCTAGATAAACAACCATACTTTGTCAAAAACCAAATCTCACTAATAAGTAATTTCCTTTAACCCCAATGAATCACATCCTCCTTCTCTCTTTATGCTCTCGAGTAATACTTTTTCCGTTTATCATTCTCTTGCAAGAGTAATTGAATAGGTTCATTGCATTTTTTAATTTAAATCAATTATTACTTCAGCAAATTGGTTTAATTATAAGTCATTAATTTATCTTCTTATTCAATTTTTATTTACGAAGGTAATAGGATTTTTGGAATCTCAAGGGATTTTGGTACAATAATCTTGGGTACTTTAAGTTCGAAATGAGTATGAGTGATTTCCATCGAAATTTTGGTTTCTTTATTTTCTAATTGTTCTTATTTAATATTTTAGACTTGTGGACATTATACAGGATTGCTCTATTCAACAATCGATTTGTTGATGTGATCTTCCAATTTGATAACAATTTTATTTGTTTTCTTATCTTGTTTGGAATTCAATCCTATCACAACCTTTGCTTTTGGCATCAGAGACATACTAGGTCTTTGGCCATTTAGCACAGTCTAACTAGGATGAGACATATCGAGTATTTTCTTTGTAGATTGGACGATTCGCATAGACATTTTGATAAATATTTATAAATAATAATATAATATTAGGCTAATTATATTAATGTCATAATTCATAGATTAAGAAATAAATGGATATAAGGTGTAAAAAGCAATAGGCGAGGGTAAGTTCTCGACAGTCTACAAGGCCATGAATTAGGAAGGCAATGTGATTGCTCTGAAGAAGATTAAAGTAAGAAATGTTTGCAAATAACCTAAGATATTTGATATGATGGACCCTAAGCATAGAGAGAAATGTTTGAAGGAAGTGAAGCTGATGTAACCGTTGGATCATGAGAACATTATAAAATATCTGGATTCATTCCTGTATAACAATGAATTGATCATTGCCACTGAATGGGCAGAAAGGGGGGATTTAAAAAAACTAATCAAAAGCGCTTAGGCAGATGACACTCCATTTGAAGAGGTTTAATTGTGGAATTACATATAACAAATAGCAAGTGCTCTATCACATATGCATGAAAAAAGAATTATGCATAGAGATTTAAAACCTGCTAATATTTTCATTGGGGGAGATGGCACTTTGAAAGTGGGAGATCTGGGATTAGGCAGAATATTTTCATCAGAAACCATAGAAGCATATTCTAAAGTTGGGACACCCTTATACATGTCACCAGAGGTAAATGTTCAATTAAAAATTAGAGCTCCTCCATGGGGAAGGGTATGATATGAAATCAGATATCTGGTCATTAGGATGTATTGCATATGAGATGGCTGAATTCAAGAGTCCCTTTAAGCAGAGTGATAAAATGTCATTAGTAGATTTGTTCAATAATATTACTAAAGGTGAATTTAAACCTGTGTCTAATCGGTATAGTCAATAGTTGCGAACTGTTATTGAAGGCATGATTGTGGTTGATCCTTCAAAAAGGTTAGATGCAAACACCATATTGCAAAAAGCTAAAGAGATGTTTTCATCTCATTCTGATACTAAGAGGACTCCTCAAATCATTAATGTATTAGTTATGGAGGTAAATATTGTTATTAATAAAAGGACATTTATGAAAAGCTATCTTTGGTTTAATATCATCAAAATTTCTGTGTCCCTTTGAAAAAGAAACCAATTTCAAAATATTTCTTCTCTTTAGATGAAAGTGTGAACTCCTCATATAGATTCTACTATTTTGTAGATTTATGCTATTGGCTAATGAATTTACCTAAGCAGAAGAAGAATAAATTGGCACAGCCTATTAAATACAGTAATAATCTAGAAGATACTGCTAGAAAACTGTTACAAGACATTAAAGCATGGGGTATCAAACTGCCTGAATAACTTGGATCTCCTCATATTTCCTCTGGCTTTGGAGATATGGTTTGCTTCATCCTTAATGATCTACTCAATAGAGAATTGATAAGAGTCAATTTTAAATTTGAATTACCATAATTTGGCGGTGATTTAAGCAATTCACAGGTCCCCAGTCACCATATCTAATATGACGAATAAGATTTTCCTGAAGAATTAACGGAAGAGGATCAAGATGAAGTAGAAAATGATGAATTCACACAGAGTATACTGTTTTATCAAAAGAAATTCAAAACAGAATAACCAGACTTCAATTAGATTCCTCAAAATAGATAAATTATCTAAACTAAAATTGCTCTTAATGAATGGACTAATGAGTATAATAGAGTCGAAAAGGAACTCAACAAATTTGAAATCAATCTCAAAGAAAATAAGTCATATCTAAATGATTATCAAAGATCTATGAACCTTGTGAAGAAATGCTCAAAGGTAAATTGTTTACGAATAGCAATAGCAATTAACTATCGCATCGTAGTACTTCAAATCAAATGAAGTGTAAGATATCCAATAATAATGGATTAATTATCTCGAAATAATACCTAAATTAGAGACTCAAATAACTAATTTAATCTAACCTGAACTTAGAGAGATTTTATACAATAATAGACAAACTATATCGTAATTTGAAATCAAAATCAATACTCTAAGCAAATCAAATTCTTCTAAATTAGAACTTGATTAACAATTACATTAAAATATAGTTGATATCCAATCTAGAATCCCTACCCTTAATGATAATAGACCTAAATAAAGGTAAATTATCAATTAGTTAAAAGTATTAATTCAATTTCAATATTATAGAGCGATATCAATGATCTGAATGTTAAAATTGGTATTTTATAGACCTAATTGACTAAATCGTATTCCTACAGTAGTGGATAACTTTCAGATGAAGAAGACTTTTGAAATCAATTAATATTATTTATTATGAACGAAGTTTATTTTGTTATCAACTTCCTTAAAAATAACAATGAAGATCTCTCACAATGTGAAATTCACAAATTCATGCATAAATTCCTCATTGTGGATACAAAAATCAAAAGGTTATGGATTATTGATTCTATCCAAAAGAAAGACCATCTATCAATAATTCAACAAGTTAATAAGCAATACTAATAGTATTAGTATCATTTGGTGTTGTTGACTGAAAAATGCAAATTAATAGTGTATGAAATATAATAAAATAATATCCTATGCTTGTGAATCAATTCAAAATCATGAATCCTTAGTTTTTATTTATAATAGAGCCAACTTCTCCAAATCATATTGTTCTAATTGTTTATAGAAATGAACAGCAATGTCTAATTGTGGAATCAGGTTCTGCAACAACTCAATACCTAATTTCAAGGGCATTTTTATTTCATTTATCAAATAAGCCAAGATAAAACAGGGACCGATATTTAGTCCATCTCTGCAATGAATAAGCACCTTCCCCTTTTATAGTAATGTCTACATAATAATTATTCAAATATTCTACTTCTCTTATGAATCTATTGCTTATCCTAAAGTGTTTTTTAATATCCTCATCAGAAGTATTGTGAACATCAATGTTCAGATATTTAAAATACTTAGTTCTTTTTGTGTATTCCATGGAAGTCAAATTCAAAACATTTGTAACTGCCTTCTATAACAAGTGTTTTGTCCATAACCCCATAGCAAATCCACAAAGATAAATTCCAGGTTAAATTTCAATGAACAAAGTCTCTTTTAATTGAGATTGGTAATTGTATGGACAAAACGAGAGGTGAGGAAACCTTAAGCAAACAATGTCCTCTTCCTCTTCCCCATATTCATCTAATCTTCCTTCGCCTATAACCTTGGTTCCCTTTTCCTCCTCATCCTATCCTCTGAGAGTCTTCCTTGATTATTAATGACTGCCGATCTTAATTTGAGATCGCTTCTCGCTGTCTTTTGATCCTAGCATTTTCCTCTCTTCTTCTTAAGGAACACCTAATTCCTTTCTAGATTTTTAATCTGAAATAATGTCCTTTCTGGATGCACCTTCTATACTTTAATTTGTTCGTCGAAATTAAGAGCTCTTATCAGTTCGATTGAGCATCAAATTTCTAATTATTTATATAATAATATAATAAATAAGTTGCTTCATTTTCTTAAATCATATTATATTTTTATATTGATATACAATGTGTATCACAGCTTAAATTGAGATAATACATATTAACCTTAAAATATATTTCCTGTATTAATTAAAATATGAAGAAATTACTTTAAATTAAAATAGCTATTTTGATTTTTAGATTTCAATTAATTTTAGCAATGAAATTTCTACAATTATGCTCCTCATCATCCTAAGATAATTCAGATGATGTAAATTTAAAATATATTTAGAAAATATTATAATCTAGAGTAATTAATAAAAAATAATAATTGATTCTATGTTTTATATTGGTAATTGCTCATTTCATAAATGGACAATGTTGTTTGGCTCCTTGATAATTTTCACCCAATTCCACTAATCCTTCCATAATTTTCCAAGGTTGATGTCTTTGTTCCTTAATAGATAGTGCATTTCTGGCCATATCATTCATTACTGTTATGCAATGAGTAGGGAAGATTTCTTCAAGTAATTTTGCCTTGGCACTACATCTACTCAAAGTGGAGACTAATTATTATTGGATAGAGGTTGTCTATTCAATCAATTCATCGGTGATTCCATTTTTCATAAAAGCATTATATGCGTGATGAGCATCTTCAGCAATATCAAGTGAATTTTGTAAACATGTCAAAGTTTTATTGTGTTCTTCCATAATTGCTGTGCTATCAGAAGATGAACAAGCCTTTTTCAATTTGACAATTTCCATGATGATAACAATAACATCTTTAACTTGATGGCAGAATTTATGTCTAGCAATGTCTAAACCAAAGACAAACAAATCCTTGGTAAGGAATCCTATTTCTTCAATGCATGGAACATTGATCTTTTGGATTTTCTCCAAAGGGTTGGATAATGTTAAAACCATTAAACAAGCTATCACTAATATCTTCATTTTTAATTATAATTGGAAATGATGATGATTCAAAAAGCACATTAATATCAAATAGATGATGAATCATAACATTCAAAAAATTAAATTTTTCAGCCTAAGACTTGCTAATTCATAGCTTTCTTCCCATAAATATGTAATCTGCTTATAATCCAAGCACCATTTTTTTACCAGCTAATTTAATGATTTCATTATAGATACCTTTAGAATTAAACTAATATGCTTGATTAGATTGATATTATTTCCCGTAAATAATTTTGGGATCATACTTCTTTTTTCTCTTAATTTCAGGTAATATTGGTGGTTATTTATCTACACCATCATCACTATCATGATTCTTATCTATTTTTAATTCACCTTACAATAATGGAAACTAAACTCTAAATAAATACAATTACTCCAGGATTTTTTTATGTTTTTGCATTTTGATTTTATGGCTTTTTCACATTCGGTTAATACGGCTGTTTAGGATCATCAATTCTTTTAGTATTTTCCAAAAAATTATCATTCCTATTTATCGATAATTTCATTACTCCTAATGTTGAAAATGTTGACAACATCCTCCGATGCTTTTAAAGTTCTATAGGGGGACATCTGCTTCATACAGTTCTCTATGCAGTTCTCTAAAATATTCATGCTTCAAAGCAGCTTAAGCAGTGATTCTTTCCTCAGGATCATATACCAATAGCTATTTAATTAAATCAATGCATTCCTTGGTTTAACCTTGGAGAAGTCTTTCAATACCGCTTCCATGTTTGTTGGGGAAATTAATTTCCATGTGAGTAGCTTATCTATTATCAAAATTGAATTCACTTACTTTCTGAATCTATCAAAAACCTTGGGATTTGGAGTTCCCAAAATATTATGGATCTTATGAATTTAATCCAATTCGTTTGTTCCTGGAAATAGAGGAAATAGAGCTATGATTTCAAACATTACACATCCTACACCCCATAAATCCATCTTCTAGTCATAATATCCATCTGTCAGTAAGCATTCCGGTGCTCTATACCACCTGGTTGAGATATATCTATTATCAGATGAAGGTAATTCATACTCTGTATAAGGATGCTTAGAATAAATGCCTTTGCAAGATCCAAAATCAGCAAGTTTCAGATGATCTGAATTCAGTAAAATGTTTTCACTATTTAAATTTTTAATGTATACGGCTTGATATCTCTATGGAAGATACCATTTCTATGCATATGATCAATCGATTTTAACAGTTAGAACATAAAGGATTTAACTTTTTAAGGATTCAACGGTTGTCTCCTACCTAAATGTAAGGTATATTCAGATACCCTTGATATGTTCGTATAGATTCTATTCCATTAATTCAAATACTAAAGCTAATCTTCCTGTAGGTTCATCACTACCATAATAGTAATAAATTGAGTTACTATAGAACTTCTATCAGCCTTATGATGTGTTTATGAGGACTCAATTTCCTTAATGCTTGAATTTCTCTCAAATGATTAACCTTTAGTCTTCATACAATCGTATACTTATTCAATTGATGTGAATTTATTTTTCATGCATTTTATAGCAACATAGTTTCCTGTTTTGAATGATTGTGATTTGATAACCTCTGAAAATGTTCCCTCTCCTTTTTTCCCTACAAGTTTGTATTCTAATGTAAAATACTAATTTCAATTACAATTCATTTAGTATTGTTGTCCTTTATTTTTTACAATTAATTATCAATAATAAAATGGCTCTTTGACTCAAAACAATATAAAAAAATACTAACAAAATATAAAATAGGTTTTCGATGAATTTACTAAAATATATGAATTTGAAAATATATATAGGCGACATTTGATATTTAAAGTATTAACTAATAGATTAAGAAAAAAAGTGATCTTTTTAATTTTTTAGGAACAGAAGCGATTATAATAAAGAACACTCAAAAAAAATAGATGAATTTTATTGTTTTATACTACTCCTATTGTTTTAAAAATTCATCAATCACTCTAAAATTCTCGAACTAATTCTTTTAAGGCTTTCTTTTTGCCATCCTCATGAGATTTATTTTATTTATCTGATCTGTCACTCTCCTTTTCCTCTTCTTAGTTTTGGGTCTGGTTCTTAATGAAATTTTACTTTAGAATTAAAATTGGAATTCATAACTTTTCTTGCAAATGAAGTGGGATCTTGACTTTCCACGAATCCGGAACCGAATTCCTTAATATATATTTAATAAGCAGCTTGGATGTGAATTTGATTTCGTTTGAAATTCAGATGAGGCTTAGGTTTATCGTATAGGAAAGGAACTTATTTACTATAAGGTTAATCCAATTTAGGCAATAGCTGACTCATTATTTATTGACTGAAACAAGAATTGAAGTATTATTAAGCCTGTTAATCAGGTTTGAGATTGACTTCTCTTTTGGACTAAGGAAGTTCCTTAGTGGGTTACTTGTTTTTATTTGCATTTCTTTATTTCAATTATTGAGGCTATTTACGTAAGGCAGCTTTTGTTATTTTCTTAACCGTTAGTGGCTAAACAGATTCTTAGCCTTTATTTATTTCTGAGATCAAATTGTAGAAATTTTTGACAACCTCCCTAAAATCATTGTCATCATAAATTTTTCTTCTATTCCTGATTAACTGAAACGATAATTGGAATACTTCATACATATGATGATTTCTAACGAAGATGATTAATGTTATTTGAGCTCTCTTATTAATGGTCATTTTCAGCTTGCATTAATCTGATATAAGTATTAAATTAAAGCATTTGCCATTTAAAAAATTGTGTTATCAAAATATACAGAAGAATGATTTCAAAAATACTAATTTTATACTAAACATTCCACACTCTTATATTAATTTAGCCCATTCGAAATGCCCTAAATCACTGATCCCACATAATCATCTTCCAAAATGGTTGTGCAAAATTATCTAAGCAAGTTAATTAATTTATGATACTTATCATTGTATTTATTTGATAAATTTAAATCCCATTCTTTAATTGATGTAGAATTTTATGTTAAAACCAATAGTTACCCACAATTATTTAAAAAAATACATAATCTAAATTATGTTTTAAGATCCCTATTCAGCTATGATGATATATCAATTTGTTTCTTCCAATAGCATATACACCTGATCGTATATTTTGAGGATTGAAAATATTTTAAAGCATAAAAGTTTAAATAGCAGTGAAGCTCATCGTTCTCATAATTTTCTAATTTTTCAATCGTTTGTTTTATCCTGCAAAACTGTTAATTTTTTGAAACTTGGAAGTTGGAAACTATTAGATTTATTCAAAGATTCAACCTAATTCTAAATTATTTTTTGTTCTGTAAAACCAAATGTGATTTTTAATTTTGTCTTAGTCATTTAGAATTCTGAAAGATTGGCTTTACCTAACTCTAGATCTTAATTAATTATGGCTATTTTGGTTCTTTTTATCTTGAATAGAATTAGTTTAGTTTTAAAATCATTTTATTCACATTTATATACAAAATTGCTCTTGCTATTCGAAGTTATAGAATTAGAATTCTATTTATTTACAATACATACTCAATTATAAAATATATAACTAGTTTTGGTGATAATAAATTCAAAATTTTTAATGTATCCTAATAATTTATATGATACTATATTTGTTATAGAATTGAATTGTATTTTTAATATAATATAATATATAAAGAATAAACAAAGCATTTTTTACTTGATTTATGAATATTAAACAATAAAACTCATTAATTTTAGAATAATTAGCAATATTAATGTTATTAATTATCAATATTTCATCTATTTCAAATTGTTCTTCTTTAGGCTAGATTAAAGTGGGTTAAATTTTTGATGGTGTGATCTACATTATGTAGGAGTTCGTGATGGTATGAACTAGCTCATCAATTTAAAAATCCTTTTGGATTTCTTAGCATATTTTGATTTCAAAATATCAAAGTGATTATTAACAAATTCAAGATACAATCCATGCTCTTCTTTCGTCCAATGTCCTAAACAATAAATTGGATGAATTTTCAATACCATTAAGTTTATTCTCTTTTATTTCTCTTTCTGTTTCATTTTTAATATATAAAGGCTCTTCCAACAATTAAGGTAACTGTGAACAGCTCTAATTTTATAATTCCTATTTAATTGTGTCATTGCTATTGCTACCTACACGTTGCAGCTCTTTATTTTATTAGGTCAGTTCACAACAATAAATTTAAGGGACTAATTATGGCTAGATGATTTTTATACTGTATTAAAACATAGTGGGTTAATATTATAACCAGAGTTAAATAGGGTAATTGGCTAACTAGTTTTACAAGATTCTGTTCATATATTCATATTAATTCATTTCTTATTAGAGGAAAATATAAAATTTATATTAATACTCTTATAAGTGGTCATTTGGTGTTGTAATTCGCATCATTATACGAAATTCAACGACTGAAAATAGAAAATGAGATTAGATATAATTAGTCCAATAAGTCTTAACTTATGTAATGGATTCTAAATTAGTTCAGTGTTCAAAATGATAATGCGTAATAAAGCTATAATCTATAAAAATTGAATATAAACAATTTTATGATATTTTACAGTGCATACATAAAACTTTGCAACTTAGCATTCTAATGAATTTTGAAGAAGAAGACATGAAAACTAAGTACATAATGTTGTAAATATAATTTAGAAAATAGTATATATCTCGAAGATCGATTAAATTATTTATGAATTTGTATAATTTAATAATTAATATTAAACATTTAATTCTCAAATTTCTTACTACTTTTAATAATATTAGATATCTTAATTTAAGTTCTCAATACCTTGGTTTAATATTGGTGCGATTCCACTCATAGATTACTATTATATTTATGATATTATTACATCTTGTAAGAGTTTTTTCAGGTCCTTTTACAATGTATTCAAGTAATCGATATTTTATTTGATAATTGAATTGTTTCTATAATGATAATTAAAAATCATACTTATCTCTTTATTGTTGTTGTTATTTGGTTAATTTTTGTGATTGTTGCTTTTACACAACGGGCTTTGTTAGATTTGTGTAATCTTTCTTTTGTACATTTTCAATGGTTTACTAAAATTCCTCAATTGCTACTTCCAAAGTTTACTATAAAGATGTAAATTTAGGTTACCTTAGTTTAATCGAATTTAGTGAAATCAGGGAGAGGATCATCAGGTTTGAAGGCTTAACCTCCGAAATTGGTTAATTGATTCAACATTTCTGTCAATTTAGGAATCATGCTTAAACTACCAAGTAATCCTTCTCCTTTATTCAAACCACTTAATAAACTGGCTGGATCGATATTAGGAACATCACCAGTAGGCAAACTATGATTACAATGATTATGGTCATGATGATGATCTTCATTACCATGATGATCATGACAATTATGATCGTGATGATGTTGCTAATTTTGAGGTACTAATTAGTTTTATTGTTATTATTATTATTATTTGGATTGTTGTTCTTATTTAGCTTTATTCTTATTCTTTTTTTTCTTATTATCCATTTTTGAATTTTGATTTTTTAAATTAATGTATTTGGTTTCTGCATTTAGTTTCAATAGAAATAGAACAAAAAAATATGATTTTATTTGTGATAATGAATCATTATTTATAAACAATCATGTTGATTAATTATTGAACCTCCAAAACTATGTAAGGCTATTCCACATTAAGAATTGATTTTAATTGTTTTATAGTATTAGCAATTTGAACATAGTCATTGATAATAATCTTCAGCCATTTCCAAGCATCTTACAGTGACACATTCTAATCTAAAAGTATTTAATAATTTATTTTACTATCATATAATTTTGGTTATAATTTTATTATCATGTCTTTAACACTTTCTGTAAACTTTTTATACTATTTTAATTGTTTCTAATCAGTGGTTTCATATTGTGACATTGACTTTTTTCGATTCATCTGAATTGAAATATCTTGATTCGTAATATCCGTAATAGAAGTCTAATAAAAAGACGAATCGACTGATTTATGCTTTTTCATCATATTTATCTAATTCATTAATTCTTCTTTTTATATTGTGATTTCATTTAAAAGTTTATTTGACTTGATAACATTGTTTTTAGCACCATTTAACTCCTCGTATAATTTTTAATTTAATTTTTTTAATTCGTTAATTTATTCAATTTTATTCTCCCTATCTCTTTCAGATTCTTCTAATGCTTTTTTTAATTCAGAAATTGTTTTATCTGTTACATCCCTTTATGTATTTGAAAGTAAGAGAAGAGATGAGTTTTGTATATCATCAATCAATAATGATGTGTTATCAACATATTACTTGTTTTGTGCAGTTTCCTTGTAGGCTTGGAGTTTTTGCATTATCTCAATTTGATCTAGCTCTAATTGCTTATACTTCTAGGCCAATTCCTGCTTAATCTCTTTGAACATAAAATGACTTAATTTATTATTATTGTTTTAATTTACATTCGATTTTGAAAATACTAATACTCAAACTAATTCATAATCATTCGATTTATGTTATAATATCTAGAATTTCTGTTGATTTATAATTCACAGCATAATCAATTATTTACTGTACAATCACATTTACATATGTAGATTGTTGTCTGTTATATATATTAATTAATATAATATGCGATTGATGAGGAGCAAGAAATAATTAATTGAGAAACATGATTGTATCAATATTTTATGAGTTCTTCCTTTATAAATTGATTCCATTCCTTTTGTTTGGCTACATTTTGACTATGATTAGTTTCCTCATCATATTGTTTCTCCATTTGTAAATAGAACTAGAATGTATCTTGAAATAACTTTGTGCATTCCATTCGATAATTCTTAGTATATTTGAATTTGTCTGCTCTAATTATTGTTTATTGATAATTTACTTTTATTTAAAATCTAAAGCACACAAACAACCAATTAGATAATGTCCAGTTTCATGTTCTAATAATCTATCCCATTTGTTTTTCACCCAAGATTTATTATTGAAACAACACCAACTTTGGATGATTAACCGATATCTTATATTCTATGATCTTTTCATCTTTCTCATGTTGATATCAAAAGTATATCCAACTGTCCAAAAACAATGAGCTTTCCATGGAGATGACATATTTGGGGATGCTGTAAAATAACTCCAATCAATCTTCAGAATTTTGATTCCATTAATAGTAACAGGTAGTAATCTTTTGAAATCATCATAGTTAAAACAACTTAGAGGATCTTATGATGTATTTTTGGAAACCAATATATCTAATAATGTTTACTTATTATACTCTCTACATTATCCTCATCCAATTTGGAACAACTCTAAGGTGGACTTGAAGTACATGAATTACTGCAACATGTGGTGTTGCTAGAGATGCTTGGCAAATGATGAATTCTTTCAATTTATTAAATAATTACTTAAATTATGATGAGGCTCTTTTGGGTAGATTGTAGTTTTAATTCTTCTGACTCTGTGAAAGCTTTCTATTCTCTCTCTATCTAACTTGGTTCATTATCAAAACTCCAAAAAAATGTTTTAATAATGCTTTTATTAAAAATCTATGATATTCTAACATCATTAAAATAACAGTAATATCTGTATGAATAATCAATACTCATTCCATTTGCAAAGCACTTGAAGTGCATTATCAGTTAGTATAAATTTTGAATCTCACATGAAAGTGATGTGAGTGTTTAAAATTATATATTATGAACATTAAATCCATGATTTATAATTAATTCAAAATATGATGCAAGAAAATTATTATTAATAATATACCGTAATTGAAAAAGAACTATCTTCTTAATTTTATTTATTTATGCAAAAACACATCAAATTTAAATTTAATGAACTTATTTGAAAAGTTAAAATATATTTTAAGAAGTATTTTTTCTTCATCTCAAGTAACGGAAGAAGAATCAAAAGATAAAGAATATGAAGAGACAAGTGAAATTATTGCTTCTTTGAGAAAACACTTTTAATCTTTAGAACAACACAACAAAGAACCATTGAGATTGATTTTACTTAAAAAACTTATTGAATTAAAAAATAAAAAACAAAATTACAAATAGCAAGAATCGAACCTACAAAGGATGCAATTGATGTTTCCTCAATAAAAAATAAATTATAATAATACAGCCACCTAAAGATAAAATCAGCCAATTTCAACTCCAACATTTCATAATTAGAATTTTGATACCTAAAACTATTTCATTAAGCAACACATTCCTTAATTTATGATAGAATAGAAAATGCAGCAGTCTTATGAAACTAAAGATTAACAAACATTCTTCCATTAAAATTAGTTACAAATCAACATACAATTGGAATCCATAAGCTTCTCATCTTCACAAAGCCATTTTACTTTTGGGCAATCAAATAGTTTTGGATCTTAAATGATATAATAATCAATATTGAACACTAAAGAACAATAAACTAAATTTGCCTATAATAATATGGATTGTAAAAATTAGAGTAAGAATTTGTAATTATATAAAAGCCTGTGGAGAAGCACAAAAAAATTACAGACCAAAACCAAAGTTGTTTATTTTTCCAGAAATTGTAGAGGATATCTATGAGTCAACTATCCTCACAGAACATAAATTTAGCGAAGCAAAAGAGACTTTATGAATTTTTTACTGATGTCAAATTAATAATTTATAAAGATTATTCATTTATTTAATTATAAATTATTTTCTTCTTAGTCAATAGCAACTTTAAATTTGATCTGTAATTATGTATCAGCCAACTTTGAAGCAAAAAATGAATGAAAACAGCCTTTGGTATTTAAAATTGGTTTCTCTCGATTAATTTATTCATTTTATACTCCTGGAATATTAAATTGCGATCTTTAAAGAATTATATATGAAAATATACTTTTCTTCTTATTATATTGGTTGTGCAAAAGCACTTGGTATACACTTTGCATAGTTAGAAGAATCCGCTATATTTAAAATACCACTTATTTAATTGGAGAAGTCATGCTGTTAGTAGTGATGATCAAAATTTTAGACATTCTATTCACTTCCAATTTTGATCATTTGGTTGCTTAAGTAGGACATCAATTATGATTTATTGCTAAGGTATAAGGATTAAGTTTTGGAATCATAAAAAGCAGGTGTTAGACATTTAAGTTAGCTTGTCTCAATTATTTCAAATTGCTAGATACTGAATTCCCTGACGGTATTAATAATCTGTTAGGGTTCTGGTACTTAAAATTAGTCTAAAATATTACATAATTATACTTTAATTTATAGGTGTTAATTTATTTTTTTTAACTGTTTACAAATTAACAGCTGGATTTTCAGATTAATATTTTTTTTTTAATATGTCCATTAGAACATTGATCGATTAGCAATTATTTTTCTTCAATAAACAATTATATCTATTTTTTACTGCGTTTTCACTCCTTTTTGGTTTTAAGATTTTTGAGATCAAAGCCCATTTCTTTTACTTTTTTTTGACTAGTTCTAACAATTCTATATCTTCCTTTATATTCCATGGATGTCTATTTATTTCAGGATTCAGATGATTATTCCATCTTTCTCTACATTGTTTCCCTGTTCTTGGAGAGTCTTTAAAATGTTTGTTTAATAAATTAGCAATTTTACACCATTTATTCTACATACCATCCTCTTTGCTTTAACTAAATCTAATATTATATTATACTTTATCAATTATATTAATTATTCATCTTACTCTTATGTCCAAGGTGTTTATTACAAAGATAATTTCAATAAGTCATTCCATTTATTTTTACACAATTCTATTGTTCTCCTACTCATGAGTAGCTCTACTTCCTCCCATACTTTAGTTGGCTATTTTTTAAATCAATCATTTTACAATTTTTCTAATGTTTATGCAGTCTCTTGAACAGATTTTCAAGACTATCCATATCAGAATTTACTTATCCTCCTCTGACCAATTTTTTTTAATCCTATGGACCCATTACTTGGATAATTCTTCCTACAAGCCAAATATTTATTGATTAGTAAAAAGTTCTGTTACATGCAATTATTCTTGGACCCTCCTAAATATGAATACATAATACTCTATTGATTGAATTTAATTATCCTGGGTTTATTCGTAAAAGGTTAAAAAATTAGAGAAAAAATTTCTGTTATTATCAGAAAGCTACTGGACACTTTTTTGTTTATCTAAGAAAAACACTTAAAAATCCTTTTACTTAAATCATCTTTTTGTTAATGACTATTGTGGGAATGTTTCTTGTTATCCCAATTTCTAGTTTGCATAAAAAATCTGTAGTTTGAGGAATTATTTATTTAATTTACACATAAACATAAAATCATAATTTATAGTATAAACTACAATCATTTGTTCATTAATATAAATCATATTACATAATAATATTTAGTTATTTTCCTGGAGGAGTTACTTTTTTATTTAAAATGTAACTATTACTTACAAAATTTACATTTCAACAGAATTTACTAAATTTATAATTTAAAAAGTAATTAATTTAAAGAAATCAAAAAATTATCAATATTTTATGAATAATCAAAAATACTTAAGATTTATCAAAATCAATCTTTTTTTTATAATATTTACTAAATCAGATTAGATTAAATGGCTTCAATCTCTTACTTTGTTCTATTACTTATTTAAATTTAATCCTCCAGTTGTCGTTTATTCTATCTAATTTGTTCTTGAATTTTATCAAATTACAGTTGAAATTACTCTAAATCAGATTATTATTGTTAATTTATTAATTATTATCTTATTACAGCCGATGGTGTAGATTATAATCTTTCAAGTAGAGAATTTATCTTTTCATTTTTCTCTGATATCTTTTTCTATAGATATAGATTTCTTTCCTCCTATTGAGTTAGGTCTCCTTTTCTTTTTAATTCAATGTCATTATACATCTAAGGTATTGATTTAATTTATTACATTTTCAGACTCTAATTTAATTTTGATTGCCACTCCTTTGATAGATTTCTGAAAACCGGTTGAAAGATCTTCATTGATAGATATTATATCTTCCTCTGTTTTGCATTAGGGGAGTCTCTTATCACTAATAGCTACAAGATATTTTTTGAATTGTTGCAAAATAGCTTTATTCATCAAATAAACATTTTATGCTTAATAGAAATCTAATGCAATTTTGTTGATTTCTGAATTTTATTCTGTCAAACCCAAGAGTAATTTCTAAGGTATAAGTTGAAAGGTTTATTTTTGGGCCTTATTTGTAGTTCTTAATAGTAACTATTTGGACTTGTATAGATCCAGACATAACACTTAAAGTATGAATTATTCTGATGAACTTTAATCTATGCTTGAAAAAGGTAATAAATCAATGCAAGTAACATTTATAGGAGATTAATCTTACTTATATTGAACCACATTTGAAAAATCAATTGAAATTAATGAATTATGATAAAGCAGAAGTAGTTGATGTCTGTTAGGCAAATCAAATTGATTTTACACTACATAGGTTACATTCTCACTACAATACACAATTTTAGGCAACTCACATTTACGTAGATGTGATATTAGGAGATCATTATCAACCGATTTGGGAAATCTAATTTCATCTTAATATATTTCATATAAGGTTTGTAAGTCTTTTCCAATTACTGCTTAAACAATAATATCTTCATTGGCTTGTTTAGAAACAATAAAGAATAAATAATAATCTGCAATTGCCAATTTTTGAAATTGAACATAATTACTTTTTGGCAATTAGTAATTTATATTTGAAAATGATTAAAATTTAATACTTCCTTTCTGATAATCATCCTATGTAGTAAAGTTATAATTGATTTTGAATTCTTTTTCTGACTTGTCTTTTACAAACTGAACCAATTCTTGCTTTTATGCCTGTAAATACATTTTAGTTTATAGTCTGAAAGTCATATTTGGTAGAATGAATTCATAATAATATATGATTCCTTAGTTATTTAAAAAGTAGATGAGGAATGAATTAGGATCTTCTGTTGAAGCAAAAGAAAAAGCTAATGCATTTCCATTCATAGCAGAATTCAAATTCATTCTTACAATTGGTTGTCTGAGATCTCTAGTTTCAAAGATTAGGAATTATTATTCCCTATATTGATAAAATACTATATTACTTTTGATAAGTGTGTTATTTATTCAATTCTTGAGATGCTTAAAGAAGAACCAGATAATTGGGATTTAGTGGATGAAATCCCGCCTATTAGCAGAGGTTGATATTTTTAATGAGGTAAAGATATAGCTTATCATCTTGAATAAATCCTGCATAAACCTCCTTGATTAAGAGAAGTTATTACTATTCACTTCGACTATTATTTGTTTTGACTGATTATTTTACTAAAGATTAAGTATGAATTATTACTTAAAAGGAGGGCATTATTATCATTCATACAGAACTCAAAAATTGAATTTCGATATTATTCTTGTAATATTTCTGTTTCTGAAACATTATTCAATAATTTAACTTAGTATTCTTATTCGTCATACCTTTGCTAGAAAATGAATTGGCTTAAAACAAATCTATCATTTATGTATTTCATTCTATAAACATCTTGATTATCAAAAGCAAGTTAATTTAATGGCAAATATTTAATCCAATCATTATTTGATCCTTCTTCTCCTTTTTGTTATTGTTTGATACTCTTATCGTAGGAGTGTTGAATCTTTTTGGTGAGATCGCCTAAGAGATCATTAAATGATTCCATCCATTTTTTTAGTGTGTTATTGGACATTATTAATAAAATTATTTTAAATAATTTAAATAGCATTAACAATAATTATTGAGGAATATTAACATATTCTTAATTTATTTGAATTAAGTGTTTAAATTCAATTAGAGTGATAAACAACTATACTCATATATCTCTAAATCTAAAACTAGCAAAAACTTATAAAATGGCAAATATTTTTATAATGCTACTTCATAATTAATAAATGTCTCAACAAACATTAAAAATGATTGATTTTTAAAAAGTTAATGTAAAGAAATTCTAACACAAATGAAATAACTTAAAGTATTTTTGAAAGTTAATTAAATTTAAACTAAAGATCTCCATAACTCTAAGAAAACATAATCAACTTGGGAATTGATTATGGATATCAAAATTATAGAAGTGAAGAATTATATTAGATTTAGGGTTTTTAATGATTGTTTAAATTAAATATTTAATGGCTTTATTAGTATTTATTTAATTGTAACATTTTTATCTAGCTATAAAAATTAACTTTTCTAAATAAAATTATGATTGGTTGATTTATGAATATTTGGATTTAAAATTACAATATACAACCTCTTAATTTTATTTCCATTAATTTCAAATATAATAAAAGACAAAATGGCAGGAAAATCAGGAAAGGGAATTGGCAAAGTCAGTGCTAAAAGACATGCCAGAAAACCAAATAAGGCTTCGATTGAAGGAATCACAAAACCAGCAATCAGAAGATTAGCAAGAAGAGGTGGAGTCAAAAGAATTTCATCATTCCTTTATGATGACTCAAGAAATGTTTTAAAGAGCTTCTTGGAGAATGTTGTTAGAGATGCCATCACATACACAGAGCATGCAAGAAGAAAGACAGTCACAGTCATGGATGTTGTTTACTCATTGAAGAGATAAGGAAGAACACTTTATGGCTTTGGAGCATGAGTTTTTATAGTGTATTCAAGATTTAATTAATTCAAATTCAACTGTTATTCTCTTCAGCATTCCTGCACTCTTTTTTATACCCATATCAATAAAATCAATTCAAGTGTATAACAACTACATATTCTTAACAGTAAATGTGTCTTACACAAGTAATAAACAATAATGAAGAAGGAGTTCTTCAAATGGATAGGTTGTCTATGCAATTTTGAACTTAAATTAAGATAGCATTTTATTGGTCGGATTCAAATAAAATGGAATAAAAGTGTATAATTAAATAATTATAATAATTGTAAATATTAAAATTTAAAATATGTAAGTATCACTGTTATTCAATACTGACTTCATCCCTTATTTTATCCCATTCTACTAAATAACCTTTAGTGCTCATGTTAAATTTGCTTAATTCAACATCCTAAAATAAATTTGAAATGATTACATGATGGAATTTGAACTTAAATGGGTGTTTCTCTGCCCTCTCAATCATTTACTTAGTAGTTTATGAGACTTGAACTCTGCCTTCTTCTCCACTGCTCTCCATCTTATTGGCAATAGATACATCTTTGCCATAAATGTCATATCTCACAATATCAGTTCCAATGATTCCTCCTGTGACTTGACCAGTGTGAATACCTATTCTCATATTGAGTTTATCAAATTTGATCTTCAATCTCACTTACATTATAATCTCCACCATCTAGAATCCCATTTTCACTGTATTTATGGCTTCTTAAATGGGCTAATGAAAATAAGATAAAATATTTACATTTCTTTTGGCACTGTTTGTGAATCCCATTACAACATAACAGTCACCGATTGTATACATCTTATACACATTGTATCTTTAACATAATTTGTCGAATTCTGTAAAGAGATTCCTAAGCATGGTCACAACTCCTTCTGGAGTTTAGGTATGTGAATATTCAGTAAATCCCTTGATATCTGCAAATAATAGAGTGACATCTTCAAATTCATCTATGAAATCACTCTTGTCGTATATTGAACTATTCTTCATCTTTAAATAGGAGTGCATGGGCAATAATTGACTCACCAAATTGATTTATTTGACTTTCTTATCCTCGTTGATTTGCAGATTGTTAAACATTTGAATCTATTCTCTCATTGCCAAATAGTAACCTAATAATAGGATGAGCATGCAACAACAAATGTAGAAGATTGCAAAATGAGTTACTAAATCTGAAGCTATGTAAAAGCCCAAGAAAAATCCTAACATTATGAACATATATATGATCACTTATAAGAAAGTGAACATCTTCAATTAGCAAGTCACAATCATTATGTACAGTATCTCCAAAAGACATATGATGGCTACTTCTGAATTGTCAGTCAGGTAGGCCTAAAATAAGACTGTAAAGACAGCATATATCAATAGCAGGAAATACATTAGATTCACCAATTTGTTCCTGTAGGCTTTAGATAAAATTGGGAATAGCACTATCACAAGGATTAAAAATATTGCCTAGTATATAATTAAGTAATAGTACTCTTAAAACAAAAATAAGAAGATTGTATTAGAATAGTTTGCGAACAATTATTGATAACAATGTGATTACGAAATAAGTGAACCATAAGAATACAATGCCTACTTTAGATTCATCTAAATTCTACTCTTTCAGAATTTAAATGAAGTTGCATTTGATCTCATTCTCAGGTATATTCAAAATCAAGTTAGGCTTAATTAAATCTAATTCCCCATTGTCCTCCTATTCATTCGTCATAAACACAGATTCATCTGTCAACACTGCTTCTGATGGTTAGACTGGCACTGACAGTCTAGATTTATTGTCTACTTCTTAAGGTGAATTTTGTGGCATTAAAAATTATACTGTTTGAGGGGCTTTTGGAGATATTTCTAGTCTATTTGATTGTTTCATATTATCCACATAAATTGAGTTTTACAGTTAGGATAAGAATTACCCCTTTTTCGATACTATCTACCTTTGACTTCTTTACTACCTTAGATCCTTTACGACAATCTTTGTACAATTCTGCCAAAGTAGAAATGCCTTAGGTACTTGATATCCTGGTGGCTTAGTCTTAAACACTTAATAAGTATCTATTATTCCTAATCCCTTGGCCTCTTTCTGTTTCTTTGAGTAATATTTAATTCCATGTCTGGCTTATTTAAAGGCTTATTCACTTAAAGTAATTGCTCCAGTATCTCCAGTAGAACCTACTCTACTTGTCTGATTCACTGGATCACCTATTAATGAAAATTATGGTTTATGATGTCCAATAACACCTGCAATTACTCTGCCTACATGGATTCCAATCTTCATTTCTATCTGATTGCCTTTTCCATATTTTCTTCCTTATACTTATTACATCATATCAAATGCCATATTGACCAATCTCATAGTTTTCTCGGTTCTAATTACATGAGCAGTCATATTCTATTCACAAGCCTTGATTCCTGTTGCTGCCATGTAAGTGTATCCAACTGTTTCTATCTTTTGAACACCATGTTGGATGCATAAATTATCATACAATCTAAATAGAGAATCCAACATCAAAACAACATTCTTACCTTCCTCTTTCATAATAGTATCAAAATCACAAATATAAGCGAATAAGATTGATACATCATCTTATGCTTATTGCATTGAATAAATTCCAGTTGATATTTATTGTCTGACAAATCTAGGAACAAGAATACTCAAAATGTCTTATGCAGTCATATTGTCTTATTCAATTGAATACTTGGCTAAATAATCATTTCTTCTATGCTTTATTGATTTATAATAAGTGAACAAAAATCTTATTGTAATGCTGATGACCAACAATATTTAAGTGCAAGCAGCATAAACAGAAATCCTGCTTTAGGTGTATGTTCCATTTGAAGTGCTTAAATCAGTAGATACAACAATAATTAATATCCTTACAATCAACTGTATCAAATAACAGATATTGTATAACATAATAGGTATGACTGTCATATTCATAGTATTAAATGTACTAAACAAGATTACCAATGTTGCAGATAATGTAATAGTTAAATCGTCTGATAACCAATCTATAGCAACTTTAAGTGCAAATATGATCAGAACAGTCAAATGTGAATAAGTATAGTACTGTTATTCCATTATTGATGTGCATGTCAACAGTAAAATTAAGAATACAATGCCGAAGATAATCAAATAATAGACTCCAGTGAATACTCTAAGATCATTGATGAAGAAATCAGTTAAGCAATAGGCTATGAAATAGATTAGTAAAATGCACAGGAAGAAACGTAAGTGACTGAGTGATTGAGACAATTTATGAGCAAGGAACTTTTATTCGAGGACCAATTCCTTCATTTCCAAAGTCAAGGGTTTGAGTTTCATTTCAGTTACTTTTGTGTCTCCAGGATTGAGCATTTCGGAGATGTAAGGAGACGTGGTAGAACAATCAATAAACACGTTTTGTATGATAGTAGAGACATTACTAAATTTAAATAGAATAGTTACACATGTTGATCTAGGCATTAATTTAATATATGCAAGTGAGAGGCATCTTCCCATTATGTACCATCCCAATTAATAAATGCAAATTATTAATAGACCGTTGGAAATATATTCAGTTTAATGAAATCATGAAGGAAGTAATTTATGAAGAAGCATCCAAATAAACAAAAGACTATTGCTACTATGCTATTAAATCTAGTGAATAATTGATAAGTCAATTCTTAGTAATCAAAATCACTAAAATTTCCTCTGTAATTCAGAAATACAAATCCAACCAGTAATCCAAATGTAAGTAAGGAAATAATGATGACAATGTGTACATTATGTTGGATCAGTCTAAATAACACCTTTAATGCTGATACTGTAATTACAACGTAAATGATGCTGGTTGCTACCATTTAGAAATCACTTTGATGACCATCATTAGTCCAAGCATAATTAACCATATATGTGCATGAATAGAAAGTGAAGGCAGCTGATATAAATGATTCCAAAAATGCTTCAATCAAATAATAAAATCCAAACCTTTTAGTTCTGATTTGGCCATCCACATATAAAGTAGGAATTGTTGTGTTAACCAAAGGATTAGTTTCCAAATCAGCTAATCCAATAACCAAAGCATTAGGAGTTGTGTATAAGAATATGAATAAAAATACAGTCATTGAATCATGTAAGGAAGTAGCAGTAAACTAACAAAACCAATTGAAAAAGAAGAGTGTCATACCCAAAAAGCCTGCACAATAAAATAGATATATTATCATAGAAGAGACACGTTCCGAGTGCAATTTGCACTTCTATAGCAATAATACTTTTATCTCTTTTAATGTATTAACACTAATGTCGCCAGCATTCACTTATGGATATATGTGGTTTAGTTTGCTATTGATTATTTCAATACTGATATGAGAGGCTTGCATCATAAGAGCATCATTATAACCATCTCCTACTCCTAGAATGGTTGGTTTATTTGGAAAGTAATCCTTGATGATTATACAGGCTAATTCTTTCTATTGTGGATTCATGTTAAATCCAATTACATTCTTACAAACACAGGACAAGAATCTAAAATGACTCATTAGATCTGGTGATTCACTTATTATTGATAAAGAGTTTCCATTTACAACCAACACAAATTATAACATCTATTAATAGGATGCTCCCTCAAATAATGTTACACTTGATTTAATCATACTTCTACTCATTGATTATTGTGCTTGTTTCTCTTATTGTTTAATTAATTGCTTCTCTTGTATTTTCTACAATTCACTCTATATCTATCCTATTGCAGTATTTATTTAAAGCCATATCTATTCCTTCTCTGTTGCTACAATCCTTAGATATTTAGAAGTCTCAGTCATTTCCAAAGCCTAAGCACAACTAATGGTCTATGCTTCTTAATCGCCACTCAATAACCAAATGTTGATATTGCACTCTTTTACTGTCTTAATAAAATCTAAAGCATCACTCTTTAATTCCTCTTTGAATCCTATCATTCCCATTAAGTTTAATTCCTTTTCATATTCCAAAGCCAATTCTTCCAATAAACTATCCTAATTAGTCAGAGAACTGTGCAACAAATTGAATTTTTGTTTATAATTCTCAGTTTCTTTATCACTCAACACTCTTGTTGCATATACTATCATTCTTATACCTCTGACTTTATAGTTTTGAATATAAGCATCTAACTCTTCTCTTTCCTTATGATTTAATTACAGCTTTAACTTGATTGCTTCATAATCTCCTTTACAAATCAACAATGATTTATTTTTAGAGCCTTCTCCACATAATTAATTCAGAGCCTCATGTTCTTGGCCCAATTCGAGATCCATAGTCGTTGGTACTTAGACTACTACAGAATTCAAATTTCTATTGTAGGTAAATAAATTTAATCCTAATACTTGATACCAAATTGAGTTTCCCCTCACTTTACATAAGTATATATCTGGACTATCGAATTTATTAAAGTTCTCCAATTAGTAACCACAAGAACGGGCAAATGTTAATGAAATCTCCTCATTCTTGGAAAATGATTCGTAAGTTATTGAATCAGCCCCAAAAACTGGTCTTGCTTCATGACATAACATCAAGCACTTCAAGAAGGCATCATAATACAATGTATTAATGTCTTTTGTCTGCAAGTACTCCTTCTAGGGTGAACTATTCCTTAGTTAATTGACTAATTGCATAAATTCATCGTTATTATTGCCTGGACTATTTTTATGTTTTGGTTGAGGTAGAAACATTCTTGTCTATGAATAATCTGGAATCTGTTGTTAATATTAAACATCCATATTGAGAAAGGTCTATCTTTTACTGATTGGCTAGGCAGTGATTTAATTAAAGATTGGATTATTGTTGGAAGTCTTAACACTTTTCAGCAATAATTTCCCACTTGGTTAAACTTCAGTTGTTTGATTGCTCTTCTTATCATACTCAAAGGGAATCAAATATTCATTGTTATCATTTATACTTGCATATTTTAACGGGTCTTCGATATCATCTTATTTTGCTGATTTTAGGTTTAATGTCAATTATAATTAATCATAATTGAGACTGAATGCTAATTATCCGAACAATAAGTTATCCAATTTATAATAAGATGTAGTTAAGGTGCCTGTCTTATCAATCAACATATAATCAACATGACCTAAATCACATAAATTATTAGATGAGTTGATTTTCACATATTTCACCAAATTCTCTTCGATTTGATTGATTTCAAATTTAAATACTGAGATGAAGTTCACAATATCGAATAATAAATACAAAGTAGCTGGGATTAATTAGGCATACAATATGGCTAATTAAAATACTTTCATCCCATTAGTTGTGTAGCTGTCTATTATTAAAGCGAAACTGTTTTCATCCGATCTAGCCAATAGCACAATTATTGATATTAATGTAAAAAATAATGATAAACAGGCCATGAGGAAGGAGTAGAAATTACACTGTTTTTCCTCAAAACTCTACTTTTATGCTCCATAATGACTACTCTGCATGGTTTTAGTATTGTGACCAACATATACTGCTAAACCAAATAACCAGGATGTCTATTTAATTTTAGTTCCTTTGGGAATGAAATTATCTATAGTTAATTCTTCATTTTTTGGATCTTTTTTCAGTTTCAATCGAGCATGAAACCTTTGTGTATTTCCATTAGGTGCTTCATATTCTAATTTGCCAGTTAACATCTTTCTGTATTCTGGGAATTAATTCTTCAATCTGGTTCTCAAGACAATCAATTAAGTTAGATAGGAGGACTTCTTTTTGGTTAGACTCGATTTGCCATCATAATATTAGGTATCTACCATACAGATAGCTTCTCGATCTCTGACTTATCCAGTATCCAAGAGTATGATATCAGCAGGTACAATATCTCCTTTGATGAGGTATAAAACGTCGCCAATTTGAATATCACTCCATTTGATGGTCTCAATTGAGCCATCTTTGGCGCCTCTTGAAGTTGTTTGCATGTTGATTTTATGATCATGACTCTGTCGGCGAATGTCAAGAACAAATTCAATGATAACGTAGAGGAGTACACTTAGGCCAATGGGGAAAATAGTGATCCAACGATAAAAGGGGGAGAGAGTGGGATCTATGAGCATGATCAATGAAATGGCAAGTAAATAGATGTTTCCGAATCTGACTAAACCTGTGAAAAGTGTTTTGGGTAGAAAGTTGAGGAACTAAAAATTATGGATGAGTATATTTACTGTATATTTACGTGTGTTGAAAATATTCTTATTCTAAGGAACACTGAGCAACTAAACATTTCCTTTATGTAATTCCATGGTTATCATTTAGGAGTCATCTGGATAACACAAGGAGAGACATCTTCTGAATCGGGATAACCATTTTTCAACAATTTGATGGTGGTTATAATTCATAATTGATTTTATTAATAAATTAGATTGAATATGAATGCTCATTCAAGAAGAAAGATAGCTCATTTGGAAGTTCCAGAATTCCAAGATAATCAAACAATGATTGCATATGCCAAATGCTAATATTGTTTGGGAGAATGTTTTGGTTGTTTGAGAACCTGGATTCCTTGTATTTTCTGTATGTGTGTTAATTATCCATACCAAGAAGTTGAATAAGGTTCATAATTCCCATTTATATTCTAGGCACTGAAGGATTGTTCAAAAGATTTGGAAGACATATCAAAGTAGTTAGACCAGGATTACATTATGTCAATCCTTGTACAGACACCTTAGAACAACTAGACTTGAGAATTACTGTTATCGATTTAGATAGATAAGTAATGTATAATACATATTCTTTAGTCTGTTATGACAAAAGATAATGTAACTATTTCCATAGATGCGTCTGTTTATTATAGAATCAAAACTTCTCGATTTGCTGTTTATAGAGTGGAGAACTATGATTAAGCAGTCCGTCAAATTACTTATGCTGTCCTCAAAAACACAGTGGGATCCTTTGTACTCTAAGATTTACTTGAAAAAAGATAAGAAGTAGCAGATTAGATAGAAGACTAAGTTGATGAATATGTAAAAGATTGGTATATAGAATTATAAATTTAGGGGTGTATTAATTGATAACATCTACATGAAGGACATCCAATTGTCTCCTGATCTCTAATAAGCACTAGGTTCAGCAGCCACAGAATAGAGGTTGGCCTAAGGTAAACTTATAAGTGCCAAAGCCGATGTTGAGTCAGCCAAACTGATGAGATAAGCATCTGAATTTTTAGATTCTAAAACTGCCATGCAAGTAAGATATCTAGAAACACTGTAACAATTGGCTGGCAGCAATGGAACTAAAGTATGTTTTGTACCAGATGAAAAAAACTAAGAGAAGTTAATGCATCAAATAACTTAAGGATTATTAGCATGAAGATGTAAACATTTAATAATATTACCATCATTAATTATACCCCTAATCTTATTCTTATGATTATCCATTACTCTTATTCGCACATATAATAATTTATGATTAATTCAATAAATAAAAGGATTTTCCAAAATTTAGGTTCAATTTCGTTTAGCAATCAAATTATTAAATAAAACAAATAATGAGAGTTGTTAGTGAAACTAAATACTATAAAGTATTAGCTAAACTCTACGAAAAATGTGCATCCTTATCAGCTCAATTAGACATTTACGAATTTTGATTCACCGAAAACTGAATAATTTCAATAATCAGAGAACAGCAATGAGAACACACAAAGAAGGGTTCAAAATAAAAAAAAATAGAAATATATCCCTCATCCAATAATAAAATTAGAAGAAGAATAGCAAAAACAATAGTGCAAATATTCGTCAAAAAATAAAAAGACTATTTCATAAAATAATGTGAAATCCACAAAAATTTAGAAGAAAATCAAAAAACCTAAAAATTATGACTTTAGTTCCTCCTCCTCTTCAACATCATCCTCATATAATTGAATTGTCATTTATTTATTTAGTAATTTTAAAATATTATATAACATCATAATTCATAATGCCTATACTCGTACATCTTAGAATGTCTCTTCATCTTACTACTTTGTATTAACCTCTTATTCGTTAGATTTTATTTTTAACTTCAGTACTCTTACTCATAATAGATATTTAATTAATTATTACGCGCTCATATAATCCATTTTCGCATCTCTATACATTAATTTTAATTAATCTTCCTCATGGTCTAATTCAACTCCACCTATAAATGTGCAATATACATAAATACATAATTATCAATGACCATTTATTTCGAACTTGATAATATAAGGCTCCCATTTTCACGTATTGATAATAAACTAAATTATTGATAATACAGATCTTTATAGTCATAATTAATTATTGACTCTAATACCCTGTAAATTATTAATTTGATATGCATATTAATGAAGTTGAATGTTATTTGTTGAGCAAAAGAGTTTGAACTTCAAAAGATTAATTAGTATTTCAATCATTAAGTATTTTCCCTTAATTAATCATATCATGTTTTTGATCATAATAGTCATTCTAAACATTAAAATACTTTCTTGATTGTAATATTTAGATTCAATTCACTTTTCATATATTTTGAGAAGGAAATGCATATTGTTCATTGGTATAGATATAATTCAGATTCTAAAATTTACCTTCTATGTTGGATGTCCTCAATCTAATGTTATAAGACAAATCGTTTTCTTTATCTATTTATTTATTGTTTATATTGTCAGTATAAAAAATGATATAGACGATAATATAAACTGAATAAATATAAATGAAAATTAAGAATAGAATAGAATAGAAATAATCCGTATATTCAAATACAATTACTATCTTTAAATATTTTATCAGTTTTCAATGGATTTTCAGGTCTTAACTAAATAATGATTTTGTATTATTATAAAGAATAAAACAATTCAAAATAATCTTGCTTTTTATCGAACTCACGATCAAAACAAATATTATAGATCAGATATTCAAGGTTCTCATAAAATACATTATTTTCATAATAATAAAAAGGAAATTTACACTATCCAATTGAGGACTAAAATATTAGAATTTAAACAATTACTGAATAGTTTTCGGAATTAAATAACTTCATATCATTATTAGAAATATCAGAATATTCAACTTCAATATTTTTATTTCTCTCAATTGTTTAAGAAATGCACTCCTTTTATTCTTAATTACTGCCTTATTTAAATATTATCTAGTCTTTATTTTATATCGACCCAAAAAAATTTTTTTGAATATTTTGAATAAAACCTGTTCTTCACCATATTTTCCTATGTATTTAGGATCAATACTGATCTTCCTTTTAAATGTAAAGCTACCAAACTCCATTTTGCACCACATTAATTGTAATATTTTACTATTTCTTGATCTTCGAAGTCTGTCCATGGGACAAAATTAAAAATTGATCTAATTTATTAAGATATCTTTCTCTAATCTGTTTCCCAGTTCTTCCTAGAAATGTCTGGCTAATTTGGTCCAATTTTTGCCTTCAAGGGCTACCATAGAAACTAACTTTGTATCCTCATCTTGAATCCATCTTTATTTACACTTGAATAAAATAACTAATTCACTTATTTTGGATTAATCCTTCTCCATCTTTAGGAACATTGATAAATATTCCTATGTTCTTAATAGAGTTTTCTCAATCTCTAATCTTCTTCTGGCTACCATATCTTGACAACTCTTTTAAATCCATTAAGGTTCTATTTTTTCTTGCTAATCTTCTTTTTCTAACCCTTCTTTAATTTCTCTTAAGATTTAGAACTTTATTTTATAACTCATTATATTACCGTTATTTAAATTGATCTTTTACAAGTTTTTAATTCAATTTTAGCTCCTCATCCCCTTGAAAATCAAATAGCTTCTCTTCGATATTGTATTCTCAGAATATACCCTTTTCTTATTCCTTCTCATCATTCAATTAGAAATAATTGTCAGTTGGTGATACTATTGATGATGGCTTTTTTGGATCTTTTAATATTCAATATTCACTACTTTATATCTAACCAGAACTTCCTATTCCAAGATCTAACTGCATTTTTTTCTATTCATTAATTTACTCTTGTTGGCTTTTATTTTGAGAATTTGCATCTTAATCATTTTTCTGAAGTTAGAACCACAAAAGCTTAATACTAAGTCTAGAAGCATAAATGGATGTTTTTAGTGGCTATAAAATATTTAATTAAATACCATATTATAACAAACCATTTTATAATAATATCGATGTATCTTTAATAAATTATCGTATCATTTTATCATAAAGTTTACAATCAAAATTAAATTAGATATTATTTATTCATATAAATTACATTAGATTTATTAAATTTAAATAGAGGTTAATAATCAACTTACTTCATCTTAAAAGCATTCGAATATTAGCTCACCTTGCTCATTCTCATATTCTCTAATTCTATCCTCAGTTTTCAATTCATTCAACTCCAAAGTTTCTGAATTATCCAATGAAGTATCCTTTGGATGGAACATGTGAGCACATAGATCAAGAACTGTTTTTTTATCTATTTCTGCAGCCTCATTTTCTAAATTAAATTGAATTTCTAATACCTGTATTAATTACACTGTAATATTCAACAAATTCACTAATTCTCTCTACAAATCTGCACTCTTCCATCTATTTAGCAAAGTTCTCTTTACTCAAATATGATAAACATATTAGAATGTGCATCATAACACTCACTTAGATTTATTCCTTGATAAATTTCAGCAACTACTCCATAATCTAAAATAATAAATCATTTATACCTAATGAGTGAATCTAGTTTGTTTTTCTAAATATTATAAAGTGTATGGAGTGTGAATTACATTTGCCAAAGTCGCAGAAGCAAAATCTAAACAAAATATATGGATTTTTGTGTTTATTGATTTCTATATTAGTGATATAATCCATTGAATCATCTCGTTGTGAACGTATGTAGGAATTACTGTTTCTTTGATACTGGCTTTTTATAAAATAGCTAAACAGAACCTTTGGGTGACAGACCCATTCTCCTGTTCCTTTAAGATTTTTATAATTTTTTCTATGATAATCATATTACCATTAAAAGTCAAATACTCAACTCCTCTTAAAGTGCTACTAATTACACTTATCAAACTAGTGATAGCATGTCTCAAACTTTGATTATTGATGTCCAATAGATGAACTACAAAGTCAAACTTCTCAGTAGCTTCAATGTTAAAAACATCGTTTCTAATCAATTCATAGACTAAGTTTTTTCTTAATTCTGGGGCTATTTGAAGTGCATTAACTCTTAAAGATAACAATACTTCTATCATGCCATCTACATTTTTATCTTAATAATTTTTAAAAAGTTTAGTTTTGTGTTCATGCATGACTTATTCTGTAATAAGTTCTGTTCCTTCTGGTTTTCCTTCATTTATAATGACTTTATGATATTTTCCCAATTAAATCTTATAATTCTCTAAGGTTTCACTAAGAGATTCATTTTTGGCGGTTTCTTTTAACGAATGTAACAACTACAAGAGATTAATGCTGACTGAAAAGATCTGTCTCCCTGCTTGTAAAATTTATTGATATTTTTTATTAAATAATTTCTATTCCTTCTCCAAATTAATTTCTCTTTTAGTTTTGATATTGTCAGTTTTGAATAATTGAAAGATTCTTGGCATATCATCATTTGATTATTTTTATTATTGCTATTTGTTTGACATCTAATATATGAATTTCAATTACTTTACTGGATACTTGTTTGCTTTTAATTTCTGCTTCGAAACATTCAAAGGTGTTAGAATATGCTGAATATCTCAGATATTCTTTGATATATTCATTTATCTCATTCGAATCGGGAACCTAGGTAAATAGTTAATTTGAATTTCCAGTTTTCATTATTTATATATTAATATCCAATATAATAATTATACACAAATCATGGTTAGCGTGTTGAATGAACATAATTTAAATATTTTGAATACTGTAATATTGATTTAATAATCCATTGACTAATAACTTGATTATCGAATGATAAGATAATAATTAAGGATAATGGATCAAGTAATTATACAAATGGAGATTCAAACATGAAAAGCATCAATTAGGAGTGTAGATTTGACATGTTATCATAAACTGGAACATTAAACTCAAGGGTTTCTGAATTGGATTTGATTTGGAGAGAGAAATTCTTTAAATACTCCTAATAATAATAAGGTTAGTTAATTGCATGATAATTAATTGATAGATAATTATGATTGAATATGTACGGATGTTAAGGAGCAGAATATTATCATTTGCAAAACAATACTGCAGAGCAAATGTTTTAGGAGTATGAAGTTTATAAAAAATTTCCATATTATAATATTATAGTAATTAAGTTATTAGCACTTCTTTGGATTCTAGTTTTAAATTATTTGAAATAAATCATAGACATACTTAATGGACAGCTAGGAATAGCAGAACAGAGAAGATGATTTAATAATTGAATCTTAAGAAGAAGACAATCAGAAAAAGAAGAAAGACAAGAAAGAAAAGAAACTAGTTAAGAAGCTTGAGCAGAAAAAGCCAATCGATGGTAAATAATAATTTGGAGATAAATCCATATGCCGATTATGTAAGGTGACTACAATGTCAACCCCAACTGTGATCTGCATCAGGTGCCACTTTAAGTACCATTAGGAATGCATACGAACTTAAAATAAAGAGCCATAATTTCAGGAGGGAGCCAAATGGCATTGTCTATCATGTATAGAAAGAATGGCCAAAAGAAAACTAAAAGAGTCTGAACCTTAGAAAAAGAAGAAAACCAATCAAATACTTGAATTTTTTTAGAAAACTCCTTAGACCCAAGAAGATAAAACTAAAAAACATTCAGAATTTCAGCAAAAATACCCAACATATGTATCTTAAGGAAGAGTAATTTTTCCAATATTCGATGAATATCTTACTGCCTATTAAGGATTATTTAATATAGAGATTAAAAAGAAGCCTACACTTTAGCTAGATCTCAATATCCCTTAAGATATGTTTGAAGATGTTCTTAAGATATGGGATAGCTACAATAACATGGATAAAATAGTTAGTGATATTTTGTATGCGGGAGAATAATAAGCTGAATGTATTTAATTATATAAATAATTTAGAACAAAGTTAAGTCAATAATATTGGCACCTTGATTCACTTCAAAGATAACCACACCCCATATAGTGAAAAAAGTAGATTAGAAATATATGAATTAATACAGACCAAACCAGAACAACTGATCTTATTTTTTAGTTACTTCTACTTGAAATAAATAATCGAGGATTTTGATCAAGAACAAATGCAAAAATAATAATATGTAATATTACCCTATAATTTCTTATAGAAAATTCCATACTGGCATCTTCTAGGATATATGTGGTTTACAAATAGAAACAGATATTACGAACTTTTGAGAGATGATATCAAACAGCTCCCAACCAACATTTCAAGATAAGGCATCTTGTAATTGTCCTTAGATTTAATGGATTTTACTGATTACACTGATCTCAAAAAGGTTTGCAGACTCATTATCTCATTATCTGAAGGATTGGCTGGTTTGAAAAAAACCCAATTTCTATATTAATTTCGAACAGAAAATCTATTGTCCAACAATCGAATCAAATAGTAATTAGGCATGCAAATCAAATAATAGAGAAGTTAATAAATTGATATAAAAAAAGAAATTATTGAAGCCGAAGGTAACATCTCAATTGCTAAAGTAAAAATTAACCATCTATATAGTCTTAATTACAATCAGAAGGTTTAACTAGAGTAGAAGCACAAAAGTTCACTCGCCAAATGGAAACCGCATAAAAATAGGCTCAAAAATTCAAATAGTAGTATCAAAAATTAGAAAAAGAAATTATGACACTCACCGAAAGATATAACGAATACGATAAAGTAAATAATTAATAAATCCCATAGGAATTAGCTATCACACAAATGCCAGCCTTATTACTGAACCCATCTATGTGTTTAGGTTAAGATGCCAAACATAGTTCTTACTATTTCTTTCTCTATGAGCCAGACAAGATTTTCGTTTGTATGAGACACTCAATCATTGATGATGATGGATCAGTTTAATGGGGATATTATGATTATAAAGAAATCCCTAATCTCCTAAATTCCTTATGCGCTAAAGGAGTTAGGGAAAACACATTGAAGAACAACATTATTGAATTACAAAGAGCTAAATTATTAATTGAATCTGAGTCAAATAACGAGTAAAATGAATCCATTCCATAAGATAATCTTAAAAATGGGAAAAAAACAGATTAAGAAATAGAATAAGAAATCAATTAGCAAAGTGAATAGCCAGAACGAGCAAATAGTCTATTGAACTTAGAAGTAGATTAATTAACCAATGAGTTTGTCGGAATTGAAACAAGTTTAACATAATACTTAAATCAGAAAAATTCAAGATGGTGTAGTACAGAATAGAGAAACAATTTTATTAAGAGTTTCTAAAATGTAATTCAAAAGAAAAACCCATCAGAATATGATGAAGATGATTTGAAGCCTTTGGCAAATGCCATTGAATATTTTGTAGATAACACAATGATGTAAGAAAAACTGGAACTAAGATTAGAAGAGGATGTTGATGAAAAATTTATAGAAAATGAAGATGATTCTTATTAATAACCCAACAGAAGAAGAAAAGTTGTTGAAGACGACTCCTCTCTTGATGAATAACCTCAAACAATTCTCTAATAATTGGAGCAAATGGAAAATAATAAAGTAAGAATCAGAAAATTACCTATGAAACTATTTGGTACTTATTATGAAACTTTAAGATTAAATTTGATTGGATAGTTAAAAAATGAATGCAATCTTCCAAAAATGAAGATTTGCTTAGAAGTTTTAGGATAGATTGTTAAGGATTATATTGATAGGAAAAAGATTTAAATTTAATAATTTATCTAACCTCCTTTTGAAAAGAAAAAACTTGAAGAATCCACAACTAAAAAGATTATTGAATAGTAAATTGATCAGCAATAGGATTCATAAATTAATCCACCTTAAAGTCTTAGAAAAAGAAATTTAAATAAACCATAATACATCGAAACCGAAACTAAATGGGATGATAAATGCAAAAAATGTAATAAAGGAGGCAAAGTGATTTGTTGTGATACCTGTCCAAAAGTATTCCATCCTAAATGTATAAATTTGAAGGAAGTACCATAAGGTAAATGGAATTGTCTAAATTGTTTGAAAAACTTTGAGAGGTAAATTAAAACAAGAGCAATTGTGAAAAAATTTGAGAATCAATGAAATCATTATTCATTGTTTATTAAAAATCTTATAGAATTATATATAATGCAATATTTTGTTTCTTTAATAATGGTAATGAACAACTTATGGAAATAAAATATTTTCATGTTAAAAGTCAATATTTCATTTTTAATTATCATAATTATTGTTTTACAAAGTTGCAAAATAAATATATTAACTACAAAATTTTTATTTTTCCTTAAAGTTAGTATTATAATCTAATCACTTTATACTTTACCCAACATCAATATCTACTATTATAAATATACATATGGAGTTATATAGCACTTTAGCGAGAATTAAGAATAATCACTTTTAATGTCGATGTCAAATAATTTCATCGATCATATTCAGGTTTTAATTTAGATTTCTTTTCAAAACTAAAAAAAGAAGGTTGTGAGGAAATTTCATATTTTCTTTAATTTCATTTAAGTGATGACTAATTAATTTTTTGGAATATTTTTCTTCTCTCTCCACTTAAATTCCTAAAGATTCTTATCATTATTATATTTGTACAATTTTTCTACTTATTCCCCCTTGAGAAATGAAAAGAAAATTTGTATTAGGAGACATTTATTAAAAATATTAACTATACATTAAGATAAAGTATTTTTTTACTGCTAAGATTTTAGCAAGATATATATAACTATTAATGGTCAAAATCTGATGTTTACACTGGCCTCAAAGCGTAAATGGGCATGATTTTGATATCAAAAATATACTATTTGCTAAAACTTATGGGGAGACGGATATGATTACGCAACCATAAGTGTTTTATTTCAATTTTTATTTGCATCATATTTTATGTTTTTTCATTTTTTCACATGTTATTTGTTGGCAATACTTATTCATCAAATAGTAGCCGATTGGAGGCTCATTGATTAAAGTTTTACTGATACTTAAATGGTAAATAATAATTGGAAGATTAAAGAAGGCTGCTCAGATTCTTCTGAAACTTCATTTAATTACCCAAGTTGTAGTGAAAATTCTCTAAAGTATGTAAGGCTGGATGAAGATAGACGATATTTATACAAGACATTCAATTATAGGAGTTTTTAAGCTAGAGTAGTGTTTGATGTTTTCTATGATGACGCTGATGATGAAGACGAATCATATTTAAAGGTTAGCTATGATAACAATAAAGACTCAGAGAGTGATTAGTAATTGTATAGAAGAGATTACGAAGAAGATGATCTAATTTAGAATAGTGCAAGAATATGCCGCAGTAGTTGGGACAAGTTTGAATTCTACACAATTGTAAGTACAATCGCCAGTTCTAATACTAACAAGTTTACAATTAAAATATGTCATCGTCCTCGAAGTGATAGTATGGAAGTCGGAATTAGAAATTTATTAATTTATATAAATAGTTGCCATCCCACTTGCTTGACTTGTGATGGTCCTACAGAGACAGACTGCATATCATGCTTTAATAGTTAGAGTCTATAAAGTGGGAAATGCATTTGCATTCCTGACTAATAATTTTCTGAAACTTACATAGGTTGTAGATAGGAATGCAGTAGAGATTTTTCGATAGCGAGATATGATAAAATATGTGTTAATGATAATCGAATAAAATCTAAATATACATTATTTGAAGATGACACTATTCCTCAATCAAGTCAAAGATATCATCCTCTAACATTTGAGGGTGATGAATTCAATCCAAAATATTCTGATTTAGTCTATGAGAATTGCAATGGGATTAGTTTTATAGGAAAGCTGTAATTTAATGAAGGAATGCAATATAAAATGAGTTTGGAAAATGCTGTCAAATTTGTTAGAATTCGAATTACATTTTATTTGTTTAACTTTTAGACAACTAGTAATATTAAGTTAATACACAATGGTCAAATACAATCTTCAATCACAAAAGATTCATCAAGTTACTAAGTTGAAAATTTATTAAAAATATTTGAGAAGAATGATAATTGTGCTAGTGGTTATACTTTGTTAAGGATAGAGACTATTTTTTAAATTACTAATCCTAGTCCAACTCTTTTGATTAAAGGATCACTTCAATAAATAAGTGAATCTTGGGGATTTAGAAATATTACAGTAGACACAGGATTTTGTTAAGAAAAATGTTTGGTATGCTCTGACTTCTCTACTTGTACATAGTGCGATTCAGCATATAAATTATATAAAAATAAATGTATTGAAACTTGTCCTATTCATTCAACAAATTGCATTGACTATGAAGATATCATTCCATGTAAATTATTTATAGTTTATATTTAGATTCTAGGTACTTAGCCAAAGGATTTTACAATTTAAATATGACCCTGGATGAAATCAATAAATTTTATGATTCTAGAACAGATCCTTCATTTAGTCAATCAACAAGATAAAACTTTTCTATTTTAAACAATAAGATTGTTTTGGGAGGTCTTTTAGTTTGGAATGATGGTTCTTATATCAAAACATGGTCTATTTAAAAACCACATTATGCAGCTACTATATATTTCAATTTAACATATGGAGACGCTTACACTGGATCTTTTTCTTATAAGATAGGTACTTCTTCAAGCAGCGCATGGTCAGCTTCTTTTAATAATCCTGGTGGAGGATTGAACTTAATTGGTCGTACCGGTTTAGAAAGCTCTCGTTACTTTAATGTAAGTTTACCAAACTTTTATACTAACAATCTTTATGTTGAATTCAAATGTGATGTTAGTACTGCAAATATAACAAAGGAATTTTGTGCAATATCTGAATACTTTATAGTCATTCATTATGTATTTAATATACTATTAATATGTTAGTGTCCTCCCTTTTGTTCTAGTTGTACAAGTTTAAATGTATGTTCAGATGCAGGATACACTGGTCCAAATTGCGGTAGTACTTAATATTTAGATTTTAATTCATCGACTGAAAGTTATAGTTGCAAATTGTGTAATTTACCAGGATGCAATACATGTACAAGTGCAGAATAATGCACTTAATGTGTTAGCAATAGATTTTATTTGAGTAATGGAATTTGTTTGTGCTATCCATTTACTTTTTTATAAGGAAATACATGTGTTTAATGCAATAAGTATTGTGAAAATTGTTATGGTGACACTTAAGACACTTGTCTAACTTGTGTAAGAGAATATAACAGAGGTATTCAAAGAAATTAATGTTTATGTTTGCCTGGATATTATGATGATGGAATAAATTTACCATGTCTTCCTATTTGCGGGGATTAGATAATAGTAGGAGAGGAAGATTGTGATGATGGCAATAATAACCCATTTGATGGTTGTCACAACTGTAAATTTGCTTGTAATTTTGCATGTGATATTTGTTTAAGTGGAAAATGCTACTAATGTAAAAGTGGATATGAGGCTCATAATAATGACTGTCGCTCTATGTGTGAAGGAAATACACTTGGATTGCTCTAATAATGCTTTGAGTAACAAAGAAACTGCATTAATTGTCATTATTAATGCTCTCCTAATTGTATTGATTGTTCCTTTGGAAGATGTATGTAGTGCGATGAGGAACGAGGATGGTACGCCTAAATTGACGGAACATGCAATTCTATTTGCGGGGATGGAATAGTAACCAGTTTAACAGAAATGTGCGATGATGGAAATACTAACCCTTCAGATGGGTGTAATTATTGTTAATATTCTTGCGATAAATTTTGTGAAACCTGCGTCAATGCCTTGTGCATATCTTGTTAAGGCGGCTATTAATTAATAGAGAACAATTGCATTCCATTATGCTAGGATGGACTTTTAGTATTTCCTGAATAATGTGAAGATGGAAATATAGCACCATATGATGGTTGTTTTAATTGCTAATTTTAATGCTCAATTCATTGCATAGATTGTTAATTTGGTTTCTGTTAATAATGTAATGAATCAAGAGGATGGTATTTGTAATATGATGGGTCCTGCAAAAGCATTTGTGGGGACAATATACTAGTTCTTGAAGAGGAAGAATGCGATGATAATAATCCTAATAGTCTTTGCAATTAATGCTAAATTACATGCGATATCAATTGTTTATAATGTAATAAGGGAGTTTGTATTTCTTGTGTTTAAGGATATAAATGGGATTCTTTAATTTAAGAATGTGTCAAACTGTGTGGAGATAGTGCAATATTTAACCAAGAAAAAGTTTGTGAGGATGGAAATAACCAATTAGATGACGGATGCTATTTATGTTAACTTAGTTGTTAAGATTCATGCACTTTGTGCTCTGCAAATGGATGCTTAGAATGTAATACAATAGGATGGAAATTAGATGAATTATAAAACAAATGTGAGACTAACTGTGGCGATGGAATTACTGTCCAATATTACGAAGAATGTGATGATTTAATAGATCAAAATTGTTATCATTGCAAATACAACTGCTAAGATTCTTGTTTAGTATGCCATAAGGGCGATTGTCTATAATGCAAAGAGGGATGGCAAATACATTTAGATAAGAGATGTTACTCCTTCACTGGCGATCCTTACGTTGTCGGGGATGAACAATGTGATGATAATAATTCTGTAATGTATGATGGCTGTTATCTCTCACAATACTAATGTTAGAAACAATGCAGAGATTGCAGATTTGGAATGTGTTTCAAATGTGAGGATGGGTATTAAAATCTAGATGGTAAATGTCTTGAAACCTTGAATGACGGAATTACTAAAGGAAATGAGTAATGTGATGACATGAATTTAATGCCAGAAGATGGTTGTTTTAATGGCTAATTTGATTGTCCTGAAGGTTGCGAACATTGTTACCAAGGATAGTGTTTACAATGTAATCTATAATCACATTAACTTAATACTATTAATAATTAATGCATATCATATTGTGGCGATGGGTATTTATCACATTTTGAACAATGTGATGATGCAAATAACATCCCATATGATGGATGTTACTAATGTCAATTTTAATGTAATTACTATTGTCAAACCTGCTATAATGGTGTATGTTCATAATGCTCAATGGGTTACTACTTAGATTTATCTAAAAATGCATGTTATAGTATCTGTGGAGACGGAATACTAGCACATGATGAGTAATGTGATAATGGAAATTTAGTTTCTGATGAACTCTGTGTGGATTGCAAATTATTGTGTTAATAATAATGTACAACATGCATAGAGGGCTAATGTCATGAATGCCTCTCATTAGGATGGCAATTAGATGTAATTAATAGAAATTGTTAACCTATTTGTGGAGATTTATTAGTTTTAGGAAATGAATAGTGCGATGATGGAAATGATGAAAATGATGATGGATGTATTGAATGCTTTTTTTAATGTTAATAGTAATGCACTTTATGTGAAAATGGGGAATGTAGAGAGTGTAGTATTGAAGGATGGCAACTTAGTATTAATAAATGTATAACTATATGTGGAGATTATTTGGTACTCGGCAAGGAGGAGTGCGACGATGGAAATCTCATTCCCCATGATGGATGCTATGAATGTAAATTTCAATGTTAAGAATAATGCTCTGATTGTGAAAAAGGAATTTGTAAGGCCTGTAATAAATCAGGTTGGCTCCTTAATTAAAATAACTTATGTTCTACTTATTGCGGAGATGGTATTGCAGTGGATCCATATGAATAGTGTGATGATGGTAATGATATACCATATGATGGTTGCTATTAATGTGAGTTTTAATGTGAACAACTCTGTACAATATGTGAATTCGGAATTTGCTATGAATGCAATTAATTAGGATGGATCATCAAGAATAATTAATGCACTCCTTATTGTGGGGATGGCCTAGTAGTTGGTAATGAACAATGTGATGACATGAATTCTAATCAAAATGATGGTTGTTTTGAATGTAGATTCATGTGTGATTAATATTGTGTAGATTGTTATGAAGGGATTTGCAAGGAGTGTCCTGAAGGAATGTATTTATTTGACCAAATTTGTTAATCTATATGTGGAGATGGATTTAATCTTCAAATAACAGAAAAATGTGACGATGGGAATAAAGAAAATGGTGATGGTTGTAACTCGTCATGCAAAATTGAAAAGGATTGGATATGTAATACTAATTAGTACTCATTCTCCATTTGCCATTTTGAAAAATAACCAGACTTTTCTATGATGGTGCTCACACCTTATCCTCATGAATATTGTGATATTCAAGTATCATTTACTTAACAAGTTAAGTACTCTCCCCATATTCAATAAAATTTAAGTGAGCATATTCAAGCAAGCATATTAAATCATGAAAACGATAAGTATAATATTTAGATGACTTAAGAGACTGAGATATCTCACGATTAAGTTACAGACTTAGTGCTTATATTTAGGGTTGAATTTCTATTTCCTATAGAATCACCTGTCTTTGAAATTTAATTTAACAATGATCCATTAATTTCAGAACTTAATTAAACTCTCACCTAAAGCCAAAAGAGTATTTAACTCTAAACCCCAATAGTTCTTTCTTCTGAAGAAGTGCTTATAGCTTAATAGGCTTCAAGTTTTAATGAAGCAATCATCATATCACTTGCAAGTTTATCATCAATTTGCTTATTGACAGGTTAATCTGAAATATTTTGGAACCTTATGGACTAATTATAATATTTATCATATATCAAATACATAAATATAGGATTTTCGCCTAATTTGGATATCTTTTTTGATGTATTTCAATTAATAACAGTCTCTCCATTGATGGCTGCTTTGGGATTCTAAACATTTTTTGATTCTTTGGATGGTAGTAGCAAGTATATCGTTGAAACAAGTAATAAATTTAAAAAGGATAGTATCAACGCGTATTTCCTTACTAATTTCCAAAGCTTTTTGTTTTGTTTAATTACAACATATTTAAGTTACTCAGCTGCACAGATAATATATGGATTGTTTAATAAAATTTTATGTAAAAAAATAATGGAGTGGAGATTTTCAATTGTCAAATTATTAATAAATACTCGAAGACAATTATAACAAAAAATCTCTGAATTTTATTACAATTCTCTTTTGAGATTAATGCTTTCGAACTCTTATGATATTAGTTTTGCATGTGCCATTTAGATGGCTTATCATCCTCATGAGAAGAATAATATTTTAAGAATAAATTACTACTTGTCATATCTATTTTACATAGGAATTATTGGAACTATCATATATTTTATTAATATTTCTAGTTCGTTCTCCAAACAGAATTCTATTAGAAATAAATCAAAATACTAAGCAATGTTTGATGGAATAAATGAAAATTATAATATCTGGACTTTCTAGTATAATTCGATTTAATTAATAAAAAAACTGATTTTTATTTCTCTAATTGTTTTTCTGTAAGATAATGGATTTATTCAAGCTATTGGGATATCATTTATTTAAACTTTATTTTTGATCCACACTATTCTAAATAAACCTTTAAGTAATAAATTTGAATATTTTAAAATCTTAATTACTGAATCATTAATAATTTTCAACTCAATCTCATTTTTATTTTATCTTTATTAAGTTGAATTAGGTTTAAAGACAGAAGATATAATCAATATTGGATGGTTTCACATATTTACTTTTTCATCGATATTAGCAATTACTTTCATCCTTGACCTTATTTAGTAAATAAGAAAATTAATTAAATTGATTGGATTTGGCGAAAAGAAACAAGAATAACAGCTAGAACCGATATTTTACTGATATTATTCGTTATTGATCTTTTTAATTTAATTAAAATTGCTATAATTGTCTTTATTTTCTTGAAAACATTGTACTAAGTTATTCCTTAAATTAATGAAATTCTTTAAAGCTAATAATTAGGAGATCTGAATAGAATAGGCTCTATTATATATGTCATATAATTTAGTAAAGCCTATAGTAGAATTGTCAATTTAAAATCCAAACGAACTAATATATTTAAATTTTTTATTTTTCAATTATCCAAGTCAAACTTCCCCATAACGTAAATTAAATTATTGTTTATTTTCTTATACTAAATCTTATGTTTTCTTTCTCATTTCGCTGAATTTTGTCATTAATTAAATACCCATATAAATTTATGGAGTCAATTTTTATACTTATCTATAAATATCACTATTATTGTAAGTCTCTAAACCGAATGAACTTATTATAAAGTTATAAATGGAGATCCTTTTCCACCCTATCTTGATCATACTGAGTTTTATTAAATTTCTTTCTATAGTATTGATCTGAATGTGATTAAAGTAAGTTTTATCTTTGCTTCTAAGTTGGTATTCTATCAACTAAGAAGGAATTTACTGATAATCAAATATAATATGTAAACTATCAATTTTATTGAGTAAATTAATATGATACAATTTTCACAAATATTCATAAATTAATTTTGTTATGTCAAAATTGCTGAGGTCTGCATTTAATGCTGATTTACTAATATTGTTAAATCAATAAAACTAAGCAATTGAAGATTATTCCTAAATTACTGAATTATTTATCCACTCTTCAGATGAAGAACATATATATTTAGCGTCTTTTAATTGGTTCATCATATAAAATAACACTAGATAAAATTTTTGCATTCTATTTGAAACCCAAAGCCATAGACAAATATTAATGTATATTAAGCTCTCAAATTCTTCCCTTAATATTCAAGTATCAATTTCGAAAAACAATTTCTTTGATTTCAATAATGTTATGCTGTTTGGAAATAAGATGAAATTCTTTTTGACTAAATAACAAACATGATTTTCTTCTTAATTGCTGCTTCCTTAATACAAAATAAGTTCTCAAAGATCGTAAACCAAGCTAATTGAAACCTAATTTCATGATCTTTGTTGACTAAACATATTTCAAATGATTTCGAGCTCATTTATTATATCTAAGTATTATGGTCTCATATTTGTGGATATTCCTCTCCAATAAGTTCAGCTGTAATTACATCAGATTATATGTATTAAGAAGCAACAAATACGTGTTCATTAATTATAAATAAGGAAATTTCGGATAAGCTCTCAAAACAACATCAAAGGAATATGTAAATTGGTGAATAATATATATTTAGGCATTTCAGATCGTTGAAGAACTTAAATTTCCTTAAATGGAGGACATCATTAATTAAAAGATATTTATATCAATGTAAAATGTGCATCTAAAAATCGTGATTAAGAAGTGGAAACAGAATCTATAATTCTTCAATATTTAATTAGTTTTTGGTGTTCACTTGATTACAAAAGGTAAAATTAGACTGCAACTTTGATATCGGAACAAGACTTTGAAAAAAATATTGTTGTTCTCCTCAACTATAAATCAAATTATCAAGAGTGTGTTTTTTATTAACATATATATTGATAATTTATTATAAAGATTGAATTATTAGATATATTTTAATAATCTTTCGAATAAGTTTCTTTTTATTTACTATTGGAGAGATGAGAATGTTATTTTAAGTATTTAGAATATTGATTTATGTTAACATCCGAAAATAGCTCAGTTGGTAGAGCGAGGGACTGTAGTGTTAATTCAGTTATCCCCAGGTCGGTGGTTCAAATCCGCCTTTTCGGAGTTTTTTGATTATTACAAAATTTTCTGAATTACTATTCGTGTGTAAATTTTTAATTTCTTTCTTACTTGTGTTCTTCATCTTATTAAAGAAGAATCTTTAATTATTTATTATTTTATTCTTTGATTTGATTGCTTATTGTTCATTATCATAATAATATTTCCCTTTTTCCAGAATCGATGAATCTCATTTTAATGAAATTAGTTAGCAACATGCTAAGAAATGGCATTATGATTTTTATCAAAATACTTAAATTCAAGCTGACAGACTTAACATAACAAAGTGTCTGTTCTTAGGAATTTAAAATTTGAAAGAATTTGGTTTGTTACTTGGATCATCATATTTTGAAATACATTAATTTAATTCTCATAAAATCTCTTTAAATTCTGGCAAATTACATTCAACATCTTTTGAGACTTGTATGACCATTGTTAAGTTCAAGAGTTTTTTCCATTTTTACATGCGGAATTTATCAAAAATAAAAATGGAAATTAGCATTTAAAATTATTTTTGGAAATTTTTTTTGTTTAAAGAATTATTATTCTGTGACATAGTCTTAAGAACAAAAATTTTGACACTATAATTTTTGTATATTTTTCCTTACATTTTCAAAATTATTACAGATTCCACCTAGCAAAAATAAAGGTGTCTAATTTAGTCTTACTCCTTGAACACTTTCAAAGACATTTTTACTTGATTCTAATGAAGTGTTTCCATTAATTTATTTAAGTTTTTTGTAGTTTAATTTCAAATGAATAATATAAGGTTTTTACAACCAAATTCTTTGATCAATGAATCAAGGGTCTCTAATTTTTTAAATTAATCTTTATTTTTTTGATATTTTATTCACCAATATTTTTTTCCTGTCTGATTTTTTTATTCTTGAATTTGAGCTGATTTATCCTTTGCTCCTCGAAAAATTCGCTTTACAGCTGACCTTTTCCCTTAAGTCAAATCAAGAGATTTAATCTTCCTAGAATATTAATTTCTATTTACATAATCTATTCCTAAGTGAGGCTTTATAGATCATATTTTCTGGTCATATTTCTTAAAGTAAGCGTGATTTGGCTATAAAGTAAAAAGTACATTGACAGCCCACTCTTTGTCAAATAAATGCTTAGAATCAAAACCTCAAGATATACCTTGAGATTAGGTGATTTTCTCTAGTTCTTCTGAGTTATCTAATTAAAGATGTATATCCTAATTTGATAGTTTAGTATTGAAACCATTTCTTTTCCAATCATTTTACGAAGTACTTAAACCAAAAGGTATTCTTCTTAATCCCTATCTTGACGAGGAAAACAATAAAATCAATTTTTGAAACTTAAAACATCAAGCAATACAAATTGACCCCGACTTAAAATCTTCTCTTTCCTTCTTAATATAAAATTAAAGTATTCTTTCTTAATTTTAAATCAAAAAATATGTTTATTTTGAAGTAAGTGATAGTGATGCTGCTATTTTTTTAATGCTGTCTAATGAAGAATTTATTACACATTAAAATTACAATTTATTTATAAAATTATATTAGGCTATTTAATGATTAATAACTTTTGAATATATGTGTAGATATATAATAAGATATCTTTCAGCATTTGACTGATTTTCTTCGAATTGGAATTAACAATAACTTCTTCAAATTTAAAGAGTTGCAACGCTGCCCATGTCAGGTTTGTTATTCTATATTCATTTTAATTTGTTGAACTAAACGTAAAGATCAAATTAAAATTATTGTTGGGGTTGTGGAAAATCTCGAATGGCTTGGGAGATAAGTTAATCAAAATTGAGGTCATTATTAAATAAATTGAAAATTTTAAAATGTATTAATGTTGTTCGAATGTTATAAATGATTATGTTATCTGCAACTGACAACAACGATTAAAGAATACAAAATGGATATATAATTAAGATATAGAAACCTTTTATTAGTTTTTCAAAAATAATTTTGTAAAAATTATGTTCAATATCTAGTTCCAAAGCATTGACAAATTTGCATAACTAAATGTTATGTTTACTGAAAATTGAAGAACTTTGAGTTTAGCAAATATATATGAAGTTAATAAAATAGTTTTAGTTTATTGATAACTATGTTTGAAGTTTATTAATTACAATTATGAGGTTTTCTAATAATTTTAGTTATATTTTTTGTATGATATTAATACCTTAACACAGTATGATACTTATATGAATGGCAGGGGACGGTCATCTTGCGTGTATAATTTAGAAAACCCATTTAATGTTGTTATTTTGAATATAACATAGTTCAATTAGAATACAATTTGAAAATACGAGTGAGAATAAATCAAATCTTGATAATTTTAATGTAATATTGAAATCAAATATATTCTATAAATGTTGTTATTTTATTCAATTTTCTTAGGGTGAAACAGTTAGAATTCATGCACATAATTTGGAATAGATTCCAAATTAACTGAGATAGTGAGGATATCAGTCTCTCATCAAATATAAGAAACAACATCCGACAAATTAAAAACGATAATAAAACGTGTTATTGCCCCCATTTTTCATAATGATCATAATTGGCATTTGATTGTCTTATCCTCAAATAATTATTATTTTGATTTAGTAGACATGATAGCTAATTTTGCAGTATTTTTATTCATACTTTTGAATCTATATAGATGAAATAGACAATTCAGCATTTAGAATAAAAATAATATGAAAATGCACCAATTTGAAAATCTATAAAGATTAGATGCAACCTACACCATCCAAGGACCATGATTTGAAAGAATTTTAAGCTTCATTATAATCTTTTTTAATGAAATTGAGAATATGAAAATTTATTACATACATCTCTAGATCAAAGTATCAATTACAAGTATAATCTCATATAAAGAAAATCTAATAGAATATACAAATGAAATGATTATTATAAATGACAAAAGGTTAATAGAATTAATTAAGATTTAGCTTAAATATGAATTTGATATCCTAATCCAACTTATCTCATTTTTAAGATAAATATACCATTCTAAGGGATGAGTTTTATGGTGAAGGGTGCTTTGGTGAAGTGCATTCTTGTCAAAAAATTGATAATACTGATCCCACAATTTATTGTGTTAAAATAATTCCTATAAATTTGGAAAATCAATAAATAGGAACAGTAGGTGAAACTGAGAATATTATTATCAAAACGATATCAGAGTTCCACAAAAATTGTCCTTAATAAAAAAATTTAGTTGAAATAATTGATATTTTTTATGAAGGGTATTTATTATACATTGTTATGGAACTTTGTGATGAAGATTTATAAAGTGAATTTGATAATTTGAATGAAAATAATGAATGGTATACAGAAGAATAAGTTTTCGACTTAATACAATAAATTACTACAGGCTACTAATATTTGTAGGAATTAAAAATAATACATTAAGATATTAAGCCAGAGAATATTCTTATTAAATATGAAAGTAGAGGTCAAGTAAGCGAGGGAAAAATATATAAAGTAATTACTAAAAATTCATTTTAAAGATTTCAGATTTTAGTATTGGAAGATTGATGAAAGTACTTTCTAAAAAGAATGATTTGATTAGAACAGGAACTCCAAATTACTCAGCCCCTCAAATATTTGAGAATGGCATTGTTTCAGAAAAAAGTGACATATATTCTCTTGGAGTTTTATTTCATTAAATATGTTACAAATCTTAATTTCCTTACAATTGTGATTCAATGTAAACAAGATTTTTAAGTTTGGAAAATCTTAGAAAAAATCCCCTGAGAGCAGCTCCACTAAATTACAATAAAGCAAATATGTTAAAAAACCTAATTGAGAGGATGATAGTATACAGTGAAGAAGATAGAATTTCGTTTTCTGAAATCATCCACCACCCAGTAATGAATACTAGAGGCATAGCAGAGGCTATGGAATTTAATTATGAGAGTACAAGCTTAATTAATGAGAGTAGATTATTTAAAAGTCAAGGTATTTTAAATAAGTCATAAAATTTTGAAAAAAAAAGAGTAGTATTAATTTCAAAAAGATTAATTAAGTTATAGAGATTATTGGAGTTATTTTATAATAGATTCAAAATTTGTAAATCTTTTATCAAAAATATCAATGATGATGGGACTGTTTCTTTGTTAAATTTGAATGTTTACATTATAGCAAGTTATCAATTGCAATATGCCCTAGCATTAATTTATATCAGACCATTTGAGTTCCATCCAATTATATCACAGGAGAATGATCAATTAATATTAATTGATAAATTACGTGATGTTTAAAATGGAATTAAAAATATTTCAGCAGATTAGTAAATTTATAAACACTTATAAAATCAGATTTTAGACAACTTTTCAAATTATGAAAAATTACAGAATAATATCTAAGCAGAATATCATAAATTTAGAAGGTAATTTCAATCATTCACTATTTTTCTTCATAAAAAATTTAAAAATAAAACTAACGCTGCAGAAATTTCATTTTTATCAGAAACATTTAATAAGAAAATCAATATTTTAGTTATATTTAACAATCTACAAAATTTTTAGAAAACCCATCAAAAATACTTATCGCCAGAATTATTATAACTATTAGATTAGATAATAAAGTTGGAAATTCTATACCCAGTAAGCATTTATAAAAGTGAGATTGATCTATAGTTCCTCTTCTCTATCAAAAGATAATCCACTGAAGTATGAATAGAAATATCATATTCTGATAATTTACACTAAATAAAATTATATATATATAAATGTCGTTAAAGATTGTTAATTTAATCATTTATTGTTCGTACTTTAGATTAAATATTATTTGTTTTTTAATCTTTTTCTTCGTTTTTAAAAAAATGGTTTCGACTTTTGTGCATTTCTTTATTGCTGCTTTGTAATTTTAGATTGCTTATTTTATTTTGCCAAGCCTTTCTATCAGCACTAAAATTTAATCAATATATATTAATAAAATCAATTTATTTAAATGAAGGAGTACCTTTATTATATAGTCCAAAAACTCAATATATTTATCTTTTTCATAATTTGTTTAGATTTAAAAAAATTAATCTTACATTAAGATATTTCGAAGTCATTTCAATTTTTTTGGATTAAAATTGATTTAATCTTTAATATATATCTAAATAATTCATCACTCTTTGGTGATTAAAATATTGTAAAATTATAATCATTTTTTTAACCCATTAATTCCTTAACCTGGTTCGTTTAATTCCATTACCAATATATAAATACTTATTCACATATAATGACAAACGTAAATATCATATAATTATACTATTCAAATTTAAGTATAAGATAGTTTTTTATTAATTTGGTTAATTCTTTGTTCTAGCAAAAAATGTGCCTATTCCCAGTATTTATTGTTTAGTATTTATGATTACTAAGAATAAGACCTTAATTAAATATCTAAGAATATTCAATTCAACTTTACAATAAATTTATAAGAGTTTTTCTATCTAAGAATAGCAATACTTTTCAAATTCTATCATCTCCTCATAATTTAATGAATTAAAGTCACATTTTATTTTATTTCAAAAAGTAAAAGTAAGACTGATAGATGATAATAACATTTTTTGCAAAATATGATAAATTGTTTTTTTGAGATTTTCAATATCATTCCAATATTATTAAACTTTAATAAAAGCATAAACTCAAACGTTTTTTGTAATTTTTTGAATTTCTAGATCTTATTTATTATATTACCATCAATTCTTCTGATTTATTTGTTTTTCTCATTCATCATTTTTATATTAAAGATCATTTCAAACTAACATTATCAGATCAAGTATCATATATTAGAAGATTTTCTGATCTTATTTATCTGATCTTTTTACTTGCCAGCATTTGATCATAACCTATCCGAGATAGCAATTAGGTTTTGAAACTTTATCAGATTGGAAAATACAACCCTAAAATTTAATCAAGTTTATAATATAATTATTAAGAAATTCATAAAATGAATGAATGGATTACAGATAATTCTCTAGGTTTAGGTAAATTGGATTTGAAAATAAATGCTCATAAAGACATAATAACATTTTAACATATATATTAAAAAAAAATACTTCTAGATTTTATAATGTAACAAATCTTCATCTCATCATCCTTTCTTTAATTTTTCAAATAGAAATTAAATGATGAATATCCTTCTAAATCATTTGAAAAATACTATCTTCCAGATAACTAAATCTTGCTTTATTATAAAGTCACCAATTAAATAGATGCTTATTCTGTTATTTTGATGTGTAATATAAAAATTAAATATACAACATTTAAGTTGTGACATTCGTATATATCAGATTCGATGCGTTTATACATTCGAAAATTTCTATTTTAAACAGTAATATAACATCTGATGGACCAAAAATGTATCCTTTATTTATTTATAAGAAGAACTAATTGATTTATTTAGTTAATACTTCTTATTATCACTTAAAATTTAGCCTTAAAGTATTATAAAAATAATTAATCTCTTCTTTCAAATTTATCATGATTTAGTAATATTATTAGAGAATGAGTCATGATATAGATAAATATGGGTTTATCATAGCAACATTTATTTCATCATAGACAGCAATGAAAACAGAATTTCACACCTGCTTCTCGATTAATTTAGAAATATCCCTTCGAAAAGGATCGCTGAAGGTTTAAAAAACCATACCTAAAATTTCTATTATAATAAATTTCTATTGAAGCATTCAATTAAAATTTCCTCATAATTATAATTCTAATTGTTTTTGATAAAGGAGCAGATTCAAGATGTAAGTAGGTTTTGATTGACTATAAGATATTTTTACTATTGATACTTTTGGATATGGAGCTGATCATTATCCAAAAGTCATGAATAATATTTCAAATTTAAAAGGAGGCTAATTTGTATCTTTAGACACTTAAATTATTTGAGAAATAATGAGTTATTTAATTTTATACAATCTTTAAGAATCACGTTGAGTGCATATCTTAATTATCAAAAGTAAAGATAAAAATTAATTTGCCATATTCATTTATAAGTCTTAGATACAATTTATGTAGTGAAAAATATTCAAAATAATTGACAGAAATAAATACTCTTAATATATAATATATAATTCAATTGGTTCTCATTATTTTATTAAATCTCTTGACTAACTTGGATATTAGATAGTTAATGGGTTCCATAGACATAATTTCTAACATTTAATTATTTTGCTTTTAGATAAATTTTCTATGTTTTTCAATTACTTTTTTTGATCTCTTGTTATTTATTAGCCTTTCTTTTTATTGTAGAAACTCCAAAAAAACTTTGTATCTGACTTCTTTAGTTTTATTTGTTTAAATTTACCAATTCAATAAATATTAGAAATTCTTAGAATATTTTGGGGATTCTAATTGTTGAATTATATATTCTACTTATGTATTAACCTGTAAATTATAATCAAAACACTCTGTATACAGTATTAATATATCTAATAAAAGATATATAAAATTATTATCCAATTCTTTTAATAGGACATTGAGCTTATTAATTAAAAGTTCGAATTTAGGGGAGAATTAATTTGAATTAATAAACAGGTACTAATTATTATCCACTATTTGTTCATTTTCAATTGAATATTTCCTCTTTTCTGTTGTTAAAAAAAAGTATTTTGGATTAATCAAGTCATTAGATTCCTCAACTTCATCATTTTATTATACAATTGGCTTTATCTTATTTCGCGGCCCTGTTAAAATTCTAAATTTGTAATTGCCTTGAATTGATAATAATTTCAAAAGCTTAACACAATCATGATCATTAAACAAATAACCATAATTTGCAATGCCACCTTACATTTCAATTAATTATTTCTTTGGCCTTCCAACTTTAATCTTACTCAACATAAAATATTATTATTCTGTAAAAATCTTTTTCTTTTTAAACCAAAAAAAAATGGGCAATAAAAAATATTCTCCTTAATTTACTAAAAATTCTTTTTTAAAAATTTCAAGAAAAAAACATTAGTATATTCAGAATATTGTTACAATAATAAAAATAAAAAACTCCGAAAAGGCGGATTTGAACCACCGACCTGGGGATAACTGAATTAACACTACAGTCCCTCGCTCTACCAACTGAGCTATTTTCGGATGTTAACATAAATCAATATTCTTAATACTTAAAATAACATTCTCATCTCTCTAATAGTAGATTAAAAGAAATTTATTCAGAAAATTATCAAAATTATAGAGCGACCATTATTAGTATTATTGATCCAATAATCTTAACATATTGATAGTTCAATCTTTAAAATAAATTATCAAAAATTAATACCATAAATAATTTAACATCTAAATGAGTCTGCTAATTGAAGCTGAGTTGCTAAATATGAATAAAATGATATTTTATTTATATAATAATAAATTCCTTCTGGTAACTATAAGTTAAAGTGAGTTATATTAATCAGTTTAGACAAATAATATTAGAAAGTTTATTAAATATAAACCAATAGGATTAAGATGCGAGAAAAAGGATACAGAATTCTAATAATTAATAATAAGTTCATTAGGTTTAAAGACAAACAATAACAGTGTTATTCTATCATTTCAAGAATTTTAACATTTTATACCTTGACTATTATTTCCTTTTAGAAAATATGCCTTTAAAAGATAATTAAAGAAATATAAAGTTAATAGATTGCATAGAATTTTACAACAGAGGACAATTTCAAAGTAGGATTAAGGCCCATTTGTTAAAAGAGAATATGTAAGAATGAGGATGATAATTAATTGTAAATAACACTTTAGTTATCACTTAAAATAATGGTTGAACTACTTTTCTAAAAATATAATATTTATATAATTCAAAAAGGAATAATAATTGTTATTTTTTTTATATTGATAATAAAAGTATTTAATAATTGAATATGAATTAAGAAAATGACGAGAGCTTGGATGTAGCAAAAGAAATGCTATTGGTTGGTCTAAATAATCCAGAATTGAACGATAACATAGATAAGGAATGGAATTCAAGAAGAAATTAACCCAGACCAAAGACGGCTTTACATGATAGAAGATAACAATAATTATAAGAGTTAAAAGAACATTTTACGTCTTCCAATCAGTTATAACAAAAACAAGTGAAAAAAGAAAGAACCAATCAATAAGTTCATTAAAGCTTTTAACCTTTACCATAAAATAAGGAATTAGGAGCCCAATTCGTGAATGCAATTGAAAAATTCAATGATAATTTAACTAGAGATTCAGGTGTCTCACTATGTTTTAATTTGATTGAGAAAAACAAAGACTTACAGTCGGTTTAAACAATGATTGAATGTTTATACAGCAGTTCAAAAAAAAATATTAATCCTAAAACAAATAGTTAAAATACACTAGCAATTGATATGGAATTGATAACTTTAGGTGAAATAATAAAGTAAAATGAAGAATCTTTAAACCCTTATTTAATTGATAAGATTTTTCAAATAATCAAAAAGCATATGAATGTAAGAATTGATTATATATAGAGTAATGCTGATACAACAATTTAAGCGATAAGCTATGTTCTAATATAATTATTATCTCAAATGAATGTGTCTAATATTTATTAAGAATTAAATGAATCTATATTTGATAAAGCAAGACAAGTTCAAGTGGGGACAATTTTACCTTTTTTGTGTTATTTTTTAAAGTAAAAGAATAAGATAGAGGAGTTTACTATTTTAGGATAATTAATTTTCGAAATTTTTAAAGTAAAATTATAAAATAGAATAGAAATTGATGATAGACAGTTTAGAGTTTTTGAAGTGCATAGAATTTTTACTATGTTTAAATTTGAATTTGAATCAAGAAATCATTATTTAAAGAACTCTAAAGTATTGTTAGGTGCCAATTAATAAGAATTCAAAATACTATTTAGTTGTTTGTTAAGCCTGTAAGATTATTGAGCATATGGGATCAAAAACAAGAATGATGTCAAATGAAGTAATAAAAGAGATGGAAAAATTAGTTAATGACAGAAGAGTGGATGTGTAGACGGCAGCTAAGAAAGCAATATCAGCTTGGAAGGAATAAGAAATCAAATTAATTGAATATTAATTTGACTAATTTTATAATAAAATTGGATTTTGTTAGACTCCATATACAGAGTATTAGAAAAGAGGGTTTTAAAGTTTAGTGAGGGCAAGTTCATTTGTGAGAAAGAATTCAAGATCTCCCAGTCTACCTAAGAAACTCCAGAATTAAGCAGTAAAACCTAAAATCAGGGAGAAAATAAATGAAATAAGGTCTAATTCACCAAAATCTCAATTATTAGAAGAAGACATGGAAGAAATGAGAAGAAACTAGGCTTCATAATTATTGAAATGGGAGAAAGGTGATGGTCAATAAGAGTAAAAGAACAAGGATGAAGATATTTTTGATGATTCTTTAGAAACTAATCCATTTTAAGTTATCCAACAATAATCTCATGGACAATAAAGCTAGATTATTGAATAAAAAGAAGAATTACAAGATAGCTTGATGCAAAGATAGTAAAATAAAGAAGATTCTTAATAATTGAGTAGGATGCCAAATATTCAATACATTGATAATGTTTAGACAATGAAAAAATCATTGCATTCATAAGATTAATATGAAGAAAAAGGAAATTCTGATAATGTCAAAGAAATAGTTCAAATCATTGATAAAGATTAATAACAAAATTTGAATACATAATAAACAGAGTTTGAAAAACAATCGTAAATTAAATATAATAATGATGAAAAAGGTTTCTCAAATGATTTTCCTGAAGAGAAAGTTAAATAATAGATAACAGAAATATAAGAGTAATATCATAAATAAACATCTTAAGAAGAATAAAAAAATTATGAATTGCATTATGAGAGGATTCAACAGTAGAGTTAAAAAGTTAGAAGTGGAAAAGTATAAAAATAGGAAGAGGATGAAATAGAATTTGAAGATTTAGAAAACAATTAAAATGTTGATAATGAGAATCTTAAAATTTTTGAAATAAAATAAATATCGAATTTTGATGCATCCATTTAAGAATTTCCAAAAGAATATATTTCCAAAAACAATAATATTAATTATGAATAGGAATTGATAGAAGATAAGAATATGAACTAAGAATTTTAACAGGATTAAGAAGTTATAGAGTAAAATATTTATGAAAGAAAATAGAATGAGATAAAAGTTAAATCTGGGTAAGTTATACAAGAAGAAAATCTAGAACTTGATGTGACAACAGAGGATATCTAAAAGCTTGACGCAACAAGAGATGACTTAGAATAAAAGGATATTAGAGAAGATTAAGCGATATTTTAATAAAAGGGTAATGAAGGGAAATTGTAATTAAATAGACAAGAAACAAAAAAGATCGAAGAAATACAAAATAAAAAGGGAGAATTAATAGAGAACTAAATTTCAGAATGCAATAATAAAAAATAAGGGTTAATTGAAAGAGAAGAATTTAAGGAAAGTTTGACAAACAAAAAGGCTCAAAAGAAAAGCTAGAAAAAAACAAGAGATAAAAGAAATAGATATTATTTTGAATAAGCATTAAATAAGGCAAAACAGAATGTGAACGAGGGGTATGAAATATTGTTTGAGAATTGTGATGATTTATAAAAGATACAGTATTTTAATGATTAAATAATAGATTTATGATGATGGTAGGTCCACAAATAAATAAATTAAATAATAAGATTATGAATAAGATTATTGAATTCATGAATGAAATGAAAGAAACAGAACTATTAAATGTTTTGGGAATAAATTTATATAAACAAATAAAGGAGTGTGAATACTTTGATGAAATCAACCATGAGGATATGAAGGAAGTGAAAAGCGTATTATATGAAATTAGTGGAAGCAATTCTGAAGGAATAGGAATGATGGCAGTAAATATCTATAATGAACTTTGAACTTAAAGAATAATATTCAATATTATTATTATTTTAAATAAATAATGGCTTTGTGGAAAATATTTTAGAAAGCAGGGCAACGATCTTCAATGCCTGCAGCATTCAAAGAGGGATTATTTGAGAAGCCAGGAGAATTCTAATATAAAGTGAAAAATATAGCAATAAGCTATGAAACAGCTTCTTGGATGCTCAGGGAAGGTATTGTAGAATAAAATCCAAATAAATGGGGATATGTGTTGAGTAAATCTCACAGAGACTTTAATGATTATTGGACTAGAAGTAAGAAATATCAAATTAATGTAGCTATGTTTACAAGATGTGGTTTATTTTTAACAGGATGTTGGCTTTTTAGTTGTTTATACACTAAACCAAGATTCGATTGGCAAGATTATCATGATCCTAAATTTGAATAGAAGACATATGGTGACTTAGAAGAAGGAGGAGATGAAGGAGGAGATGATGATTGAAAGAATCAAGATATAAAAATAAAATAAAAATATAATAAAATATATATATCTAGAATTTGTTATCAAAACAGTCATAGAAAGTTTAGAAATGTCTTTGTATTATAATGTCATGGAAAAAACATTTCTCAAAGAATTATTTGAAGGAATAGTTAATTAAGAAACAAGTTTGAATTTTATGTAAAACATCATTTCACTTAAAGAAATAAAAAAACCTAATTGATGATTCAAAATGGCCTATTGAAAAACAATTCAGTATGTATAAACACGTTTTTGATTTACAACTAAAATAAATTATTAATGAATAATTTGACTAGCTTGACATCTTTTAGTTTAATAATAAATGAAACATCTTAATGAATTTTGCAATTTGAATTGTCTAAATATTTAAAAATGACTATCTTTTAATAACCATGAATCAAGAGTAGAGGACAATATCGGAATTAATTTTTATATTGATTTTCGTTGATTTTTTCTTTAAATAGGAACAACAACAACAAGATTATAGCATCATATGTTTATCGATTGATAATTTTTAATCAAAATTACAAATTTTTGTATTTATATTTGCTCAGGGATCTATTATTATATTTAAAATAATATATTAATTTCAGTTTCAGATGGCTGACGAGAATTTAGATTAGATTATAGATATGCCTGAATAATCTGATATGATTAACGATGCAAGAACCCAAGTTTAATACGATTATTTAATATTAATAGGCAAAATATGCAGTCGAACATTTTAAAATAGAATCGTAGATCTCAAATTACATTAAAAAATTCTTTGATGAAAAATATGGTCCTAATTGGCATTGTGTTGTTGGTACAAATATGATTTATCAATATTTAAGGAAAACATTTTAACTCTTACGCATCTTACGAGAGTAAAAGATATATGTTCTTTTATGAAGGATAAATGGCAATTTTACTTTATAAAATGGGTTGAAGAATACAAAATACATATTATTATTATTAGATTATAAAATAATTATTAGTACTTGCTATGGCATAAAAAACCTAAACTTTAGATCTTGTCCATTCATTAATCTTATATCGTTTTGTGTTCAATAATTTACTCTTCAAGCATTTTTATCTGCAGTTAAGAATTAACTCAAAACATTCAAATCTAAAAAGTTATGATTTCTCTATGTTCAATTCTTTCCATTTATTCAAGAATATATGCTTCTCTTATTAAAAATTCACAATTTTCACAAGATGACCAATAATACAGAATAATTCATTATCCTAAGGATCAATGTATCCCCAACACTACATGATATTTTTATTTTATTAAATCTCCATTTCTGATTTTCACTCTTTCTCTGATGCCTATGCGTGATTTTAAAATATGAAAAATATTTTAATTATAAAATAAAGATGTCAATTACAAATCCTCAATTATTGAATCAGTCGCCATATAGCAGCATGGCTAAAAAATAAGGGAATGGAAATTAATCTCATTCTTCTTTGAAAGTATTTCCAATTGATTTTATTTCATAGAACGTATAAAATGTGGTTCCACAGATAAATGTGTAAATTAAAAATTAGATGCAATTAAATTTTAATTGTTAAACTTAAAGAGAATACAAGTATAGATAATCCGAGTTAGAGACTAAGAGAAAACAATAATCTCCCAATATTTAACGGTTTAGTTAAGCAAAAAATAATAATTTCGTTTCAGGTTATTATTCTAATGGAAATGCCTAATAAAAGAACATTAACTTAATTAAACAATAAATTTGTTATTAATAATAAAACTCTGTGTAAGATTTAAAGAAGGGTTTGTTAGAGGACAAAAAAAGTCAGAAGAAACAATCAAAAACAAAATCTTCTGAATAATTATTATCGAAATCGCATAAAATAACAACAGAACCAATTTAGAAAACATAAAACAATTAAAATTTGATAAACAAAATCAAAGAATAATCAAATTAGTAAAAGAATAGTAGTGTTAGTAACCCAATCGAATTTAACTTTAAAAAATTACTTCAAAAATACCATTTAACTCTGAATAAAGCTAAAAGTACTGAAAAATTGAAAAATCAGAATCATTAAGATTTTTTGAAAGAATCGTTTAGATAAAAAGAATAATAATAAGCAACGTTATAGCATTATATTAGTATTCTCCTTCTTGACTAAGAAAAAACTTTAGAAATTAAATATGACTGTTCAGAAAAGACTACAGATTAATTATTTTCATACTTAATTGAAACTTGTTAAGATAGTATATATATTATTAATAAAAAAAGATGAGAATATAATTGGATTTTCATCCATAGATAATAACATTGCAGTTGAATACTAATCTAAGTCTCAAAAGTAAAGACTTAATGATATTTGGATAAAGCAAACCTTAAAATTAAAACCACTATATCCCAGAGTAAACATCAAAATTTGTCATTGAAAAGCTTCCATTTTTTATTATGCATAGGAATTGGGGGATTTTCAAGAGTATATTTGGTTAGATCAAAAAGAAATGGCAGATTTATAGCCTTAAAATTGATATCAAAATAATTTATTATAGAGCATTAAAAGTAATAGATTGTTTAAAATGAAAGAGATGTTATGGTTTAATTAAATTTAAGTGATTAATAAATGCCTAAATAATTTATCTGCCAATTGGAATGTGCATTTGAAACTAAACATTGGGTTTGTTTTGGTATGGAGTATTGTCCTGGTGGAGAATTATTCAATTAATTAAGAAAAGTTTAGAGGATGAATTAAGATTAAGCAAAAATCTATTTTATAGAAGTTTGTATAGCTATAGGATTTTTGCATAGTTAAAATGTGTTGTATCGAGATGTAAAACCAGAAAACATCTTAATTGATGAGTATGGACACTTAAAAGTGGCAGATTTTGGACTAGCTAAACCAAATATGGGTTAATTTGATGAAGCCTATTCATTTTGTGGGTCACCAGAGTATATGGCTCCAGAAATGCTATAGTAATAAGGACATACATTTGCAGTTGATTATTATTGTTTAGGAGCTTTGCTTTATGAATTATTAACAGGTTTGCCTCCATTTTATTCAAAAAATACAGATGAAATATTCTAAAGCATTTTAAATGATAATGTGTAATTTCCTGTAAAGGTTTGTTCTCCTGAAGCCAAAGATTTATTAAGGAGGTTACTTAATAAAGATCCTTCTCAGAGAATGGGTAATCGAGAAGGTATTTAGGATATTTTAGGACATCAATTTTTTGATGATATCAACCTAATAGATATTTTAAAAAGGAAAATATAACCTCCATTTTTGCCCAATCTAATTAAATTCAATTTCGATCCAAAAGAATTCAAATAAGGAGAATAAAAATTTAATCAAGAATTGTAAAAATCACTACAAAGCGATTAAGAAACAAAATTTGAACCGATGTTTGAAAACTTCTATTTTATAGGTGATACTTTGAAAACAAAAAAACTAAAATTTGAAAAGTAAACCAATAGGCCTCAATCATTAATTGAAGCTCAATAAGATACTATAATGACTGATAGAATTGAAAAGAATTTAAATTCAAACAATTCCGCTAATTTGTCTCTAAAGAGGGGATTTTCAGCAAAGTAATTGTAAGTGGAGCATTCTTAAAAGATTGAGGAATTGAAAAAAAGAATTTAATAATAAAGTACTTAAGTAAAGTCTTATATTGATCCATTTGATAACTTAGCTGTAAATTAATTAATTTATTAAAACAAAGCCAAAACTTCAAGATTAAAAAACAATAAATGAATATTTAATTATTCTCTTATATCAAAATAATAAAGAAATATAGAAATTCATATAACATCTTATTATGCATAAGGAAAACACCTTTTGAGTTATTACTTTATTTAGTTTTTATTGATTGCATCTAATTGATCACAAGAATTCGCTATAAGAATTTTTTCACTATATGATGCATTAAGTTATTCCAATGTTGAACATCTTTGAAAATTCTATTTTGACAAGTATTTGTGTTATTGCTTTTTTATATCATTTTTGTATTATTAGCAGATCTACATATCATTGCTGAAAATTTGAAAATTTTTTATCATTATATTTTAATTAATTCGATTGAAGATTGCTTCAATTATGCATTCTGAATTGTGCAATTATTCAGATTTATCTTTGAATTTATCCTTGCCTTCTGTATATCCAACATTTTCTAATTCATGTTGAAACATAAGTTCAAATCTAATTTGATTATATTAAAAAAGTACCCTTGTTCATATGCCTCAATGAGTTCCTTACTAATATCTTAATAATTAATCTTGAGATTAATTATGAATTCAAATTTGCAGGTTCCTGGTGGCAATCTTTAGATAATTGGTATTTTATGGTTTACTAAGTATTTACTATAGATTACGGAATTCTCGTTGCATTTCTGGCAATTGCATTAATGAAAAAGAATTAGGATCGATTTATGCATTAACTATGATAGGATTCAGTCATTTACATATTCCTCTTAGGTTATTCAAGTGGATGTTTCCATGTATGATGGTAATAGTGGACGAATTGATGGTAGCCTCATAAACATTTGTGTTTTCTTGGTAATTTAAATCATGTTGTTTATCTCCCTAACAAAAATCTGGATAGGTTAATTATTATATTTACTTCCCATATAAACCAATAAATTAAATTAATGAATAATAAGAAGGTTTTAGAGCTCGTATCAAAAATATTGATCTTTAAAACCGAGCATTGCTAACATAAGCATTCCTGCATTAGAAATACTTTCCAAGGTGCAAGTGAAGCATTCATTAAGGCATTTATTGCAAAATTGTGTTTGAATGGATTGATGCTATTATTAAGCTTGAAGAAGGTGATGTAATCAGATAAGAAATTATTAAATGCATTCAAAATTCTACTAAATAAGTATAAATTCATTAATGTTAAGAACTAATTTCCAATTAGGATTGTTTATGGGATTGTAAACATTGTTACTCAAAGGGATTTAATGTTCATTAAGAACGATAAGATAGAAAGAGGATGGAATCAATGCTCTCTTGTCTGGATTCATTGCTGGAGGATTAAGCTTCATGACTCAAGAGGATAATGTTAAATACTTAGTCAGAGTGTACCTATTTGGCAGAGCAGTTGATTGCATCTATTAATCTTAAGTTGAAAAGTATTATTCCCCTTATATTTTTAATAGAGGACGATTCAAACACAGAAAAATTATACCCGTTGTAGTCTTTGCTCTTATGTCTACCTTGATTTCATTCGCTTTCTTCTTTGAACCAGAGATCTTGCCATTGGATACATATAAGATGTATTAGAACTTCTCAGGAGCTGAAATGAATGATTCATTATGGCACATGTGTAACGTGTAAGCTTGGAGAAATAAAATTAACGCAGCTAAATCCTCATGAAATATTATTGATAATTTCATATTTATTATTTATGAATGAATAGTTATATATTTTGTTAATCCAATTATATGGTTATAATAAGTTTTCAATGTTAATTAAAAGCTAGTGTTTTCATATGGTAATATTAACATTAGAATCCGTTTGATATGTTAATATTTACCTATCTTTAAGAGTATTCAAAATTTTATTTAATATTAAAATTTAGTTAGAGTTAAGAAAACATATATTATGTTAAATATAATCCTATAATGGCTCGAAATTCATATCATTTACATAGCCAAAAGATAATAAAAATCTACTATTAACTTTATAATTTTATATCCATAATGATATAGAAAATAGTTATTTATAGAATCTCGAAATTTATACTTTTTGAATGAATATAAATTTTTTTTCATATAAATAATAAAATTAAAAAAAAGCTCCGCGTCCGGGAATTGAACCCGGGCCTCAAACGTGACAGGCTTGAATACTAACCACTATACTAACGCGGATTCTTAATTAATTAAATTAAATTATAATAATAAATGAGTGTCAGAGTTAAACTGGATAATAAAGAAAGAGGTTATTACGCTTCTTTGTATTAAGCAGTGGATGCTACAGTATCTGAATAAATTATGCTATTAGAATACAGGCTAAATTGGAGGAGCTTAAGCAGTCACATTTTTTAAAAGGTCAGGATTATCAATAGATATTCTCAAGAAGATTTGGTTAATTAGTTCACCAAATAATTAAACTTTGAATAAGGAAGAATTCTATGTAGCTCTTAAGCTCATCAGCTTTGCGCAAAATAATATTGAGGTTTCGAATGATTCCATTTAAAGATGTATTCCAAGTCCATTACCATAATTCTAATCTGATACAGAAGAAATTTACAAACTAAGACCTGAATAAGAAAGGTTATATCAGAATTATATATAATAATTGGATCATTCAAATTCCACAGTAAATATATACACAATTATTAGGTCTCAACTTAAATGGCAATCAATTTATTCAAGAAAACTCCAATCACTTAATTCTAATTATAGAATATCATCAATCTAGTTGATCCAACCCTGTAAACAAAACCAAGAATAACAACCCATTCCTATATTGTTATCGCCCATCTAATATCTTTAGCCTCTTAGAGTGTACCAATACCATAAAAATTACCAAACTCCTTATAAGAATACTTAAATTAACAAATGGTGATATCGTAAAATCTTAACGTTAATAATCCACCTATTAATCCTTAACCTGCTGTTGTGCCTAAATCAAATGATTTAATAGACTTTGAAGCTAATTTTGATAAATCCAAGTCTCCAATTGATAAATGTATCTACTCTTAAAATATTAATTAGATAGTGCCTTCAATTACATGGAAATTCCAAATCCTGTTATTGAGTAACCTGTCTAATAATAGCCATAAGCCTAACTAGTGACATCTCAATCATTCAAAATACCAGCTAAATCAACTTAATAACCAATCTTAAAACAACAAAAGTCTTTTGATTTAATGTTGAATGAAAACGATTCACAACCATAATAAAGTATATAGTAAAATGTTCCATAATAATAGTAATAAACTGCTGTTTAAATATAGCCAATTACTTAATAATCTATAAAGACAGTAGATTTTTAAAAATAAGTTTTGCTTCAAGAACAAATGTTAATGTAACAGCAATAGTTAGAATAAAATTACAAGGAAGCCAATGATCTGCTAAATGAATTCAAGGAATCTCATGAAAAGATCCTGATTTCAAGTTAAAGTTAATTGGAATCACTACAGACTTCAAATGAATAATATAAGACCCTATTAAAAAAGATTTCAGATGAAAATTATTTATTTTAAGAAGAACTTAAATAAGTTGAACAGTAGAAAAAGAAACTGACAGAATCTTTAAGTAAATAAGCCATAGAAATCAATTAAAAATTAGGATTGAATATTTAATTAAAGCAAGAATACTCAAAATAGACTACTAATACAATTAATGCAGTTACAGATTACGCTAATTAAATAATTGGAGATTTAAGATCTAATTATGAAATTGAGTAAGAAAGAAAAAAAAGATAAGAATAAGAAATTGTTAAAGAACTTAAATTATAAAGAGATTAAATGAGTTCAATTTTTGAGGCTTTGACTTCTTTATCTAAAAATGTGAAATAATATCAAAAAGATTCCACTCCTTACTAGCCAATAGAGACGCATGAAATAAATGGAGCATTCTCATAAGTTTAATAATCATAAAAGAGTAAATCTAATTAAATATCATTGGATTAATAACAGGTTGTTGAAGTAATGGACAACAAAATAGATATAATTGATATATCAACAAAAAAATAGTAAGAATTTTACCAAGATTTAAATAAACAAGCTGATTTGAATAAGACAGAGTAAATTGATGTATTTTCTTTATATAATGATAAATAACAAAAAGATTTAATTAAATAGGTAGTCTAAACAGAATAGAATGACTAAAAATAATAAATTGATTAATTTGAATAGTAGTAATTTATATCATAAAAAGTTGAAGATTTTGGATTCACTGAAAACATTTAAGTTTAATTACCCCCATAATAATAAGTTGAAGTTAAATTAGATGATACTTTGGGATTTGATAATAAGGATGAAAATAATATAGGATTTACTAATACAAATACTGAAGATCTTCATGGAATTAAGTAATAGGAAGATTAATAAATCAATATTTAATTTGAAAATCAAGATGAAAAACATCAAGTATTTGATATTTAATTTGATGATGGATTTGGTGCTCATTTTGATAATAGAAACTCCATAGAATAAAATCCATCAATACATTTCGACTAAAATTTTGTGTTTGATTAAGGAATTAAACAAGCAGATGAAGTTTAAATTGATTTTGATGCTAATAAAGAGTTTGGGGGAAGTGATTGGGCTGGATTTGGTGATAATTTTGTTAAAGGATCTCCACAATAAAAAGAAGAGTTTTAAACATTTAAATGGTGAAAAAATACATATATAATATTATAAATAATTCATTGATATTGATAAATAATCATATTTAAAAATGATTCTTAAAATCATCATAATTGAATTCTTGTTATTTGTGATTAAGTGTATAGATATACTTTTCATAAAGTTCAGGGGTCATATAAAATTTAAGAAATTGATTGGTTAAGAATGTAGCTTCATCTTTGTCAATTTTATAATCCATGATATCTCCTCTTATCAATGCCACTTGTTTTTATGCTAGCAACTCCTCAAAGATAGTTAATATAAAATAAGGAGAGGAAAAGGACCCAGATTTTTTATATTCTTCTAAAAAAGTGAATAACTAGAATATGAATTATCCTTACTATACTATTAGTTTATGATTATCCAATCAATTAGAAATGTCCTCCTTTTCTTTTAATAGGCAATAAAAACAATGGAGATTCCTTCGTATTTCTCTTGAGTATTTCGTATTCATCCTTGCTTACAACATAAGCAACATTATTTTATTTTTCTTTGTGGTACTCCATCCACAACGAAATAACTTAATCTTTTGATTCCCTTTCAAACAAAGACATTTTAACAATTTCTCTCAATTTCCTAGGACATGGATAAGTAAATGCAAACTGATATTTATTTAAGAATATATTTAACATAATTTAATTTATTTTTAAATAATTAACAGCACTATGATCTAAAAATTGAAAATAGAATGTGTAAAGCAAGGATATTCAATTAGCAATGAAATGAAATTTGATATTATAGACTTTTATACCAAATCCTTACATCAAGAACACTATGCTCATAAAACAGATTATATCAGACACAACCTTGAGGAAAAATATGGTATATTATTAATCTAAAATAATAGGACGTTGCTTCTCAATAATAATGTATGAAGTTGGTGCTTTTGTGTCCCATTCATTTTTACATGCAGATGATTTCTTATTAGAATTAAGATCAGCTGAGCATCACATCCTCGCATACATGCTCCCACCATCATTTACTCCCCCTCCTTTAATACCTGAACCATAGGTTATACCATTTAGTAGAACAACAACTTAACAATAATACGTATCCAAATATTAGTAAATTTAATGCATTTAACATAGTCAGCCATATAATACTAGTTATTACAAATATTGATTCAATTTTTATTTATAATATATAACAAATTAATTTATCCAATTCTTGTAATTTATATTAGAAAAACAATAAAGAATAGAAAGATCACCCTATTTGAATTGCGTTGATATAAATAATTCAAAATTTTAGATGTAATGATAAATAGTTTATATATACATATATAGAAGATTTCTTAAATTTTAATATCTTTTACCTATGAACAATCCATATTTTTAAGCGTCCAAATGAAATAAGTAAGAATTCTTGATGAAGATTGAATTAGCTTAATTAAGAATATTGTAATTTATCAATTCGTTTGATTAATTTATTAAAATATAAATGGAGATCATGTGAATTAGACTGTAGGCTAAGAACTAAAAAAATTAGTGTCTGTAATGTCTTGACATGATCTTTTTTATATTTGACTTTATTGTGTTGTCTTATTTCTCTAGAAAACTTTAAAATTACTATAATGTTAATTATTGCTATTTTTAGTACTATGCACTGGTTTGTAAGGAAAGATAGTATCAGTGAGTATAAATCCTTGTTATGCTTTAGCTTTATAAAATTGATCTGTTGTTTAACATAAAGATTTAGATTTCGAAATAGATGTATGAGATTGGCGACTTAGACATTATTTGAGTATTTCCACTTTTTATTAAATTAAAGGATTAATAATTCTTAGTTATTGTTTGGTCATGGTTAGGAATGGCAGATTATTGTTTTGTAAATCTTCTTCTTGTTGTTAATTAAATACAATTGGTTCTTTTTATTAAACTTAAGGTAATTGATGTCTTCTAATTTATTCAAGTAGATCTTTAATGTCTTTTTGATGTTTACTAAAATAAGGAGTCTTACTCCTTAACATAAATTAAAATAATTACTTGGGTTTTGCAGGCTAAAATTATTCAAATTATTTTTCAACTCTGATAATCAAACATTTTTAGAAGTTTTCTCCAGCCATTTTGAGCATATTGAATTCTTCATTTTTACCAGTTGCTATATCAGATTTTGTATGTTAATCTGCAATTGACAAATTTTATTCAACCATTTATTATTTAGTCATTTTTGGTTATAAGGTGGACCTGAGAATAGGGGAGGATTGTTCTTAGACTGAGTTTTATGTTTTTTATTTGACTTCAATTTCATTGATATATCTTCTTTCAATATTTTTGACTTCCTCTTTTTTATTAAGATTAGTATTAGATATTTTAGTTTAAACAATTTCGTCTAATCTTTTTCGATATAAGGCTATGTTTTTTTGTTGAAGAGATTAGAGAGGTATAATAAATTCAGGAAAGGATTTTTTGACAATTGCATAATTATCTAATTACAAAACAAATACATTGCACTGGGTAATAGTTTTGACAGCGTAATCTCTTCTTTCGTTTTACAAATAAATATCAGTTTCGCCAACAAAACATCCACCTGTAAGATGAGCTATCTATATTTTGAATAAAATTTAATACTGTAATGAGTTCTTTCTGATTGGATTTCTCTTTTTTAGGAGACAAAATAATTTGATTCTATTCAGATTTAAGAAGTGGATTAAAATCAACAGTCTATTAAAGTTGAATTTCTCCATCTTTTAAGAGGAAGAATCCATCGACAACATCATTTTATTTCCAGATTGTATAATTGACTGGATATTTGTATTAAGTGAAATACATAATCAGTTTACTCATTTTGAATTTAGTCATAGTTGGAAACATTTTAAGAAAATAATCGATTTTTTCTTATTGTGTTTTAATCTACTTCTCAAAGATTTTCTTTAAATATTTAAGATACAAATTTATACTTTGAAATTGGCTTTATTAAGCGATAAAGCTTAGACATCAGTTACAGCAATAATGCTAGCTGCTCTAGGTTTATCAGTTGTCAAAGCCATGTCTCCAAAATAGAGACCAGAATGTACTTGTGACAATTACTAGAATTTACATATTCCATTAATAGTAAAATACATATCAAAATTACCAACATATAACAATAACAGTTCTGCTTCTATTTGCTTTACTGGTTTAGATTGTTTTTTGATAAGTTTTTCATAAAAGGACAATTTTTGATCTTATTCAATTTCATCGATTGTTTTAATTTGCAGTCTTTCAAGAATTTTTTCGATTTTTGGAAGCATAGCACTTTCTTCAGCTTCTATTTATTGTTGCTATCTACGAATGTATACACCTGCTCTCCCAGTGAGGATTATATAGAATTTGTCTCCTTGTTCACCTTGAAATAGTGGTAAATATAAACCTATATGAAATACTGCATTCTCTTTTTGAATCCTTTCATACTATAGATTTTAACAAATTAAACGAGTGAACTCAAACAATGTACTTGATTCTGGACACCAAGTTTTAAAGATCTCTATATTTTACATGATACTAGTAATGGAATCTACTTATATATCAGTTAGATTGAGATTATCTCTGTATACTTAGATGACAGGCTGATCATAACATAAAAACCAATACTGCAAACATCTATTCTTTCTAGTTGATTTGATCCTCAACATCTATTACAGCTTCCTTTGAGACTGTTTTTCTTCTATTCATTTATAGGTAAATATTTGATTATAATATATGTAATTATGATAATATTATAAATTCTTAATTTATTCAAATTTGCTGAAGTGTTCAAATCAATAAATCTTAATAATTTAATTGTCTTGTAATATTCAAGTCTATACCTGGATAATTATTTCCAACTTTCAATATATTGTTGTGAATTTTAATAATTTATTATTGTCTCAGTTGTAATTTGTTTGGTGAGAAACTCAATACTCTTCAAATTAATCAAGATTGAATTTCCTAATAACTTAATAAATTAAATTAGTGATATCATTTGATTTATTATCTTTTATCTCTTGATCAGAATATCTTAAATAAATTATGAATCTATTATATTCTAAATTATTAAATACTGCACTATATATATTACTATACAAATAAAATTTGATACATAGATTGCATTGATAGAAACAAATACAAATAACATTTAAATCATATTCATCCGCACACTTTGTAAAGACATGTTCCAACAAGTTACCCACAGTTTGGACACATATGATTCGCATCTTGACAATTTTCAGACACAAAAGGAATCCAGAAGCATACCCATACAAATAAAAGCAATATGAAACAACAACACCATGTTCCTGCTCCTGGTAGGAAGTTAATTCTTGTTGTCCCCAACTTTGAACAGTATGGACAAGTCATCAATATTGGAAATCTTGATTGATTACAAAGTAATGCAGTATTCCCTAATGAAGTATTCACTACTATTACTTCCTAAGGAGGGGGAGGTTAATCTATAATTTATTATAATTAAATTTACAAGGAGCAGTCTAAACAACAATATTTACTTGAGGATTAGAGGGTGGAGGAGGAGGAGGAGGATAGTATGGTTGAGGCTATGTTGTAATCATGGATTATGTATATACAACTAATTATATGCGTTGGAGCATTACCTTATTTAGTTTCAATTTAGACAGGCTATAATTGCAATTATCCATCAGTCATTTCCAAAGCACTATTAGTATCTTATTGCATTTTTAAATATATTATTGAATTCGAATTCGATATTTTATTAGTTAAATTTCAATTTTTAGATACTTTATTATTCTGCCATTTAATTAAAGGTCATTATGTATGTTATAATAAATAGATATATAATTAAAAAATCAAAGAGAATATATAAATATTCCTATCAATAATTATGTAAATAAATTAGTATACATTAAAAATCAGATTTAAGAAGAAAAGTAAGTTATATTAATTATCATTAGAAATTTAGTGCTTTGATATTTTAACAAAAGAATTCATCAAACTATTATTGAACAATATCAATTGTCTATCCATAATGATAAATTTATTATTGATAGTTTGGAATTATAATAAAATTGTGAGTAATTTTAAATATCTATTTTCTAATTATAATAATATCTATAATATATTTGTGTTTTTAGATTGTATTTAAACAATAACATGTAAATGTATTTCAAAACTAAGCTGGTTTAAGAAATGAAAACTTCTGATCTGTTGGATTAATTAAGTATCTAAGTACAGACTCTCCAGACTTAAAATTATAATTGGTTAAGAAATTGTGTCTATTTTAGAAGATCTTAAATATTTCCTTGATCTTATAACTACTATGACCAACATCATGATCGGGATCTTATGGACTGATTAATGAGAATCTGTCATCTTATGTGGACTTGTTTTCAATTCTTCCTCCTTGACCCATAACAATCTTCTTCCTTGATACATCAAACTTGATTCCATAGAATTCTAGGAACTTAATCATGTATTCTCCCAAAGTAACATTCTTGATTTGATCTTATTTATTATGTTAGAAGAAATCTTTACGATATTCTCTTAGAAAAGCTAGGATCATCTAGAATAATAAGAAGGAACCCACTCCTCCACTGTATGTTTCATTTAAATCTCTTTATCTTAGAACACACTTTAAGGTCATTAAAAGAAATTTCAATTCAGGATATATTTCAAAAGCCTTTTCTAATTCTTCAATTTGCTTTAATCCATCTAATTAATTGAATGACAAGTCGAAATGATATTAAGATTCCACTTCAATAAACTTAATGATTGGTACTTTAGCATTTGCTATTAAATTAACATTTTCAAATTTATTAGTTTGTTTCATCATTTTGGCAGCAACCTTTTTAAATAATTATTTTTGTGTGCAAGATGTTTCTATCATTACCATATCTATATCTGCATTAGGCAAATACATCCTTGTTTTGAAACTACCGAATGATTCAATTTAAGCTTCTGGGGCTATATCTTACAAGTATTTTTCAACTCTCATATAAGCAGTGACTCTTCTTTTATGTTCTTGATCAGATGGTGAGATATATTCAAAAAATTCAATTATTTCATTGTGCAATCTCAAAACTGGATGCTTGATCATCATTGTCTTCTTACTCATCCATGGAATAACATCTACATTTATTACACAATCATCTTCATTATCATTTTTTACTTTCTTAAAACTTAAATTAATGATATGTATATCTACATTTTTGGTTCATCTTCTTCCTCATTTATCATTATTACATCTTTGTTATTTTAATGTTTAGAATGATGAACATTTTTGCTCATGAGATAAAAATTATAATGAATTAATAATAATATTGGTATATTGAAACAAAGCATATACTATTAATCAGTATAAGCTTCCAAGTTAAACCATACGTCTCTTTATCATAATATTGATGACAATAACCATGTTTTAGAGTATTGCCTCAGAGATTATGATCCTAATCTAAATCCACTGACAATTATTTGTATAACTTAGAATCACACTAATTCTTTATGGGTTTATATAAATTATTAATATATTGTAATAATGTATTCCAATAATGATAATCCAGAAATATCTGAATAAAAGAAGCAATTTCTTAAAGTTTTCTTAAGAGTTTTGATATTCAGAATAAAGACTAAGAATTATAATAGAAAGAGAAACAATAAGACAAGGATAATTTAATAGGAATAAGTAGAAAGTGACTTCAAGTGGATAATATGTTAAATAATTATTTTTTAAAGATAGAGACAATCATCATAAAGTGATTGATACTTTAATTTTTCATAGGCTAAATTCTATTACGAACAAGCTAAATTTAAGATCAGTAAAGAAAGCTGAATTTTAATGTTTGGATTTGGTATTTTTGCTAAGTCTATATAAAGTAATAGAGATGGGTATTTAGATATTCAAATATTTTAGGGATATTGATTAAGTTCAAACCGATATATACAACTATTTTTGATAGACTAGAGGATTTGGCGATAAATTTAATGTGAATTGATATAATATAGTCCTGGATGCAACTTCTCTGAAAAGTTAAGATAAACAATATAATTGTTGCATTTTATAAAGTTACTTAAAATAAATTATCAGGCGGTGATGGTGCTGAAATGTTGGACGGTCAAAAGAAAGGATCAAAGTAATGAAGTTGCAAATAATTGTAAATCACTAACTCACAAAAAAAAAATAATTTATTTTGTTAACTCCAAAGAATATAATGGAGTAAGTAATTAAGACAAAATTATTTATCTAATTCAGCTGGGTTAATAACTATTATTAGAATTTGATTATAAGATAAGCCTTTAGATTATGTATTCAAAAATGATGAATTTCAATGTAATTTATAAGTATTTATTTTGGAATAATACACTGAATTATATGAATATTTCATATTTAAAAGAAATAATTAATCAGACTAAGATGGTGAATAATCATAAGATAAATTATCAATTTAATTATCTTAAAAAAAGATGAAATTAACTTATGGGTTTCATTTGTAATTATAAGATAATTATATTATTAAAACCATTAATTAACATAAATCTAATGAAATTAAGTTGGTTAATTAGGATAACAGAATATAATCCCATTGCTATCTATATAAGATCTTATGATTCAATAAATTTACAAATAATCAATTAATAATATATTACAGTAATATTAATTTAAACGAATAATAAATGATGATATAAATGATATTTTAATTCAAATTTTATATACCTCCTGGATTTAGTTTCCATAAAAGAAGTCGGAAGAAGCTCAACCCTAAAAAAACCAAGTAGAAATACAAACAATCATAAAGACTCAAACCTTTATATGAAGTCAAACAGTTAGCCAAATTTAAACATCAACCAAGAGATGCAAATTATTCTTTATATAATGAATCATAATAACAACCAGTATAATAAAACCCAGTAAAAAGCCATCATCTCTGCTTGATATATAGTAGAAATTATTGTTCCCAAGAATAGCTTTTAAAAAATAGAATTTCTCAACATTGATTTAATAAATAGTGTTTCCTCTCCTAAGAAACTTAATGAATGAATCTCTAAATTACTATAAAAAGATATAAAGAGCATTATTAATGCCTTAAAAAAATGAAAACATTACATCTCAGAAAGATCATCGCTCCATGAGGTCATAGGGGATAAATTTCCTACAAGGTTGACCAAAATTAAATTTATTTATAGTTTGAATTGTGATTTTTATATTTTATGCTAAAAAATATGCTCTAACTTTTTGACAAGTAGGGCACTTTCATACTTTGATGGAATCAATAATTTCATATTTTCTTTTGTGGCCATTTTTCTGTAAATTGATATTTAATCAAATCCTCATAATCTATAATTTCAAATTCCTATGATATTTCTTAATCAAGATTTTCATCACTTATTTCATCATCCGATGACTAATAATAAGTCATACTAAAATCTTGATAGCATTGCTATCATAATCATAAGATTAATATTACTGCTTTCTATACATTTTATAAAGTTTAATTTACATTATTTATAAAACCTATAAAATCTTCGTTATTTTCATCGAATACATTTTCAAATATAACTCTATTAACTTTTTATCCATTTTAATGATTTTTATAATGTTTTTGAACTTAGATAAAGATTAAGCAGAGTTTAAAAAAATCGTCTATCTACTTGTTACTTTTAATGTCTGAATAATTCAAATTCTTAAATGAGAGTTTATGAGAACTATTAGAAATTCTATATTTCTCATAACAGAAATTCATAAATTTAAAGAATACCTCTGTTGGGTGTTTATTTTAAACAAATATTTCTATTGAATTGCTAATTGAATCTGCATATATATTATTCTTTTCCATTTACTCAATTAATTATTGATAGGCAGTCAAATAATTTACAGGTATAGGAACGGCCAGGTATAAATCAAAAATATATTTGATAGCTTCATTAGTAATCATTAAGTCGTCAGCCTCTTTGATTATTATATATAAATATGAATTATTTAATTGACGTCTGACATCTCATCTTCAATTTTAAGTGGAGTCTAAATATGTCATGGAGTGCAGAGTCAGGAGATTCAGATTCTGAGCTGGAGGAAGAAATGGAAGCAAAAGCATTGTAATTATAAGCTGAAGAAGATGCTGATGTTTTGGATTTGGCAAGAATTTAAAGGGATTCCCAAGGAAATAACTTTGATCAGAAGGAAAATTAAAATATTAAAGAAGATTGTAAGAAAAGGAACTGAAATTAAAATATATTTGATTATAAGAGTTGAATTAATGTAGTCTTATTATTTGAAAGAGTTAATTGAGGTGAGTGAGAATTACTAGAAGTATGCATAATTGATATAGATGAATATTCATTAGAAGTTAAAGGAATAATAATAGAAAAGATATAGATGAAAGATGATTTGAAAAATTAAGATTTTATTGGAAGATGTAGATAGAACTCACTATAAAATGAGACTAAGAATAGGATTCTGAGGAATCAAGAATATCAATAAACTCTGGAGATATGTTAGAGGCTATGTAAGATGTAGAAAAGCATTTAGAAGAAGGAGGAATGGATGAGTTTTATGAAGAGAATTTAAAGAGAATTAAGGATAAGAAGAAATAGAAGAGAGAATAGAAAAAGGTTGGGAGACTTGAGATTTTAAAAGTTAAAAAGTTATAGAAATTACACGAGGTAGGAGAGGATGATCCAAGGAAGATTACCTATGTTAAGTTAAAGGTAATGATAATTCTAGAGAGACATAGAATCTTACTTTAATGAGGAGGAGAAGAGATAACAGAATTAATAATTCAAGAGTAAAAAAAAGTTGAAGTACGAAAAAGCACTCTACAAATTGAAGAGTCAAAACAAATACATAAAGAAGTAAATTGTGACATTTTTTTAAGTCCTGTTACTTCTCATAGGAGAGGGAGCAATCAAGACTGGTATTATCAAAGGTGTAAAATTGTAGTGATTAATTTTGTGCATAGGAGAGTAACTAACTATTACAATTATAAAATGTTTTGATGAATAAATGTGTTTTTCCCATTCTTATTCAAGACTTTGAGTCTGAATTAGCTCTCTTTGATGATTAAGAATCTGAGGGTGATCTTTTTCTACTAATACTTCTCTTCTTTGGCTTGTCTTGTCTCTTTGGACTTCTGCTGTGTCTGTGTTTATTTCTTGAGTATCTATTTCTTCTTCTTGATCTTGAGGAAGATTAGGAAGAATATGAACGAGAATCAGATCTCCTTCTGTGACGTCTAGAATATATTTACATAAATAACCTACCTAGATCTGGAATTTGAATATCTTCTACTTCTTCGAGGTGATCTGCCATTTGGACAATCTCTAGCCCTGTTAAGAATTAATTAACATTTATACCAATGTCCGCCTTTATTGCATTTGAAACACAAATCACTATCAGAAGGTCCAGTTTTTCGACTTTTTCGATTATCCACAATATCAACCTTGAGTTTCTGACCTTTATAAGTCATTCCATTGGTCTCTTTTAGTGCTTCTTAAGCTTCATTCTCGCTATTGAAAGTCTGATAAGGTGGATATATTACAATGAAAGAGTACGAGCCTTTGTAAGCGACTTCTTTGACAGAGCTATATTTTCTGAAGATTTCCTTCACATCTCTTTCATCAGTCACTTTGCTGCGACTGTATCCAGCGACGAAGAGTTGATTAGGGACAATCTCACCCATTAATTAAATTTGTTAATATCAATATCAATGAGTGTAGTTGTAAAGAATACAAAATAGTTAATAATAAATAATATTGAGTGTGCTTACAATTACAATTTTTGAATCTTAAAGACCTTTTTCTATTACTTTTTTTACTCCAATAGGTAACACGAATATACCAACTTCAACTCAACAAATTTCTGAATAATTAAACAAATTTAATCTTAAAAATATTTTACCTGAACACTATCCTTTATCTCTAGGATTAATAAACAAATAATTAATATCTGAAAAATAGAAAGGTAAGTTGATTATACTAATTAATTAATAGAATATTAAGTATAAATATGAATCAATATTCGCTTTACTCAGTTTTAACTCTATTATTTATTGGAGGTAATAAGAAATTACCTGATTTTTTATTAGTATGATTATTGTTATGGTTATTAATATGCAAATGATTTGGAGATAATTATGGTAATTTACAATTGCTAGCAGATTTTGTTGGTAGTCTAGGGGTTTTAATTTACTAAATTGAAGAGGATTTTTGGTTTCTTATAATTGATGAATAGAGGGCAACCATCATTATCTAATTCTACATGTAAGGATCTTGCTATTTAATATTTCTTCGCAAGAAGGTCTCTATTTTGGGATCACTAGATAATAAATTGGTTTAATATTTTTGTTAATGCCTTATTTTAAATATAGCTCTTCTTAAATCTTATATCCAGTCGAAATCGCGCATTCTAAATTTCTATTATTTCATAGCCCATTGAAATTCATATCCATATAAATAATGGCTTATTTGGGTGATTCTACCAATTTAATATGAACCTTAATTTACAATCTATATAATATGCATCCTAAACTAAAGATATCACATTTCTCGTTGTAGGTTAAGGTTTGGTTATTTTCACAAAGAATAACTTCTGGAGCCATAAAACCTGGAGAACCACAGTATCTTCCAACATCCATATCAACCTTTATTTCTGAGCTTACTCCAAAATCACTGACTACTATATTAGGATCTGCTTGAGCAATTAGTGAGAATTGTTTCAACGGCATGGGTCTCTTGAGAAGTATATTACTTGGCTTTAGATCTCGATGCATATATCCTCGAGAATGCATGTATTTTATTGCTTCAACAATTTATCGGAAAATAACTTTGACTGTAAGAAATGGCAAAGGCTCTTCCAATTTGCATAATCCCTATTCTAAAGTTCCTCCTCTAGCCCAATCCATTGCTATATAACATTATGCGCGATTTTCAAAATGATCGTAACACTTTAATAAGCTGGGATGATCTAAAGATTTCATGACTTTGATTTCATTATCAATTGATTCCTAAGATTAAATTTAAATCGATTACTCTCCATTTGTCTGGGTCTTTCTACATAAGCATTTTCTTAAGAAATGCTTTAATTGCTAATTTATTTCCATCTGTTTTCCTTTTAGCTATGTAGACGGATGCGAAACTTCCACTTCCTATCAACTTCTCAAGTTCATAGTATGTCTAATAGTCTAGTTAGGGAATTTGAGATTTTAATTTTTATTCCCAAGGACTGGACTTATCAAGAAATAAATATTCTTTAAATAAACAATCATCCTTTTCCAACCTCAAAATTATGGAAGTGGATTCATGTTTGATTTAATATCTTAAAACACTGTTAAGTTTCGTCATTTTGAATGATTTTTACGACTAGAGATATGTATCCAGAACTACCTTCTTGAACAATAGATTTTCATAACACAAAATTTCAATATATTTATTATTTTTGGATAGAAATTTGGATTATAATTGAAATCGTAGGTTTATACTCAGATCTATTTATGCTGGTTCAAATATTTTATTTTGCATTTTTAATTAATTTATCACTTTATAAATAATTAAATAATAGTATAAATAACAAATTTTAAAAGTTTCTTATCGTAATTATATGCTCTATATTAATTGTTTAAATTACCCTTCTTTTTCAATCTTTGCCATAGGTTAATTTGTAATATCAGCTTCTAAAATCATTTTTAATCCTATATTATTATATTCTTTCTCCTAAATAACTGATAAATAGGATACCCTATTCCCAAAAAGAAAATTTATAATTAAAAAAGTCGACTTAAGTAAATTTCTCTCTAAACAATAATTTACATAATTATATTTAGTAAAGGAAATCTCACTTATTCTAAGCTCCTTGAATGTATATGCTGATTATAGGTATCAAATATAAATTCGAATATAACTTGGTTAATCTTATTATAGAGTTTTGCCTTATTATTTATACTTACAATAGAAGGCTGTTTATTTTTATAATATTTAAGTATTTGTAATAGGGATTTAATTAAAACTGAAAAACAAAAAGCCAATTATTCAATCTATTAATTTAATTCCTTATATATACATATATCTACTAGAATCTAAATTTATAATTTCTTCAAAATCAAACCCTCTATTTCAACTAATTCATATGTTATTAATAAATAAACAACCACAATAGAGTTAATAAAGCCATCATTAAAATCACTAAATCAATATTCAATTATCTTCATCAAATTCAAGACTCTATTGAAAACATGTCTTATGCAATTGAATAGTAATAATAACTTTCTGATTATCAAGTATTTTTAAGTTAAAATCTTATTATCTTTTCATATCTGATTAAATTCATTTATTTACGGTATTCCAATCCTCCCATCTATAAAAATAATGTCAAACATTCAAATTGAGATAAACATTTCAGTTCTTCAATCACATCATCTCTCCCTTCTATTTCTTACATTTCTGCGTTATTTCATAAATTGACTTTGCTGCCTTAAGAACCAATTATACCCTTCATTTTATTAAAATTTAATATTTTTCATTTCTCTAATTCTCAATACTCAACTCTACAATGTCTTAGAAAGTACATGCTATAGATTCCCTTAGAACGAGATCTCTTATACCTCCTGAATATGATTAAATAGAAGAAGCACAACATAATTAAGAAAATTTGGTCATCTCAAGTTAAAGAAGTTAGAACCTAAAAAGCATACTGAAAAAATAAGGTAAAAACAATGTGTCGAAGTTAAAGCGTCTTCGCATTTCAACCAACTTAAATTAAGTATTTATTGTAGAAAACTGGAAACAATATAATTCTAATTATGAAGAACCAGCAGAATCCTGCTGTCAAACATTTTGATTCTGAATACAGATACATGAATATATATTAAAATTAGTTTAAATTTACAAATATCCATTTTCAATATTAGCATGTCAGAATTATTTGCATTTAAAGACAAATAAATTTGAATCCTCTAACTTCTTTATTATATTAACCCTGCTAAAATACTTGAAATTGATCACCAATTCCAGTTACAATAAAACTTATCATCAAATTCGATATATAATTCTTTTTATTGTTAGTAATATCATCTTATGAATCAACTGACACCAATATCTGCAATATATCAGAGATATTATGGTTCAGAAAATTATAGTTATAAGTTAGACTCTCATTTATTTGGGGAATTTGGCTTACAGTTACTATAATCTTATCATACATTTAGAAATTATTTAGTATTATCATTATTATCAATTATTATACTAATAATTAAGTAATGCAACGTTAATGATCTATATAGAAATTGGCTCTTCCTATAAAATTTGCCATTTTTAATTTGATTATATTAGTTGGCTTATGGGTTTTTAGATTAAATTGATATATTTGATCATTTATCAATTTTGATGTAATTCTACTATTGGAGATGTTTTCAATATAAATTTATGGAAATAACAGATTTACCATATAATACTATTGAATTAACATAATCATAATATAATATTTGGCGTAAAGATATTTTCAACTTTTAGGATAGAGATTAAACATCTTCAATTGATAACAGATTATTAGAGATTATTTATGGATTACACCTATTTCTATAAAGTTTTAAAGTTAGACTTTTATATTAAAACCTTTTTGATTAAAATAAATAATTAAATGAACAATCCACTTGGGCGCTCTACATAGAAACCAGATCAACAGGCACAAAATACCTAAAAGAATAATAGAGCAAAAGAATTTGAGAAACAACTCCAAGAGGAAGAAAGAAGTAGCATGTCATGAATCATATTTATTAGTGCTAGCCTAATCTGCAGGAATTGTTACTACACAATAACCAACCCCTCAATAATAATAATAATAGCCTGCTTATTCGTAATAACAACAACTTAATTAATAACCATAATCTGTATTTGGATAGATAGGTTAGATGTTGGATGCCCCAAGAGTAATTCATTCAACAATATTAGAAATTATTTTTTAGAAATACCACAACTTAGCAACAACCAAATTAATAAGGATAAAGACAACCAACTGATTAGAATGAGCCTGAAATTATACAAACTAATATTGTGCAGACCTATACAACTCGTGACATTAAGAGTATTGGACTAGAGATTGTACAACCTGGAGAAATCACATTATAGGAACTTAGAGGAATATGTTCTACTGGCACTCAATAATTTTAAGGAATATTTTTAGCAACTAATTATTAGGTAATTAAATTGATCTATAAATATAGATTGTCTTTTTACCTGATAAATACCCAAAAGATTTTAGAAAGGATTATTTTTATATTCCTTACACTCTAATAATTAAAGTAGAGAAGACTATGGATAGGAAACAAAATGATGCCAATTTTATTGAAATATCTTGTAAAGATGGTAGATGGTTCAAATATAGGTTTTTGAGGGAGCAGAATGATGATTGCAATAGCATATTTAATGTTATCAATAAGAACGCATTCACATTAAATAAATAGACTTTATTCGCATTCACATTTTACAAAGAATTCTCAAATTTAGAGAATGATTTTTAAGGATGGAAGATATTTAATATAGAAAAGGATTTCGAAAGAATGGGCATTAATATATTATAAGAAAATTCACAAACTTAAAATGGATTATTTAAATATCTAAATAATGAGAATGGAATCGTTTGCTCAACCTATTATAATAGATTAGTTGTACCTACAAAAGCGGATTTAGATTGTATACAAAAATCTGCTAAATTCAGATCTAAAGAGAGAATACCAATATTATCATATGCATTCACAATAAATGGAAAAGTAATCTCCATGTGGAGAAGTTCCTAATGCAGGACTGGAATCGGATAGAACAGATCCACTGAGGATGAATGCTATTTGAAATATATGTCGTATTAGACTGTTGATGAGCAGGAGAGTCAATACGAAGAGAAGGAAATCCGATTAAGGATTTATGATGCAAGACCTCACATAAATGCTATTGGATAATAGGTGGCTGGAAAAGGCTATGAGAATACTCTGTTTTATAGAAGATGTAGCATAGACTTTTTGGATATTCACAATATACATAAAGTAAGAGATTCATAAACCAAATTGTTGAAGGCGGCATTTAAGTATCTCAATTCAAATAAATTTAAGCGAAAATGTTCAATTTCTATCCTAGTTAGAATAATCATAATGGTATGATCACATCGTGGCCATCATTAAAGGATCTGCAAAAATAGCAATCACAATGACTAAGGAGAAAATCAATGTATTGGTTCATTGTAGTGATGGGTGGGATAGAACTGCTTAATTGACTGCCCTTGCCTCAATTATGATCGATTCGTATTATAGAACCATTGAAGGATTTATGATTCTTATTTAAAAGGAATGGATCAATAGTGGACATCAATTCTGTTAACGATCTGCTATTGGCAATAAATAAAATAATGAGGATTCCAGATCTCCCATCTTCTTATAATTCTTAGACTGTGTATATTAGATGTAGCAATTGTATCCATTATCTTTTGAATTCAATGGGAAACTACTGTTAGATTTAGCTTATCATCATTTAACTTCATTATTTGGAACATTCTTATGCGATTCCTTTTTGGTATCACTTTCTAATTATTTGCTTTTAGGAAATTCAAAAACAAAGAATCATGGAACAAACTGTATCTATATGGTCTTGGATTATGAAACAAAAAGACAAGTATATCAATGCTTACTATAAAAATCCATAATCAATTGATTAAGATGTTGTTATCCCAGAATAATTTACTGGCAAATCAATTACTTTCTGGAAAGAATATTTCCTCTATTATTCGTTAGAATCGAATGATGCCTATCAAATACATCCTCAATGCCAATACACTTGGTAAGATATAAGAATTTACATTTTAGTGATAATCTATAAGAAATGTATAAAGCTTTGTCCAAAGAAAATCATGTTTTAAGATAGGCTTAGAAGGATCAAGAGAAGTTAGCCATTCTTCATCAATAGAAGTTTAATTAATTAATGCAAATCATCTAAGAAACGTAGAATGAAGAAATTATTGAAAAACTTCAGACAATCAAACTTATTTGAGAAAGATTTTCATGTTTATATAATAATCACATATTTACATTTTTCAAGACATTGTTTCAACAATATAATAAAGATCGTTCGGTTCTAGGTTGGAATTAAGATTCTATATATTCTCGATATTTAAGGGTTAATGCTCTCCTTTTTTTATTATTTTATTATCTTGGAGTTTTATACTATAGAATGTTATTCAAAATATCGATTCTAGAATTCCTTTATGAATTTTATTCACTATTATCATTCCTAGAACTTAATTATTCTGGTAATTAATTGCAATTACGATTGCTGTTGCTATTGTTATTTTGACTTGATTAATTATTCTAAAAACGAAATCTGTCGTCTAAATCATTTAAGTACAAGGTTGCTTTTATTGGCCATTCTTTATCAAGATGTTATTCTAACTTTATTTACTTTGGCAATTAAACATAATAGGTTTTTTAATGAAGAGTATTTAAATTAATGTTTTCTTGTGGAGATAAGTTGTTTATTCTTTTCAAAACACTAATTTTATTTTGAATAACTTTATTGAATCTATCAGGTGTTGATAATTCACTTCTATTTTATTGTTTATTAGAAACTAATTATATTTTTGGTAGGGGTTGTAATTTATCAGGAGATGCAATATAAACAGGGTTTTTACTTTTTGCTTTTTATTTTTAGTTATTTTCATTATCAGTTAATAATTTAGGATGATTGCTATTATGTATGTTTTTATTTTTATTATTACTATTACTATTATTATTATTATTATTACTATTATTATTATTATTATTATTATTATTATTATTATTATTATTATTATTATTACTATTATTATTATTATTACTCACTTAAGATTCTTCAATTGATGTTAAATAACTCAATGTATTTTTTAATTCTCTTATTGGACTAATTTATTATTGAATTTCAGGACAATTTTAAATGGGTTCAATTTTTTAGGCTGAATTTTAAGTTATTCCATTTTTTAAATCTTATACAGTTAAATATCTTTAATAGATTCCTTAAGTCTATTCAATATTGTTTTGAAATGATTTGTACCATTTATTTTTCTTGATACATAACTTCTTTAATTACTATAGATAAGATTGCTCATTATATTGTGACAATTTTTAATTTAAGATTTACATAGGTATGACAATTAAACTACCATGGTGAGAATGACATGAGATATTGAATTAACGAGGTACCTTTTCGAAAGCCTCATAATCACCAAAAAACTCACCTTCCGTCATGATTGCCAATTATTTTCTCACATTCTATTTTTATTGATACACAACAAACTCTCCTTATTTGATTATGTAAATAACATCAGAATCCAATTAACCCTTTTTGTAGACAACATCTCTAAATTTATAATCCTAAGTTGAGAATGAAAACAACATCAAATTTAGTAATCTTTAATTTAATCCCTAAAAACTAGGACTTAATGTAAAGCTCTTCATTCTTGTCTACTCCTACTTTCTTTACATAATTGATATCGCAGTTTAAAATGTCTCTTTACTGAGGAATCCTACTTAACTCTCCATGTCACAAATAGCTATGTTCATTCTTTTCTTCTCTAGTTATTCTCCAAAGATTTTCCATTCCTTAATTTCACTCAAACGAACCAAACTATTTATAACTATGATTTAACCATACCTTTAGATGATGTGATCAGAGTATTTCAACCTTTCTTTCTGCTGAGTTTTATTATCACTACCCACACTGAAAGACTACTACCTTTTTCTAGTTGTGTTGAATATATCGTCATATATATACAGAGAGACTTAGCCTGATATTACCATATATACATTATTTGAGTATTCTCCTATTTCGTATATCACAGCATTCTGAAATCAGTTAATATGTTCATCTTACTTTATCAAAAGTGTCATATTGAATATGACGTAAACAATAGTCATAAGCTTCAAGATCATTTTGGTCAGTCTGAAATTATTAGAAGATGTCAACATTCTCCAGAAGTATTCTCATCATTTGAAGAATCTCTTATTTTCTCTCTTATAATGAACATTTAAGTATATTGATTAAGAGTTTCTTTTTTTATTGCGTCGTTAATTCATGAATCTATTCAAGCAGTCTTGCTTAATTCCGCTTGTTTCCTAGTTCAAGTGTGTCTAATAATTAATAATTCATTATTTAATGGATAAAGATCTTTCACCTTTCCAACGATAATATATAATATTAGAATTAATATCATAATTTGATGTCCTTTAGATTAGATCAAAATAGATATATAGACTCCATATATTATGTTGAACTGAAAAAAAATACATAATTTAACAAATCATTATTTATATAGATTATAAAGGTGTAAACATATATATGCATCTAGTGCTGCATAATGAATCTATGCATTTCTCAATGGTCTCCTTTACCAGTTTGAGATTTGCTCAACTTTATCCAATTCCTTCCCTAAAAGCTTAGAACATTAAAATGATAAATTTGTTTTCTTTTCTTATGGAAATTTCTATTAAAATAGTTCTGATAATTCAATAATTTAGTTTAATTAAACTCCAGATGCCCTAATCTACCCTAACAATGATAAGAAATCCTATCTTAGGTTTTATCCAATTTTTAAGGCATTGCTAGTTGCATACTTCACAAGAAATTATTGATACTTGCAACTACTTGTAAGATTGGCACTGTTTAATATGAAAATCTTTTATGGCAAAGCTATCTAGAGTAAACAAACCTTATTCATTCTCGATGTAAACTTAGTCTAAGGAATTTCTTAGAAGCTTTCAGTGTCAATCCCGGTCTGAGGAGCATTTAAAATCTCTTCTATGATTTCATCAGTCAATTAAGCCTCATCTTCAATCAAATAAACATCTTCCCTGGATATATTGAAATTCTTTAGAAGAACATAATCATTGGCATTTTTTGTTTTCAAGATTACTTCTGATGGCACTAAGAATATTACAATAATCAATACAGAAATCATCATTTTTTAATAGTGCATTCTCTGTTACATTTGTGCAATTATCGATTTCTTACTAAATTTGAGGATTTTGAACTTTAATATTATTTCTTTTAGCAATTTGAATGGCTATTTATTTATTTGAGGTAAAATAGTTTTCAACCAAAAATTATAATTTACTTTCATCTCCCAAAAATAATTCTTCTACCTTTTAAATTGGTATTTCTGCTCTCTATTATTAAACATTTTCTTACAAAAATAAAAAATCTCATAGATTCACCATGCAGATGATTCAACACCTTCTGATTGTCCTTTGTATCTAAATGTTGCTCCCTAATAATCTTGCTTTGTAACTTCATATCATTAGTAGCCATCGAATACACAAGTTCCTAATATGATATTTCTTATTCTTACTTAATAGGAAACTGTGTCATACTAAAGGGCATTCATAAATCGATAAGCTGTAGAATACTTTTTCTTTTTAATCAATTCTTCAATGTATTCCGAAGTCTTATTTTCCAATAATAATTCCTTTAGTTTTGCTTCCTCTATCAACTTATGATTTAACACATTTGAATGTATAATATTACTCACCACCTTAACTCTCTTATCAAAAAAGCTGTCAAATTCTCTGATATTTTTTTTCTGCATTATCATATCATAGACTTTGTTTGAATGCGTAATATGATAGGAAATAGGAGCTTTTGGAAGTCGCTTATAAATTGAGCTAGCAAATCTAGAGATTCCTATCATTATATCACTCTAAAATACTCTACTTTAAATAAATTATTTAATAATCCTTTAAATAAATCAATTTAACGATCCAACCAATCTCTAAACTTTTTAGATAGCAGTAGAAAGGGATGGTGTTAAAATGATTTAATTTGCATTATTGAATTTGATCATCTGCAACTTCTCTATTTTTGATTTGATAATATTCTACTTCACTTCATAAATAATTAAATGAAAATTTGTTTTTATTTCACAAAATAAACTCTGTGCAATAGATCATTTGCTTAAGCAGATGTTCCATTAGTTGCGTATTAAGCAGGTATACAGTTTGTGATTATTGTGAGGTTTGAGCTTTAACATGGATTTAAACAGTCCATTCAGATGGACACCGAAAATCTAGAAAATCGAACAAACACCTGAATTTTTAAAGAAGATGAAATATTTTTAGAGACTTACTCTAATGGAAGATCATCATTATTCTGAACTGATAGACACATTTCTTTTTGAAGCACTTAAAAATACAGAATTCGATTACTACTATGATTATAAATGCGAGTCTAATACTTAGTACATTTCAAATTCATCCATTTTAGTTGTCCTTTTTATGGAGACATACCATTTTTAATTTATAACAAAGTGAAAAAATACCCTATAATACCTGTAATGAGAACTAAACCAATCAATGCATTTACTTTAGTGGCCAAAGAAAGAGAAATGCTTATCACTGAACCTGTTGCAGCAGGATTATGGGCATTAACTAATTCATAAGTCTAAAATATAGATAAAGTAAGAATGTTATAGACAGATGGAAATCATTGGAGAATGTTAGAACTATGTACACATACTTTCATATTATTAAGGTAAAAATGAAAGATTCAAAAAGACTGGCATCTATTGCTAAGAAAACGATAGCTATAGCAAAATCTATTATGATTACTAAGTTTAATAGGTCATTCTAGGATTAATTAGATATTCTTTGAATGAAATGAATGAGAAAGAACAAGCACTAAATTTAATATATGACTTTGTTGATGAAAGAAGGTATTTAACTCATGAAGGTGCTCCTCCAAAAGCAACGGCAAAGTTTTGGAAATTTGTACCTTAATCAATTAAGAACTTTTTCTTTTGAGTTTATTGATGTGTGTATCATATTAATTACAGTTAATTATTACATATTAGATATTGTGGATAAGCAGAATCAACTGCTTTATACATCAAATATGTAATTTAAAGATGTGTTTTAATAATCATATTGAATAAAATATTTATCATTCTTCTCCTCCTATATTATCAATTAAACCATATAAAAATTCCTTGGCCTTTTAATCAAGTATCTTATCGAGTAATTTTTAGAAAATTGGTAGCTTAATGAATTCCATATGAACAAAATATTGGAAAATTAATGAAATTGGACAATAAAAGAGGTTATCCAGAGTGAATGTTCCTACAAAAATAAAACTCCATTGGTTTGCAGTTTCCACTGAATCCATCATTACTAATCCTGCCAACATAACATAAGAAATGAGACCGGCACTTACTATCATTAGAATTGCACCAAAGGATCTGACTACCTTCTTTTTATGAGATAATGTTTTTTCTAAAATAATCTAATAGACCTTATTAACTGGGGCAGTTATTAATGCTAAACCAACAGTAAAGCTAAGATTATTTGGCTGATTAAATACAAATAACACAGCCAAACTACCCAAAATGCTAGTGTAAACAATTGAAGCTCTCAAACCTCGAGGTTTCTTTTGATCTGATTTATATATGATCTGTAATATCTAATGGAAAAACTTAAGGTACTCAATGTAGGCTTTAATTCTAGAGATGGAATTCTTAATCATCAAATCCTTTAATCCTTTTGGTTTTTACTTCTACTCTTCATTCCCTTCTGTTTCCTTTTTCTTATCCTATTCCTATTTTTCTTACTTTTCTTAAGCTTCTTCGTTTTTAATATTGTCTAAGGTATGAAGTCCATTGTCAATTTTTAAAGATGTTTGCCTTAACAATAGGAGATCAGATCCTTATCCGTTAGGCATTCCATGGTTGATAACTAAGTTGATATCAAGTTTAGATTCTGGAGTTTAATTAATTAGTAGTTCTTATGGAGAATTAACAATCGAGATTTTGTTCTCAAGTATTACTCTATCAAATGATTTTGGATTTTTAAAGATATTCTTTTCTAAAGTTGGTAGGACTTCAACCTATGGTGTATCATGCTCTTTCACTTCTTCAAGCTGCCTGAAAGAATGAGACTCTTATTTGTTCTCTGTAATTTCTTTATTTTCCCCTTTGTTTTCAAGGTCTTACTCAATATTCTCCAATTTCAATTATTCTTCTTTCAGTTTTTACTCTGCTAATTCTTGTTCAGCATGAATTCTTGTAAACATAGCATTATCAACTTTAACTCCCCAGTAGACCACAGCTATGTAGACACCTGTGATTAATAGATAGAAGTAAAAGACAACTGTCTTATAAAATGGGAATGATCCGAAGGCCAATAGAGTATCCAAGGAAAATACTTGTGCAGCTTTATCAGCAATAAAATTCAATGATTCCATCACAGAAGTTGGATTTAGAGATTCACATTAACAAGTCGCCTCTCCATCAGCTTCCGTTGTACTACAAACATCAGCATTCCATTCTCCACTTTCAACTTCAGTTATACATTTAATTTAAGTATTATTTTCTAATTTTTTGGGAGTTGGAAACTTGTATTTCATTTGAGAATTTGCCTTACTAATATTGGATTTGGCATCAGCAATTAATTTTGGATCAATAGCTTGATATCCACTACTATTCTTGGGAAAATTCTTATCAGCATAAAATGGGTTATCAATAAATCTAGTCATTGAAAATTTGAAGAAATTGGTTGAAGTATTTAAATCAGTATTTGATTCACTGGCTTCTTCTTCCAATAATCTGCTTTTAGTGATTGATTTTGAACCTGTTACTTCTCCTGCCATTTTGGTCGTAAGATAACCAAAATTCAAATTTACAGAGTTTGATTAAACCTTGTAAAGTGGCTCATTAGCTACACTAATAGCTTATAATTGTGATTGCATTTCTTATAGTTGATTTTAGATATCGGTTGATGTTAAGTTCTATGAGACTCTATAATTGAGACATGAGGACAGAATATCTGAGAATGTATAGTATTGTGAAATATAAGTGGTTTTTTCAATGTTTTAGGTAGAATTCAATTTATTTTACCTCTGCAAACTATAAAATATTGTCAATTAAGCATATGCTAAATTGATTCTATAATTCAATTAATTGAGTAACATTGATTCATTTGATTTTAATAGCGTTACATTTTAACTCAATAATTTAGAAATTGATCTATATAGACTTTCCGTTTAGTTGCTTAAAAATGTTTAATTTTAATCAAAAGTAATCAATTTGTAGAATAATTGTTCTTTGTATTCTTATGATCCATTTACTATTTTTAATCTCTCGGTGATTAAATTATATCCAATTAACTGCTAGTCTAAGGTCTCAATTTACTTCTCATAATTTGTAAATGTAGTTTCATCAATCTATAAATATTATTTAATATCAAAGGTCTAAGTGATATTAATTACACCTCCAAATGAATCTTATATTTTGAATACAAGAAGAGACTACTTTTCATTAAAATATGGTAAGTATAACTTAAATGAATTTGTTTTCTGAAATGGCTCTAGCAACATATAATTGTAGAATTTAGATTGGACTAGGTCAGACTGATAAATTGATTCATTAGGAAATATCCAAACACTATACAAAAGAGGTGCATCAGCATCAGTACAATTAACAACTGAAACATCTAGTGCTTCAATGAATTCAACAAATCCTTCATTGTATTTCATTTCCAATCCACAATTCTAAGGAGGAATGTTCATAGTTAACATTTGAGTGCTTAAGGATGGCATAATGAAACGAGGGTCATAAATTGAAAGTCTTAATTTGAGACCATTGCCTAAGGAATCCTAGAAGTTCGTAAAGTAGTCTTGGACTTTAAATTTAAATTCTAAATAATAAAATTGGAAGGTAGCTTAAACAACTTAATCATAGATGACTGCTCCAGCATACATTAATACATCAGGATTTATTCCTGGATATACTAATTAATAGATGAATTCATCATAATAATTATGAGTTTCTAATGCATTTACTCCTAGAACTGTTAAGGCTGGTAAATCTATTTCAATTAACTGAATGGATATTTTGGTAGAATGAATAATCTCTTCTTTTACAATTGCTACTTCGAAATTAAACACTTGATAAGGAGCAAATGTACGAGGTGGTAAATATTGATTACAACTTTTGTCAAATAGAATCGTTTAATTTTATTAATCCTAACATGCAGATCCATTCACTATATCTTAGCAACTCCAATTGCATTCATAAATGACTCTAGATGCTTCTAATTGAGTTAAATCTTGATCTGTAATTGTTGTATTTAAAAATAGATCATCTGTATATCCAATCATTCTATTCCCACCTGCAATTGTAAGGACTGGATTCGATGGCACTATATAAATTTCAAAGTGTTGCGATGTGCTAACAGTATAATCAGGTCTAGTTAGTTTGGTGTTAAAAATTAATATATATGGATTAGAAAAATTGAAGTAATACTGATTGAAATCAAGAGGAATATCTAAAACAAATCCATCTTCTAAATTCTCTGTCAAAGTTCCATTTAATAATTGAGCTTTTGTATTTTTCAATTTAATTTCATAAAATAAAGTTTATTTTGGATACACTTTCTCTATGCAATTTGAATAAGATATTTAAGATTAGATTGAGATTTAATCATACCTATGAAATTAGTCATTATTTGAGATCGGATAAAAATTGATTTTTGATTATTAATTGGCTTCAAATTAGAAATAGTTTATGTTCTATAATTTAGCAAAGCTTTCAACAGTGACACCAAATTTATATCTAGTATTTGATTGAAAGAGTTTTGGAGGAAATGTTAGAGTGTCACTATGATTCAAAGTATTAGCACTTAATAAAGTTTAGATTTAATGGTCAATTGTGGAAGGGATGTATTGATTCCATGAAATAATTTTGAATTTTTACCTTCCGTTATAATATAGTTCTTCAAATCTAATTGTTAAGTCTGAACAAATATTTGAAGTACTCAAATCATTAAATTTGATACTTGGCTTATGAGTCTCTAAATCAATAGTGGAGGGAATAGAGAGAGGCATATGAAGAATTTATAAGAATTGATAGCTACAACCTGTTAAAATAAAAGATAATTTTAACTTAATAGAATCACCTACTTTGATAGTTGGATTTTAACCAAAAATAATTGAGAAATCAGAATTACATACAGGTTCTGTTCCTAATTTAGAAAGAGTATCTGTTTCAAAGAATGCTTCACACAAATTTGTAGTTCCTTAATCCAAATAAATAATCGATCCTCCAAAATCAATATTAAATCCATTAAATTCTTCATTCAATCCAAAATAAGGTACTCCTAACGAGCAATCAGTGCAATATACAGATCCTACACTAAATCTACTGATTCCTTTCTAATCACACTTACACTCTCCATTTATAGGACCTATTCTATTACCAAAGCAAGATAAACATCCATATTAGTTACAATCCTTACAGGTAGAGTCGCATTGTTGACATTCTTAATCAGAATTTTCAAAAAAGCCTTCTGGACATCCACATATTGGCTTACTAACTCTAATTCCTGAACAAACATCACATAACTCTGCTGATCCAGTGCAGGTTACACATTTTTTTGCACATTGAGAACAATACATTTGATATGAATCGAAATACCCATCAGGACATACACAACTGGGATTATTAATTCTATCTCCTAAACAAGATGTACATCCATTAGCATCACAAGTCTTACAATTATCTTGACATTTAACACAATTGACTGATTCTCCGTCATCATAAAAATAATCTGGACAAGTACAAGTTGGCAATAATCTATCTCCTTTACATTTGACACAAAGATCTGCTAATCCTTTGCAAGTCAAACATTTATTAGCACACTTCGGACAATTTGAACTGCTTCCATCATCAAAATAGCCAGCTTCACAATCACAATTAGGAGGATTGGGACTACGATTTCCTGCACATTATTTACAAAATCTTGGAGCTAATTCACAAGTCTTACACTAATATGAGCAACTTCCTATCACCAGAGGAAAGTCGGAATCACATGCAGTTCCAGTAGCATTGATTGTAAATCCAGGGGTACATGTGTTTACACATTGGTTGGCTTAATATAAATTGGTGCATGATAAACAGTTTTCGTCAGCCGGTCCAAAACATGTTTTACAAGTTGCATGGCAGGGATAACACCTTTTTTCACTTAATACAGAATATGAACCATCAGTGCATGTATCACTACATGTATTTATTATCGTCAACAATTTTTCATTTGGACAAGCAGTGCATTCATTATTATTAGGTCCTGTACATGCTTCACATTCAATATGACATGGTTTACACTCATTAGCTAATACATCTTGATACAGTTTCCCTAAACAATCCGTTATACAAGTATTTTAGTATAGAATTAGTCCAGTATTACAAGAAGAACATTCGTCTACTCCCTCTCCAAAGCAAGTTCCACAAGTAACATCGCATTTAATACACAAACCATTATATCCAAAATAGCCAATTGGACATATATTATAACATGTATTATCCAGGAAATATTAAGAGGAGGTGCAAGTTATACAATTGTCATAAATACATTTACAAACATATTGAGGTCTGATGCCAACAAATGATTTTGGACATTTCACATAGCATTGATTATTTAGAGTATAAAAACCAGTCATACATTCAAGGCATTCGTTGGGTTATGTACCAAAGCATTTCTTACAATTGGCTGCACATGGTTGACAAATGTTGGAGATGCTTCCATAACCATCATAACATTCGACTAAACACTAGTTTTAAAAGTATGCCAAAGGAGCATTACATGATAAACAAGTTAATTCTGAAAATCCATAGCAGGTCTTACATAAGGAATTACAAGGAGAACACAAGTAACCTATTTAATTATTATAATATCCATTAGGACAAGTTTCATAGCACCAACCATCTGTCTTCAATCTATAAAATTTGCTTGCACAAGTCAAACAGGCTTGAGTTGAATCCATACAAGCTTAGCAACCTTTCCAACATTTTGAACAGCCATCATCTACCTTGTAGAACCCTGTTAAGCAGTTTGTTTAACATTCTCCGCTTATGACATTTTGGATATTAAGCACTTTGCCTGCTGGACAAGTGAGACAGTCCTTATTTGTATCAGCTACACATGTTAAACAATTTGAATTGCATTAATCACATGTTTTAGTTGTTATATTTCCAAAAAATCCTGGATCACAAACGGATATACATTCATTGGTGGAAGATTTGTAATAAAAAGAATCCTAACATGTTGTGCATGTGACAGATGAGCAAGTTTAGCATCCACTTATACAATTAACACAATTAGTTCCTGATAAATATTGACCTTCGGAACACAAATAGCATTAACCAGAAACAAGAGTAGCCAATCCTTTACATGCAGTACATGTCGTAGCCAATGTTTAACATTTCAAACAATTATTGTTACAAATACTACATTTTGGATCATTTACATTACTAGAATCATTGAACTAACCATCTGGACATTAAGTTATACATTAGTTTGCTTAATTTCTAAAGTATCCAGGGGCACATTAAATACATGCAGAACCAACAGTACATGAATAGCATCCAGTTTAACAAGGTTAACAATTCGTCATTCCTGCATCTAGATAATAATTAACAGGACATTGATCACAATTAGGAGAATTGATTCTTTTGGTTGATGCAACACAATCTACACAGACTCCAGCAGAAACGCAAGTAGTGCAATAAGTTGGACAAGCTATATTTTAAATCATTAATAATACCTATGCATTAGCTATTCTACATAACATATCCTGTTAAACATGTACAGTCAGCAGGATTTTTATTAGCTGGGTTAAGACAAGGAGTACAATAAGCATAATTATAGCAACTATTGCATCCAGTTTAACATTGAAATTAATAGAGATGAATATCATCCAAAAAGAAAACTCCAATATATTTTCCTCCTTGAGATGGTTATTCGATTTCAAAAAGAATATTGTCTTAAGTTAATGGATACTATTCTGTTCTAACCCACGTATAATCTAGATAAGCTATATAATCTGAATTCGATGATTATAAAATATTAATAGTATTAACTTGTAAAGTAGCTGCTGTTTATTTTACACCATTGATTGTGACATCAAATTTAGTAGGATTGAAATCAATAAAATGGGCAACAGCTCTAAATCGCAGTTTATGTTGAGAATTCTGAATATTTTTTGTGATCAGCACCTTTTGGGATTAAAATGAATCAAATGAACCCACATAAAATCTATTACTATAATAGAAATAGCCTCTTTCTTTGGTTTTTTCTGGAATAGAAACAACTGTTGCGATAAAATCATTGTATGCATAAAAATGCATGAATTCTGCTAGTGTAGTAAAAAAGTAATAATGACTTATTTATTCTAAATATTTGTGTTATAATTTACCTCCTCCATTTTGATTTGTCTAAAGATAAGATTTCATGTCAGTACAAGTCTTCGTAGTTTCATCTTGATAATAACCATTTGGGCATCTCTTAACACAATTTTAATCAGAAATATCAGTTCCTGAATATTTATAATACCCTGCATCACATGTTAATGATGTTTGAGTTCCAACACAAGAAGTACAATAGTCTTTTGCAAGACATTATTTTTCAGTTGAGTCATACAAATAATTTTAACTGCAGGCAGCTAAACACAAGTTGGATTAATATACTAAATTGTCGGAGCACTTGCAATAATATTGAGAAAAATAAAAATTTGGATTACATGCGGGAATGTAATCAATAAATGGAAGAATTTCATTTCTCCCCCTTTATTATTACTAAAGCAAGACCAAATTCTTTATATAAATACCCAAGTTTGTATTACTGACTTTTAATTCAAATTTTAGAGAATCGAATCTCATATTTATTACAAAATATCCTTGGATTTCATAAAGAAATCTATAATTCATCATACAGTATACCTCTGATGACAATCCCTATTGGAATCTGTTAAAGTGTATTTTTAAGAGTAGACCTTTTAATCATTTGCATATATCTGTAGTTCATCATTATTCCAATTGCCAGATAAGGAAGCCTCGAAGTAAACATAAAGTCTGCTAGTTTTGGGTAGAGAAAATGTTCTCTTCCAATATATTTAATTTATATTTGTATCTATGCCTATGTAGTTTTCTGATAATTCATTTGTACAAAAAGATAAAGGGAGACTTAAGGTTTCGTCGGACCATAAACTTACAGTACTTTCGTTTGTTAGATCCGTTAAAACTAAATATTTGCATTCTAATTTGATAATTAAACTTACTACATGGCAGAAGAACCTGCTCGTAAAAAAGAACGATAAAAATTATCACCTTAATCATCTATTAATAAAACGAAAATTAATTAATGAATTTCTAATTAATAATAAATTGCCTATTTTTTCAACATATGTTCTTCTTTTTTATAAGCGCAACCAAATACTTTAGATTGTTTTTGCTTATTAATATAATTATATATCTAAAAAGATTATTATTATCTAATTTGCTTTGAGTATAATTAAGCTGTATATCAAAAAAGGTGCTTTTATCGTAAATCCTTAAAAACAAGAATATAAAATTAAGAGTAAGATTTAAATTATATGTTCAATTAATTCACAGTATATGGAATTTCGGATGATAAATTTCTAAACTTGATGCAATTTTTTAAACTAGTGCTCCTAAGTTAATAATTTACAAAATCAAATATAATACACTTATGCCTTCAAAATTTATAATAGCATAATTGTTAAGAAAAACAAATTTTTACTTAATTTTTTAATCAGAAAAATGCAATAAAGTATTACTAATATAGCAAAATGTGATAATACTTTATTTGCAATACCTATTATATTAATTGAATTAGTTTTTTCTAAAAATATTTAGATTCGACTTCTTTTGAAGTTACATACAATTTATAAGTTTTGAATTTCCTCCTGTCAATAAATCATTTGAAACATATACTTTTAAAAAATGAATATGTAATAAAGTTTTAAAATTATTCTTTCTTCTATATTTCTGATGAATAATATCAATATACTAGATTATTTTATATTGAAAATATTTTTCTAACTATAAGAAGGAGGGAAACTAAAAATAGATTTAATATATTTATTTCTATTGCCTTAAAGTAATTTAATATTTTTGTATTTTATTTGAATAAATTAAATTGGCTAAAATAATTAACACTTCCAAAAATAACAGAAAATTAAAAATTAATAAAATAGAAGCCACAAGTTATTTATATTAACCTGAATTTATTCAATATTTAACATAAATTAGAGGTATGAAGAATTACCCATAAATCTATAATTTCTCCAGCTCCAATATATTTCTTCATGAATAATTTGCTTATTTTTATGTCAATTCAAAAATTTTTATAAGACCTATATCTGTTAACAATTTTGACTATAAGGTACGGAAGTAATTTAAAATCTTGTAAAATTTGAAAATATAAATTATTTATATTTATTAGTAAATAAACAAATTAAAGTGAAGCATGGATTTTGTCTTGTGAAATTCTAGTAATAAATTTTAAATAAGAAAAGAAGTATTTAATTATTATGTAATTTTTATTTGTGAAAAAACTGATAAAACGCAAAAATAGATATTTAACTCTTAATATATGAATAAATTTAATCATCGAGTCACAAGACTCTCTCAAATCAAGCATTTAGTTATCACATTTTAAAATTGTGTTATCATATTCATCATAATTTTTGATAAATCTGGATCAAGCGGAGAAGCCTTCCAAATTTCATCCAGACTCAGATCAACCTTTTTTTCATTCAAATAGGCATATTCACTAGAAAATATAATTCAATATTTCTTACATTCCCAATATCTCATCCCATCTATATCTTAAATCTCGATAGTATCTATTCTTCAGAATATTTAATGGCCTTCCAGACATCTTTCGTTAAATTGTTTTAAACTTTGGTCCAAACATTAAAACGAGACCCAGAAGTTTTTAATCTTCCTATATCGTAAAGTCTCTTGATTTTCTTCCTTATCGTTTTTTTTTTTTATTCTTCATGTTCATTTTTCTCGACACTGATCCTTAATCATCAATATCAATTGTCATATTATCATTGTACTTGATCAGCATAGATGGTTCCACCATTTATTGTTCTGATAGAATGTCATTTGATTATTCAGTTAGAGTCGATTGTGAATTTATGTCTTTCATTTTTGCTTATATATATTTTTAATTCAAAATATTTGATCTTTAATTGAGCCTTTATAGTACTAGATACGAAGCATATTTGAGAATGGTTTAAGAATTTCTTATTTTGATATTGTATTACTTAATTGTATTGATGATTAATGAATTAATTTATTATTCAAGCTCTTCAAACACTTTCCTGCAATAGAGTTCAATTAACTGAAAATAAAGGCAAACTTAGTATTCTATTAACAAAATCAAATAATTTTTGCTCTTTAATAAATAGCAAATCTATCTCTTATCAAAAGGAGAGATAGCATCTTATTGAAGTGATCATAATATATTATAATTTTTACTATCACTTTGAGCGAGGTTTAAAAAAGAACCAAAAGTAATTTATGATAAGGAAGTATTTAAATTTAGGGACAATACAATTACTCAAATAAGTTGATACTGTTGTGTAATTATTTTCAATAGTCGCCGATCTTTATGATATCATAATTTATTTATGAACCTTTTCATCAACAAGGATGAAATTATTCTTCCTGATTTAATTATTAACAGCTTTCAAGAATTATATAAAATTTTATTTTACTTCTAAGTTTTCCAAATAAGACAAATATTATGACTTTAGAATAATATTAAGGATAATGATCCTTTATTTTTTTCTATCTTTTCAGGTCATTTTTGTTTTTCTAATTTTGTTTATTATAGTGATCACTTATGTTTTACAGAATATAAAAAACTGAAATATGGCAAATCTAAATACATGCTCTGGATTTGTTATTAATTTGTTGTATTCAAATGTCTCTGATTTAGTTTTTATGATGTCAACCTAGTTTTTCAAAGTATCCTATGAGCTTTCAGTAAGGATTTCGGAAATATGATCAAATTTCTTATTTCATTCTAAATTCAATATTTAAATCAAAATAATTTATTTGTATATCTCTAGGTTCTTTTGGACCTTAAATGATGCATGCTTATTCTGTCTTTATTTTAATCTAAAAAAATTATCAGTTTTTTTATATTCACATAAATAAATTTGTATTTCTTTTCTAGCTAAGAAATGCTTATATTGCAGACATTTAAATGATAAATCTCAAAGATTTCATAATAAAAGTTAATAGCCAATAATAAGGTGAATTAAATACTAATTTTTATTTTCTAGAGAATTCTTTACTAAGAAGAAATTTATAAATTCAATTAGTAAATGTATTTAATATTAAATTAAAGAGAAGCCATCTCAAAATGGTCCTGTTTTAACAAAATATTAGGACTATTAAATTTGAATACATAAATTATAGATAATAGTTACTGGTACTTTAAAAAGGGTTGAAATTAGACTAGTAATATATATCCATATGTATTAGCTATCAAGCATCAGAGCATTCTAGAAAACATAAATGCATGTATAATAAATGTATTTATCAATGAAAAAACATTAAAAGACTTGCACTAAGGACTTCAGAAGCATATTCCTATTGACATTAAATAAAATGTAGATTAATAGAGTTTGCAGAAAGAATATTTGAAATTAGTATAAAATTAGTAAAAATCATAAAACCGATTTCTGAACTTAAATATTTTGAAAAACGATGGAAAGGATAAATGAGTATAACAGATTATTACTCAAACTAGAGACAAGAATTAGATATTATTAATAGTTTTTAACAGAAGATATCGATAGACAAAGAATCTATTAGATCTACTCAGGAAAGGAAGATGATATACTGAGACTTGGGGTAATTTAATGTGTAAAGAACACATTCTACAAAAAGGGGTAGAAAAGTAAATACTAATAAAAATGCAAATGATCAAGAAATATAATTATATTTAAATTAATAATAAATAGTGAAATCCTTATAAATATTTAAATATTATACCTTAAGAAAATCACTTTTTTTGAGCTATCTGAGTCATTTTAAATTATATGCAGATTGATACTTAAATACATTTGCTTGCCTTCGGATAAGATTTTAAGGTATGAAAATCTTATTTGCTTTTACAATATTAGTTTAATTTTATTAATTTATTGAATTTTTCTTTAAAATAAATCAAATTTACTTTCTAATAAAAAACATGAAATAATTTATATTTATTAATCAGCTTTTACAATTTGAAATACCAGAAAATTATTAATGGAAATACTTAATTCAGGGGAAATGAAGTTCATAAAAATCTAATAATTTGAATGCTTATTTGAATATAGAATAATTCTTATATTTGATATCAATTTAAGTGTTGTTAAGTAGTTAAGATAAGCATCAAAATTGTTTCCAAAGGAATCAGTAGATTTTGTTAAGGATCCGTTTATTATACTGATTTTCCCTATCAGTACTACATTTTGAATTGAATGAAGAATATAACGAATTTAATTTTGGAGAATTGGTTGTTTATTTGGATTCAGAAAAAATATAAATTTGTGCGATGCATTTTTTGAATTTATACTCTTCTAAAGTAGGAGGAGAGCCTGTAATTAATTCAGATTTTTCAATTATTTTTGGAAAAAATTCAATTAGTTAAGTAAGCGATCCTATTAAGTCAAAATTATCTTTTAACTTTAACAGGTTGTAGTTATAACAATTCTAATAAATTCTTCCTATGCCTATTCAAAAGTTGATTAATGTTTGGAAATCAGCATAATTAATTTTTATTTTTTGTACTGATAGTACTTTACCAACCACAGTGGATATAAATAGGGATTTTAAGGGTTAATTTCATTCAAATAAATTATAGTTGTGTTGGATTGATAATTTCGAGATTATTTACATAAATGTATTTATAAAATTTGAACCTTTAATTAAATTAAAGAAATTATCAGTATTTTATATATATAAGACAAAAACGGGAAAGTAAAATTTCATATCTTGCTATGTGACAATTCAGAAAAACCTTTATGATATCTTATTAATGCTATTTATTTATTAATAATAATCATTAACGTTTAAAATACTTTTGCAAAAAGAATTTAAAGAATATAAAATTAAATACTGTGGCAATTATTTAATAATATATTGTATTATATTGGTCGTATTGGATCAATAATAGAGATAGGAATAATTTAAAAGTACTATCAAATCCAAGATGATTGAAAATACATAAATTTATTATTTTTCGTTTTTAATCAACTTATGCCTATCCTAACATACTTATAAGTTCTCTTAATATAGTTTGCAATATAATGCTGCTGTAAATTAAAGATATCTATTTAGTTGGCAAGTATTTGGTTTAAAGCGATGTCACTACTCAGACTACTTCAAGTTAATGGAATGACTTAATTTCAAGTTCATCAGTTTTGTTGTGCACAAATGACAAGTCTGAAAACTACATAGGTTTAGCTACGAATTCAAATTAAATCTAATGGCAAAGAAGTTTCAACATATAACCCTTAACTAATAAAGTTTATATCTACTTTGAATATTAAACATCAGGGTAATGGAATGATGATGAAGTTGTTTTATATGTTGATAATGTAAAATAATGCTCGGAAAAGATCTAGCTCACAGATACTAATAAACTTTGTAACGAAAAGTAAATTTTCCTCCTAAATTAAGCTTCCTTTTTAATTCCTTTATGTATTTAGTATACAATACTCCTAAAAGCACTTTGGATTTGTAAATTAGGGTGATTAAAAATAATGTAGGAGTTTATATAAAAAATGTGATTATTAGCTAACAAATTCAAAGAGGAAGAGGAGAATTATTATAAACAATGCTAAATTTACATGTTTGTAATCTCGGGCAAAGTTTAGCTCATTACTATTGTAAATGTAACAATGCCTTGGTATACCAAGAAACCTAATGCATTGCTTCTTGCGATTAGAATTATTTATATAGCTTAGATGATAATTAATGTTATTTAAAATAACATTGTACCTCCTGTGTTGGATTAAATTAAAACTTATAATGCGACTCAGGATATTATTCTTATTTAGAATAAGGCTAAGACTTACCTGTTTGTATTTCTAAGTGTCCCAACAATTATTATTAAGATGAAACTACTTAAACCTGTTTGGATTACTAAGAATACTTATCCAATAATGAAAATTCAGGATGTAAATCTATACTTCATATCTCTAGATCCTGTTGACTATGTTTACTTCATAAGAACAGTAGCAGAATTTATGCATTTTTTATCATTAAGTGATCTATAAATCATGATAGTTTCCGAGCCAAAAAGACCTAAGGAAAGATAATTTTTTTATTTGGATAACAATTTTTATATTGGCTCATATAATAACTTTAAAAACTAATCCATTTAGATCTATACAATTATTAAAAACCCACAACATAAACTAAAATTTAGAGCAACTTGTCATTTTATTGATTTTTATCCAACTAATTTTGAAGTTGATATAAATGGAGCTAAATAGAATGATATTCCAGTACTATTGGATACTCAAAACAGACTGAGATAGGACAAATAAGATTATATATTAAATTATGAATGGACTTGGTAAAAAACTGAGGAGAATAATCTTGTTTAAAATTCAATTCAATTCAGAATAGAATAACCTTTATAAGAAGGAAAATATATTGGTTATTTCTACATAGAAGATCTTCATGTTTATTCCTTCTAATGCATGACTGGATGTTCAAATTGCTTCACATAAACATCCTGTCCTCCATGCACTAATCCAACCTACAAGAACCCTTAAGATTGCACTTGCATTTCAGGATATGCTTTACAGAGTGACATTTGTATAAGTTGCCCCGCTTTTTGTACTACATGCATCACGGCAGGGAATTGTGTGGGTTGTGTAGCTGCGACTAAACGGTCCAATCCTCCAACTTGTAATACATGTCCTGATGAATATTTTGTCAAATCTGGTGAGATTAATTGTTAGCCATGTTAAAATGGGTGTTTGAAATGTATAGTATTAGCCAGTTGTATAAATTGTAAGAGTGGGTATTTCAAAAGCAATACAAATCAATGTATATAGCAGTGTTCTGATGGATATTTCTAAGATATTAGTACACCTACTGATCCAAAATGTACAATTTGTGATCCAAATTGTTTAAAATGCGATACATCAGCAACAAGTTGCACTGATTGCATACCTGAAGGAATATTATTGAATTCACATTGTTTTATTTGTGTGGAAGGGGAATATTTTTCAGGAACGACATGTGCACCTTGCATAAATGGCTGCTAAAAATGTATTTCACCAACATGCCAACAATGTCTAGAAGGGTATTATTATATGGCAAGCAAAAATGAATGTTAAATTATATGCGATGATGGTTATTATGGAGATTTTTAGGCTCGATTATGTCAATTATGTGAACCTTCATGTAAAACATGTGATAATAGTACTAATGTCAATTGTTTATCTTGTAATCCAGGGGACGTGTTAAATGTGAAAAACATCATTAGTGGAGAGTGCAAATTTACTTGTTTACCTGGATTCTATAAGGAAGGTGATGTGTGCTTACAATGTTGGAAGGGATGTTCCTCTTGTATTGATTAAACCTAAAACTGTTTGGTTTGTGCAAGAGGTTATTACAGATTAAAGAGCAATGGTTTGTGTTACAATTAATGTCCTGATGGATATTATAATAATAATATTGGAAGCTTATGCTCTCCTTGCCATCCCATTTGTAGAACTTGTTACGGATTATTATCATAAAATTGTTTGTCTTGCAGTTTCCCTTTGGCTTATTATTAAAATGAATGCTTAACTGAATGTATGGAGGGGTATGGTAATGTCAATAACATTTGTACTCCTTGTGTAAATACTTGTAAGAAGTGCTATGGTACTTTACAGAATTAATGTCTATCTTGTATTTAAGGTTACTACTATTTAAATAATTAATGTTATGTGAAATGTCCTCAATTCTATTATAGCATTCGACCTTAATATGTGTGTAAATGCCAATTTCTAAATTGTATCAAATGTTTGGATTATTAATATTACTACGATAATTAATGTCTTGATGTATGTCCAACTGGATATTTTGGATTTAATAAAATTTGTAATCATTGTGATATTACATGTTTAACATGTTTTGGTGAAGATTCAATTAACTGTTTGAGTTGTAACAATAATCTAATCTTGTGGAAGAATAAATGTATTCCAGGTTGTCTGGGTAATACATACCATGATGTTCTAAACAATGAATGCAAGTATTGTAACAATGATTGTATTGCTTGCAATGGACCAAATAATAATAACTGTTTAGTTTGTCCTCAAAATAAATTATTAACTTTATAAGGCACTTGTGCAAATGAGTGTCCGAGCGATTAATATCCAGTTCTCTCTGAAAATAAATGCTATCATTGCCATTCATCCTGCTTAACTTGTTTTGGCCCATCAAATTAGAATTGTTTAACTTGTTCATAATATTTTTATCTTTTTGAATGTGTGAGTGATTGTCCCGAAGGATTTTCAATAAGCAAAAATCATTTATCTTGTGAACCAGACTTTGATATTGTACTTGATCACTGTACATACTAATGTGAATCATGTTGGCTAATTCCTCGATTCTGCAAAGTATGTGCTGCCAATCGTGCTCCTAATCCACCTAATTGCGATTGTGAGCCAGGTTATTTTGATGATGGTACAAACTCAGTTTGTCTAAAATGTGATAACAAATGTTCTACATGTAAGGGTCTGCCAACTAATTGTATCAAATGCAAAGGAGACAGATAATATCCAGCATGTACTTGTCCAGATTATTATTTTGATGATGGCTCATCTGTTAATTGTATTAGATGTTAAGATAATTGCTAAAATTGTGATAAAGATGGATGCACTAGTTGTTTAGCTGATCGTATTAACTTACCAGATTGTGTTTGCAAAGATGGTTATTACGATGCCTATTCATATTATTGTTAGCAATGCTCTAAAAGATGTTCTACTTGTGAAGGAACATCCAATTTATGCAATACTTGCTCATCTATAAGAATTGAGCCTCCTATTTGTAAATGCCCTTTGGGATATTTTGAGAATTCAGATATTGAGTGCCAATAATGTGATCCAACTTGCGTCGATTGTAACTAGTATGGGTGTCTGTCTTGCTTCGGAAATAGAATTGGACCTATTTTTGGAGAATGTAAATGTGATACTTTAGGAATAAGTAGATATAACATTGGATCAGTCTATTGCACTGATTGTTAAGTTGGAGTTCCTTATTTTGCTTTGAATGAAGAATTTACTGGATTTACTTTTGATTTCGGAGGACCAGTGGTATATATTCCTTTTGAAATTGATTCTCTTTGTGAAGCATTCTTTCATCCTGAAACACTACTAAAATTGGGAACTAATCCTCGTTGTAATTTAGAGTTCAATGTTTATTTTGGTGATAATCCTAATATTAAAGTTGGAGACAAGTTAAAATTAAACAATGAATTTTTATTGAGTGGATGTTAAATCAAATTTATTTAAATTATCCCTATGCCATTATCCATACCAATCACAATTGATAAAACAACACATAAACCAAATCTAAAATTCAAGGATTTGAAAAATCCCAACATTTGTGAAATAATGAAAATAGAGTTTGATTCCTTAGCATTTAATGGAAATTAAGATTTCAATATAATATCTTGGAATCTCGTCTTACCTCCACCTCCTTCCCCAGACATCGAAGCCATTCTTTTAACTCATACTTAAAATAAAACGCCTTATCTAGAATTCCCAGCTAAAATATTTGTAAGTGGAACCACTTACAAATTCAGTGTTACAGTAGAGAGTTTTGCATTACTTTAGAATACAATAGAAGTTCAATTTAAAGCAATTCAAAGATCTTCAGTTAATTTAGTATCAATTTCAACTACCAATTAATTTAAAAGATTCGAGAATATCATTATTCCAAACCGACTAAGTTATGTCAATTGCATTGAGAAGAACCCTCCTCCTCAAATAGTATTTTATGAAGTTTATTTTCCCAATTTAAGAATGACAGTTGTCAAGGGCAATTTGACAGAAAATCTCATAGATGGTTATCAATTTGATATTCCAGTTACTTTTGAACCATACTTCCTTAATTTCAATAATCCTTTCCTTCTTATTTACAATACTATTTTAAGTAGAGCTGACTACACAGTGAATAGCTCATCTAGATTTGAATTTTATATTGTCCCATCAAGTCCAATTCTCACTATAGCTGGAGGCAATAGAATGATTGGATTTTCAGATCCTTTATATCTAAATGCCACTATTTCTGACCGTGATCTAAATGAACAGGAAGCTAATACATATGTATATGAATGTTCATGGACATGTGTCGATATAGTAAATGGTACATTTTGTTAAAATCGAGATGGCTAACCTTTGGAATTTAATACAAGTTGCATATAATTTATTAAACCAAAGACATTCAATCCATACACAGTCTCCAATTTCGAAGTTAGTATTTTTAAATAGGATAGCAAATACTCTACAACAGTCTCTATCTAGTTTATAGAAATAGATCTCCCAAGTTTAATCGTATATGGTTCAACTCAGGACTAGTTGTATAATTATTATGACGAACTTATATTCACAGTACAATACCCTGGAGTGAATCCTGACTTATTGATGTATGCAGGAGCTGTAATCTATGATTAAAAAGTTGTTAACACGTTTGAGTTCTATTATCTACAATTCAAATATAGGGAGTAAGATCACTTCACTGACTTAGAGTTTGGCGAAGCAAACACAGTAAAACTTAGACTATCAGTCTATGATCCTCGATTTATACTTCCATCAGTCAATACTTAAGTATTAAATCTTAATATTCCTCCTTAAAATTGCTCATTATCTTATTAATTTCCTGAAAGTTATGTAGAATTCTTAGACGAATTGAGCATTTCAATAACAGGTTGTCGGGATGCTAATCCCATTCTTTTTTACGGTGTGCAACTCTTTCCTAATCAATCCACCTACAAGTAAGAACTGATTACCGCTAAATTCCATAGCTTTGTTATGCTGAGCGATTTTCAATATTCAAATCATTTTAAGTTGATTTTACCCTACTATTATGAGGCCGAGCCCTTATTAGTGTTCAATATTAAAAATACAAAACAAGGCATAGTGAATTTGACATTATCCGTCAATGTAAGGGAATTCAAAAGCATAGATGAGAGTACATTCAAAGAATATTAATCTAAACTCAAAAGTTTTGATGAGTAGTTAATTGGCTACGTTTTTATTACTGAGAGATTGAAGTAACTCAAATCATTCACTCAATATAAGGAAAACTTATACAAAGAATTACTTTCAATTGATGTTAATTAAACACTATTGGCCAATCAAACAGAACCCTTATATCGATCTATTTCGAATCTTCTAAGTTAGAATGTATCATTAATGTCCATAAATGAATCACTCTTGCTGGGTCAAGTCAATTATAGAACATTGAAAGCATTCTCAATCCTGTCTCGCTATTTTAGTCTGTAAAAGCAAAGTCAACTGACTTCAGAGTAGAACCTTGACAAAAATGAGTATATTAGGTAGTACTATAGTTTTGCAGATATCTTATCATGTGGTATCAATTTTAAGGTGATTTAAAATGTTACTTCAGATTACTTATAGTATCTTTTGAACTAAATGCAAGTTCATTTACAATCTATTAGTGTTGTTAATGAACCTCTGTACAAAATGATTTAGAATTCAGTGAATCTGGACTTTGGATTTGTTACTAAAAAATAAGTAGAATTGATTGTAGGTCTAAACTCATCTTTTGGATAACCAATAGGAGATAGTCAAGAAGTGACTAATATATACAAGGCTGCTACAAATTATTACAAGTTTTCGATTACTAGATTCAAAGATAATCCATTCTATCCTACACCCCAATTTCCAAAAAACACCTCTGGGTATTAAGTAGTGGATCCAAAATTATAGGAAACTGGAAGTAGTAGAAATTCCAAGTTGGGAGAGGATGTTTCATTTTCCATTCCTAAAGTTAGGACCTTAGAGTCTAACACATCTCTGAAATGTGTTTCATAATTATAAAATGGGACTTGGGCTGCTGATATCTGCAAAACAGTTAAAAAGGATTTGGAAGTCATTTGCAAATGCGATGAATTGAGTCCTACAACAGTTATGGAATCCATTGAATAAATTATAGATAAAGGAAGCCAAGTTTTTTCATCTAACACCCTAGATGCCTTTGCAACATTTCCATTTTATTAGACAATCATTTTTTACTTTTATATTGGAATCACAGGTTTATATCTCACAATTGTCTATTGGGGAATAAAAGTAGATAATTAAATTTTTTCCTAAATACATATTCAATAAGAATAAGTTATAAATTAACTTGAAGGCAAAAATACAGTCCAAAATAAATTAATCAAAAGAGCAGATTCAAAATATACTAAGACTGGGTAGTTGAGAGACTCATCGATTGAATATTAACATAACATACCTTTATTTAAAAGAAACATGTTTGGAACAGGACTCTCTTATGGGGCAATTATTTTCAATAAATTAAAACCAATAACCTCCTCACAAAACTAATAGAATATTAAATAAGCTACTTTAGAAACTAAACCTGAAGAAAAGTTAAACAACAATCTTAATAAAATTGATTCGCTATTCAGTCAATCTTAAGTATTGCAATCTACAAGAATTATTAAACAAGGATTATTCAATAAATAAGAGGAGCTTGTTAAATAAGAGGAACCTCTTAAACAGGAGGAGGAACAATCTAAGGGTTAGAAATTGTAAAGGTAACTAACAATTTAAGATATTGGACTTAAAAGTATGTTATACAGAAAGCTAATCTCAAATTTTAAAGCATTCATTGAGTTTCTCAAATATTTCCATCAAATTCTACAAATAATTTATAAAGATGATCCTATCAAACCAAGAAGTTTGAGAGCATCAATCGTTTATGTAAGTTTTCTAGGTGGAATTGCTTTGATATTTTTATTTTAGCAACCCAATAACTTAAGTTTTACAATTGCTATATCCGCTTTAACAGCACCTGCAAATAAGGTTTATTAGATTGTGTTAGAAAAAACATTATCTAATAAATCTAAGATGGTAAGAATGATTGGAGTTATGATAATGATTGGTGGAGCTGCTTTTATTTCCTACATTATGTTATCCGGTTTAGTGTTGATGAATTAAATAGAGTAGTCAAATTAAATGAGTCTAATCTTCATAGGGGCATTTGTTGCAGATAATTTAATTTATAGTCCATTATCCTTATTAGTTACTTATTTCATACACATGGACATAATAAGAATTCCAATCCTTTAAACGATTTTAAAGAAGATATTGGATGAAAAAACAAAGGAGTTTTTATTTGGATTAGCAGATAATATAAGATAAAATTGAGGAATAAGATAATATATTGAAATAATTTATCTAAATAACATTTATATATATATAATTAATTAATTAATTTAAAAATCATAGAATATGAAAAAGATCGAGCCTTATTATTAAAACGTAAATTGCTGAATTGCGAATTAATTTAGAATTTATTATCTGATTTTCTAGAGTTAGATTTTAATTAATAATTATTTTTAATGAAATTCTTGTTTATCTTGATAACAAATCTATATTAAGGTAACCATATCATAGACATTAATTTTAGTCATGACTTAATCGTATACATTGGTAAAATCTGATTTAGTAACTACGGGGGCTCACACTTGGGTAGATGAAGCATCTGCGGCTCTAGCTATCACAGCAACAATGTGTTCATCCTTAAAACAACCTTATGTTACCATAACTAGTGATTTGGCAAAATCAATATCTAATTAATATGTAGTTAATAACAAAGACCATGAGATATATATTAAAATAATTGTTGCAGGAACTTGGGAGGGAGATTCTCTGGCGATAAAAAGTGGTACAACAACAATAACGACGCAATAATTAACAACTACAACTCAATTGATAGAGTCCTATTGCTCATTATCTAAGTAAATTTGAAATATTAATATGTAGTGTTAAAGTCCTGGTTTTTAAAGTTTAGGTACTAAAAACCACACTTCTAACAAGCGGTTCAGACTACATATTGAAGCTAGTGATCAGTATCCCAACTCTTAACAATAATACAAAAAAGAAAACAATCTATGTGGGCCCAGTGTTAATTTATGAAATTGGTCCCACAGTTGCATCACCATATACTTATGTTTAGAACCAATAGTTTTATTATTTTACTTCACCCTCACAGAATCCAAACACTGTTTTGCCCAAATTCAGTTATACTAGTATAAATGCAATCAGCTCTTAAAAATATGATTTACTTACTTTTGGGGGCTCTGCTGCCAATTTCATCATCGGAGGATACAGAAGATGGAACACAGGAACCATAACATTTACGTAAACTTTAGATATTCATTACAAAATTAAACTCAGTTTTTACGTTTATGCATTTGATACATCAACAATATTAACATCAGCAAATTTAATAATCACAATAAACGGTCCCTCAGGTTCCATTGTGATTCCTGATACTTCCATATCCAGAATACAAGCAGGTAATCTCTATGGGAATAGTGGAACCGATTCAGTTTATTTTGTGGATTACGAAGTCAATCATGAAAATACAAATCTTTAAATAACCATTTAAATAACTACTCCAATTGATCTGGGAATCACAAACTTTTATCTGCTTTCTAAGAATTGTCCATAATACTGCTAAGCTTGTAAGGCTGAAGGAACATGTGATGCTTGTTCGAGTGTTGACAACAGAAATCTAGTCACCTGCCAATGTAATGAGTAGTATTACGAGGATCTAGTAGACCATACCTGCAAAGGTAAGGACTTTTTCTTATATTAAAGCTTGTGATTATAGATGTGCCAAATGTGTTTACGATGCAACTGATGTCAAAGGAAAATGTTAGTTATGTAAATACGGTTTTGACATAAATAACAAATGTTAAACTTGTATCTATTCATATCAGTTTGAGAATACAGCAGCAGTTAAATGCGAGAGTATATATAGCATCATTAAATGATTAGATTGTCTACCATGTTGTTTGACTTGTTCGGGTCGTACTGATAAAGATTGTCTTACCTTCAAAAAACCATACATGATTATGCCAGATAACCAAGCAGTTCTGAGTTGTCCCTCCAATTATTACACAATTCAATAGACTGTTGACAGAACTCTCTGTGTCATGTGTGATGTAATATTAATCTATAACTTTTCAATAGATTAGTTGCAAGACATGTGCTGATACTCAATCTAAATGTACAAGCTGCGATCCTGGATATGATTTACTATTCAACTAATGCTTACTAGCATGTCCTATCAAAACATACAGATTAAATAAAGATTGCACTCCTTGTCCTGATCCAAAATGTGAAAATTGCTCGGAATCATAATGTCTTCTTTGTTAGGCAAATACTTATATGTCAAGAATCTCAAAATTGTGTATCTCTCCTTGTGATACTGGATACTATGGTGATGATGTTACCAGATCATGCAAAAAGTGTCATCAAACATGTAAGGAGTGCAACAATCCTCTTTTCACATAATGTAAAATTTGTCCTGATAATACTTATATGTTGGTTTTGGATTCTTCCTCAGTAACGGGAATCTGTTATAAGGTTTGCAAAGAAGGATATTATCCATCTGGTAAATTCTGTGCTCCTTGTTATCAAGGTTGTTAATTTTGCACTTCACCAACAGTTTGTTAAACTTGTGTTGCTGGATATTATTTATATAATGACTTTTGTGTTGAGACTTGTCCATCCAATATGTATCCTAATCAATACGTTCAAAAATGTTTGAAGTGTAATGCTGCTTGCATTGAATGTACAGGAGGTGAAAATTATTAGTGCTTAACTTGCAGTGGAGGATTATTGTAGTTTTCAGGAAAATGTTATCCAATTTGTCCAATTGGAACAGTGGCAGTTAATGGAATATGTTAATCTTGTGCTCTAAATTGCGATATTTGTGTAGGTACAAATATCTATGATTGCACATAATGCAGTACACAAAAATATATTTTGAATGGATAATGTTATGATACATGTCCACCATCTTATTAAGGGAATATTCAAACATTTACTTGCGAATTTTGTATTGATAACTGTGATGTTTGTGTTTCAAGTTCTTGTAAATTATGTTAATCTGGTTATTTCTTTTAAGATGGCCAATGTCTTAGTTCATGTTACGATGGTTATTACAAATCTAATGATGATAGAAAATGTTAGAAATGTAATTTTATTTGCAAAACCTGCTCTGGCCCAGATACTGATGATTGCTTGACTTGTCCAAGTAGTTACTTTTTCTATTTTAATAATTGTTTACCTGAATGTCCAGAGGGATATTATGGAGCAGCTGCCAATATTTGTACATAGTGCGATCCAACATGTTTGGCTTGTTACGGTCCTTTGTTTGATAATTGCACTACTTGTCCAACTACATCATATATCTATTAAAGTAAATGTTTAACTGTTTGTCCAAATGGAACCTATGCCTCAGACACATATTAAGCCTGCATGCCTTGTCATTCCTCTTGTCTTACCTGTTAAGGAGGATCAAGCTATGATTGTTTGACATGTCCAGTATATATTGAGAGAATGCAATGTGTAACCAGTTGTAGTGTTGGATATACATTAACCGGAGTTGAATGCCATCCTTTGATAGCAATATCTATTCCTTGTGATCCATAATGTGCAACATGTGCTCTCCAATCATCCAATTGTCTTACTTGCTAACCATCAAGATAATAAAATAAACCTTAATGCACTTGTTTAAAAGGGTATTATGATGTTGGAACTGTAAATTGTTTACCTTGCGATCATAAATGTGCAACTTGTAAAGTACAAGCTGACAATTGTGTAACTTGTAGAGGAAATAGATTCACTTCTGTTTGTAGATGTCCTGACTATTATTATGAAGATGGCGTTTCAAATGATTGTCCCAAATGCAATTATAAATGTGAACTATGTGTAAATAACATTTGTACAACTTGTGCAGATAGAAGACAAAATGTACCTTAATGTACTTGTCCTGATGGATTCTATGATAATCTCAGTCCAATTTGTTAACCTTGTAGTGATGTTTGTACAACTTGTTCAGAAATTGCAGATAAATGCATTACATGTTCAGGAATCAGAGAAAATCCACCTTTTTGCACATGTCCATCTGGCTACTTTGATTATTCAGGTTAATGTATTAAATGTGCCTTTGAATGTGGAGATTGTGATTCAAATGGATGTATAAGTTGCAAAGGTAATATGAATGGTCCATTTGTTGGTAAATGCATATGTAAGGATGGTTACTCTCGAAAGAGTGTTGGATCTGTGTTTTGTACTAATTGTAATATGGGTGTGCCATATTCTATCCTAACCTCAGGATTGTATAAAATTAAAATTGATTTTGGAGGACCTTTGGATTTACTTGATCCAACCAAAACAGGTTGTGATCAGTACTTCTAGGCATCCTCTCTCTCTACTCTAGGCACGAATCCCATCTGCATAATCGATGATACTACAATTATTGTAACACTTGGCAAGTATTCTACTATCAATATTGGACACTCCTTCGCTTTTGGAACTGGTTTCAAATTGAAAATATGTACTACAGGTTTCTCTGTCTTTTAACCCAGCAACTTAATAATCGATCCAGCTGTTTCGAATGAAGAGAATCTACCATACATTAACTTTGTGGCTCAACAGCCTAAAACAATTTGTGAGCCAGTAGTCATCAAGTACAGTCTTGGTAATACTGGAAGCAGGAATCTAGATGTTTTTAGTTGGACTTTGACTCAACCTGCAAATTATGTGAATGCTCAGTTAGATACCATTATTAATTCAATCACTCCAGCTAAGACCTCTGACACTAACATCACAATTCCTAGATTAGTTTTAAAACCATATACAACCTTTTCATTCGACATCCATTTACGAAATTTCTTGGCCTTAGATGCATAGAATACATACTTCATCCAAACTTTAGGACCTGCTCAGGTAAGTATATAGATACCTGATGTACAGAATACCTTCTATAGATATGAGACCACTTAGCTCAATTTTACATTCATTTATACAAATTGTACTCTGACTACAGAGATGAGCGACACAGTCCATGTTTTGATTAAATTGGATACACTCACATTGGCTGAATACAACTAGGCATTCTTCTTTTAGATGAGTTCTGCTTTCGACTTTGAAGTTCCCATCGATCCTTACATTCTTGAAGTTGGGTCTAATAATATCACTGTTACAATCAGTGTTCCTTCATAGTTACTATCAACTACCGTATTTTTGAATCAAGAAATATCAGAAGGTACCTTGGTCATAAAAGTAAGTGGTGGAAATAGACAAGTTGGTGATGTGGCCATAGTTATTTTGACTGCCTCAGCAATAGATTAAGATATCAATCCCAAAGAATCAGATCCATTTCAATATGTATTTTCTTGGACATGTTTTGATGTTTTGAAAGGTTATGAATGTTTAGATTTGTATGGTAAACTCCTCAAATACCCAAATGGTAAATCTGTGACCATATATGCCAACGAACTCAGCCAATATAATTCTTATGTCTTTAGTGCATCATCCACAAAGGGAAATAAATAAGCTACCGGCAAATCAATGATTCAAATAGTTGAAGTTGATGTTCCTTAGTTGCAATCAGCAAATGAAACAGAGGAAGCAGAGACAATGGCTAAAACATTTAACTATTATGATGAAGTCTAATTGGCATTTTCATACTCCTTAGCCAATCCAGACAACCTATTTTATTCAGCCACTATCATTTACGATCAGGTCTCGGTTAAATCATTCAAATTTTACAGTCTAACCTTTAAATTTAGGTTGCTAGATTATTTCTCCGATCTCAATTCGATTAAAGGTAATGAAATCACACTGAGAACATCAGTCTACAATCCAACCTACGTCATGCCTTCATTAAGAAGCATTATTCTAACCTATAACTTGCCTCCAATGAATTGCTCATTAGTTTTCAACAACCCTGGCGATATCATCTATGAACTTAAAACCTATGTCAATATAAGTATCGCTTAATGTGAAGACGAGGATCAACCCTTAGAATATAAAGTGTTACTCTACAATGACAAAGACATGTATGATTACGATTTCTCAATTGGAAAGTTCATCAACAATATCAATATCTTGGATTATTAATCGAATAGCACAATGTTATTCAAATTACCATTTGTTGGTCCAAAATAATCTGTGAATTTCACATCTTTCTTAGTGTTCATGATCAAAGATAAGAGGGACGGAATCTCAAATCTTACTACTCCTATAGTTATCACTAAGAATTTTGAAATCAATTAAACTCTATTGACTTAAATGATAGATCATTCCGAAAACATCGAAGATACACTCTAGACTTAAGATCTAGTAGTCAGTAGAGTTGTGCAAATGGATAATTGCTCATAATTCAAATATGATTTAATTAGAAAGAATGATTTGATAGCATAAAATGATCTACCAATAGATCAATAAAATCTAATACTCAATCAAATGATTTAACTGATTAATGACAAAGAAGTGAGTAAATAATTTAAGGTTCAATTATATTCTCTGGATTCTTTCGATAGTATCATCTAATCCAATTTTGAAAAACTCAAGGCTTTGCAATTAGATTCTCAGAGCACCTTGTAATAACAAAGTTATATCAATAACTATTACAAATACTTTGATTTGTTCTCGTCCTTAATTTCCAATAGCGAGTATTTCAACACCACCAATGAACAGGTTTTGGGATACATAGAGAATCTCAAAACTCAATTAATTGATCTAACTTTATTGAACAGTGATGGTTTTACCATTGAGAATGATTAAGCAACACTACAGGTGAAGAAGGCGAGTTATAAAGTTATAAATGAGATTGCAGGAAACATTTTGAAGGAGGAGACTGTGTTTAGATTATTGGAATCCGTCGAAGATTCATCAAGTTACTAGTACTACTTTAATAAATTCATTGTGAATCCCTACTTGAATGAGGAGAGCTTCCCTAAGAGTGATTCATTTGGAGCTGAAGTAATCTATTTGAGAGTGATTGATGAATTAACAAAAATAAATGCCGTAATGCTATAACCATACACTTACACCTTTATAGTTGACGAAGATTATGCAAATAAGAGGACAATTTGTATTTAAAAATTATTTGAGATCTGGACATCTAAAGATATAGAAACAACACTAATCAATAAATCTGCAATTTCATGTAAGATTTCTTATTTTAATCCATTTACAATCGTTATTAATAGTACATTAGATAACAATACGAATAACAACAATACAAATAATAATTCAAATTCAACTACAGATGATACTGATGACACTGATAATAATAATAATAATAGTACAGATAATACAAATAATACAAATACAAATACTAATACTAATACAACTAATAATAGTAATAACAATTCAAAACTAGATAATACTTCTGACACTTTATTAATATCAGAACCATTCTTTATTTATTTAATATGCATAGGATCTATCACTTTATTATTTGCCTTCTTTGCTCATTACAAGGATACTCAATTTGCAAAAGTCTATAATCATAAGAAATCCTAATCGGAAATTATCATCACCAATCAAAAAGAAGAGACTCCAGATATGAAGAAGAGCGAGATCTTCAATTTTAAAGAAAGCAAGCATCAAGATGAATAGCACTCACCATCATTGAGAAACATAACAAAGCCTACCTCATTTAAGAAATTTAAGCTAATTCTTTTAAACTTCCATACTTTGGTAAGTATCTTCTATAGAGATGAAGCCTACAGGAAGATTTCCTATTTCAATTATGTGCTCAGGTTCTTGTTCATTCAGTTATCCATTTTCATTACATACATCTACTTTTAATTTAACTATCAATTAGCCCTAGTATTTCTATTAACTCCATTGGCATTTTCTATCTATACATTTTTGATGAATATCCCATTGAAGAACCAAAAGTTCATTATTCTGAAACTAATCGTGACCATTCTATCACTGGCTATAATTGGTTTAAGTATCTATAGAGTAGTTTACTACATAACAGATGGAAATGAATACAATTTAACCACAATTACCTTTTTCTTGGCAAGTTCGATTGTGTATGACAATCTGGTATATAACCTGATTGTAATTATGATCCTCTTTATGATGACCATCAAAGAAGGAGGCGTATCTCTTTGGATAATCAAAATGATGCAATCAGCCGATCAAGAACTAATAATGATTCATTATCCAAACTCAGATGCCATCAAACAACAATGATTAGAAATAAAATTATAAATTAAATATATATATTTCAAATTTCATCTCAATAATTCAAATTGTATATTTTATAAAAATGTCAGGTATCAACATCAACATTAATCTGAATCTAGAGAAGAAAAAGTAGAGTTACATTTATAAACTAGAGAGCTGTCAAAAGCAAAGCAGAAAAAGTCTGCAATGGAGAACCAAAAAAAAAGAAGAAGAAGAAATTAAACAAATCCAAATAAACAACGAGTTCTCCCATTCCTTGGGGATTGAACTAAGAAAGACTCAAGAATTACATCTATGCTCAAGTGGCTAAGAGAGATGGCCTATTACATCAAGAACAAACCAGGAAAATCAAAATTGAAGATCCAAAATAAGATCGTAGAGAAATATTAGGAGTCTCGTTTTTGAATCATCTGCCTAAGAAGAAAATCTAATAGATGATTCATAGTAGTAATCTTGAATTAAATTATTCCTTTAGAGTAAAAGATCAATGAGGATGAGGAACAAATGTTCAATTAACCAAAATTCAATGACTAACAATTACACGAAATTCGAATATATAAAGAATGGAAACGAAGACAAGTCTAATTTGAATTGCAATTCAAAAAATAACAAGAACTCGAAAAATAAATCAAAATCTAACAAAACCTATAAAATTTAAACGAATTTATTAAATGTAAATCAAATATTATAATACTCTATAGATCGAAATAATACAACGTAAGTGATTCACAGGAAATCAGTGTCTTTCCATAAAAAGAAAAGACCTAAATCATCCTTGGATGAAAAGAAAAGAGAATTAGTTATTTAGTATCAAAATATAGCCAATAGATATGCTTAAATCAACGGAGACACTAGAGATAATTAAAGTTGTTTTGACCTGGTATTGGATAGTGATTAAGAGGGCATTTCTTAAATGGATTCAATCCAAAAAAGCACAAAGAGACAAAATATTGTTATTTCAGAGCCATCCTTAGACGAAGAAGAGGAATAATAAATACAAGAATTGGGAAACCTAGAAAAGGAAATGGCTCAAATTCTCAAGGCAGCAATAGTTATTCAAAAAGTTTGGAGAGGGTATAAGACAAGACATGTTTTAGAATATTATAAGAACTTTGTTGATTAGGAAGAAATGAATCAATTACCATCAATGAATTAAGCATAATCTTATTTAGAACCTATTAGTTAATCTGTTTAATTAGAGAAGGAATAAAGTGGATTAAAGTCTTCTTAAAAGAGAAATATTTCAAATGGTTTCAACTTTGTTGCTCATTAATTGGATTGGGATGAGGATAAATAAAGTCATTTCAGTTCATAAAAGGTATCATCTGTTAAGAAGCTGTTTTAAGACAAATCCCTTCATAGCATAATCATCTAGAAGTAAAAATAACAATGGCATCTTATGTTAGAACAGATCTCATAACTTTAAAGAAAGGGATCTAAATAAAATATTAAGGAAGTTCTTCAAGATTTGAAGACATTCACTTTGTAAATTGCAAAAGATATTGATGGAGAAACTATTATAGATAATACAGAAAAGGAATCATAATAAAAATCTTTTAAGATGAGTGAAATCAGATAAGCTATGGGATCAGAGAATCTAATTAAATTATCACAGAATTAGTCTCCTGTGAATAAAGATGCTTCCTTATTTGAGTAGAATCCATTTTATGATTTTGCATCAAAAAAATTTAGAGAACTTCTCAATCCAGAAAATATGAAGAAATTAATCAAAATGAGAGAAACAGCCATTGAAGAAAGACATAAGAACGAATTGAAAAATATTCATGAAGCTTTGCAATAAAAGTAAATCAGTTTAAAGACATTCGAAAAATAAAAATTCAAAATTGAAAAGTGGGTCACAAAAGAAAAAGATGAGTTTAAATAGTAGAAATCTAACATTGAAATTGGATGGAAAGGTCTATATGAATCCTTTATCAAAACCTAAAAGGATCTGTTATTTATGTCTAAATTGAATAATTAGTAATTAACGTCTTCCTTCTCAAGTGAAACTATAAGTAACATAAGATTGATCAGAGAAATTAATTCAGGACCTCAAACAAAAATAGGTAAGACTAATAATTTTGATACTGCCACTATGAATTATAGTTCTCCTATTTGTGAATCATAAAATATCAGAAAGGTACCAAAATCTTCTCCTTCCCCATCTCCTCCTCAATACTAAAAAGAAGACAACTAAAAATTGATATATGAATAATTAGAATGGGATGATGAGATGTTGTATACCAGCGATGTTTTAGATTGTGCAAAAATACAACCCTCTTAAGTCATTAAAGTATCAACCCATTCTCAAAATGAACCAGAATATGATGATTCTCAAATCTAATCATATTGCATTTTAATTGCAAATTCAATTATTGGAAATGAAATACAAGATATGTATGAAGAATTAATGGTGTTTAATAAAAATATCACAGCATCAATAAAATTACCTGAGTTTAAAGGAATCAAATCAAATATTTAATAGGTTAAAACCTATCTAACTAGATTAGAATAATTTTTATTATAATCCGACTGGAAGGCAGCATTAATCCAAAAAATAAATACTCCTTTCGGACCCAATCCTAAGGAGATTTTGAAATTTTTCCATTATTATGACGAAGAAGATGATTATTAATCCAGTGAGTAAGATTACTCAAATTAAGCTATCTTATCAACATAATTATATGCAGAATTTGAAAATATACTTATGGAAGAGGAAAAAATGTCATTAGAAGATGGATTTTTATTAGAATTAGAGCATATTCACAATAAAGTCTTGTATGATGCTCTAAACGAAGCTTTGGATTATTATAGACCTTTTGGATTAAATGGTTATCCCTTGCCTTGGATTAAACAACCTTTAGAGTTGATATAGAGGTAAAATGATCATACTATTTTCATAGAAATAAGAAGTAGGAAACTCTCTCGTAGATCTTTTAGGGAGCAATTGGATAAGTGACTGATTGGGCATCCTGTTTAGTAGGTTTGATAATTGATAAACCAGACTCACCCTTTCCAAAAATTTTGATGCTTGATCAGGAGTACTTAAATTAGATTAAAGAGGAGAGAATGATAAGAATGCTTAATTAAGAAGTAATCATTTTTATGATGTAAAAAGATCTATCAAAATGAAGAGAGATGGTTGGTGTATGACGAAGAGCAATCTGAAATTTTAGTTGAAATTTCATTGATGGTTTAAGATTAGTTAATAGATGAATGTTTAAAAGAACTATTACAGTTGTAATGATTATGAATTTTAATAAATCAAAGTTTTTCATAGGCTTGGGATTTTAGTTTTATTGAATATATTTCCTGATTTTCTTATGAAATATTTTTGGTCAAATGAAAGGGCTTGAAAATCTATAAATGTAGTCATGATTGATTATCTCATTTTACTTTTTTCATTTTGTTTCATGATTTCACCAAAAGAGCTATTCAAAATTTCTGAATCTCTTTGATAACTTGATCTATCAGGGTGACTCTATTTTCTCTTCTCTTAATATTTATCAATATCTGATTTTCGAGGAGCAGACATTGATTACTTCAAGTTTTATGTTTATTTCACAGACTGTCTTCTTGATCGTTGGGATTACACAGTCTTTAAAGTCTTAATTGAATTCTTTTAATACAATGATTTAATATCATTGGTATGGACTGAAAAGTCTAATTGAAATTCCTTGCTTTGTTTTGACCCTCCAGATTCAGAATTCTTTATACTGGTCTTCTTATTATGTTTTTCAATATCCAAACCAGATAACATCTAATAAGATTTATAATTAGTTTCTGATGTATTCTTAATATGATGGGTAACAAAGGCTGAATCCAATACTTCACCTATGAGTAATCTCTCCTCTACTTTAGATTCCAACATTTTCTTAATCAACTACTTCAGATCTTACGACAATTCAGGCCAAGGATGCTTTTCGAAATTGATTTAACATTTTTAATTCAAAACCTATATTTGGCTTGGCTTTCCTCTAAATGGAGGATATCCAGCTGCTAACTAAAAGTAATTACACAATATATTACAATGTATAGTACAACACCTAGACTAAACACATCTCCTTTTTAAGTGTATGGCTATCCTTTAAAGATTTCTGGAGGCAGAAAACCTGGAGTTCCAGCTTTGCTTAACAATTACTCCTCATTAATTTGTTCAGCAAATCCAAAATCCACTAATTTCATTTAGAGTGTGTCTTTAGATTCTATCATTATGTTTTCTAATTTAATATCTCTATGAACAAATCCATTTTAATGTAATTCAAAAAGGGCATCTCCAATTCCTTTTAATATGCATGCGATATTTTTCTCAACCAACCTCCCTTTTTATTTAAAATACTGATAAAGTGTGCCTCCATCACAATATTCAATTATTATCACTAGTTTTTCCTTTTCTTAGTAGACTTCATAAATCTTTTCAATTCCAACATGATCAAATGATTTCAATGCAATTACTTCATTGTAGACCATTTACTAAACTATTATGTAAATGTAATTTTTACTATAAACTTCTCTTAATGCTTATTCTCTTCAAACATCTTTTTAGTTATTGTTTTTGCTGCAAATGTTGCATCATCTCTTTTCCTTTACACCTTATACACCGTTGCAAAAGCTCCACTTCCAAGAGTCTCAATTTCTGAATAGATATGTTCATACCCTTTCATTAAACAGAAATCTTGGAGTGCTTCAAAAAATTATAATGTTAATTCATTTTGATGGTCAAATATTGTAATGCCAATTCCCTCTGCTCGTTCTATATAGATAAGTGGAATTTAAATATTCTTTTTGGTTTTTTAAAAGGAAAGAATTGCTCTGTTTTTGTAACTTAATTCTAAATAACCCTTAGGATAATTATCAGATTCCTATTTAATGTATTTTAAATACTTTTTTAAAATACATTAGCATTCCTGAATAAGTTAATTTAAAATAATAGCCTTTGGCGTTCTTTTTCTTCCTTCCTATTCGAAGCATTATGTTTTAGAATGCATAATTATCATGTTGCCATTTCTTTTTATTGTCTTGTTGAGTTTTTCTGTTCCAAAAATGTTTGATAGATGCATCTGTTGATACTCTAAAAAATGGCCATTTGACTTCTCCATCAAATTTCGGTAATTTGATCTCTCCTCTCATTTTTTTAATTTATATTTATTATTGATTGTCACCTTTCTTTAGCTATTATGTATCTTGGTTCAATTATTATTTCAAATGCTTTGAAAAAGTAGAAGTTCTGGGTATATTTTCAAAGATATTTGCTTAAAATTCTTGATTGATGGTTTTCAAAAGAACAGACTTTTGATTTTCAATGGTGTTCACAAAAATAGCATTTTTTAAATTGCTAGATTCATCAAATCTAAATACTTTTTTCATGACTGATTAAAATAATAATAAATAATAAAAATACATAACATCACTAAAAATCATTAGAATTAACTTTCCCTTTCTTTCTTCTTCAGAATTATTGATAATTGATATATAATTTAAGAACAGATCAAAGAACGAAACAAATTAATTTTATAGAACTGGTACATTTTTCAGTACGTACTTTATTGATATTATATCCATAAGAATTCTTTCCTTATAAAATACAAATGATTGATTATTTTATTAAATTTATTTGTGTTAATGCGAATTGATAAATTGTAATTAAACCAAAATAACAAAATTCCATTAATTATGCTTATTCTTGTAATAATGTTATTATGTATTTATTTCAATCTGATTTCTTCCAATTCAGGACCTCTTCAATGAATGCATCTGTATAATTGACTTTATATCTATTAAATATTTTCTAATTTTAGTAATACTTTATCATACTTATAATTCCTCCTTGTCCTCTGCACTATTACTTCCTGCTGCTTATGGGTGCTCATTAGCCTCTTTCATTTTCTTAAGTAATTTAGACATCAATTTTTCTAATCGAATATTTAATGCAGGCAATTACAATCTTCTTTTGAAAAGAATGCTTTTTCATCACCTTTGTCCTTGTCCTTTAATGCTTTGCTGAATGAAAATCTTGGTTAATATTTTGGTATCCTGGCTATGCTTAATAATAACTTATTCATAATAATAAGATATGTGTTAATATTATATTAATATTATGATCATAATTATATTGACTGTCCTTATTCGGAAGGGCTTCCAATTTACGCTTTTGATAATATATAATTGTAATAGAAAAGACCTCCTATCATTATTATGTAAGCAATCAATGAGAACCAAAACAACCCAGTAAACTCAATTGTAAAATCATTGTAATATTGCTAGGAGTTATCCCAAACCCCTAAATTAGCATCTTAAAATCCAATTCTATTATTTTATTTATCGAAGATCGTTATGTAATTGAAGAAAAATGGATCTCCAAAAATCATTTAGTTAGGGAAATCTTTCAATATTTTATTACTTGTAAGGGTGATTTAACAATAACCATCACTTGATGAATCATCTTTAATTATATAACTAGAGTAAGAGATGATTAATTTATATCCTTTTGAAAAAACTACAATATCAGGAAGATATTATTTCTACTATTCACTTGGATTGCAAGGACAAAACACTATCCCGAATTGTTTTTTACATGTCTTGAGTAGCGAATTTAAAATTAGCTCATACATTTCTTCATTCAAGATCAAATCAGAAGTCCCAGTATCCAATAAGGCAAATTGAGTTTCATTGAAATTAATTATGTAATCCTAAATTTAAGCTTAATCAATTTGAATAGTCTATATATTAATATATATTTATATACCCAATACGAATCTGAAGTTGAATTTATCCATGTTGTACCATTATTTAATTTTTCATCCGATATATTGTAATATATTCTTGATTGGTATGGATTTTGGTTTAATTGCATAACAAATATCGAATTACTCATAAGTCCTTGTTTAGCGGCAATATCAAATAAGTTAGGAATGCTTTAATCATTGTTTAACCCCATAATTCCATCACTTTACAAGCCATGAATTTCAGTTTCCCTTATGATCAAAAGGAAAGGCATAAATGAATGAATATTCGATAGTGGTAGTCCAACATAGTCTTCGACCATTCGCCCAATGACTTATCCTTTGCCATACTAATTTTTGATATTAATGTATACTTAAATTTCTACAACGTAATCTGATACTTCGATTGTCTTTGATTCTTCTGTTCTAAAGTATTCTTTGTTGTGGCAACCAATGCATCCATATGAAGGCACCCATAATTCACCAGACCCAGTATCATAAATGACTGTAAATTCTTGTGGTGGTGTACCTATTTTGACAAGCCCATAGTATTGTATATTGTAGTAATTAGAGAAATTATTTTGAGGTAAGGTTTGTCTTCTGAATAAATTTATTGAAATTCCAAATGCAGAGTTTAAGAATAAAAAAATAATTATCATTGTTTTATTATTGTTTATTTACTAAATTATAATACTGTTTTCAAATATTTCCACATTCATTCAAAATATTTTCAATTACATGATCATTTTCAATTTTTGATTTTAATTAAGATAAATGCATAGAATTGAATAATGAGAATTTAATTTCTATTTATAAGATTAGTAATTAATGGACTGAAAGTTTGTCAAACTAATTTATTAAATTGATTAATATGGAGATATGATTATAAAGAAGAATTCCTAATTTTTATTTATGTTCAATAAATAATTTAATATCTATTGCCTAAGATGGAGAACCAGATTATACATGGTGAATCTATTTTTGAAAATATATAAACTTTCTTATTCTGCAATCTCTTTTCAGTATTCTTCAAGCATTCAAGTATAAATATAAAGCGTCAATTTGTTTACAATATTTATGGCAACCATTAATCTTTATGTCTGTATAAATATAATATCCAATAAGATTAAGTCTCCTAAATTAGTTTAAATAGATTTGATTGCTAGTCATTAGTTTTCTTTTTGATGTTGATATAAGGACTTGGAGTCAAATTATCCATTGATTAATGGATATTACATATTGGTAATGACATGGTATTTAACTCAACTCTAATAAGACTTAACCATTCTCAATATATATAAGCATTAGACCATTCAGGATCATCAAAATATATGGAATATGGTAATGAATGAGAGTGTGATTTTAGTAGACATCCTCTATTGAATTTTATAAAATAATAAATGTTTGAAAATGTTTAATTTTAATAAGAATATGCACGAATCTATTGTTATATATATTTTATTTTTATAGCAGACTAAGTTTTGAAGTTACTCAGAATTTAGGTTATAATTGAAGATAGCTGATATGATTAGATGAGATTGTATTTAATTAAAGGTTAGTTAGAAATATTGAAATATGAGATATTTTAGCTGTTATTTTTGAAAGATAACAGTATTTGGAACTTGCAGTGGCTATGAAAAAAGAATTTATATTCATTTAAATTTTGTGAAGAGTTCTCTTGGCGCAAGTGTTAGCTTTGGAGGCTCCTTGGTAATGTTAAATTTATCTGCATATTTATTAAATAGTTCTTAATCCGGGTTACCAAATCTATTAATTGCATCCTCTTTCATACGTCCGTATTTCAATTCTATCTTAGTTTTCCGAAGATCGTCTTCATTTTGAAAGAATTCATTTGATGTGATATGAGGCTAGCATAATAGTCAATTGTTTTACTTACTCGGTTAATTTTACGTTGGTTAAAATCTTTACTCATAGTTAAGTTTTAGACAGGGGATCTTTCAAGTAGTTTTTTGTTGTTTATTTTCTTATCTGTTTTAATACGAAAATTGTTATTTTAAAGAAGTGGAGCTTTAGGTGCCTATTATTCAGGTTATTAGTTATCCCATTCATCTTCGTTAATTTCCAGCACTCTGAAGTTGCCTCCCCTGAAATATTATTATAAAGTGATTCCATTAATTCTTTGAGCTTGACTCGACTCCTATCTTTAATGACTCTGTGACACTAATCTCCGCTTTTCCATCCTCGAGCACTTCGATGTTTCTGGACGCATGCCTTATTCTTCCATTTTTTAATTAATATTATTATATTATCATTCATGATATGTACATCTTGCTCACCATCTTCAAACTGTTAACAAATTACCCATATTCTCAATTTTAAGACTAAACTTGTACTATCCCTGCACTCCTGACCTTCTCCAAAGAATACTTGGACATTGGCAGTCGTTATAGAAATTCCATACAACTGAATAAGTGCACTGCAATGAGATAACAAATCTTTGAGAATAGAAATTATTTTATCTCAGATTGTTAACCGTATGCCCAAAAAAATTATTAAAAAAACTGAAAAAGTTGGGGTTCAACTTCTTCTGTCAAAAAGTAATTATTATTTAACAAATCAAATTTAACAATTGAAGTTGAAAATGTTAAGGAAATAATAATTATAATCATGAATCATTTTACTGAAATGTGCTTAAGTAATTATTTATTGTAAGAACTATATAAAATCATTAGAAATTTGTACAGTTTGATTTATACATTATACTAATTTTAGTTTAATTATTTATCAATTATTAATATTTATGAATTTCAAGTAAAAAATACTGAAGATTCAAGAAATAATTTATACATAAGCTAGACTCTTATGCATTTTTTAAGATTTAATCTTACTTGGATAACTGATTTTTATGTTAAGATTCAATCATACTTAATGTCTACCTTAACAATTCAGTTTAGATATATATTTTAACTTTAATATAGTAACAACATTAAATAACTAAAATATTATCAGTTGTTATCATCATCACTACTAACTAATTATGAAGCTGCTCCCTCATTTTCATCAGGAATCTATGTTAATGAGATTAAATACTTATAAATTTCTATTCACTTGATGCAAAATTGGAATTGTTTTATAGATCTCTTTCTACCAAGCGAATCTTAGGATATTTAAATTAAATACAATTATTGAAAGATTAACTTTTCATCCTCTCCATTGAGTTTAGGAAATACTGTTTGATTTAAAGGAAAATCTATCAATTTGTATTCCTAATTATAGTACAATATTGTTACATGAATATCCACATCATAAACTGATTGAGCTGCCATCATTTTCTCATACATACCCATTTTAACCCTATTCAAAGTGTATTAAACTTATCGTAATTATTCTTCTATTTCTTTAGATATCTATGCATCTTCTTAATCAAGTTTTTTCATTGATGGAATTTGCCTACCCTTATTATCTGAGGTGGGTTGTTCCTATTTTTTATTAGCGCTTGAACCCTATTGTTTTTGCTTTTGCTTTTAGTCACTTTATTCAAATTATTATTATTATTGGTTTTTATTTTTATTTTGAGTTTGATTTTTAATTTATGCTACGCCATTCTGCACTTCCTAAGCTTAAAATGGAAGGATGGGTTAAGAATTTTGTTTAGTATCAAATGAGTGATCTTATATTCCGGGTAATGAATCCTAATTATTTTATTGAGAAGGCATCGACTGAGGAGTTTTAAAGGATTTTTAAACACTATAGTTTGGGTGTTATTTCTATCTTTCATCCTATTGGGGAATAGGAGTAGATTATTATTAGGGATTATTTTTGTTAGAAGGGTGAATTTATTATTAATTATTTTTAATCTATTATTAAAATTAATATGATTATTATTACTGTTGTTATTAGGTAGGTATTTACTATTAAAGATTATTAGGTTATTGTTAAGATGTGTCGTTTGGTTACTGTGTGTATTTCTAATTAATCATTTGCATTTATTATTCAAGTTTTTCTCTTTAAAATTATAAGAATTACTCTTATTGTCTTTATTAAGACACAACATTAGGAAATTAAGGTTTCTTTACGTTGATTTTAACTTCTTGTTACCAAAATTCTTAAGGATTATATTAATAATTAGGATCTCGTTTTTATTGTATGATTTACTCAACCCTTTGAATTTTGTTTCTATCTTCAACTTCTTGTTCACTAGCATAATCTAGATCTTCTCCTTCACTTTAGTCATGTTGATGTGATTATCTTCTAGAGAGTTGTCTTGGCTTAAACATATCATCAAATTAATTGTACAATTTCTACCTTCTAAACCTATCTTCACTATCAGAATCACTCTTCTCATATTCAAAATCTCCTCCCTTTTCTTTTTTGATTCTTTCAATATCTTCATGCAATCTCTGAATCTCCTTCTTTCTCTTTTTCTATTCTTCCCTTTGAGCTTTGGTCAAATGTTTTTTGTGTGGTTTCTATAGTTCTTCTGTGAGTTCTTGGATTGTCTGTTTTAATTCCTCCTCTTGAATTGGTTCAATCTACTAAACAGTAGGTTATCGTTATTCTCTTTATAGATTTTGATTGTTCAATTCACTTAATTGTTAAATAACATCCGACTCTTATCTTTATAGAGTTGAGGGTCGTTATACTTTGATAGATTGCTTCTTGGTTAGTTTTTTAGGATCCTTTTGTTTTCCAGTCTTTTTGGATTTCTTCATGTCATTCACTGTATCATCATCTTCATCAATTTCATTTAGTTCCTCTTACTATATTTCTTACTTGTGATTATTTGGAGTAGCCTGTGGATGTTCTAATTCGTAGATGTCCGATTAAGATTCTCTATAAGAAGACATAGAGTCTTAGCTCTGCTGTATAGATTAAATAATCTGATCGGCTAAAGAGTCAAATTATTATTCTAGATATTCTCTTTACTTTCTCTCATTGACTTGATAGTAATCATTGAAATCACTCATCTAGATCTAATAGTGATCAGGAACTTTGACTTTGAAAGCCTAGGTTTTGATCTTCTTAACAATTTCACGGTATTGCTTAGTCATCATCTACATTCTGTGTATATAAATGAAAAGAGCAAAATTACTTTAAGTCATAATCGATGTGTTCATCGTTTAGGTACTTTTCCATAAACTTGAGTAAGCGATTCTGTATTCTTTCATTAGGAATGACTTGTTTACTGAAAGATTTGGTGTTGTTCATCAACCTGACTTCAAGTCCGACATCAGAGACTTAAATGCAGTAAAATTAATAATTACATTCTGGTCTGTAATTGTATTTATTCAGACATAATGATCGATTTAGCAATTCTTCTTACTGAGTATGTAGTATAATCTGCTACGTCTCATAATCTTTTGAATATCCTGGTAGTTTTATATCAGAATAATATTATTTATTATTATTGGAATTAGGCACCTTCTTCAAGTAAGCGGTTACCTTCCTCTGAAAATCAGTCAGGAGCACCTTAGCCTGCATTTCATTCAATTTCTGAGTGTTACCACTCAAACTACAGATATATTTTGGAGTGCTTACAAAAATACAGGAGACTTAGTTAAATTGTTGTATTCCTTTAAATTGTAGATGGAAGTGTGATGATAGAAATTTTTGCCTTCGTCCTTCTTTAAAGTATGCAACTACTATGACAACCAAATTGCATACACTCAACAACTTCAATTTGCTGGTCGGTTTCCTGATTCTGGTAGAACTTTGTTGATCCTAACTGAAGTTGTGTCCATTACTGTCATACTTGGAATAATTATCCAAACGAAGAAGATTCAGATTCTTTGCATAACGAAACTGTTATCCTGGCAATGGTAGTATGTCGCAAGAGTACATTTAATTAATTAATTAAATGCTATTTGTCACAGAATCCAAATTCATCAATATCTCCCACCCTCGCAAATTGCTCTCCCTCATATAGGATTACGAACTCAAATTCCGTCCTGACTCTCCTATCACTCAAAAAGCCATGGAAAGTCTAGGATAAGATCGTTATCACTTTCGTCGAAAGTTTCATTTGTGATCTGACTCATCTAGGAATAAGTTCGAGTTGCATTATGATTTTGAGATCCAAAAAATCCCATATACTGAAAAAGACCTCTAGAGGGCCTATCTAAATTACTTGAGAGAGCTCATCAGTAAATTTCATATATATCTATCGAATAGTGGATTACTAGAATCTCTTTGATGGCAGGAAACGAATCAAGGCTGATTTTCAAAGGAGGCAGAGAGAAGAAGACGAACTCAGAGGCTAGTATTTTCATATTCTCAAACTTAGTAAGTGGCCAGAACCTGTGAAAACCAAAAGGTTTATAAGCTCATTTGAAATACTCAATTTGGATCAGAAATTGCAACTAATTGAAGACGAGAGGAACAAAGAACAAAAAATTAATGATTGCTTTGCTAAATAGGCAATTAAGTAGGAATTGGACAGAAGACTCAAAATACAAGAAATCTCGCAAAGGGAAGAGAAACTACTTGCTACGCGTAAAGAGACCTTTGATAATCTCAAGAAGAAAGCAGCATCGGAGAATAAGAAAGTTTATGAGAAATTATAAATTCATTAATAAAAAGTCAGGGAACAAATAGAAAATGATTTTCAAAATTCAAAATCTATTCAAGAGAAAATGGAAGCCAAGTAAGACCTTTTATTATATTATTCCTTTAGATAATTTTCAATTCAATAACAAAGAACTAAAATGATATCTGAGATTGCCTCTCGCAATCGTAAGTTAGAAGATAAGATTAATCATTTTAAAGATGATTTCGGTAATCGTTTGATGGAGGATCTTACGAGAAAACAACAAGCTTGAATAGAACGGTTGTCAATGAACAAACGATAGAAGACTGCAGAACAAATGGAAAAAAACAGGTTGGAAAAGCAATAGTACTTTGAATAGAAGTTGAGCAATATTAATCTAAAAATTAAATAAGAAAGAGAAGAAAAGGAATATGAATTATTCAATAAAGTTGGTTAGAAACTATCTAAATCAGAGAAATTGCTAGAAGATCATGAACAGTTACTGTTGAAAATGTCATAATCTAAAAAGAATGAACATCAATAAAAATTTACAAAGTAGAGAGAAAGATATAAGCAATCAGAAGAAAAATAGTAAGAAAAAATTGAAGAATGGGATGAGAAATTGAAAAGCATTTAAGATAGAATTGAAAAGTTTTAAACCAAAAAAAGTGAAGAATGGAAATCTTTCAAGGAACAAAGAATTTAAAATAAAAAAGATCACTTAGAATTTTTTCAACTTATTAAGAAGAAAGAAGTAGTGAATATTATTAATTCTAGGAGAAACATTAAACGTAATAATTAGACAGTTTAACTAAGAATTAAAACAAATTGAAAAAAAGGAAAGACGAATAAGAATACATTCTTACTTATCAAACTATTTCTAAATAGAAGTTTCAATAGATTAATTAAACATAGAAGGGAGAATTAATTAATTTGCAATATTCCTCATCTATTTAGTTGCTAGAGTAAATGTAATTATATACAATTAGTAAATTAAAAAATCTAGAAGATGAAGAAACCTTTGCAG